AGATATATAGGGGTAGAAAAGACCGTTAAATAGATTTCGCGAAACTATTATTTTCTAAATATATATTAAAAGGTCCGACTTTATATTAGAGGATACGATACGTGCTAAAGAAATAAGCTAGTATAACACGCACCTTATAGAGAATTATAGCTATCTAAGACACTATCCCACCCTTAGGAATAGATCACTATAGACTTTGTCACGAAGCTACTAGTCTTAAAAGGATATAATATAATTATAGTTATAGTCGATAGGCTCACGAAATACGCCTATATAATCCTAACTATAGAAACTATTAACGCTAACTAGATAGCGAATATTATACTACGGTATATAGTTATAAACTATAGAATACTAAGTAAGATTATATTAGATAGAGATAAGCTATTTATATCGAAGATATAGTAATTATTTATAGATTAAAAAGGTATTAAGCTTAGACTCTCTACTATATACTATCTATAAACTAACGGATAGATAGAAAGAGTGAACTAGATATTAAAATAGTACCTACGACACTATATAAACTACTAGTAAGACAACTAGGTAGGACTATTACTAATAGTATAACTAGTATATAATAATATAGTACACTCTATAATATAAGAATCACCATTCTTTATAAACTATAGGTATAATCCTATAATATTTAGAGAACCAATTAGTAAGATAGCTATAGTAGAATTAGTAAGACTAAAGGCTAGCGGACTAAAATAGTTATACCTATAACTATCTAGAGATATTAACTTTATTAATTTATATATAAAGAAGTACTATAACTAATAATACTAGGAGGGACCTAACCTAAAGAGGGGGGAAAAGGTTTATCTTTTACACTATAATATTAAAACTAAGCGACCTAGTAATAAATTAGACTATCTACGACTAGGACCATTCGAAATTAAAGAAAAATTAGAACCGGTCAATTATCGCTTAAGGCTACTAGAAAGTATATAAAAACTCCACCTAGTATTCTATATCTCGTTACTCGAACCCGTACTAAATAACGCTAAACTTATAATAAATATAGAAATCGAAGAAGAAACTAAAAACGAATATAAGGTTAAGGAAATTCTAGAAATAAAATAAATAAGCGGAAAGCCTTACTACCTAGTGAGATAGAAGGGGTACGATACCTCTAAAAATATATAGGAACCTATTAAGAACCTAAGGGGCTACCCCTAGCTAGTTTAATAGTTCTACTAGAAGAATCGCCGACTAGGAAAGATAAGTCTATCCCTTCTAAAATAGAAGGGGATAGGGGACTAAATATCTAGGTTAGAGTAGGATTCTCTAACGTAGCGGTAAGAATCTAAGTATCGTGCTCTTCGGTAAGATAATCTAGCTTAGCGAGGTCCTTAGAAGACGGAGGATCTTTAGTATCTAACTACTCTATAACTATAGAGTTATACTTTAATATCTAACTACCACGATCCTTAAGAAACTATTATTATTTCTAAAGGCGAAGTATTTTTAATATCGTCTAATTTATTTACTAAGAATATTTAAGCTACTACTTTTAGGCTTACTCTAACTCTATCGCCACTTTCTAACGATCGCGTTTAAGCGATTCCTACTCACGATTATTATAGAAACGCTTTATATATTTACGACTATAACGGGTACACTCTATATAGTTCTAACTCTTCGAGTCTATAATATAGTTAATAAAGTTATAGGAATAGTGTTCGTAAGGAGTATTAACAATCGAACCCGCTATAAGGATAGTGTTATATTAATATAATCTATTTCTCTTACACACTTCGTTAGAAATAGGTATAGTGAGAAGATAATATTAAGAAAAAGAGAAAAATAAAAACGACACCACTTACTAAAGGGGGGTCGATAACTTTAAAGGCTTTAAGGACGAAACCCTAAAAGAGGGGGAGGTGATATTACGGGCACTCCTATCACTAATTAGCGGAGATCTATAAGCTATACCGATAGGCCACTAAGAGCTAACTAACTAATAAGTTATATAATACACTATAGAAATATATAGTCTTTCCGTTATACCCTTATAATATAGAATAATATATAGTGTTAACGAGCCTAAGATAAGTTATATCGTAAGGAACTATAGATCCTATAATATAGGTAATCGTATAATAGCAACTATTATAGGATCCCTAGGGATCTAGCGAGTAGGACACGTGACTAAGGCATATCGTAGGAGTAGGCTTATCCTAGGATAGGACTAGTTATAGGATAGCCGTAGGATATACTTAGCTAAGTATAACCCTAGTATTTTATAGGAAAAGGTTGATCGTAGGATACGCCTAACTAAGCGTGACTCTAAGACCTACTCTATAGGAGTATACCTAGGAGTATACGGTGACTCTAATATCTACCCCTAGGGGGTAGACTAGGGAGTAGGCACGAAGGATATATAAGGACACTCATTCATATACTTAGTATAGTTCTTCGTCTTCAATCATACATTATTACTTATATATATCTTTAGAACTTTAGTGACTCTTTACTTGATTATAACTTAACAACACCTACGAGTAGACCAATACTTCGGTATAGATCTCCTCGGCGCTCTACCTAGCATCGTTCCTCGATACCTTAATAGGACCCATCCTATAGTAAGGCCTATTAGGCAATAGTACGGTTGAGAGAACAGATCGTTGACGTTGGAAACCGAAGAAGCATAAGGCAAGTATAACCGAACCCTTCTAACCTAACCGTGACCAGTTAGTAGTGCGTAACAATAGGCCAAAGTGGCACCATGAGGATCCATACGGATCCTTATGGGGGTCCATAATGACTAGAGACGCAGCTCATATGCCCGAAATGAGTCCTGTGGATCTCACTATCGGTCGTAGAGGATATATCTGTAACGTCGCTTATACTACGTCTAGTCAAATAAAGATATACGCGAAGCCGCTTTAGGTAGGTAGACAAATCAATAGGGATAACGAACGACTATAAGGCACGCGCTAAAGGAGGGACTGGTAAAGGATAGGTGAGAGGAAGGCTAGGTAGGAGTTTTACAATTTTGTTTCGAGGATAGGGAGTATATAGAGGATTTGCAAGACGTGCTGCGAGATTATATCGTGTGGAATATGGAAGTTATAATACAAGATACCGATTTCTCAAAGCTATTAGAAGAGTTCCGTCTTTACAAAAGGCTGTTTTTCGTTCAATATGGAATTAAAGGTTAGATTAAGAGCAATCAAAGCTAACACCTCAAGTGACACAGCAAGATAAATTTCCTTACCAACCTATAAATTACACCACAACCCCTTTACGTTCGGGGATTTGAAGCCCCACTCCAAAGTGAGGAACGTCATCATTAGCCAGGGGTACCCCTAGGTGCGATATCAACTCTATGTCTGCATAGGTGCTCGATTGTCTCAATGAGCTTCTGACACATGATGCCTGTAAATTTCATCCGTATCAGCTAAAGCGGTTTTGGCTAGCGATAATCATTGATACCCACTCGAAGATAAGATGTAATGTCGGGTTTGCGATAAATTTCCGTCGTCATTGGATGTAGAGGGTATCAGAAGAATGTAAATATCGTGAATTTCGAAACTCAACGGGGATGAAAGGAGATTATCGGGGAATTTGGACGTATTTATAAACTTCTCGGGGCGCGGCGATGGCCCGGTGTATATTTAAGCCCATCAGTTCTTTCCATCCAACTATCACTTTATACACCTCCGGCTTTCATTTCCTACGCCTGAGATCCCGCATTGCATTTCAAATGTATTTTCAATAAGACTTGTGACTCTATTCATACAGCAGCTGTCCCACATTAGAAAACGTGATAAATGCTCAGAGAAAGCAAACTTGCTCATCCAACCCTTCTTCCGGCAGATACTACATATTACCGCTCACCCTCAGCATGGAAGACTTATCAGCCACTTCTAGTACTGCTAGAGCCAATATGGCCGCTTTCGCCATGAAGTAGCAACTCCAATGGAATCAAATGAAGCGAAGAGATGATCTTCCAGCCTATGGAACATTCATCACAACATATCTTAATCAATGAGATATTGCCCGGATATCCAAGTCCCGGAGCACCTAGCCCTTATGATTCCAATCCGTATGCGTAATTTGAGCTGTAGATCATTGAAATATCTGATCATTGAGCGATCTTATTTAAGTATACCTCAAAGGAGAAACGAGAGGGAAATGAGAGAATCGAGAGAAAAATGAGACAGAGGTAAAAGAGAAGTAAAAAAAGCGTAATGAAAAGAGCAACAAAAGGCAATACAATATACTGTGAACGGGATAGATTAACATTTAGAAGGAATTGACATCATACAATTTATGTTTGGAAAAACATAGAGATGAAGTTTTGTTCTATCGTTCGTCTCCTCACCAGAGTCTAGGCATATTATCATTTCTCTACTCGGATCCGCACAACTAGTACACACTCATTAGAAGTTTGTATGGATACATAATGAGTTAATTGCTTAGCGCTGATTACTAGAGTCAAAATCGGTTTTACCTTATTCCCATACATTCATCCCTGACTATTTTTGAAGTGTCGCTACGGTAAGTCTACCTTACTCGTGCAAGATAGAGGACCCAAGAGATATGTTCTACGGTTTAGAGAACAAGTTCCTGAATAATTCAAACAGTCTAGGCAGATGGAATGTGTGGTGTGACGGTTTTGCTTCGTCTAGCGGAGGCAACAGCATACTTCGCAAGAAACGCCATTTTGCGGTTATACCAGGTGACCCACTACTCCGTACTCAGCCTAATTACCAATGCCATGCATGGGCCACAAAGAGCCTCATTTGCTCCTTTGCTAGACGGACCTGCCATCGATATTGCTCCGGCTGACCGGATCTAGGACTCCACTAGCTTGATTCCCCCGACGCTAGCGGATAATTAATTCCAGGGTAGCTTCTTCTGGCTATTATGGGCCCCCACTCTTTTCTCCCTCATAAAAGCCAGCAAAGGCTTAGCATTCTTGGCAAGTTTTTGTTCTGGATCTCAACCCTTAACTTCTCACACAAGACACAAGACTGATCGGTGACATGGCGCGATCATTTGCAGATAACAACGCAATACCCAACGGCTGGCGTACTCGACACCCGGGATCTGCCATCTGGATCGTCATCGCTATCTTTCGGGGCTTTTTGGAGGCATTTTTCTACAGTATCTACTACATCCCGAGCCCTTTGCGCCAGAGTCCAACGTGGACCTACCGTCAGGCCTGCATGATACGGCTTCTCGAGAGAGTCTTTCATATTATCACGGAATTGGTTTCACGCAATCTTTGAGCCTGGAAGCGGGCAAAATCGGCGATCGCTGGGTGACCATAGACCCAGCGCCAGCGGCCGCATATTGCGGTGACTTCGCGAGTGACACTATCAAACCAGAGACGGTCGGCGGTACCTGGTATCCAAGTCTACCATTGAAACAGTCGCTGCTGGAAGAACAAGGCCTAGTGGTTTTGTCCTTTAATTCTGGCTCGCTCCTATGGCTGACTGGACGGCCGGAGGACTCAGGCCCCACTGCAACTATGCTGAACAACAGTCTGGGCAACAATACTCGCTCTTTTTGGCTGCAGTACCGTCTCGCCGGTGGCAGTAACCCAACACCATATCCCGGGGCCATGCAAGACGCGGTAACAGCATACATCTACCTCACCAAAGACATGGGAATATCCCCATCGCGCATTGTTCTCGCAGGCGATTCCACAGGCTCGACCATTGCAGTCGCACTGCTGCGCTATCTTACCTCCATCAAGGAGGTAAAAGATCATGAACTCGCCGAGCTTCCACCTCCAAAGGCATGTCTTTTGTTTTCGCCCTCGGTCGAGTATTGCTTCGAAGGTGATCCGGAGGCTGTCAGCGCAAATAGGAATATTAAGACCGATTATGTCGAGGCGCGTATGATGGCATGGGGTGCAAGGGCAATTGCGTTACCTGAGACCGTGCGACTGGATGATCCGTATATCTCTCCAGCGCTGCATCCATTTGCTAAGCCGGTTCCAATTTTCGTTCAGGCGGGTGGCGCGGAGGTTCTCGCTGATAGTGTTCGTGGATTTGCCACCGCGATGAGCTCTGTCCCGGGCAATGTGGTAGAACATTTTGAAGTTCCAGATGTGCCACATGATATTTATGTTGTGGGCACTATTGTCGGATGGCCGAAGGAGCAAGAAGAGATCCATGAAGCTGCGGCCAGATTTGTTCTACAATAAGCTTTTAGCTTTTCACCATGTCATTTCATTTGATTCTACATTACATCTGTTTTTGGCAAAGAGAATCGCCCAGTTCGTCCATGGTCAAGCGATACTAGAACCCAGTAGCCTAGCGTTTTGTAGGGCTGGTACAGAAGTAAAGTGTTCAGCCAATACTGTATCTATACCCTCTACTTGTCTTACCTGACACACGAGTATACCAGCATGTCCTCCCAGCTACTCGTTTGCTCTACGGCTGGGTCGAGTAATGATTCAGGGTTGAGTGAAGTCTTGGAGGGAGGGGGGGGTCTTCGATCGTTCACCAATAAACGCCAAGTCCGCAGCATTCAACGCAATATCGTGCTTTCCGGCCTGCGTGGGTCGATGCATGATGACGAGGAAATCGAGGATCAAAGGCGCGCCCGTTCCGCCCTCTGAGTGCATTCGAAGAATGTCGCAGGACGATTTCGGGTACCAGGAACACCTGGCCTTTGCTGACCTCGGTCCAAACCTCAAACCTGACGCGGTACGTGGGATCGGTTGACACGTCGATTAATACCACCATTGTCGTTTGTTGTTGACTATTCAAATACCACCAATGAGCATTGCGGCGGAGCTATTCGAAGCTCCCGATGTCAAGAACGAGGGAAGGATATCGGTCGGTGGCCCTAGGTACATGCTTCGGACCAAGCGACCAGTCTCGTTCCTTACTAGACACGACTCCACGGGTTCGCGCTGACCCTGTGCCGACAAAGTCGGGGTTTCGCGATGTATATCCCGTAGAGAGGGCGAGGGGAGTATTATTGCGTCTGGGGGCGCGATAAGCTCGTCTGATTCTTTTGAAATGGTTGGGCGAGATGAGAGCGCTGCGGGAAGTTTTGGAGTGAGTGTTGACCTTGCTGAAGTCGAACACCACCAATGGCACCCGCTCACTGGGGTTGGAATAGCTTGCTGGTTTCGCCTACGGTTAATCATATCGAGTCATGTTAGGTGTGTCTGGAGCACATCGAGAACAACTGGGCCAAAGGATTGAGTACAAACCTCGGCACGAGTTGAAATTCGTGTCCCCACCATCACGCCTTCCGTGTCCGACCCAGCCAACCCTATCCGCAATGAAGTTGGAGTGTGGGCTTGTCCAGCTTCAAGTATTCCACGTTGGGTACGGTGTCGATAAGATATTCAAGTCGTCAAATCGAGTGCTCAAATACTGCTGATATAGGGACGATGGGTGTATGTAGTCGATGACCTAAGGATGAAATGCTGTTTGTAGTAAATAGGCCAAGCGACTAACACACCTTCACATGTGCTTGATGTAGGCACATAACACGGAGGAAATTAAAGATCATCTCTGGTGAAAGTGATCTAGTATATTCTTATTCTTTTTAAAGACGTGCCCTTGTAAAAGAGTCAGCAGTCTTCTCTATGGTACCTGCTAATGATAGAAAAATAGTACAAAAAGTAGATAACCAAAACATACAACAGCCAAAAGAATGGCGGTGGTTACCCGGAGCATGAACAAATCAGGATGTTCTCCGAACCGGTGTGTTCCACCGAAATCCATCTGGCCTGGCCAAGGCGTCCTTACCCGGACTCCGCAACCTTGCCCTTAACCTAGGCGGTGAAAATGTTATTGTAGCATATCATGGGGTTGCCGGTGACGGTATTGGCTGTAGTGGGGTTGTTGGTGGTGGCGGAAGCTGGATTGAGATGGCATTGCTCTGGTTTAGCGGGAGCGTTTCCGGAATCTAGCTTGTTGTAAGTTGAATTTGCATCGTAAAAGACGTTGTCCGGAGTGTAGCTGGGCTGACTGGCGAGACGTCGATTGTCGGAAATGACGAAGTCGGAGAAAGCGCTGATAAGTACGTGCTCGGACGACTCGGTGTCGGAATGTTGGAAAGATGATATGTTGCCGCGTACGAAGCGGGTGAGCCGCGTGAAATGTGGGGAAAGGTGATGTGCGTCGAATGGAGAGGCACCGACGAAAGTGAGGTGCGTCTGCGTGGTAGGAGAGGCACTTGTGGTGTACGTCGAATGGAGAGGTATTGACCGCGTGGGTAACGGATTGTGGGGTGCGTCGTAGGAGAGGCACTGTGGAAGGTGTATGTCGTGGGAGAGGTACTGGCCGCGTTGATAGCGGATTGTGGGATGAAAAGTCTGCGCGAGAAAACCCTCCATAGTGACATGCTGAGACTGTTTGTATGTGTTTAGCCTGGCCGGTTGACGATGACGATGGTGACGATGGTGTCGATGGCGCGACAAATAGAGAGGCGATTGCAGGATACAGATGAAGACAGCATAAAGAGTCAGTTGAAGAGAGCTTCTGAGGACTCATAACCTGTCAGGAGAGGACTACGTCGAGGTGCATGGTGTAATGTGGGATATGGATTGGAGAGTTCTAGAAGCTAGTTCTAGACTATGGAAATTGACAAGTTTAGTGTCCGCATTGTGATGTTTCCTTACAAGATCAACGAATGGTTTGAAAATTTTCCATTGCAGGTCTAGATACAGAGTTGAGGACTTGCTTGGTTTCACCACAGAGGCTACTCATCCTGAACACCACGTAAAGGTGCAAGTCTTGCTCAGGTGTCGCACACAGGACCCGTGCGACTGGGTTTGGGGAAACGGGAAGGGAAAAGGGGGAGAGGGAAGGGGAAGGGGGGAGAGGGAAGGGGAAGAGGGAAGAGGGAAAGGGAAGGGGCGAGAAAAAGGGGGGGTGCTCCTGAACGTCAATGGAAAGCTGAGGAAAGTACAGTCTGTTATCCACAGAGGTCGCAGGAGGAACGTGTCCAAGCCGCGACATGCTTCGTGCCATAGGTCAGGACCGAGGCCCCAGCCCGTTTCAGACTAACCTGAACCGCATCAAAGATCAATCAGTGCCCTCAGGATACCCTTTGGACAACAGGAACACAATGTGCAATGTGGACCTGGAGCGTGGGGGAGAGAAGAAAGAAGAAAGGAAACAAATTGGGGGGGGGGGGGGGAGGGGGTATTTATATTTTCCCAGTGGCTTAAGGACGAGGAAGCTGAGGTAGGTGACGATTTTTGACTAAAAGGGAAGGCACGTCGTGACATGGGATGCCTGAATGGCTTATCAAACACTTCATTTAGTCCTACCTAGGTAACATGACATCGCTGATAACGAGAATTATCTATAAGCTGGTTGCAAGATCATAAGACACATTAACAGGCTTTTGTGCAAGCTATTCTCATTCGTCGCTGACAAGACCACGAACATAAGGCTTGTTATTGGCATAGCACTGGATTTCCTGTTCCTTGGGAAGAGTGCCATCTAGAATGTAAGCTTTAGCAACTCGATCCGTGCAATCTGATCTGTCACGTCTTGAGCTATGCCCATAAGCATGATTAACAATCAACCGGGCATTTTGGCCCATCTCGGCTAAGAGCCTTCTTCCATTGCGCAACGGGGTCGCAGGGTCATATGGGGAAGCGATAAGGAGGGTAGGGGTCTTGAGAGTGTGGTTGAGATTGCCGCGATACACCTCCGAAGGACGGTCCCAATAGGTATTGTAATGTCGACAAGGCAGAACTGCAAAGAAACGAGAGTTGCCAGCCATCCAGCTCCGGGCACACATGGTCTCCCACAACTGATCCCACCAGTCAAGTCCGTCTGGAAGGGGTGCATCGTACGCATCTGAACAGATCACCAGAAATTCGAGTTCACTCGAAGATGGAACATATGGATACGATGGCTTCTCGGAATGGTCGCTCCACGAGAGGTCCAGAGCATTGGCTGCTAGAGTTGCATTCCCTGCTTCAAGTTCATAGAGCATCTGTGCGGTACCTGGCCAGTCCATCGGTCTATACATAGCCCGATAGAGTACCCTCTCCACGAGCGCTGAGTAGGTGACCAGGGAAGGTCCGGCTGATTCCGTGTAAGCGGATTGTGGGCGAGCCTTGAGCGACTCCAGCAGCTGGGCCATACGTTCTTCCAGCTGTGTGAGGGTGACGGGGCCGTCCTGGTTAGGAACAGGAGTGGCCAATGCACACCACTCTGGACCGGCATTGATACACTCCCCTAAGAACCCGTCGCGCCACGCATCTGTCGCATTATCAAGAGCAGTCCAGCCAAACCCGCCTAAGAGGCGATGATCCCTGACATATTCAGTACCATCGAGGATCAAGCGACCCGCTCGGGTGGGAAACATGTTGACATATGTCTGACCAATCCCAGTACCATAGCTAACCAAGTATCCCGTAACTTCTTCTTCATGAAGTGCTTTTCGGATCTCATCTAGGTCGCGTGCCACCGAGGCCGTGCTGACGAAGCGACCAAAATCACCCAGCCGTTGCTGACAGGCAAGGAACGTGGCGTTGTTCATGGCATCCGCGGCCTCTAGTTGGTTCTTTGGAGCCTCCTCGCGATATCGGAGTGCTAGGAGTGACCATCGGTCCCGGAACCCGTTTTGAGGGAAACATGCCGCGGCAGGTAGTGAGAAATTAACACCGCGGGGGTCCCACCCCAGCACATCGAGTTGTCCGTCACTGAAGCGGTTAGTCATCTCCTCCGCGGTTTCCCAAAGGTAGGATGTTCCGCTTCCTCCCGGGCCTCCCGGGTTTATGATGATAGTGCGCTCACTCCTGTAGCTCTTGGGTGGAATACTAGGATCGTTCCTATGAGCCAGACCGGCGACTTGGAATTTGGTAACTGCAATGCGGACGATACGAGTGTCTGAAGAGTTGTGATAATCCAGTGGGAGATCCAAGTATCCACACAGGTAGATGCCCCGGCCTGTGCTCCCCCGGCTCCAATGGTTGGGATTGGGGTCGAAGAGGGCGGCCCATGATTGCTGCGGAGTCCGGTCGTCCAGTGGCGGTGGACGACTGGTATCAGTGCAGGGGATAAACTGGAATGGGTCGTCTTCTTGTGGGAATGACCCATAGGGCGAGTCTTCGACTTGAGGATCGTCTCGGAAGACCCAGCGCTGCGCTGGGGTAGGGGATTTACCGAACCCCACCAGGCCCACTATCCCTGCGGCTGCTGCAATCCAGACGATGGTTCTCCAGGGCCATGTTCGAGGCGGAGGTGTAGGGGTGAGTTTTATTTTCTCCATCACGAAGTTCCCAGCGGACCAAGGTGCATATTCCTGTCTAAGAGGGCAGTCGTGAGGTTTTGAGCTTCGAGCTGTCGGGAGCACGCCATCGTCGGAGTTCGGGCCATTTTCGGTGTTTGCAGGGGTTGTTTCTAGGGTAACCCGGCGCTGTGGGCATTAGCGCGAATATATATTGGAGTGGTTTGTTCTCGCAATTCGGACTACCATAGTAGTCTTGGTGATAATTTAGCGAGTGAAGAGCGAGGGCTAGGGAACCAACCTGCTTACCATACAACCGGCTTTCCCGTATAAATCTTTACAATAGAAAAGCGTGGTGGAATGAACTAGATGCGTATTTTCGGTACGGATATAGTTACAAGCCGATATAAGGGTTGCTTCGACAACGCCATGCTAACTACACAACGTTGAAAATATAGTTCCAGAGCCGTGAAAGCTAGAAAGTAGAACTAGCCCTCAACTTCACGCTTCCGGGCTTTCTGATTCTTGCCAAGGATGACTGTACTTAGGTCACCCACCGGTAGCGAAAAGGGGAAATCAACCGCATCGAGGATCTGTGCAATGAAGATATGCCAGATCGGAAGGCAGAGCGCGAAGTTGAACGCACCAGCCGCCTATTGATGCATAAATCAGTACAAGTTCAAGATAGAGGAGATCAATAGACGTATTTGCAACATACCTTTTGTAATTTCGCTGCCAGCACCAGGTTTCCTAGCGCCGTCTGGAAGTATGTGCCTGCAAATAACCCAAATGTAATCACGAGCAGGAAGAGCGCGAGGAAGAGGCAGATGTTGGTGCGGAGGGAGCAAATCATGTATACGAAGGTGAGGAGAGCGAGGGTGACGTAGTAGAAGCCTGTGAATATTATGTTAGCATCTGTGCGCATACATAATCAACTGCGATAGATAAAACTCACCGACAGTGGCGCTGTATTCAGCCGTCTGCATGCCTTCCAGTGTGTTGCCGTCAGGTGAGTACATTGTGCCAACGGCAAAGGATGGCATGAGCGATGTGCCCTGAACCAGCCAGAAGGTACCTGTGAACCGGTGGGTTATGATTAGCAAAGGCATGGATGAATTCATGAGATGGTCCACCACCAACTGAACATACCATATGTAAAGAATAACGCGCAGGAAAATGTATTCCCTAGGATCCATTCGCCAATCGCTCCGAATATTTGTACCATTGCGCCGAAGAAGATATAGACCGGTCTAGCAGATGGGGCTGTTAGTATTGCCCTTCCTGTGGTATCATTGTGGTGTCTCTTACAGGATGGCAGCACCGTTTCCGCCAGCTCCTCTCCAGCCCATAGTAATCATTGCGGTCGGTGTCGCAGCCAACAGGAAACCCATCAACGAGATCGGCGTGGGATTACCGAATGTGGAACGCAGCTTTCCTGCATTTGGTGTCTTGGGGCTGAGGTACAACTTTTCAAAAACATCTCGTGGGATAGGGAGCATAACACTCTCAGCTGTTTGATAGCGACGAAGCATCTCGGCCGTAGTGGTCTCATGCTTGTCGCTGATGTTGTCGTCGGACATTTTGGGATTCAAGGCACGGATTCCCTTTTAAAAAGACCTGGCAAATCAACGTCAGACGGCGGCTCAATGGTTCTGTTCTGCTCGAAAACTGGAAAGAAAAGACAAACCAGACCACGATCCGCAGTCCTTTTATGCTCTTTCATCCAGTCCCTGATCCGGCTATCTATCATACACACCTTCTTGTTTGGACCAAAGCTCCGTACTATTCCCCACAATCCCCAGCCTAACCCCAGATTTGTTCCGTCGGACTTACCGCCAAGAGGTACCTAGGTAGGCACTAACCTGATCCTAGAGCATAGCCCAAAGTTAAAGCTGTGTGATTTAGCTTGCAGAGGTCGCAATTGGGCAGTATAATTCGCTGGTCAAATCACACTAGATGTAGAACGGGTCGGAATAACCACTTATTCTCTCCAAGGATCCGTGTTGGCCTGGGGTAGATAGTGGGGCAAATGCCGTATGTACCATGGTCAGGCCCGCTTCCCATTCGTCAGGCCCGCTTCCCATTCCAAGGTTTGGTTGTGTTTCCCCGCGATGGTGTTGAGAGCCGAGGGAATCGATCTGCGAGTCGGCTATTTAGTAGTTGTGTTGCATCGATGGTAGTTGGGTATAAAAGGCTGCACTCACCCGATATAGACATGCCCAGACCTTGGCCATACTTTCTTGGCTGGCTGGTGGCACCAATAGAAAGAGCGTTCGGTAAAGCTTGCATCGGTCAAGCCATCTTGGCAGCCTCGGCAGTTGGACTGGCCGATATAGCCGCGGTTCGGCCAGATGATACTCCGTCCTTGTGGATTGTGTGGAGTTAGAGAAAACCTGGGGTCCCAGTGGAGCTTCCAGGAGGATAATTCATGACGTCGGGCACAACAGATTACCATGGTGGTCGATACAAAGAGCCAATCATGGAAGGTTAGAGTTGTGTCTACGGGTATTGTAGAATATTGTACGCCGCCATTGTTACCGCCATTGCTGTTATCGACCCATGACCTTGGCCCAATCCAAGAGATTCGGTCCAGGCGTAGAACAAGGGGATCTTTTTGGCATCAGGCTGGGCCACAAGACTTGCATCCTCGTATCCTAGTAAGAAGGATGGTTCACGATGGAACAAATAGACACAATCTGTGAAGCATTACAGGAATGATACTCCAAGCAGTACATGGATGTAAACATTCTGGAATTTTTCTCCAAATACCCCAACAAGCGGAACAATCGATGAAAAGTGGTTTGAGTCCTTTGTGCGCAACAAGACATCTACCTTGCGACACGAGTTGCGGCACCAGTTATAGCGCGAGTTACACCATAACACAAGTCATGGTAGGGGGTACAGCACAAGTTGCAGCACAAGCCAATTTACAACAAGGAACCTACATATGTAGACGCGTAGAGCAATATAGGGGTAACATATTTAGATGGGACACATCTTCTCCAAGCGCCCGGACAAGCCGAACAATTGATGAAAAGGTGTTCGCATCGTATAGGGTTGCGTAAGCCCAATGACAAAGTAAGACTTTGACTATACCGAGTCACAGCCAAGTCGCGGATTCAAAGAAAAGTAAAACTACCAGTGCCAATTTGCCAGTTGAAAACCACCAGACTGACTACTGGAGAAGAGAAGAGAAGAGAAGAGAAGAGAAGAGAAGAAAAGAAAGATGGGGACGCTTTATACTCCGGGGTCGGAGCTCAGAGCCAAGTTGTTCCGGATACGGTTAGGGTAGTGGTGCCAAACTGGCAGCCGGTTGGGAGACTAATACCTATGTAGGTAATGAATGAAGTGCAGGGAATGAATGTATGTCTGTGGATAGGCCTGCCGGATGAACTAATAAGCGGTAACTTGGATATCACGTGGATCTAAGCGGCCAAGGAGCCAATCGGCGCCCGTTAACCCTAATTTGTGTTTCACCCACGTGGCGCGGCGCGACACTTGCACGCCAACCCGCACGCGTGTTGGCGATTGGAGCCACATACTCTGACAAAGTACCAGCTATTTTGAGAGAAATGATCCTGAACATGGTTCCCTCGTTTGACAAGACAATTGTACATACGAATGAGTATTGGCAAATTAGCTCTTTAGATCCCTATTAAGGGTCATATATAGAGAAGTCTATTGATACGATGAAGCTACTGTCTTCGTCTCTCAATATTATAAGTCTTTTCGATCTCTTTTTCATATCTTCTAATGTGATGCCTAAGGTCCAAGAGGTTCCATCTTTCTAGCAATCCGGCAGCAATATTCGTTCACAAGTCGTCCGACTAATCTGATCATGGACTCACCCAATAGGGGGTGATGAGAGCAAGTAAGATTCTGTGAATGCAACCCTGGGCAACGGGCTGTCCACCACTCCAATTCTCCAACTGCCATAGACTCGGATATTGTTAGACAGAGGCATTGGCCCTGGTATTTCGGAAGATGTGAGGGCTCGCGCGCTAGCGGTGCAACCTTGTTGAAATGATCGGGAATCAATTGCTTCTGCTTTTCTCCGAACAGTGTCAGGCCATATTTGATTTCCTTTTCGTTTTCCTTTTCATGTGCAGATGGCGTGGTAGACGTGTAAGTTGCCGCATCGAGCAAAACAAGAAGAGCTGGGTATTGGCCGTGCCGGAGTCGCCATAATGAAGCCATATCGTACGCGGTCAATCCACCCAGAGAGTAACCTCCAAAAATGAATACATGTCCTGGAGAAACCCGCTTTTCTACATGATTGATGTAAAGCTCCGCCCATAGCCGTATAGTCTCTGGGCCCTCCGATTGGCCGAAGAACGGATCATGAAGTAACAACACATCGAATGAATCGTCCAGCAGTGGAACCAAGGGCGTATATATGCTGCCTTGTCCCCAAAGTCTTGGATAAGCACGATTGTGAGCCGAGAGTGTGTATGTCGAACAAATTCAGAGTTCCAAGGGGACTCATTGGTGTCTTCTTCTGCGATCCTTGTAGAGACGACTTCTCTTAACGCAGCCGGAGTGGAGTTGTTTAGAATATCATGTCCACACTCAAAAACAACAGGATTTTGTTCTCTTCTGCCAGACGTGGTAATTGTTTCTGTTTTAGTTTGGAATTACACTATCAATCAAGACTCTGCATTCTAGTCATTTCCCAGAAGAGCCCACGTTTGGCTATAAGCTGCTGAGGGCTGCCAACCTCGGCTCCACGCCCTTCTTGCATCACGCAAATCACGTCGGCGTTCATGACTGTGCTCAAACGGTGAGCTACCATAATCGTAGTACGATTCTTTTTGACGGCATCAATAGCCCTCTGTACGGCAGCCTCCGACTCGCTATCCAACGCTGATGTAGCTTCATCTAGTAGTAGAAGCTTAGACTTGCGCAGAAATGCACGCGCGACAGCAATGCGTTGTTTCTGCCCTCCGCTGAGCATGCTGCCACTTGTACCCAATGTCGACGATAACCCATCACTACACGTACGGTGTTAGATCCCACAAACTCCGGGGTAACAGCGAGAATGTACTCACGGGAGCGATTGAACAAAGTCAAGTATATTGGCTTGTGCGCATGCAGTCAGAATGTCGTCGTCGCTCACTTCTTGCCTTACTAAACCCACAGCGATATTTTCTCTCATGGTGCCAGAGAAAATAGTCGGCTCTTGGCTTATGAGGGAAAGTGTCGATCGATAAGCTTTCACATCCAGATTACGTATATCATGTCCATCAACCAAAATCTGCCCATGGTGGAACCTGTAGAACCGTGAGAGCAGAGCAAGGCATGTGCTCTTCCCACTTCCACTCTGACCAACCAATGCGAGCGTCTGTCCGGGTTCGATGGTAATTGTGAAGTTGTGCAGGGCATTCTTATTTGGCCACAGGGGATAGGCAAATGTCACATTCTTAAAGGTCACTTGACAAGGGTCACTGCCATGAAGAAGCTCATGTTCTGTTCGTTTAAGCTCCGAGGGCCCAGAATCAGTAAGTGGCGACCGCATTTCGTCCTCGGGATTGCCGAGCTCCATGACATTCTGAAGCTCCTTGGCAGCATGTATGGCTTTACCGGCATCAGGGGCAAAGGTGAAGATTGATCCAGCGATTTGAGAGCCAGATATGAGACTGACGAAGCACACATAGACCTGGAATTCAGAGTATTCACCGTCCGCTATTAGAGTACCACCGTACCAGAACGCAAGGGCGGCGCAAAGATATACAACAGATTGTGATGCAGCGTAGAGCGCCGAGGTAATGAGGATGGAGTTGAGAGAATTCGCTGCTTGTGTAGCTAGGAATCCATCATAAAGTGAGAGAACTTGGTCTTCAAGACCAAATGAAGCCACAGTTCGCATACAGCGAACAACTTGTCCTGCATATGCGGCCGAATCCACTCCGCTCTGCCTAATTCGAGCGTCAAATGCCGCAAGCACTTGTAGGCGTAGCCAACCACAGGCAACAACAGCAGGTATTGTTGCTGTGCAAACAAGAGCCAGCTTCCAGCCTATAACCAATGAGACCACTATGCCTCCCACAATGGTGGAAATGAAGGTCAAGATTCCCCCAAGGACTGGGCCTCCCATTCCAGCAAGATCGTCGGTGCTTTTTGAGAGTATGCTTGAGAGCGCACTGGGGGAGTTTTGAGCTTCATCGAAGAAAGCCATGTCTTGGTCTATGATCCGACGGCAACAGGCCACGCGAACACGCCGGCACAGCCTCTGCGTTGCGTACGACAGACTCACTCCAAGACCTAGCCAAAGTATGAATCCCGTCCCAGCAAGGGCGACGTAAAGACCGGTCCACAGGTTGACCCCTTGTCTCAATTGAGCATACTTGCTCTGTGGTAGCCCGATGATGGTGAGTAGCTTTGCGAAAAATATGGATTGCCTGGCATCAATTAGTCAACCCCTACTCGCGTGTTGAAGATGTGGAGGTGAAAGATGGGCTTACGCTGGAATTTCTAACCCTGCAAGTATTGCAAATGCAAGACCAAAAAGTAAAGGCTTCCAGTCAGGGATACTGATGGATAAAATGAATGACAACGCACCCTTTGTCCCTGGGTTGTGGAACGTTTCTTTCTTGGGCCTGTCTTTGGGCTGGACAGTGGCAGATACTCCGTTTTTTTCATCATCGGACTTGCTACCATAATATGAGGCACTAGCTTGTATCAAATCACCTTCATCATTGTCAGAGTCCAACGAAGTTGATGGATTTTGAGCGTTTTTCTTGATTTGTTGTTTCTCAATCAGCTGCAATCCGCAAAGCTCTGACAATTCGCTCTCCGCTCCAATAGAATCCGACTGTGGCTGTGTAGGTAAAGATAAACAGACCGATGCTAAGATAGACGTAGTAAAGACTGAATGTCGATATTTTGGATCGAAACTCGGCAACCTCCACGGATCCCGCGGCGAAACCGTTGAACACACCCACCAGGAGACCGTATATGACCTGTAAGAAGGCGATGTCAGCGGGGGTTATCGTTAGAGGTAAAAGACTTCCCCGACGTACAGGCACGAGCGGGTTCAAGGCACCTGCAATAACTGCGCAGGCCGAACCGACGCACAGAATGGTCCTGTCGAGCTTCGTCGCATAGTTAGCTAGTTCCGGTCTACCTGTATCATCATCCGGAAGGCCATGCAATTGCCTTTGAAGGACAGCTTGCTTGTGTTCTTCTGAGCTCATGTCGGCGGGTGACAAGCTCATGACTACTTAGCCCAGACCAGTTGTAGTTGCTTCCGAGTGAAAGTCAAGCAACCATGCCTGGCGGCGAAGGATGGAGACAAGACGTGACGAGTGATCGAATGCGTGACGGCAGTGCAGCTGCTCCTCGCTTAACAGGTGTCTTTCTCAATTCGATACACTTGATGTTGACAAGAGTTGTGGTTGTCTGGGGGGGGGTTAGGGGTGGAATGACAGGGGTGTGACATCCTCGGCCACCGAGCTTACGTTGTAGTTTAAATGCCGCCAACCTTGGAAGTGCAGGCACCGAAGAAATAATTGGCCCACGAACTTTACAGTAGCAAAGATTAATCACTCGAAAATGAGAGCCAACTTCGTTCGGAGCTGTTTCTTCGGCATGTTATGGCTTTTGTTGATATTACAGTCAGGATTAGCTAGTAGTCATACTACCCAGGTTGGCCTTTCGCTCTCCATTAGATGGCATGATGGTAAGAGTATCCCAAAGACAGCACATAAAACCTTCCGTTAGATAAATTTTAAGAGGGTGCAAGTAAACAAGCAAGAAAACCAACGCACAAATTAAATTTTCCAAAGCCTCGTTATAACTACAAGGTGTTGGAAAAAAAGAGTCCATCGAATATCTCAAGCCAAGCGCTTTTGCATTCCCGCTCACGCCCTAAGAATATGCACCACCGCCTCTGCCTTCTCTTAAAGAATTAGACAAGTTATAGGAAGCGTGGGGTCTAGTTACCACTAAGATGATCCCTACTAAATCGTTAATAGAGGGACCTATTCCTCTTCGGAACCCGCTAATTCTTTACCTAGGACACATTCCGGTCTTATAAGTCTGAAACTCCATTTTCCATTTCACCGATTAACATAAGGGGCCTTGTGTAGTGAAGACATACACTTGACACGGGCCACCTACGGCATTCCAACCGAGCTAGCGATCTACCATCATTTCTTGAAAGAGGCGTAGACCCTAAAGACCCGACCAAGTGCCATAATCACAGCGTACTTCCAGAGGCATGGCCCTCTCTTGAAGACATTCTGGGCTACCGGGAGAAAGTTAAGAAAATAATCACTGCACTATACAGGGACCCAAAAGCAATGAACAACAGAACCATCATGCGTGCACTATGGATTGGATTCGAACATGAAGATGGAGAAATATTTTCTTTGCATCCCAGTGCTCAACTTATCGTCGTATAGGCCTCTATCTCGACACATTTTTGTATATGACTTTACAAAGTCCATTGCGAAAAACATGAGTCTTTACCCAAATAGGAAATAGAGGCTGATTTGAGGTCCCCAATATGGCATCGCCAAGGCAACGCAGCCCTCGCATGGGCCGCTTACTAGCTGTTTCTCCACTAAACAAGGGTCTCACGCATCCACAAGGAATTTTGACCCGTCCGTACCGTGATCCCCAGCTGTACAGGACGATCACTCTAGCGGGGTGGACTTCCTTCAGACCGTCACCCGTATTGAGGCAATAATCAATATTTAATCCACCTCAAATGACTCTGCGAGCTCTGAATAGTCGCCTAACAGCTCAATTTGTGGTATAAGCCAAACACCTTGGAAATTTAAAAACCCCGCTCCGGTACACATCCCTAGACCTCGCCAAAGTCCAACTGACGCACCAATCGACATCCTGGACAGTCCAATGGGTCAAAAGCGGGGGCACTGTAACATGCATTGGTTGTGTAGGATTTTGTTGTATTTAATCGTGTCTAGATTACGCCTATAGAGGAATTCCTGTAGCAGGGTTAATATTGATACCAGGGATAGGGAGAGTAATGAAGTAGAGGTGCTGTTGTTTTCCTGGGGTAGTAGACTAAAATCATTCATGATTAAATATTAATAGATACTGCTGATAATTTATGCCCGAGGTGCACTTAAGAAATATATAACTATTTCTCTCGCCAGAGCAGTGTCAATTTACAAGAAACCCCACAGCACAACCCGCACATATCAAATAGTCTCAAACAAGAGAGAAAATAAGTATTCTATATAGGATAAATCAGAATAAATAAGAATTTTTACATCATTAAATGATCTCAGAACAACTGCCACGAAAAGGGATTAAATATGTGACTAGTGGAAATAATCGTTTTTACTTTGCTAAATCATGGGGTTATGCGGGAAATTTATGCAATTTTGGGCGGCTTTGGACACTTTTGGACACTCTGGGTAGTCCACAGGCGGACTTTGGACGCCCTGGGGGTGTCCATGGGCAGGTTCTAGCGAGGTCTACACATCCCTGACCGTGGGGTCTTAGATCCGAGGCTCTCCTAGGATATGCGCATCAATAAAATGCCTATTATGCGCTGACTAGACCGCTAAGAGGCCCATTTTACATGCTTGAAATGAGTAGCTTTTCAGCCCAACCTAAGTACGATACATCAGAGTTGCGGCATCCCATTGGTGCAGCTCATTTTAAGACTGCTAAGCCGTACTTTAGGTATCGGGGGTGTTGAAATATGACAATTGTGGGCAGTCGCGCGACCGTTGGGGAACTGATACTCAAACGGGAGGATTATGATAGAAACGAAACATCAAATATATATTATTAGACGAGTATCAATGTATCATACCTTCTCAGTAACTTGAGCAAGGAGATGGGGGATGGGGGGCAATGGAACGTAAACACGTTTTGTGAGGGGGCTCGCAGGGATCTGCCACTAGTTCTCGCCATATGGCTTTTTAAATAAATATGCTCCTGGATACTACCTCAGGAAATGCACGAATCACCCCATATCTAGGTATCTGCCTGCTTCCTTTGTTCCCTTGGCGAACTTTGGGTCAGGAACCCCGACGGGCCCCACATGAAGTACCATATCAAAGTCAAGGCTCACTTACTATTCCTCCACGTCGATATTGACTATTGCGAAATCACCTATCATGGAACCCACAAGCAAACGTTTACGTTCTGCGTGCAATCAGTGTCACGCATCAAAAGTGCTTATTTCCTTCCCACTCATGTTCACCCGAGGGTTTCGTTAACAACCCATTCACTAGATTAAATGCAGTGGCGAAAAAATAGGTTGCCAGAGATGTCTCAGTGCTGGTTAGTGATATGTATTGTTGCATACTCATTGCACCCTCTCACCTACCACTTCTAGGACACGACTGTCAGTTTGAAGTCTCCATGGTTGGGCGATGCTCCAAGGGCCGCAAACGCCGCAAAACAGCCACGAACACAGACATCACTGATGTCACCAGCCGTGACTCGAATTCAGGCTCCACTGTACTGAACGGCGAAAGAAGTAGCAGTCAGGAAGTCTCCTATAGGCCCTTGCCAGCTTCTGCGTACTCTACCGGCTCGAATCGCGTCCAACTAGATTTAGATTTAACTGCAATTCTCAATTGGAACACTTATTCTGCGCCGGACCCTGCTGAATTCGCGGATCACATCATGTCACCGACGGACGAATTTGGACATGCGATTTCCCAGCTTGATATTCCAATTTCAACTGATGGGTACGCCTCTTGGTTGGAAAACGGGTTGGAAATGGCTTTTGTCCCATCCTCCACTATTGATTGTGTCTCTACAGCGCTTCCCCCCACGCCTGATGAAATTGTGGTGGGACCGGGAATCGCCTGCACTTCCGAAAGCCTACAGCAGCAACAGACCGCTAGCTTACCGGGAAATGTCGATATCAAGCCAGAGATCTGCACACTATTTCTTATCATGTCGAATCTGGAGGCCGAACTCGGCAATTCTGGCTCAAGCATTGACAAGATCATGCATACGGTGAAAGCAAGCACGAAAGAGATCGAACAAGTGATACAGTCCAAACAATGGCACTTTCTTGTGATAGGTCCAATGCTAGCACTCGTCGCCATTGAAGTCGCCTTAATTCTAATTGAAAGCATTGTCTCTCGTTGGGGGAGCGTTTGCAAAAACCCAAGCTTTGATCTTTCCACTGGCGATTCGCAAAATCCATCTGCTCTCACACTTGGTCAGTATAGGGCTGAAAGCGAGGAGGCTGTTCTCATATGGAGACATATTGTATTAGCCGAGCTTCAGCGCTTACGCAATCTGATTGAAGTCCTCGGTGGTTATCTTGAAGGTTCGAGTGGCGGTCAGAATGGTCGGCGACCGGTAGATCGTCTCAGGAACTCTTGCATCTATCAAGAGCAAAAGGCGACATTTTTAGTCGCAACTTTACAAGGAGAAGACTTGACCAGGTAGTCGAAGAAATTTGTTGATTGTCTGCTACTCAAATAAAAGTGTATCTAACGGCCTCCCGAACTTCTTTGGCAATGTTCAACGCTTCTTCGTGACTCTTCCGTGAGAATACATTAAAGTATGCTAGGAAGGTGTTACGACCAGTGCTTGGGTGTGGAATGCGTTGCCCTCCTTTGACAAGACAACCACACTTACTGATGAACTCTGCCAGATCAGGTCTCCGTGAAAGTAGATCCTTGCAGATGTCATCGGAATCAAAGATGCCTTCACAGGATGTGGAGAAGTCGGCTGGGATGAAGACCATCACACTGGTGTATTGCGGTCCTTTGGAGTATGGGCTTGCAAGATCACGCACACGAGTCTTATCATCCACGGCTAGGAGTAATGCTAGGCCCCAATAGTCGATTCCGTAGGTGGATTCAACAATTTGGGAGCCTGTCATTCCCAGAGGGCGCGGGTTAATCTCGATAAGCCATGCCTTCGGTGGATTATCACCATCATTGGCTCGCTGAGAGAGCACCGAGACCCCGTCCCTTTTCATGTACTGAACGGTGGAGTTCTCTATGCGTCCTTCCAGGTGCATCACACCGCTCCTCAGGCCAAGTGATAGCAGCATACCCAGGAAAGATTTGCGCAGCAGTTCGATCTCCGCCTCGGGTAAGTTCGAGGGGTAAACACTGCACAGCTCATGGAAATTGTTCAAGGCACCAACGGTTGGTCCATTGACATCTGCTGGTTTTGGTAAATCATCGCACACCTCGAAAAACAGAAGCTCTCCATCCAGAAGAACAAGATTGACGTCGACCTCGGGTCCGTCACAATAAGGCTCAATGACGAACTCGGGTCCGTGGCGGGAAGCGAGAATTGCGCTTGCGGCGTCTAGGAGCGCGTCACGCGAATCAACGCGGTACACCCCTTCAGAACTCCATCCCCCACAGGGCTTAACAATCAACGGGTAGGGTAAGTCTGGCTCTTGGGATATCGAGATGACTTGAATGAGACTTGAGGCATGATAAGCTTGGTGGCCGGCGAATACGCTCGTATGGTACTTGTTTGTAGCAGTCTTGAAGGCTTCTGGAGACGAAGTTGGCAGGCCAAGAACATTGGCGGCTTCAGCGACGTAGGGCTAATAGGTATCCGCAAAGGTGATGATGCCATCCACGGGTTTACCGTAGGTCCGTAAGGACTCGAGGATGTGATCTTTCATTTCCTTTCCTGGGGGGTTTGTCAATCGGGTTGGAATAAATGCATCGCATGACTTCACGTGATGGGGGCTTTCAAGCCAATGTCCGGCATTATCCAAGACGACCAATTTGATCCCCAACGCCTCCGCCGCGGTATAGAGGCCTAGTCCATTTTCTGGGTGTGAGCTGTTGGCTTCTACCAGTGCAAGTGTCCTTTGACGTGCTGGCTCTGGAGTAATCCATTGGAAAGAGAGACGATTCTCAAGCTCTCTGTTCAAATCCGATGATACAGTCTCCAGGTCAGCAAGGGGTACCGGTTGCACGAGTATGCAGGCTGCCGCTGCAGAGAATATTGCTGGCAGGAAGATGTCGTCATTGCGGAGAAGCAAACTAGGAGTCAAACGCCCTTCATAGCTTTGCAGTGGATTTGTAAAAGATCTGATCTGTTCAACAAGCGGACAATCTTGAAGTCGTAAAGTGATGATATCTGATCGCACTATGTATCCCTTTGCCAGCGGGACGATCAACTTGATTAACCGCTCTTGACCTTCGGCCACCGACGCTAAGAGAGTCTGTAGCAAGAACTGGTGGACTCCTGGGGTGTCAAAGGCTGTTTCCTCTAACGTCGCCGGTTCCCCGTGGGAGATGAGGATGCTTAGGGCCTTAAAGTCTGTAGAGAGTTCGCCCCCATCAGTCATACATCCACCAGTGACATTGGCAAATGCGATGTCAACTGATTGCCATTGGTGGTCCTGGTATGAGCTTCGCAAAACTCGCCAGTTATGTTCGCTGATCAAGTCTGCTCACAATCAGTTCTGCTTAGCCTAAAAGACTCACGCATGAGACGTAATCTTACCGTCTTGGTTCCAGATCTGGACTGTTTGAGAGGGTACCATTATGTGAAAATTTTATTGAGAAGATGACCTGCCTGAAATATTGGAGGGGTTTAAGCGGGGGAAAGCCAAGCAAGTTCTTTGTTTGTCTTTCGGAGTCCGATCGCCGAGCACCAACGGTCCCCGAGCCATATACCCTATATGAACTATACACTTCCATAGTACACCAAACAGACCGAGAATGTATACCGCAGCAGCTCAATCTACTAACAACATTCTGTCGAGCAAAAATCAACAAAACTGCCCACTTATCCCATGATATTTCGAAGAGACAACACCGTCATTTTGATATCACTACAACATGGGAACAATTGCGGGCAATTAGCCAACGAAAGAGCCATTGGAAAACTCAAAAGTCCTTTTGACACGAGTTTCAAAATTCCCTCACTCTCTGCCGTCGGTTCACTCAGCAGCTTCGGCCGTGGAACGGCGAGATGGTGTTCTCAAAACCTGGGCTATGCTGCTCCATATGTATTTCTTGTCAGACACAGTGGCGTTCGCTGTGTTTGACATGGGCAGTGAGAGGTTAGCAGTGTCACACTGCCCGATATCTGTTTTTCAAAGCCCAACGTCCAAGCCTGTCCCTGAATTGACGTTCACTTCTTTTGAGGCTAACAAGCATCGCGATCAAGTCAATACTGCCGTCTCTTTCATTGATGTTGACGACTGCGATAGCAAATTTAGTTATATCTTACAACCAGCTGAGATATTGAATCGCGAATTACGCTTATACACTCAGCATACCTGCGTTCCACGCAATTGTGCGTCTCAGGGACCTGGGGGGAAGATGACGAACTTGGATCCAACGAAGAGGATCACTGCAAGGCAGGCCCTTGAGCACCGCTGGTTCAGGCAAACTATTCAAGAAATCTCCGATGTTTGAGAGATAGTCCTTGAATATTTTTCTCTCGTCAGAGAACTACACATAATGGAAGTGCAGTTAAACAATTTTGTATGATAGTTTGGTGGTCTTGGGTCAATGAGTCAGGTAAAGAGGGATCCTAGGAGGCTGGATATACACAGTAGCACTCATTGTAATATTGAACTATCCGTCAAGTTTAATTTGTTGATTTAGCGCTAAAATTGTTCACACTGCCGACGTGGTGTACTATATTCGAACAATATTCACGAAATATTCGAAACCACCCATTCATCACTCATAATCCCTGAATAGCACTAGCAAGGCCATACATATTCTCCAAAAATACATCAAACTCAGTCTTGACCACCTCCATATCCTCATCAATATCATCAGTCCACCGATGAACATACACGGTCCTCAATCCACATTTCTGCGCGCCCCGCAAATCATACGCATGCGCCGCAACCAAAACCACCTCCTCGGGTCGAAGCTTTACAAGCTCCAATCCTTTCTTATAAGCCTCGGGGCGAGGCTTATAAGCACCCAGCAGCTGACTGGAAAATAACATGTTAAACTCTAACCCGGAAGACCGAGTCAAGTCCAACTGGAGCCGTGTCGTACCATTTGCATGGACAAAGACTTCCAGACCGAGTTCTTGTCGAAGACTCTTGATTGCATCAGAGACTTCGGGCCATGCTTTCTGCGAGTGCCATGCTTCGATAATTTGCTTCTTATTCTCGGCGTCGAAGTGCGGTTTATGGTCGGGTGACTGGTCGAGAAGGGCTTCCAGGGTGCGGGCAAGGGTGATATCGATGTCTTCTGGGTGGAGGTTTTCATTCACGCGCTTGCTATTCTCTAGGAAATATTGCCTGCGCCATTCTAGGGCGAACTTTGAGGCTTCATCTTTGGGGATTGCAGCGGGGAGTGCTTCCACTACGCTGCTATGCCAGTCGAGGCATGTTCCCATGAAGTCGAAAAAGACAGCTTTGATTTTTGGCTGAGACATCAATGTGGCTGGTTCTTGGTATAATGGCTAGCAGGGATTGTGCAGGTATATTATGGAAAGAGTGGATGTGGGTGGAATCATGATTTATGAAGAAACTTCGGAATTCAAGTAAGCTGACATGCAGATCTGGTCCACTTGGCGGGGAAGCTTTCGATTAGAAATCCAAATGCTTCAGCCGCCATTCCAAGGTTTCGGGCATTTTACCTAGTTTTCCTGTTTTATATTCTCTTTACTTAAAAGCTACAATGCTCATGCTAATTTAACCTACTAGAAAAATAAAATATAAAGACCTTTGATATGTGGTCTTTAAATTAAGATATATTAGCGACAAGACCACGAGTAAATTCACCATGTATGTATTAACATTTACCAAAGACCCGCAAAGATTCCAGTCAATGCGTTGAAGGCCCAAGGCTTACCAGATCCCGCGACCTTCTACGGAAAATATAAGTCCGATTAATGACAAATTCTCCCGATTTGACTCTCTCATAAAAGTAATCCAACATGGCTTCAGCCACTTCACAAACTGCATCCTCGTCGGGAAGTTCTCCAGCGACGCGGATTGATAAGCAGTGAGAGTACCTGTGATGCATGGGTAACTCGTCGATTCTAACCTGTCGGTTCACGACGCGGTACATCATAAGGCGGACCAACTCCAGATCTGCAAGCCTGGCCTCATCGGGGTCAAAGTACACTGTGGCCCACACAACGTGCTGTCCTGATGGACCGTCCGCTACGGGAATATCCTGGATGCGAGTTCTGAACACGGTTCGTGTGGACATATTGATCTTTGTGGGGTTATTGATTATGAAAGTGAGAGATCGTTTGGTTTTAGTAGAACAGGGAGTGAAACAGGGCTGAGTGAGTATTTTCTCTCTAATGGTGGTAATACCGGGGTATAGGAGGTGACGGTGTTTAAATATCCAACACTGAGACAGCATGATATGCCCTATTATGGTAGGCTGTTTGAGCCGTTGATAGAAACAAAGATTCTTTTGACAACAACCGCTTTGTCGAGTCTTCTGTGCTAATTATGGGAATGTAGTCGACAAAGTATTCGAATATTTCTTTCTTAAGACTCGAAATCAAAGGGCACGAACCATTGACATCCATAAGCTCATCAAATGGCCAAATAGCCATAGATGTAGAGATCTCTTTGTTCTTAGAGTAGCCATGGAATATACCAAAACAAGAAACAAAGATCTCAGGATCAGTGCATTACATTCTTTGTCTACATTCCCTGTCCACCATATCAACAAAAGAAATGGATCCATGTCAATGCAACCCCTAAAAAGCATCCGAACTCAAATGAAAAAACCGAAAAAGTCTCTCCCGATCAATCTGAACATTCCCCACCGCACATTGCGCCTGATAAAAAAGCGCCAAATCCAACGCATCCCTAAGAAAAGCATCAAAATACAAATCCCGAAACCGTGCAAATGCCCAATAATCCCCACGGGCCGGTAACGAGAGACACCCCATGACTCTGTGGTGCATGGGCTCGGGGGTAATCGAGACACTGACATTGGGTGATTTCTTGGAGATTCTCACATGGATGGTCTCGGCCACAATATCCATGAACTCTGCATCTGTTTTGTTGCGGTTCTCTGGGGTCGCAACGAATACGTTTACCCATACTATGGGACCTCGGATGTGGCATCTCTCATCGGTGTGGATGCCCTTGTGGGTGAACATACCTTCTTGGGCCATATTGGATCCCTTTTGGTTTGTTACTGGATGGATTGGGATTTGGTGGAGGAGAAGGGTTTCTTTGCTATGGGAGCCACTGCTAACTCTTAGGTATGGATTTTCAGACAAAGCCGCCCTGGTGGTTGACATGGGAACTTATGGGATATTTTCGTAGCATTATATGAGTTTGGATGTTATAGGGGCTTTGTTGGGATTGAACGTATATGTTTGTTTGATACAATGGCTTTCTTAGGTCAATTGAAGATGACCTAGAAATGATCTGCATTGTGGATTGCTAAGACAAAGACCTTTGGATGGTTAGTTCTGATCTCTACATAGCTGTGTAATATATATTGGTCATGGATATTATAACTTTATTCTCATATATTGACTCGTCATCTAATGTTATGTGCATGCAAAATGCTAATCAGTGGCTGCTCTTAGTGAAACACTCTCTATATATCCTCAACATCCCATTCCCTCACAGCCTCACAGCTTAATCCACCTGCCCATCCAAGTCTCAACAATCTCTTTAGCCTCATCAACCAAACCAAGATCAAGCAACAACTGCGTCGTCCCCCGCACAGCCGAATCCAATGCCGAAAAGATCCAAGCATGAGTATAACTAGTATGCTCCCCAATAAAGATAGTCTTAAACTCCGTCTGATAATAAGCAGGCAAATACAGCTCCTGCTGCCCAACAAGTGGACTAGCCCAGGCACCCGCCTGATGCTGATCAACCTCCCAGCACTGGCGATTGTACACACCCGTAAACTGCTCAGCAGCAATTTCGCCATGAACCTCGACCATCGTGCGCTGGATCAATGCAACGTGTTCCTCCTCGCTCAAAGCTGCCGTCGACCGAGCTGGTGTTCCCGAGACATACGATGCCAGAATCACACCTGGTCCGGTCGCGTTCATGTTGAAGGAGGGGTAACAGACACTCCCGACGCCGGGGACATCGACTGACCCGCATCCGCCGAAAATAGGCTCTTCCATGTGTTCCCAGAACCGTGTCTTATAGAGCAGCGACATCTTGCACGAGGGGTCGTAGTTCATGGTTGAGATTGCCCGGCTCAGAAGTGACGAGTACCGAGGTAGATCCCACAGTCTTACTTTGCTAAATGGTGTAGCGACAACGGCGTAGTCGTATTCTTTTGTTTCTGGTACCACCTGGAACGGATCGTCGCGCCATGCGACGGCGACTTTACCGCTTGTCTCGTTGTAGATTAGCCCTGCGACTGTGCGATTTAGGGTCGTCTTCTCTGCGACATGGGGGTAGAATGCGCGAGGGAGGGACTCCAGACCCTTGTCGATGGTGCGCCATTTTGTGGCTGCGAAGTAGACGTCATCGTAGAGACCTCCCCAGATTGGGGAGTTGTCTGAGCTGGCCACGTAGTCCGTTATGTTGGCGTCGTAGCCCATCGCATATTTCAAGTACCCGGCCTCGGACCAGTGGAACATGCCGTCGTCGACTGCTTGCTTGTGGGCTTGGTACATGTTGGTTGCGATCTTGCGGATCGTTTCTCGGTTGTTGATTGTAGTGTAATTCTCGAATGCGGATTCGGCTTCTGCGGCAGCTGTTTCGTTGGATGAGGCTGCCTTGTAGACTAGCGATGAGTTGGCGGCGACTTGGGCGGCACTGGGGATTCGGCCGTTGGGGAGACGGTTGCCACCAGAGGCTGCGGGCACATTGGGGCTATTCTGAATAAAAGGGATGAAGTTGACCTGGAGATCTGGCTTGTGTTTGTTCATCTTGTTGAGGACGCTGGCGAGCTGGAAGACCATGTGGTGATCTTGGATTTCGAGCGTCTCATTCGTGTCGGCATAAGTGATGCTAACGGGGAATCGCATTGGTCCCATCTCCTGATATTGATACTGATCAGGAGTGGTGTTGTTAAGGTATTTGGTACGAATGCGACCACCGACTCGCCCGGATGATTCGTAGATGTGCCAGTCATGGATACCAACAGACTCGAGCAGCAGACTCGTCATCAATCCGGACATACCACCACCCAGAATAGCAACAGAGGTACTCTTAGCTTTGGAAACAAATGCTTTGTTATTCTTCTTTGACTTCATGTAAGCCACTCCGTCAAACCACGGTCCCATGGCATCTGCCACATCGGCGATACTCTCTCGCTTCTTGACAGGTGACGTGACCATGATGGGAGAAGAGCGGCCCACAAGTGTCGATCCGGAGAAAGCATGTAGACAATGTGAATGGGGTGCATCATATGGTGTGGTCCAGACAAATCGCTCCGGTTGCGCTTCGCGTTTCACGAACGTGCTCCCGATCTCATGGTGACTCTGCGTCGGATCTTGAATCCCGCATTCCCCGTATACAAGCTGCAGATGACCTTCGAACTGATCGTCCAGGAACTCGATGTGAATGTTGTGCAAAGAGTCGGCGGTTACACCCCCGGGGCTGTGGAACCGTATCACCTCGATGTCTCTCCCCGCGACCCCGGCTAGGCTCAGGCCTGATAGACCCAACCCCAAGAGGGTATGTTGTAGATAAACTTTCATCCTTGATCCGGGCAGGAGTAATGTGGGAATAAGATATGAGCGCTTGGCGATATTCCATTTGTGTTCATGCTTGCTAGACACGTTTTATATTTCCTTTTTTTCGGTTCCATCGAGTATCTTCGGAATACTGGACCCCGTATCTCGAACCACCACTATCTTTGAGGGCTGACTCACTGCAACTCTCTTATCTAGCGGTAACATTGTAGCTGGAGAGGAGATGTAGATACGAGGTCTACATCCGCGATAGTATGTACGGATGCTATATCCTCATTTGCAGCTTGGTCAGCGTCGATATCAGCCATCCATGGATGGATCTATCTTAGGCTGTTACGTAAAATCGCAGCATGTCAAGCAAGGGCGTGTAAGTATTCAGTTAGCACCTCAAATCTAGCTAGCTAGAAGCTCGGGATTCGTCGAGTGCAGCCTTTCACTGGCTGTCAGTTTTTCTTATCAAGGCGGAATTTCTTCCGACGCTATACTTTATCTTAGACCAGGGTGTTGGAGCTAGTCCGGGGGCTCGGTTTATTCCATCCATGGATATTAATCGTGGGGAAGGAGAATCTTTGTAATCAAAATATGAGCTCAGTTTGGCTTGGATCGGCAATCTTGATGTTCTTATCATTTAAATCCGCAACTACCCAGGCAGGTACACCCGTGGACAGGACGAGGATAAGGAACTGAGCCAATAATGAACGCGCTTTGGCCTGTGAGAAGGCTTGGCAAGAGGATCTTGGCACGCCCTTTGTTTGAACGCCTTCTGGAAAGGCCGAGAGATATACTCCGTACCATTCTTACATATAGGCTGGAGTTTAACACCCTTACAACATAGATTGGATATCTTGTTGACGGTTATCATCAGATGTCGCTCCCTCACCTATTATGGGTTGTCTTTCCGTCTCCGCTCCCGAAAACACCCGTTGATACCTTGATGGCTGCTAGTTAGCACATGAAGTTGCCTTTTGTTTTTGAATAACTGAATGGCAAGAGGTTACTTTCCAATACGTCTCTTCATCGGACGAGGCTAAACTCTCATCTGTTCCCAACGTTCCAGTTGACCCGCTACATGTACTGTTCTGCGAGCGCGTTTGGCTACATAACTTTATATCAAATGACTCATAGAGAAGGAAACAGCGAAGAACAGAGGTAACATGCAATTAAAGGAACATATCCAACCAAGTGGAATAATTTCATGATCGCTCTAGGGCTCGGGACATACATCACCGGTATTTACCCGGAAGGCGCCGGACCCACTCAGCCACTGCGGGGAAATGTCCGACCATGTCACGTGTTGGTACCTGAATATGCATACAACAATACAACAGTGCCTGAATTTATTTTCAAAGGTTACATGTATATATTGAAGTCGTCTGCAAATTTTAAGTCTCTTCCCACCTTTCCCTGCCATCTATCTAGAAACTCGAGAAGGAGGAGAAGATATTATAGAAAAGATATGTTTAAAAAGACTACCAAAAATACATCACAAGGCCGCATAAGCAGGTGACTATTCTTATTAGACTTGATACACATTCCAACTACCCCAATAAACGCAGCGAGATGACTCAAATTCATTTAAAATAAACTAGAATGGAAGTCTGGCTAAGAGACCTTCCAACCCCATACAGGCAACCTCAGCACAGTCGTCGTAAAAGCACTCGGCCAAAATACCTCGAATATCATCCAAGCCAGTCTGAACACAAAGGCAATCAAACTGGAATTTATAGTTCAGGAAGTAGCATCTAGGTAATCCGCGCAAGAGGGCACGAGGCGGAACATCCAATGCCATCTCCGGACCAAGTTCCTCCATATCACCTAGTAGGGAATCAAGAAGATCGAGTTGGTCGCAGACTTGCCAACAATTCTCCATGCTGAAGCCATCATGTTGTAGCGTGTGGAGGACGCTCTTCAAAGTGGCTGTGAAGTTCTTATGGGCCTCGTTGAAGCGCCGTTCAAGGGCCTGGGCATCTTCAGATGAATTCATCTCTGGGAGGAGATGGGAGAGGTGTTACTTCCAAGATCCTTCTTATGGGTGGTACGGACAACTTTTGTAGCGGCAAGTCAAGAATGTAGAACTCAATGGAGCAGTAGAGAACTGTTCCAACAAGGACACCTGAGTATGGGCGGAATTCAGGCTATTTAAAAGCTTCCAGCCAGCTTTGACACTTACTGGAAAGACACTAATTGAGGACATTGAAATCAACAGAAGTGAGACTACTCATTGTTAGCATTTCATTTATTCCGATTATGTCCTTCGGTCAAACTCTCAATGGAAGAAATTCATTGTTCTTGGTGATAGTTACTACAGGTGTTCAAGACCAGCAACAAAGGGGGGAACTCCAAGCACAGAAAGAACAGCAACATTGAAAGAGATTTTACCTGGAAACAATTGAGCGCGATTGAGCGCTTTTCCCTTGGCTTTATCCAAGACATCGTGTATGTAAATAATGAAATAGTGGATTATAAGCAAATCCAAAGGTCAAGTTCAGATATAACGCTGAAACAGCAAAAAAAAATGTATATACAAAGTTTCATAAATCATTAATCACAACATATCGTTGTCTCCTCCAATTTCCGTGTCTCATCCCGCACGTCATCTATTCCCACTGTGACAACCATCCAATCACACAAGAACTTTCCCAGCCCCGCACCGATGAAGATGCAAATAATCACATAGACATTGAAGTACATGGCCAACAACATGGTGATATAGGCCCCTGCAAAGGTGACTGCGTGAATCACAGACCTCGTCAACTGCTGCAATGGCGTTGCGCGAAATGTCACGGCCGTTCGTGCAGATTCAAATTTCTTGGCAAACGTGCCGTGCGCGGCTTGGCGCTCAAATTGGCGGGTCAGGAAGTTGTCGTATTCCCGACCAATGCGCCGACAGAACTCGACCAGTACAACGAGCAGAATCGTGCCAATGCAGGTCGCAGCAAACATGCCATTGTTCTTGACCTGCCATCCGGTGGACAGGAAGCAGGCATCGATGGTGTCAAAATTGAACAGCATCTGGCCTTTGGTTAGCGAACCCACTTGAATCTCCAAATCACTTGGCACTCACCGAGACCTTGCAGCTGCTCGAGCTGCTGCCATGGTCCATGCCCTCCATCTTGACTGGTATTCTGGGTATGCGAGGATGAGGAGTTGAGGAAGTGGCGTGTCCGATATCAGCGCTCGAGGCCGACGGTCTTATTATAACCTGGAGGCCTCTCCCCACCTGCGCTAAGGCGAAGTGGAGAAACCCAGCGATGGCGTGGGAGAAATGTGCTCAAATCGCCGCAAATGCGAAATGGCCACATTTAAACTTGCAAATTGGGATTCGCCTAATGGCAATGAATAAAAGCTCGTGTGGTTCTCACATCGAATCTCAAAATCTCTTTTGCGCTTCGCCATGACCAGATAATCCAACGGACGCAGAATTTGGTCTTCTTTATCAACTTGAGCTCAGTTGTCGCTCCACGCTCATCAGAAGTAGGCCGAGGTTCATACTTGGTCTTCAACATCAGCCCACTGCACAGGGCAGTTCAAGACACAATGTCGTCCCCAAAATTGGATGTTCGCCACATCCAAAACATGAGTGCGGCGACATCATTAGAGCCTCATTGGGGATACTACGATCGCGGCCTCCCTTGCACCAGCGATGCAGGATCGTGCGCGTATCTCGACGTTGTATACGAATCACATGACCTAGGAATGCTATATTCAGGCATCATGTGGTGTGTCATTGGCACAATTTTGCTCCTTTGGGTCGTCCTGAACCAGTTCAACGCGCCAACGATATCACCAACACTAGCAGCACCACAACTAGCCGGGCTATACAAGGTCCGCCGCTCTGTTGCCTCATTAGCCCGGAAATACCTCCTGCCCGATGCGGCTCGCCTGATCTTTGGCCGCACAACACGCCTTCAAGTGCTCACCCTCGCTCTGTTGGCTGGCTACCTGCTCATCTTCAGCTTTGTCGGCATCCTCTACAACACATGGGTCACGCCTGTCTCGAAGATGCCCGGTGTATATAATACCCGCAACAGCATCGGCCCATGGTCAGACCGCATCGGCACTCTGGCCTACGCCCTCACCCCACTTTCCGTGCTGCTGAGCAGCCGAGAGTCCTTCCTCTCTCTCATCACTGGCCTGCCATATCAGAGCTTCAACTTTCTCCATCGATGGCTGGGCTACATCATCTTCGTGCAAAGCTCACTGCACACAATCGGCTGGTGCGTCATCGAGCTGAGAATGTATCAGCCGCAACCCACTGTCGGAATCGAGTGGATCACTCAGACATACATGGTCTGGGGCATCGTCGCCATGATACTTCTGCTGCTACTCGTCGTGTTGAGCACACCGTGGGGAATCAGACTCACCGGTTACGAGACCTTCCGCAAACTGCACTACATCCTCGCCATGGTCTACATCGGCGCCTGCTGGGCCCACTGGAAACAACTCAAGTGCTTCATGTGGCCCTCGCTAATCTTCTGGTTCCTCGATCGCGGAGCTCGTCTCGTTCGCACAGCCCTACTACACTACCACCCCGACCACTCCGGTACTCTCGGTCTCGGCTTCAAGCCCGCCGATGCGACCATCACCCGTTTCCCGGACACCGAACACGGAGATGTCATCCGTCTCGATCTGCACAACAACCAGGACCCCTGGTCCGTCGGCCAACATTACTACCTATCCTTTACGAAATGCAGCATCTGGCAATCCCACCCCTTCACACCAGTCAACCTCCCCACCGTGTCAAACGGCACAGTCCAACACTCCTACATCCTCCGCGCGAAAAGCGGCGAAACGAAAAAGGTCGCCGACCTCGCTGCCACCGGCACACCCACAACACCCGTCATCCTGACCGGCGCATATGGCGAGTCCATCACCAGTCACTTGACACCAAGCACCAATATAATCTGTGTCGCCGGCGGGACCGGCATCACCTACGTCCTCCCCGTTCTGCTCGATCTCGCCCGCCAACAACCCTCACCAGACCGCAAGGTCGAGCTCATCTGGGCGGTCCGCCACACGGCGAACACGGAGTGGATCGCTGCAGAGCTGGATCTCTTGCAGAAAGCGCGGAACATATTGAACCTCGAGATTCGCATCTTCGCTACCCGAGACGCGGGGAGCAAGACGCCCTCGATTGAGAACTCGGATTCCGATAACTGCAATCTGTCGGTCCCGAAGCTGGAGGAGAAGGTCGTGCAGGTCACGCCTTCTAAGCCTGTTTCTGCGTGCTGTGGATGTGACAAGCCTACTGCTGTGGAGCGGCTCGGGGGTGGTTCGGATGATATCAATAGACATCCTGATCTTCCGCGGTTGGTTGATGATTTCTTGGCCCAGACGGTGCGAGGCCCGACTAGTGTCTTTGCTAGTGGGCCTGGTGGCATGATTAGTGACCTCCGGGATATTGTTGCGTCTTGTAATTCTGGTGGGAAGGTTTGGAAGGGGCAGGAGAGATTTGATGTTAGTCTTATCTGTGATGATCGATTAGAGTGGTGAATGGGGCTTGTATATATTGCCCAGGTGGCTGCATTCACGAGTATATAAACATCACCAGTCATGGATTTAATGTACATATTTATCATGACGAATATCATGGCTCATATATATCAACAGAGGAAATATTGGAGTGAGAACAACATAGCACAAGGGTCATAAGTTCTGTTACAGTGCCGCCCGACATCGCCTTCCATGTCGGAAACATAGAAATGCTCTTCAAACCCTAATCACATGATACGGGAAAATTCCACGTTTTGTATCTATCCGTAATAATACTAGTTCTTTTTCATATCCTGTAAGACAGCTCTAGCCGAATCCATGGGAAGCACCCAGTGACTGGCAAAGGAGTCCCTCTGGATGTTCATGATGTCAAGTATACCCCGGCTCCCATGCCAACCTTCTCTCCCTGTCGATTATGAAGAGAAAGGACTATATCTGGGATACCTGGCGTGACGTTCTTGTACATGAAAAGACTGGCCATGTTATTGCGAAGAATCTACGAAGAATACGACTTGTTTGTCTTGACTCGGAACTTTGTCGAAGCCCCAGCAGCATTTAACACCGTCCAACGACGCTCTGTAGCACCTGCAGTATCGAACACCACACCAGAAAGATGGTATCGCCGTCTGGTTCATATGTATGACCAACGAGAAGGGTGGGGACCTCGCCGAAATGGCAGATGGAATTCAATAGATCGCACCGTCGATGGAAACTGCCGAGTCGAACCCAGAAGTTGAACCCAGAACACCGCGGATCCTACCAGCCAATAAAAGCGAAGCGACAGATATCAAGAAGAGTGCAGGGAACAACATTCAGGCTATTGGGTCGAGTCCATTTCGATCTGATCCAGACTCGTGAAGGCTTCAACAGTGACAAGTGGATTACCCACTTCTATATCGATGGCATCAGATATCATCAACTAGGGACGCTCCCGAGCAAGAGCGGTTGCCGAGAAGCCGTCAAGAATTTTGTCTTCATTCATTATGACAAACTGGTTCAGAATACCGCTTCGGGCATTCCATTATGACAATGAGCGCGTAGCGGGCCTCACTGTGATTAAATATCTCGAGGCACGCGGATTCGTAATTGAGGACAGTATTGTGGGCACCCCAGAGATGAACAGCTTCGCGGAGCGATCTGATTGGGAGGGGTGATCACGCGGATGCGCTCACTCATCGAGGATTCGAAATTGCCGAAGGAGTCACGGCCTGAAGCTGCACTTTGAGGGCCGATGGGCAATATCGGACCTATGGAATCGGCCGAAATATATCGGAGATAGCACGCACGCAACCGTCTTTCGAGTATGCACAAGGTCTTAGATTTTGATGCGTAAGCGAAGACACTGTCTGGCGCTGAATAATCCATCCATTACCACACTCTTCTTGCCGATTTGAAACACCAAGCCCGAAATTCTTCAGTTCGTCCGATAACCGACGGATTCGGTTGCGTCATGACGTCCTACCACCGAAAGATGATTATCCACCTGCTGCCTATAAAAACACACATTGGCATTTTTACAACTTACCTTCAGAATCGAGAATCCTGCAAGACATTATAACAAACATCGACGTATCCCACACGACTACAATTATGCCTGAGACAATCAAGACCGTCAGCATCCCAAATATTGCGTGGAAGATTGCCGCCGATATCTACTTTCCACCCAACTTTGACGAGAAGAAGGAATATCCTGCCGTCGTCTCTGCCCACCCTATCGGCTCCTGCAAGGAGCAGACCTCGGGTAACATATATGGAAAGGCAATTGCGGAGGCAGGATTTGTGGTTGTCACCTTCGACGCTTCTTTCCAGGGCGCCTCAGGTGGCGAACCCCGCTTTATCGAGGACCCCGAGTTCCGAGTCTCGGACTTCCGCTTTGTTGTCGACTACCTCCAGACACTTCCCTATGTTGATGCCGAGCGTATTGGCGTGCTCGGCATCTGCGGTGGAGGTGGCTACGCCATCAACGCGGCCATGACGGACTACCGCTTTAAGTGTTGCATCGGTATCACGCCCGTGAACTTTGGCCGCCTCTCTCGCGAAGCCTTTGGTAACTTCGACCCTGTGAGCTCACTGGAGAAAATGGCCAAACAGCGAACCATTGAGGCACAGGGTGGCAAGCGCCTTGTCATCAATTTGCTGCCCCCATCAGTCGATGACGCCAAGAAATCGACCGCGGACATCGATGTGCTCGAGGCGACCGAATACTACAAGACCAGCCGTGGCCAAGCGCCCAATGGCTGCACAAGCGGTCTTTTTTCTTTCAATAGTGCCGCTCTCGCGTGGGATGCCTTCAATCATGCCGAGGTACTTATGACCAAGCCGCTCATGGCCGTCGTCGGTGACAAACCCGGTGGCTTTGGCGCCTACCGTGATGCCCAGGAGATCTATGGACGGGCTGGCTCCCAGGAGAAGCGCATTGTCGTGCTACCGGGGATTTCGCATTACATGCTTTACGACAAGCCCGAAGCTGTCAAGCCCGCACTAGATCAGGTCCTTCCCTTCCTTAAAGAGCACCTCGGCGACGCTAGGTAGATTCGGAACCTCTGTAGCTCAGGATGGAATGAATAAGTGAATGATCGGAAAATGCTAGGAAGCAAAGCTTATGCCCATCCCAAATTCCAACCCCTTTGGTAGCCTGTGAGAATCTGGAAATCAGTTAGGTCGCTGAATATTTAGTATCATCATTCAAGTATAGTATATTCCAATAACTAGTTATTATTTGATAGAACAGAACACAACATGCTGTAACCTATTCGCAATTCGCCAGGCAATATGCTCTATTGTCTATGATCGATCATGTGTAACTTGATGGATTTTGATAGCATCGGTCTACCATTTGAACACCTCAATGGGATACGGTAATAACAACTTTTCCGAGGCATTGCCCAGAGTAGAGAAAATCGAAAGCCGCCGGTGATTCCGTGAAATCGAACGTTTTGCCTACAATCGGTTTCAAGGAAACATGCTTCTCCTCTAGGAACCGGCAAAGATTCTCTTGGTCGATCTTCGAGCCAACTTGAATTGCCCTAGCAATCGTTTAGTTCCATTCATCCCGGCTGTTCCAAGGCCTGTGTTTATCTTGAATTGGTAACTCACTTCAATGTACCCACTTTCAAGAAAAGTTGCCCCAAGGCTTTGACGAAGTCGTCAAGTTGCAGTCCACCAAGGAACCCAATCCAAGAGATTTGACCGCGGATGGACATGGAGGCGACACTCTTTTGGATACTCGTGCCCCCGACGGTTTCGAGCACGGTGTCAACACCTTTCCCCATGGTCAACTGGGCGACCTCTTCTTCCCATTTAGGATTTTCACGATAATTAACCGCGTCAATAACACCATCTGGACCAAGGGCTGCAATATTCTGTAGCTTCTTACCCGAAGATGATGTAATTATCGGACGAATACCGGCGCCTAGACAGATCAATAGTGCGAACAAACTGACGCCCCCAGTCCCTACATGTTATTTGTGAATTAGTCATCCAGTAACTGTATGACACCAAGAGCTCGGGACTAGGGCGTACCAAGCATCAGGGCACTTCTTTTGCCATCATGACTTTTGTTCATCTCCAAGGCATTCCAAGCTGTAGTGCCGGCGCATGTTATACACGAAGCCTAAAAAAGGGTTAGACATGGAGCTAACCCTATCTAGAGAAGCAATTGTTCTGCGACATTGGAGGCCAAAATAGGGAAGCAAAATTGGGAAAATGGACAGAAATTTGTCAACATACCTCAGCCCAAGAAAGATGTTGTGGGACACGAACAAGAACGTTCTCATCGAACACTGCATACTGGCGAAGTACACCATCGACGTTTCCGCCTAGCTGAGCAACCTTGTGTTCGGAATCTACCCCGTCAATGTACTTCAGGTCAAAAATTGGTGACACGCGGTCTCCGAATGATACTTTGCTGACTGTTGATCCTAGAGCAATCACCTCTCCTGCACAGTCAGATGCAGGAATTCCCTGGTCTTTTACTGAAACTGGATATTTGCCGTGGATCATCCCAACGTCTCTATAGTTCAAAGAAACGGCATGGATGCGAATTAGGACCTCGTTGGATTGAAGCGGCGGGATGCGTTCCATAGACGGAAGGATGGTCCCAGTGTTCTCTCCCGGGGCACGTCGGAAGGCCCTGTAGGATTCCGGTACTGACATCTTTTCGGGCGCAAAGAATCCGACTGAAATTTCGCCTTGGAAAATCCGAATTGCTCTGTTTCGCACATGCACGAGGCCGGCATTTTAAATGGGTATAAATAGCCACGCTTATTCAGTTACCCTGGCATTATTTGTCATGATGAGATCATCAACTGCTAATAATTAGCAATGGAAGGGTTGAGAATTAGTCGTGTGGGTTTCAAGCCTAAATCCGACGAATTCGCCCGCCGCAATGCCATTTCGGCCGAAGACACGCCCAAAAGCATACCCTGTACCGGGGTTTGTTACTAAAATAGGATGATCGTATTACGATAGGTGGAATGGGTGTCTCCGGTGTGCAAATCTCTTATGTGCAAAACCATATTGAATTATCTATGGTGCCAAACCAAGTATGTAGCGTGAGGTATTGTATTGTGTCCCCAGACTTGATAAGTCGTTCGATAATACTTCGGCCAAAAGCCGTTACGCAATTAGCACAGGAAGCACCGGAAAATAGAGCACATGAAAGTTACAGACTGAACAAATAATCTAAGAGAGCCTAACAACCTTGTCGAGATAATGGGTTAAGTGAGACAGCTATTCGAGAATCTCACATTCATTGGTGCTCAGTGTTTTCATTCAACTCGTGCCGTCAAGTTCACTAGATTCGTGTTTTGTATTAATATAATAATGTTATTCTAGGGATGGTATTCTCTTCTGTTTTTATATGGCTCCTAATTTCCAGCTGTACTACACTTTATCAACGTTGTCGCTCATGGATGTGGATGTGGATGTTTTCTTTTTCTTTTCTTTTCCCCCATTTTTTGCCTGTATCAAAACTTATTCCATACTGGGGACTGGGACGATACTCGCAATAGATAACCGGTTAACACAAGCCGCTTTCGAATCCAACAACAGATCCAGTGTATAGATGAGAGTTGGACTATGTTGCAGAAATTGCCGAAAGGCAGCCGTTTAGATCTCTATCCTTTTATAAATATCATCTACCATGGCAGAGTTCTTTCACGCAGCCTCGTCCAGATCTCTCTTCGACTACTCATTTGGCGCGCCAACATTTCCTCACTGTGGCAAGACCGGTGGACATCTCACCATCTTTGCTTGCTTCTTATTTAGATATTGAATTGCTTCTTATTTAGATATTGAATTATTTGTCGCTTCTAGCCATTTTCCACGTTTTTACTATTTGGCAAAGAGAGTAGCTACATGCTGCTAACCAAGAAGGAACATTGGAGACATCGCAGTAGACAAGACGTTGCGGATGGCCATTGTGGGTAGTTCCCATCGTTTGAATTTACCGTTAATAAAACGTCGAAAAGAGAATCGTTTCAACAAAGGCACAAAGATCAATTGTTCATCCCTATTTTGTGCCGGGGCTGTTACGACACCTAACATGGCTTATGTGACCCCGTCAACCATCACCCTTTCAAGCCAAGTTCGTCTTCATGAACTCTGCAACATCCTTCACAGCAGGCCCGACATAGGCTTCGTTATCATAGAAATCCATGTGCGCTCCTTTCGGTACGATTATCTTTTTAGTCGCACCTCCAATAAGCTTATCCAACCTCTCCGTGTGCCACAAAGACCCGGCCTCCGAGCCGGCGATGAGGAGCACAGGCTGCTTTAAGAAAACATCCGCCAGATGGAAAGCGTCGAAGGTGAGAACGCGAGGGAAACTAAGATAAAGCATTTTGTTTTCGGCACGGGGGTGCTGTGCTCGCGGAGTAAGATAGTAGTCACTAGCCTCCCTCAGGTCTCGAGGGGTCTTGTTGTCAGGCTGCGGAGGCACATATGGTGCGGCGGCACGCTCAGCACCTTTGACCTCGGCTGTAATCTGGGCTGCCGCTGCACGTAGCGAGTCAACATGTTTGGAAGGGTCCTCGTCGCCATCCCATCCGAGACGGGCGGAAGCTCCGATGTCCACCATGCTAACAGTTGCAACAGCCTTCAGTCGCTGATCCCCTTTGGCAGCGGCCACTGCATAGCCACCGCCAGCGCAGATACCCAGCACGCCAATCTTTTCTGAATCCACGGAGTCAAGATTTTGGAGGTAGTCGATGGCAGCGTAAATATCGCTCACACGCTCGTTTGGATCTTCGAGGAAACGAGGCTCCCCCCACTAGCCCCCTGGAAGGCCGCATCATAAACGATTGTTGTAAAACCGGCATCAGCAAGCCTTTTCGCATATGTCCCTGCAGTTTGTTCCTTGACACCGCCGCCAGGATGGACAACAACAAGACCCGAGGTCTTGCCAGATTGCCCAGCAGGCTTGAAGAGCAGGGCAGCGAGGCTGATAGGGCCTTTCTTGATCGATACTTCGGACATTGCGGGAAATAGTTTCACTCAAGACGAGGATAATTTGGAAAAACAAAAGAGGTCGATAGGAGATATTTGGCTTTTGGATACGAAGTTGTGACAAAGTGGATGCTATCTGGATCGTTGAATTATGTCGCCGTTGCTGCTGCTTTTATACTTAAATTCAAGAATAGCCGGAAGATGTCATCGGTCGGCCGCAAAATTAGTTCATACGTTATTCGGCCGATCCGCTAACTCCGAGATCGTCCTTTGGCTGTAAGCATTTTCGTTATCTCCGAACGCCTTGAATAATATATTTTCCGTTCTTGCGTTAATATATCCCAGTTTCTCATATAACAGTGAACAGGCGAAGACATCAAGTATTCAGAGATGCCCGACTGAAGCGCCGTCTGGTTCAGTATGTACATATCAATCTGATGGTAGTTGTGCCAGGTGGCATCCAGACTAACTTCGGGTCCAACATCCAATTCACTACGCGCCATCCTGATTACAATACACCCGTGTCTCCCTGTCAGAGGTCATGTGACCTCCCTGTTTGCTCCTAGCCTTTAGTCCCAGATAGCCTGTAGATAGTTTCTTCCTCTCTTCACGCATTCAGAGATTTTCCGGAGTATACTGCATTTCATCGTAGCTCTCTCTAGATCCTCTCTCTCAGGTTATGAGCACCGTGCTTTTGATCAAAAAGCCTCTACAACACTGCAAGCTTCAAAGCCTCTGTTTCCTCCAATTGGTGCATTGCGTCGCACCACCCCACTGTGGAATCTGTGGTCCCATCCCGGTCCCACCAATTAGAGTTTTTATAACACTAAAAATTAGCCGAGATCGATATCACTACCCCTGCAGATTTGGCAACAACCTCTTCCAAAGAATATTGATTGATCCACTCGATAGTCCTACTTCAATACATTAGGTAGCCAGCCTTGAATATCATCCAATTTCCTTCTTCGATGCATTCCTCCATTCCGTCCTCTCTCTAAGCTATCCGAATCATCGTACAAGATGGATAATTTCCATAACGAGAAAACGGCTATAACTCCGTTGGCATAATCGTCTGAATAGCTGTTTTAAGCACCGCCACCACTGGGTTTCTTCGCGTTAACATTGGCCCATTCGTTGCACAAGCTGAAGGGGACAGTGAGGCCGCAGGCCGCGATAGTAATTGCGAAAACAACCTTGATACCCCATGCGTACGCATGGACAACACCGTCCAGCTCGGCTCCGGAAAATAGCCTGTGCACCTCAGTGGCACCGATACCCGTGACTTGGGCGGGATTGACGCTCGGTGCGGTGGTGGCAAGCTTGTGCACAATCTGATTGACGAAGCCGGATTGCGCGGCTGCGAGCAAAATTGTGCCGCCGACAGATCGAGCGACTGTGCACGAGGGATATAGTTAGTTTGGGGATACAAGGGAACAAAGAAAATTGACGACATGCTAGGACAGGGCGAAGGAGAACTTACATATAATAATCGCGGTCGTAGGAGCCATGTCGCTTGGCGCAGCAAAAGCCTGCGCAACGACGACCGGGACTTGGAGGGCGAGGCCGTATCCGAAGCCCGCCAGGATCTGATACCCAACCCATCTGCCTGTCGAGGTCCTAACGTCGAGAGTATACAGTAGACCAGCGGCGATGGTCACGATCACAGAGCCAGCTGCCATATAAGGAGTTGCAATACCCGTCTTCGTGATGGCTCTGCCTGAGCCATATGTGGCAATGCCGAACATGACAATGAGAGGAATGTTGCGCACACCCGAGTCAATCGGACTGACGTTGTCGATGCTTTGGAAATAAATAGGCAGGTAATAGAGCGTGACGAAATACGCGCCAGCGAAGAAGAAGCCCCATACGCTGCTGGCCCAGACGGACTTTTTGCGCAAAATGCGTGGTGTCAGCATAGCGCGTTCACCTTGCCATATTTCTGCAATTATAAGTGCAATAACCATGACAACGAAGCCGACGAGTAAACCAATAACGACGCTGGAATCCCACGCATGGGTTATACCACCGTACTGAAGAGCTAGAAGCAAGCAGGCCAGTGCACCCATTGTAAGCATCGTCGCTATCGGGTCCATGTTTAGAAGCTTCTCCTTGAGCGTAGCCTGGACCACTTTAGCGGCTTTAGGGGTCTTGAAGGTGAGCAGGATGACAAAAGCGGCCAGACCACCGATTGGAAGATTGATATAGAAACACCTAAAGTTGTCACGTCAGGCCAGGTCCGGTCATGACAGGATTCGATAACTGGAAATAGTCCCATGGTTTGCAACAAAGAAAAAGCAGTAAAAATCCCTTGACTCACCACCTCCAGGATGCCCCTTTTGTAAGCCCTCCACCAATGAGTGGTCCGCAGACAGCGGCAACGCCATATGACACACCAATGACCCCCGTGTAGGTAGCTCTTTTGGTGGGCTCAGCAGCAAAAGCAGAAATCGTGTATACTCCAGGCGCGATACCCGAGGCACCGAGACCGGAGATGGCACGTCCAACAATCAGAGTCGTTGAGTTTGGGGCGACAGCGGCGATCAAACTCCCAAGTTCAAAGATGAAGATTGCCACCAGGAAACTAGTTTTGAGGGGAAAGTATTTATACACTTTGCCCCAGGTTGACTGGAAGGCTCCGAGCGTCATGAAATAAGCCGAACCGTACCACGAGATATCGTCAAGGCTGTGGAATTGGTCGGTAATTTTTGGAATAGCTGTTGCAACAATGGTCTGAATCGAGAGCATCAGCTTACTGGGGTGTGATGTATTGCATTGGCAAAAGACGAGTCTACGAGAAGCTTGGAGCGGTAGAACTCACCTGATCCAGAGAACAGAGGGTGATACTGAGCACGAGCGCAACCATGATGAACAAGGCTTCGATACCTTTCGGATATTCCATCACAGGTTTTGGCGGCTCATCCACAGCTTTTTCTTCAGTAGCAGGACCATCGTCTAAACCATTGACAGATGAGGATGCCATAGTGGACGGTCTGTTAGACTCGACGGTCTGCTTTTCCTTTTCAGGCTCGACCTGATGTGTTTTCTCTCCGATCGCTTCGAGGTTGCCGTTGCCGTTGCCGTTGCCGTCCTCTGGCAAGGGAGGTGGAAGTGTTGTTGAAGACATGTGTGTTTGTCGTATGGCTATGGCTCAATTGCTTCGGCTTGATATGAGACTCCTGGCGCTTTAGTGACGCTTTAGGGTTAAAGTGGCTAAGTTTTTATAGATAGGCCTGTTAAAATTTAAGGGGCCGGTTAGTATGGTACATGCCCAAATATCAATTCATTGTAGCTTTTGGCCCTCGCCTACCACCGTTAATCCCGTTACTTCCGTTAATTCCGCTCCTCCGAATAGTGGATAGTGGCTCGGGATCTCCCTTTGTGGATACACTCCGGAAGAACCTTGTTGTGCTCTTTTGACCAATTAAAAAATTCAGCCTCACTAAAAAGTGGGACTTTTGATACTTAAAAGTACTTAGGATTCTATAACTAGTTAGTGTGGGATAGTAGGTTACTTTTCGTCGTGGATTTTTTTAGTGGAGAAGTACTCTCACTACAATCTTTCCGGGTTTAGAGTTGGCCGCTGAGGACCCCTTACCTCAGAGGCTTGGAGTGGACAGGTGGTATGAAGATCCTTCCCATTTCGGAAAAGCAATCTCTATAGCTAAGAAAAACGCGGCGAAGGTAGTCGTTCACAAAGTTATAGTTGCAATATACTCAACATTAACAAATTTGTTCTAATACTTGGTCAATTGCCCTTTAACTCATAGATAGTTATATAAACGTTTTCTGTAGAAATAATACTGGTTTTGGATTATTATCTACTCTATTTCCTGCGGTAATCTATTTAATGGTAACGTTATTACCTGAGGCTAAAAGAGTTTTCGTAGAAGATCCAATCTTATACAAGGGCTCTCTAAAAGATCTCGAGGCATATCTTGCTTGCGCCTAAAACTAAGCTTCTATAATGGGGGGATCTAGAAAGGGAGTAGCCTAAAGGGGCGGACCCTATCACTGTCTTAATTTAAGTAGAAGGTTTTATTTTTGTATGAAGCGAAAATTGTCACCCTTTTAGCGACAGCTTCTAGGTAGTTCAAGAAAGGGAGATAGAGACAATAAAATAGGCTTTCGAGAGAAATCCGAGGCCGAAACGCAGAGCATGCGCTGGAGGTCCAATCAAATAATTCAGACAGGCTTTAAGCGACCATTCTCGCTTCGTGCAAAAAAAGAAAAAAGAAAGAAAAACCCATCTGCTTGAGATACTAAGAGATTTGGAGAAATCTACAGACTCTATTCAATCTAAACATAAACTCATTCCTCTATGCAAGCTTGAAGCTCCTGAATGACCTCACTAAGCTTGACCTGCTCATCAGGTATGGTTCTGAATGACCTGAGCAGAGTCGACCATACTTTGTAAGCTGCCGCTTTCTCCGCCGCCGTCAGGCCCAAACGTCAGGTCGTCTTGGTCACTATTCTCTCGGTTCCCCATTCGAAGGCTGTGACCTATGCGGTTGAGTAGGTGCATGATGAGCTGCAGAACCATGATTAATTGCGCAGAGGACGACCCAGCGCCGTGCAAAGTTTGTTGTTGCAGCTCGTTCCCTTGAACTATGGACCCCAAGGACCACTTAATAAAGTCTCAAAGTAGACCGGCAACCATGCCCAGTGCGTGGCACCTAAAACATATTTGGGGAGCAAGTGGGTTTAGAACTTGCAACAACCCTCTGCCTAACTTCCCTAGGGCTCCTACTATCCAACCTGAAATGGCCGCGAACATATTGGTATTTGGGAATAAAATGGGGTTCCCGTTATAAATTCTCAATAAATAATGGCTACCTTAGGGGCGTGCTCGGTTTTACTCAGTGAGCACTAAAGCGGAAAGGGAAAGGTCTCGAGTGCCAGGCATTATCCGGTACATATGACTTTGGTAAAGGTAAATGGCCAGAGAACATAATAATACTCCAACATGATGGCAGAATCCTTGGAGGGCCCCTGACTACCACACGAATCTCCGAAATCCATCCTATTTGCCATAAGTACAAGATTTTGCACGTCTTTGAAGAAAAACTGGTGTATTTTGGTTTGCAGAGATGGAGCCAGATTTATTCTATACATTTGCCAGCAACTTCTCGCTCAAGACTTTTGAAGGTGTCGAGGGCAGCGCTGATTTCTACGGGTTGGATTTCCGTTCTCATTCTCAAGACCCTGCTATTCGCAAAGTTACGGAATTCTCTGCAGCCGCTTGGTTTGACGGCCCGGCAACACTCAATGGTGAAAGAGGGCTGTAAGTAATATTGGATAACCTAACATATACTAGACCAAAATACTAATGGATTGTTTTAAACGATGACCAGTTTGGTAGCAGGCGACTCGGAGAAAGGGAAGATACATATCATAGATATCCACAACCTCACATTGACAATCGTTTATAGCAATCCGCTTTTGGGGAGAACTCCTTCGCTTGGCGTATGTATCGACGGAATCAAAGTTCACGCGGACGGATGTTTGTATTTCACAAACTCTGCTCAGATGTACTTCTCACAGTTTCCAATGTATCATGACACTGGTCTTGTCCGGGGCGAGATTGAAGTTCTCTTTAATCTGACAACTTTGAATCTTTCGACTCCACTTGATGATTTTATCTTTCATCCCAATGGATCAGTATACCTGACTGTTTCAACACTTGCACTGGCAATTGTTCACCCTCCTGACTATTCGATCCCCGAAATGGTGCTGCCCGTCAACGGGCCAACGGCTATGCGGCTGAAGAAAACAGGACATGGAGACCTAAAGCTATATTCTGCCAGTACGGGGAATGACTTTGCTTTTCCAAGTGACAACTTCGTCAACGATGCTGTCCTCATCGAAATAAATGTACCCGTTTGATACATCTTATGACCAATTCATTAAATTAATATGAAATACGGTTAGTCCAATCGGTGCAATCAAACCAACTAGGTAAAATAAATCAAATAACTTGGCTGTGTGAATACTATATAGTCGGTCGACACCAATCCCGCTGACGACCCCCAGGCTCGTGGAGTACCAAACTATAGGAAAACAAGGCGTATTTCGTATATCACCATTCCTAAGGGTGCTTTTCCCATAACTCACGTTGTGTCGGGCATTCGTGGAACCATGGCCAGCCAGGACCACCACTTCTTCTTCTGGATCTTCTCGACCTTCTTTCGCTGCTTGGCGGCGGCCTTGTCCGCTACTTCCCATCGGCGCGTTAGCGCCGCTTGGGGATGGCCCTACGGGCCTCGCGTTTCTCCAGGCTGCATATATCCTTCATTAGCACAACACACAATCTAAGAGAGAAAAAGCAGGGTTGACATACCAGCGCTAAAGAAAGGCGGCGCCGATGATCAGACCTAGGATTATAACGGCGACGGCGGCGCCGATCAGGGCAGTCTTCCAATCTGGGGGGTCGTACCTTGGCTTAATTTTATAGGTGTGTATAGCTTCGTATGATCCCGCTTTTCTATCAAATGGACAGATCCTTGCACCTCTAGTCGATTTCTATAGATGTCGGGTCTACGCATAGCCAGCAGTTGGTGAGGATTTTAAATTTCAGTTTTAATCAGCATAATACCTCTCTGGAGTTGAAAGATCAATGAGCGTAGATTGAAGCTGTTTTGATCAAATACAAAGATTTGGATTTCTTGGGTGGCGCGCTCGTCACGACCCCGTAAATGCCGAAAGCATACAATTCAACCGTCAATCAAAATGAACATTTTCCCACAGATTTCCGGAGTCCTGACCGGATAAAGAGGGATGAATCATGTTCAATTGATCCAACCAATATGTCTGGTTAAAGCTGTCTCCAATAGCCTGCAAGATATGAGGCGAAGGACCGTGAGCAAAAGACGTGTTGGGCTGAGAAAGCTCGGGCTGAGGATCGGCAAATGGATCGGAGTCCAGATATGCCAGATCCCTTATGAGGTTGTCTAGGCTATCACCGGGTGTGCCGTATGAGGTTGTTTTCGCTTGAGAAGTATTGCTTGGTGATCCGCAGGCAACCTTGAGCTTTTGATGGCAACGTTGGAGGACATCTAAGCCTGCTTCCGCTGTTGGATTGAATGCTTTCATATCAGAAAGGCTCTCAATCGCTTGCTGGAGGCTGTGGTCAATCTTTCGTTTGGCTTCGTAGTCTTGCGGAGGAAACAAGATTGTAATGATAGAGACAAGAAATGAGGCATCGATTGTGTAAAATGCAAGGCCGAATAGGTGATAGTGATGTCCTTTGGCTTGTGCAAAGATGCGGTGTTGGCAATCAAGCGTTTCAAGCGCCGCCTGCAAAGCGGCTTTTCGACTCTCTGCGTTAGATATAATATGTGGCCTGTGTAATGTCATAAGAAATAGGTTCGCCACGACCTGCAATTCCTGTCGGAGCTGGGGGAGATATGGGTACTTCAAGTCCCAAGTAGTGTCGGAATTCTTCAACCGCAAGAAGGCAGGTAATTCATCAAGTAACGATATCAGGCCCCCATGTATGGTTCGGACAACAGAATAGTCTTTGGGGTGAGGATGGTCTGCTTTGAGAGCTCGCATTTCATGCACCTTGCATGCAAGTGCATACCGGAACAGAAGTGCCGAGACGGTTGCAATACCGCGATTGTCTTCGGGGCGTAATGCCATTGGTACCGCCGTGGAAGGATCACTAGGTATATTTCGATTCATAGGGGGCTTAGCATCGCAGTCATCCATATGTATCATTCGCGGGCGACCAAGAATCATAGCCATGAAACTGTGGAAGTTAGACGATAGAGGCAAACACGGTATCTAGGGGCTTCCCTGACTGACCTATCCCAGATGAACAGATTGATCCATAGACGTTTCTTATTCTCTTCGTACCAGAACAGGCTTAGCGTCTGGTCCACATTGGTTTGATCTGACTGATAAATTGCTTTGTGCCGATGCAGTCCAAGTTCCTGGGCTTGTCTTGGAGGTATTATCAATAATTTGATCACGGACTATAGAGTTCATACGGACCTGATAGCATATCCAACCACATGCCAAGATTCAATGCCTCTCCCGCGGTTCTTTAGCCACGAAGACCTGAGGAAATCCGCTTGAACTGCAGTCAGAGCAAACCCAGGTCTGCCCAACAGCGACAACAGCTCGTCACCCAGATCGCTATACGTCTGTGAAGAGGCAATTCCCGCCGGCGACAACTCAGCGAAGAGGTCCCAGTCAGGTGGCAGGAACTGCAAGGATAATGCGATGACCTGGAAAAGGAGGGAGGGAAAGTATTGTAGTTCTGTTGAAAGTTCTGAGATTTTCAGATAGCTCACGGGCTCCGTTTGCTCTCTAGGTGGCCAGCGTGAAAATAGGTTATCAAAATAGAGTCGCTCGAGAATAAAGTAATGCCAGTTCACCTCATCAAAGAAGAAATCAACTAGTGCTTCGGTGACGGTCCTCGGTGGCAGCTTCGCAATGAGCATTTCGACACCTTTGTTTGATAGAGCAATTTGAGAGGTGTGATTGTAAGTGGCTGCAATATCTTGATACTCGCCATTTCCGAAGACCTCGTTTGGGTCAGTTATGTTTCTACTTAGATAGTGTATATACATACCTCTTGCAAACCCACGAAAGCATTGCTGCCAGAAACCAATGAATAACCAAGGTCGACCGAGTCCTGAAGCCTTTCACCCGGGGACTCGTGGGGCCGGACCGGATCCGCCCCAGCCTGAGCTGTGGTGGTTGACAACTCCGGCTCTTTTGCTCGCGCGGCTCTAAGGATAAGGGTTAGGCTTGTGGAGGTGACGGCAATGTCTGACGGAAGCGGCGTCTGGAGTATATGAACACCACACTAACTCACGGAATTGAACCATCGAACACGCATTGCGTAGAGACGTTTCTTGCTTGGCAGTTGTTGCAGGGATGTTTACGATCACACTATATGAATATCAGATGGGGTAGATTCTTTAAGGATTTGCAAGGGAGGAGGCAGAAACCTTTTGTTTCCTGCGATAGCACTCCGAGCAAGATGCCACCACTCGTTTGCGCTTCAATGGCTGGTGATTGACAGAGACAGGCCTACTCATTGTTCTTCAATGTGATAGCGATGGAACGGTCTTTCACACGTCGCTAAATTGATGGTGGCGTGGACGCAGGACGGGGCTGGGTGTTGGACGATTACCTAATCCAAACCCGCCAGAGCCGCAAAGTATTTAAAGTGAACTCGTGTTGGAGCAGCTGAATAGTCCTGCATCTCATCTCTCTGTTTGACCGTATCTCTGACACGGGGCGCTCCCCCTTTTTATTCAACAACTCGAGGCCGATTCGACATGAAGAGTCATGTGCGTTGCCATGATGATCAGGTTGTGAATGTTTCTTGGAAACCGATCGACTGTAATAATGAAAGTATTGAAAATGGGCGAGCCACGTCTATTGCATCAGGCCTAGATTCTGTTCAGGCTATCCGCACTGAACGGTCTGCCCTGGGAGATACGTAACGTACCTGGTTTGCAATCATATTTTCCGGCCCGAGGTTGTTCGGGTTTCTTTAGTCCTTCGGACTATAACCCACGTCATTACGTTTCTTATTGTGCGGAATTACGCGCGACGTCTGCTTTGTAGGGGCCCTTTGCCCATTTTTGGGAAGCTGCAAGCTAATTTTCAAGACATTCGTCTGTGTTCCTGGTTGATGATGGAACAGTCAGGTTGGCACATAGGAAGCAATTTAAAATCGTCACCACGATATTTATATGAGTGTAATAAAATATTCGGTCCAACCCTATACTTGATATAGGAGCTAAAAGGCATAGTTTGTCATAACGAGATCATCAAAAGCTGAATAACGACTGGAGATGAATAATTCGAAATAATTGACTATCGGCTCAAGATTTTCGAGCCGAAGGCCAAATTATACCCGACCGACCGCAAAATACCTCGGCTGACGTCAGTTCACGAAAAGTGGATTCCTATCCAGCCGTCCTCCCTAGTACCATAATCCTATAATTGTCTGCAATAAAACGGATATCGAGGTAAAATGGCGTATATTTCCTGCGTGGTAGTAATAAGTAATTAGTGGGAGAACCAAGTTCTGTTCCGGGACTGCTTATGTCATCCGGAGATAACGGGAACGGGCCTTCCCCGGATGACAACCGATTGTGCTTCGGCCGAAACCCACCATCCTCACGCAGTTCGAGACCACAGGAAAGTGGAAGGCCGTGGTGTTCAATGTGATTGTTCTAAGATATAGGTGCGGTGGACAGGTATAGTATATGTGTCACGGAGACATGCTTAAAGACTTGGCCAGTTGGAAGTATAGCCAATTTTCCAATTCCTCCTCGTCCACTGGTAGACAAAAAATGTGGTCTAATGAGACATCGAGTTCCAGATCTCCATGTCTTCCTTCAAGAACTAGGTGCTTGTTCGGTGTTTGAATTTCGCTGGATGATTGTGGGGAGCTTTGATTGTTTTTGGTTATGTAAGTCATTGCTTGGAATGCAAATGCGTTCTGATGAGAGATGGTCTGCTAAAAAAGGAGACGTCGAAGTTAGTGGTAAATGTAATGGGTGGATGTAGAAGTGAAGAAGTATCGAAGACGGATATGCTATATATAGCGGACGCTAGGTATGCCAATTATATACTACTCCTCACCTTTTGATGAGAGAGAAATGAGAACCAAGTGAGATATCTATAAGTAAAATAAATAAGCACACATCGCTCTCGCTGTGTTACTATATGCAATGTAGCGCGTAGTTTTGTCCGTGATCAGACTCATTTCTCACTTGGGTAGTTTTATCCTTGCATTCTTTCAGCCAAGTGGTTTTTGATAGTTAGTTAGTTATGCAAAGTATATTGATGCCCGGTAATATAGGCCACAAACAGCCAGTCCGATGTTACTGTAGACAACGCTTGTCCTAATTCTAAAGAACCTTACTTTCTAAGATGCTACATACATTATGTAGGAACCTGTGTTAAGCTCTATAGGTACCGATGAGGATAGGGTAGTTAGTTGTAGAGAAAAGAACACTGGTAGTATATAAGAAAAATTAGCTGCAAACCAAATTAAGGAGAGAAAAAGCTAAAAGACCATATTGTGTAGGATATAATCACGCGTACAAATGAAATAGCAATTAGCAAACAAATATGATCATATGTCAAAGAGACATATTTATAATCATCGCGTATATTAGTCTATTTCTCTTGATAAACATGGCACATGGCATCACTTGAATCGCCGGTGCCGCTGACAAGTCCATCCATAGCGTCAACTTGTCGAAAGTCCCCTGATGCCATCTCAGATTTGATAGAATAGGGATCCAATCGGATGCCGAGGAAGTGGCCCCACTTACAACTAACGGCCAATCAAGGTTAGCGCCACCAAAATGCGTACCATGGCGCACTCTAATTGGTTCTCGGCAGGAATACCTCAGGTAGATAGAAGGTATAAATAGACACAGGATGTTCTAGAAGAAAATGGGGGTAAATGGGGCTTGTAGATAGTCCTGAATGCATTCACGCCCCTTAATCTTGGAAAGGAAAGCTTTCTTTAAAAGCCTAAGCAAGATCTGTGAAAAATTGAACGCAAATTGTTTCGTGGTATTCTCAATATTCTCAGTCGAAGGGAGCAAAAGGAAAATCCTCTGTATAATATGCAACAGAATCACAATCACAAAACTCAACGGCATCAAGTTCGCTTCAATGTTTCCTGACAATGTCTATGACATCGAGGAGCTTTCCTCTGATGATCGCGCTTTATTTGCGCGGAAGTACCGGAAATATCTCCACTATATAGCGCAAGCAGCAATATGGATCACCTACATCTACTTCGCAGTGCGATGGTTTTTCACCTTGAGAACCCCGGACCGAACATGGAAGATGTGGGTAATGTTTGGCGTTGAGGGCCTATTTGCTCGTAAGTTCTCAAATAAAGAGCACTGAACAGCCGCTGATCCTGTTAGACATATCCCTAAACCATCAACGTTTATCGTTAGCCGCAACAACAAAGCCACCACACCAGACACTCCGCAAGAGATTACGCAGCAATGACAACCTGCCAAGAGTTGACGTGCTAGTAACATGCTGCGGAGAGCCAGTCGAAGTCATCCTGGACACAATCAGAGCAGCATGTGCTTTAGACTACCCGACTTCCCGGTTTCGAGTCCGGCTTCTCGACGACGGAGGGTCAATTGACCTGCGTGACGCGATTGTGAAACTCACCACAAAATGGAATCACCTGTCCTATCACACTCGCGGCAAGCAATCCGGGAAATCTTTTGCCAAAGCAGGCAACCTCAACTACGCCCTTTTCTCCCTACAAACCGAAGACCCACCAGAGTTCTGCACAGTCGTCGACGCAGACTCCATCCTGATGCCAGAGTTTCTACGCGCAACGCTGCCCCATCTTCTTGCAGACCCGGAGGCAGCATTGCTGACCACGCGACAGTATTTCTATAACCTGCCCCATGGAGATCCCCTCTCACAGTCGCGGGCTTACTTCTACACGTGTGAAAATACAGAACTCGATCTTGTCGGTCATGCACTAGACGCGGGATCAGGTGCAGTTTTCCGTCGCGACGCGATTCTCGATGCGGGTGGATATCCGACCTATTCTTTCTCAGAAGACTGGCAACTGTCGTTGATTCTACGAGGGCTGGGGAAGCGGACGATGCAGGTACAGGAGGTTTTACAATTTGGTCTTGTTCCTACTTCTCTTGCTGGGCATCTCAAACAGCGGAATCGGTGGCACATCGGACACTCTCAGCAGATTTCTATGTTGTTCCCTTCTATCAATAAGACGATTCCAGAGCATCTGCGTTGGGATATTGCTCTTGGAGGGTTATCTATTATGGCAGGTCTTGCTACCTATTTGATTGGATTTGTTTCTCTGCCTTTTCTTCTTGTCTCTGATGGTGGGTTTGTTCCTGCTGGATCGGCGCTGGAGGTCAAGATCCAACTTGTTTTGGCCACCGTGCATGTTGCATCTACATGGGCATATGACTGGGCTCGAAGTGCACATGCGGGTGTCCCATTTGAGCCCTTTGCACACGCAGAGAACAGTTGGCTTGCTGCGGGTAAGTTTGATTCGAAACTTTTCACATCCCCGATGAACCTGAAACCTGGCCCTAACATGTTGTGTTGACAGCCCATTTGTACGCCATTGTACGATTTCATCTATTTAGAAGCAATCCCAAGGGATCTTTTGTTACCGGAAGCACCGCTAATTCAAGTGAAAACGCCACATCCATTTCGTCGTTCCAAAAGGCATACAGAGATACTATTCAAAGTGGTGCTTTGTTGAACATTTGTCTTTTTATTGCGACCGTTGGAGCTATGCTCTTTGCAATCCGGCTGGCTATCACCGGAGATCAATCGACAATTCCCACAATACTCACTACAATTGCTTGGCCGCCGTTGCTGCACTTATGCTTCTTGGCGATTGTCAACAATTGGGTACCCATTGCTCATCTTTTCAATTCTCCGATCTATCACTCCAGAGACTCTAGGTTACTCACCACAGAGAAGGGAATATCATACCCACGAAGGGAAGTTGAAGGGGAACTTAGGCTTCATAAGTCTTTCCTCGGTCTCTGCTGCTCGTTTTTGGTGCCAATTGTTCTCTTGGGGGCGCTGGCGGGTGTTGTGGTATTATAGGGCCTGGTCACTTGGTTTTGGATTGTATATTATATCGCCGAAGTTGGGAATGCAGAGAAAGAAATCAAATTACCGCGAGCTATGGTACCCTTTTCGCAAGGTAATTTATGCGGCCGCTCTCCTTCCTTGCCCAGTGCTAGAACATGGGAATTTAATACTCGGATTTGGTTGTCTCAGCATGTTATTAGAAAGGCTCTCTATCTGCGTCCCGATGACTTCTTGTTAGTGTCCTCGCGTCCCAGTAGTGTCTTCGTAGTGTCTTCGTAGTGTCTTCGTAGTGTCTTCGTAGTGTCCTCGCTGCATCATTATAATGAGATCGTGGTATCCTACTTAGTGTTGTAGTAGTAGTGTCTTTTTATGTTGCCTTTATGGTATCCTCTTTCACTTTCTAGCCAGAACGTATTTAGCCATCACAAAGTTCCTCCACCTGCGTGACATCTTCAACCAACGTAGCGCCATACTCTCTCATCATCTGTATCTTCTCTCCATATTCATCGCTAAACTCATTCTCCCAAAATCTTTTGGCATTTGCCTGGCACTCCCAAACCTCAACACCCACACACCCACTCCATCCGTCGGCCAACCAAACACCAGCACCTTTTCTTCTTCCTCCGTGATCTCCCTTAAGCCAATCTGCACCTCGATCCTATCCTGCTTACTCGGCCACAACGTCGCACCAGTCCGTCGCATGAGATGACAGAATCTGTCTTCTTCTGATAGCATACTCTTCCTGGTAAGCTATAAGAAAATCGAGTGAACCAATGAGAATTGATGGAATCCACACTAAGGCCTACCGACGATCGTCCATGCATGGCTATTCATCGACGCTTTATCTCGCAACGAATAATCCAAGGCGTCAGAGAGTAAAGCAATGGGTCTGGAGAGTAATGATCTCAGATCGAAGGCACTTTTACAGGAGTACGAGGAATGGCATATGCGCCACTTGTCCTAATCAAAGCTGATCTCTTTCCTGTGGTAAGATGAAAATTGACGCATCCCATTTTATCGACTAGTACCTCAGAGGTCTTACATGTGTGTAGGAAGACATCTCACGGAATATCAATATGAAGCCTCTCTAGAACCAAGACCCGTGCCTGTTCCGTCTTTTCAAACAAGGTTTGAGTAGTAAGGACTCCACATCTTACTTATCTCATAAAAACTTGACATCCTTTTAGGCAGGGGCAGATAGTCTTTGAAGCAAAATGACGGACAGGGGCGCTAAAAATATAATCCCATTCAAAGCTATCCCTGAGTGGCCCTTCAGCTAGTACTTCATAGGTCGTTTAATATTTGGAATTAAAAGGGGCTTCTATAAATTGAGCGAGAGATTATATTAGGCTCTAGGCTTATATTGGTCAATTTCACGAGTCATATGCTGCCCAAAATTCAACTAGGCAATCAACGAACGTTCTTGGGAGAGCGTTCACAGCGCAGTAGGTATTTTGCTGCCAGATCGTCTGTACGAACGCCTAATTAAATTTGATTAAATAGGATGTATATCTGACGCACTGAAAAATCCAGTGAATATGTTTATAATAGGCATGACAAAGAAAAAAACAGTATTAAACAGGCTTTTGGGCCAGACTTCCAGTCTCATCCCGTGAAAACAAATATCACAAACAAAAGTCAATACGACAAAGCCACTAGTCACCATTAGAATTTTAGCGAGAAGTGCGCTTGGATGTCTGCGTGAGCCTATGAAGGACCGAGGTATCCCGAGCCCTGCACGACTCAGCAAACTGCATGAGAGAGCCCCCCTCTTTTCAATGCTACCATTCACATTCCACCCCCCTACACCACCATCTCTCAAGCCATCTGCATCCCCCTCAAGTCGAGGTTATCTTTGGATGATATGTCACTGGGGAGGCTGGGTCCCAAATGTTTCTTTCAGATGACTGTGCCCTGGAACTATCGTTAAATGATGTTCCACATCATTTCAAATATGTAATTTGATTTTCGGAAGACACTCACTTGACAACACATTTCAAGGTCGCATCGCATTTGGTTGACCAGTCAGACCTTCTGCTAGCTCAAAAGGTTGGACGATTCCACGTGGCTTGACCGAGAATTGCCTGCGTTCTCGCATTGGGGGAGCCTATGTTCCGTTAGCTCTACTGGTACCATATGCAGGAATGACTATCCAATCAGACTCGCAAGAAGACCCATTGAAACTGAGCCGAGATCAAGCATAAGAACCTCGATCTCTTGCTCGTTTCCCTCTTCTTCGTTTTGAAATGTACTGACCTCTGCGCAGTTCGAATTCCCGGGTGAACTCATTCCAGAGAGCTTGATCCGGAACTATGCCCCATCTCTCCGGTCTCAATCCACACCAGTACCAGAAGTCGGTGGCTCGTACGGTTGCTGGAAATCGTTCGTCATAATTATTCCCGGCCAGCGTAAGTACCTCCCGCATTCTCCTTATCTCAGCTTCCGAAATCTCCGGCGGATTGTAACGACTCAAAATAGACTGGAAGGTGAGGTTTTGATAAAAGTGGTTAAACACTGCGCCAATAGCAGGTCAGCGAATCTGCCTTAACATGTCAATTGGGGTTCAATACCACCTTCTGCTTCTGGTCTGTGCCCTTGGGCCTCTGCCATAGGCGACTCGACCTGCATTGTTTCTGACATCACCCTTGAGGGTTGTTGGGCCTGCCTCAACATGCTATTCCAATTGGAGAAACACATTGTTTCTTATCACCGGCTATCACCTAGGTCAAGTTCCGGAGTTTGGCTCTTCCTAGGGAGGTTCAAGGTTCTGCTCCTCGAAAGACGAGAAGTTTTCTCTTTCCGTGGATAAAATTACGACCCCGGTAAAAGCTGCCTGGCCAAAAATACACGTTCACTCTGTTCAGCACGGTCCACTTTGTTTAGCATAATGCGGCTGTGGCAGGTTCCTAAATAATCAAGTATCGGCAATGCTAACTTGAAGATTGCATATGCCTTTCCTCTCCCAGATTACTCGGCCATTTCATGTACGACTATCTTAATAACCCCTATATCTCCAGCTCTTGTGGAATGCCCACAACTTAATGTGTCATAACGGATCGCGGCAGTGTACGGAGGTCCATCCCAAAAGTTCTGTCTCATTTCTATATTTGCTTTTTTAAATGAAACAGCTAGTATGTAATGTTCTTGTATAGTACTTTTGCTACTACCCCTCTCCTATTCTATTCTCTTCTTTCAACCTTCCTAGATACCACCTGCCTGCCTGCCTGCCTGCGTAGAGATTGTGGGCCTTTCGAAACGTACGGTTGATCGTATCTATGAAAGAGCTCTTGCTAATGGCTTCGACGCCGGTTTGCGCCCTTAGAATATCTCTGACGCTATGCTTGCTGACGCCTCTCGCTCTGGGCGCCCGAAAAAGCAGTCGTTAGAAATGTAAGATCCAATACTTGCGAAAGTACGCCTTAACCGGTATAGGCGAGAAAGGACCTGCGCTAATATCGCTGGAGAAATTAGCCGCGAAGGAACTGAGATCTCTACTACTACGATCTGGCGGATCTTAAAGAAAGCTGGATTACGAAAGACAAAGCCTACCCGGAAGCCTGGTTTAATAAAAGCTATATGTGAAGCTAGGCTAGCTTGGTGTCTTGAACACTGGGATTGGACCTTAGAAGACTGGAAGAATGTTATTTGGACTAATAAAACCTCTATTATACTACTTTCCCGGCGTGGTGGATACCAGATTTAGCGGACGAAGGATAAAGGTTTTCTTCGAAGTTATATTCGAGAACGGTGGAAGGGTTCTTCTAAATTTATGTTGTAGGGTTCCTTTTCTTATAATAAGAAGGGTCCTTATCACTATTAGAAGCCGGAGACTACTACTAAGAAGCGAGAATCTGAGCTTCTAATTGAAGGCTAGAATGCGGAGCTTAAACCGGTGCTTCGTGAAGATTGGGAGTTATAATCTGGCCTACGAAGACTAGGGTTACGGCAAAAACCTAGAATAAAGCCGAAGTGGAATTAGAATACGAAGAACGGCAAGCTCTCTCGCTCTAAATCGAAGGGTGGAATTGACTAGTTTCGATATTATATAAATATTCTTCTACCGAAACGTTTACCTTTTGCCTCGGAATGTTTAGAGATACGGCCGGGTACAATTGTTTAAGAGGATAAAGCTCCTTCTCACTAGCATCACTTTCAATAAAAGATCTTTAATATTGCGGGTGTGGAACGTCTGCTTTGGCCTAGAAATTCACCTGATTTGAATATGATAGAACCGGCGTGGTTTTGGTTAAAGAGATATACTACGAAGAAGGGAGCCCCAAAATCTAGAACTGAGGCTATTAAGGCATAGGAGAAGGCATAGGATGAACTACCTTAGGAGCAGATACAGGCTTGAATTGAAAGGATACCCTTCCACATTGAGAGAATTATTGCTTTGAAAGGTGGTAATGGGTATAAAGAGGGTAGGGGGTAGTAGTATAGTATAGTACTATGAATGAATACTATACAGAAACAACTATATAAAACCACCTTACTATATTAGGCCTAGTTTTATACTAGCGTTAAAACTGATGAGACAGAACTTTTGGGATCGACCTCCGTATTGTTTCGCCAATTTCCTTCAACCTTCCGACAAATTTTGTAATTGCTTTTTCTAGGATATTAATCGGCCTTGATTCGTTACACGTGTGGTGACTCACCCCTGAAAGTGACAGGTTATCTGGGGTTTTGTGATGAGTTCGAAAATAGGTGACTATTTGTGATTAGGTCTTTTGAGCCTAACCCTTCTAGGTGCAAATCTTACATCATAATTTTCGCTTTACGAAATACCAAGAAAGCCTTCAAATCAAACGAGCATATATGAAGGCTAGTATAAGCTCAAATGTTTCAATTGTTCAACAGGCATGTATTTTGAAGAAACATAGACAAAAACGGCAACAAGACAATTTAAGAGAACCACACAACTTTTGGGGGCTAGAAACACCGCAATGATTAATCTTGCTCGGCAACAAACCGGGCCACAAGTAAGCTTCAAGTGTCATCTTCCGTCCTTTATTCCCTGGCACCAGAGCGCTATTGAGGCTACGCCGAAAATCATTCACGGCACCTTGTTCGCCACATCGCAATCCTCAAAAAAGCTCAAAACTCATATCGACTCAGGCCCTCAATCAGTGGCGCAAAGACATCTTTCAGCTCTTTCATTTCTCTCGGGATATCCCTAATCACCCCCCGGTTTGACATCGTGAAAGCCAACTTGATCGGGCGGTCGCGATTTCCGCTAAACCAATTCCACAGACCTTCCAATTTACTGATCTCATTGGGATTCAAGGAGGCTCCGTCTTCGATGGCGCGCTGGCGGGCGCTGTTTGAAAGCCAAAGAACGCCCGGCGGAAGGGTGTTTAGATCTTCAATACGCGCGAGCAAGCGATGCCATTCAAAAGGTGGGAGGAAGAGACGATCCATCCAGATGAAAGTGCTGAGGATCACTCGGATCTTGTGTAAATGCTCCTTATCGCTTTTGCGGCCTTTGAAAGCACGCAGTTCATTTTCTTCCTGTTTCAGAACCTCGCGATCGATCAGATAGATGATGAGGTTCATGTCAATGCGCCCATATTCCCTTGCAGTTGTCGAGTATTCGTCTTGCGCACCATCCCCGAGGTGTTTGGTGAGCAACCGATCTAGACATTCGGCAGTTCTCCATTCCCGAGAATCCAAGAATTTAGTCAAAGCCGTAGCAGATCCCGAGTTGCCTGATCTATCTTTTGCCCAGTTCGCAGCGTGTTTAGGAATCCACTCGTCTAGATAGTGCCCAACAGACCAGGCATTTTTGAACTTTTCCTTGGACTTTGCCAGCTTTTCTTCGTACTCTGCATCTTCCCTGGCCTTCAATTCCCTGGCCTGCTGAGCAAGGCGCTCGCTCAGAGTGGTAGCTTCAATTTGATTATCGAGAGCGTTTCTCATCGCTGGACTCAGATCTCTCTTCGCCTTGTAGATAGAGTCGTGCTCTAGCTTGCTCCATTGCCATATACCATGAGATTGAACCTGGATTTCAACCGGTGTTCTAGCTTCCATCTTTTGAAGATGAGGTGAGTACCGGTCTTCCTTCAAGTAAACAACATAATGCACCGCTCTGTACCCACTTTTTCGGTCCACGAGCTTCTCTTTGGAAACTTCGAAATTGTCGTATAGTATGCCCTTGATGGTATGGCGGTCTTCCGCTCTATTGAGGATAATTCGAGCTCCGGCAAGGTCGATGATTTTGTCATAAATATCTTTCGAATCTTTGTAAGGACCGCTCTCGCGTTCACGCTCCTCGAGCTTTTTTCGTAGGCTTTCAGGTTCTTTCCCACGGCTTTCCGTCTGAACGCTTATGCCGTTCTCCGAAATAACCTCTTTGCATAGATCCGCAACTCTTTTAGCCAGAGCTGTGTACGTCTCTTGCTTATATTGGTTTATGAACGTGGGAACACAAGACTCCTTCAAGGGAGATGGTATGGCCATAGTTTTGGCTGCTTGAAGAATAGGCCGGTGTAATCGTAATGCGTAGTATCGAATTCCTTGGAGGATATAGACAATGCTGAATGACCTGAGAGCAGAAAGAACCCATGAACAGCTGGCGCAGCTGGGGTATTTATCTTCGCCATCATCTAAGTGTGCCCAGCGACCAGGAGCGAGCGGCGATTGCTACCTTACCAAGCCCTCACAAGAGGCGCTATGCCCGGGTGAAAAGTCGGTATAGCACCAGACTGACCAGCGACAACCTTTCACGTAGGAGGCCATTGCTGATGGTGTGTAGAGTGCCAGGTTTATCACATAAATCGGTGAAGAGCATGAGAGATGATTCGTTGAAAATCTGTTAGCCACGACTCATTTGGATGACTTGCAGCCGAATGCACGGCAGTTCTGGAGACAGTGGGTCCTCGATCTTGGTTAGAGAAATGTGTTCATGCAGGAAGATATGGAATGCATATGGAATGCATATGAGATGCGTCTCTAGTCTCTACTTCTATGCGTTATCTTATTCGTCCGAGGCAGATCTTACAACCGTTGTAGAGGCCCAAGGCTTGGATATTCCTTGTTTGTACCCGAGAAGAGGGTTGCGATCAATCTGCACTTTATATGATGTGGTCAACTGCTGGTGGTTCTCTAGAGCTGCCGAATAAATTCCATATGCAGCCTGACAGATTGCGCGTGTTTCTCCTTGTGTGATGGCACTTATTGGGATCAAATATATTTTCATTCAAACCTAACAAGGTGGTGGAATGGTACCGCACTGAGATTAAGAAGCGGGGAAGCGGCTCTCCCAGCTTTAATAAAGTAGAACTACACTATCGCGCCTCCTCTTGATTTCAACCCGCTTCTTATTAAGACAAGACACCCCCAAAGAGCGCATCAATAATGACGGAAACAACCAACTGATTGCGTGCGCACCCATAGGGTCGTGCCCAAACCCCAGCGCAAAGGCCGGTTGGGCCATATACAACATATGGGCCTATCAACGGGCAAATCAACAGGCATGTCAATCTGATTTTAAGACTGACTGGGTTCCTGAAAGCGCACTACAACATGTGCTCTCGGTGGCGAATAAATGGAGTCTGAGAGCCGATAAGCCAACCTCAAAGTATCTGCTCCACTTTGGATACCCGATTGAGCCCCGACTCTACAAGGAACTTGGGTCCTGCGAGTAACCGTGCCAAGCGCCCAATACACCTACCGGGTATTGGTGCGCCCCACCAAAAGTCATTTTTTCACCAAACGTCAAATTTTCATTTTGTCAACCTATGAAAATACTATTTACATGTAACCACCATAACTATCTATATACCAATCTCCACCTATACTATCTCTTGCCGCCATTGAAGCTTCATGCTCAGCTTCTACTAAATCCTTTGCTTCCTGAGCTCGCCGCTGAGCTTCCAATTCCTTGGCATGCTTTGTCTGTAAGCGCTTCAACTTCTTAGAATCAGCATCCTATCTTTTCACCATCATCCTATTTGCGTAGATAGGTGAGAGCACTGATCCCTTGGTTCCAAGAAGCGATTTGCCATTTCTTGCCTTGGTATCATCTGCTTTGTGGGATTGAGACTGCTTTAAACTCTCCGTGACTAGATCAAGCTGTTGAGATAAAAGCATATTTGTATTCATACTTCGTTGAATATGCCTTTGTACGCTCTTCTATAGATGCTTCAGATTATTAGCAAGCTTAGTATTAAGCTTTTTAACCCGCTTAATTGTATCTAGCGGTGAATTGGTGACTGAGCTTGTAAAATCTTGGGGGGGGGGAGGGGATGGCGTGAAAATCCTAAGGGGGGACCCTTAAAGATCTCTTTAACGGAGAGGAGCAAGAATAATATCTGGATCTAAGGGGTAAATACCCCTAGATCTAAATGAATCTCGGATCGTTCTCTACGTAAAAGCTCGCTCTCTAACATCCTAGATAATCCGGAAAAAATCCCGCTTCTTACTTGCACTTCCACCCTATATAACGATCTCGTTATTTGCCGTACGGAAATGGTGTTTTAAGCTTTAAAAGGCTTGACTATCTAGCGGCTGGTAGAGATCGGTAGTATAGGGTAAAAAAATAAAAGGGGATAATGAATTTTTCCCGGCAAAAATTGACGAATTCGAAGGTTATATGAGAACTATAGGTATCTATTAAAAGAAGCCTTGGCCTTCCTTTTTTAACCCGGTCAATTGTAGCTTTATAAAAAGAGAAGAGCTATTAAAGTGCGGTTTCATCGTCAACCCAACCATTTAGCGTAGGTTTAATTCGAAAATCGGGGGTAGTAATATTTTTATACCACTCCTCTATATGTAAACTACCCTTAGGTAGAAACTATAGTAGCATTAACCAGCTATCGGCAGCAATACATTTAATACCGGTAATTGACTCTGACTAACCACCGGTAGCGATATCGCTAGTTATACGAGAGGTAATAACCTTACGTTACTTACCTTAGCCAATTCGGTAGCTAGTTTCGTCCCAATTGTAAATCTTATATAGAAGGAATTGATGCCGCTCCATTTCCTTAGAGAGCTAGTTAAACCAGAGAAATAAAGCGCCGTAATCCTCGGAATCAACTCTTGATTTTTCCTTTAGTTTTTAGTTAATATAAGCAAGACTAGAGGGTAGTCTTGCAATGAAGCGGTATGCCTAGTTGTGGCCCACAACCCGATCGGAACCAGCATTTTTTAAAAGCCGGTTGGCGGCCTATTCAACCAGATCTGGGGGTTGCGATATATAAACAATTGAAAGAAAGAAAAAAAATCATCTAAGCATATGACTTGTACGCAATAGTAGCACGGGAATGGTCTGTGTGTGGCGGCACACATGGAACTTGGAGCATTCATCTTGAACCCCACGGCGAACGATCCCGATTCTCGAATTAGATAATCGTATTGCTGCATCACACATTATAGCTATGAATAGGCGCCTTGATTAATTACTTCTTCGGTTGTGATTAATTCGAGCTGCTAACTGAAGGTACGGCTGCGTATGACGTCCAAGTATTTATTATATCTCACTTTCAACAACGCTTAACCACGCGGCCTTCTTGTACAGATCGACCGCCTCTGCCTATGATGACCACGTCCAGCACGTTCATAATAGCACTGTTTTGTGAGTTCTATGGCAAATCAACTGAGATTCAGAAATAAATCACACTGATGGAAATTTCGCCCTGATAGTGATTGGTTTAAGAATTGTTGTATGTCCACATGTCCACAGCATCTTTCCAGGTCATGAAGAAGGGATTTTGAAACGAAGCAACGCCTTTCTCCCCCAATTCATGAATCCAGGGATGGCCGCCACGGGTCGTGGCGACGTGTTCTGAAGCGACGTTGTGGCCATACCACCAATATCGGGCATGATCTTCAGGATCTGAGCTCGGAGGTGGGAGTCCGTATACCTCGATAACGCCAACTGAGAAGAAGCCCCGACAGTCGTCACACCAAAAGCTTTCCGAGAGGTGACCGGCGAGTGCTCGTGAGGCAGCAACGCGCTTAGGACTCAGAGGAGCTTGTTGGTTGTGCATCAGAAAGTGAACGAGCGACCACACTTGGTTAGGTTGCGAGGAAAGCGTGGCCGCGCTAGCGAGAGCTTTGTTGATGTCCGAGTCAGGAATGTCGGCTTGGGCGACGCAATCCGAGGGACTTCCGTAAAGATTGGGATCCGGAATCAGTTGCATAAGTTCGTCGAAACTAGGGATTGCGTCGAATAGTTGGGTCGGCCACAGGGCACCGGCTATGTTGTAGATCCTATGCTGCGTAGCGAGCACACTCACGCCGACGTTGCTGGTGCGATTCCAATAGGCGCACTCTCCGGGAGAGGCAATCTCGCCCGGATACAACAGGATAGCCCTGCGAAGAGCTTCCACCGTCTGGTTCATGGTTAGGCCGCCTTTTGGGGCATCGGATTCTGTTCTCGGACACTGGGTAGAATCCCACCACGGACCAGCAAAGCATTTATTGGGGGGCCGTTGGACAACGCAGGTCGATGGGCGGACCTCAAACTCAGCGCCCGTGCAGGTAAGTCCGGGACCGCAAACTAGCGGGCGAGGGAACGGCCAACCATTTTCTTCCCGGGCATAGCCCAGGCCAAACTCGGATTCAAAAGGGCCAAACTCGAGCGGGTTGCCAATGCAGCTCTCCTCCACCTTTCGGAACGCAACGCACCTGCCCCTCACAGGTTTCCAGGCTTCCGTCTTGGGTCCAAGTTTGATGCCGTAGTCGCCGACTGTGCTGGCAATGCAATCAGCATTGTAGCTGGCGATCAAAGCCTCGTCAGTAGAGTTCGCGACGAAATCGGCGGCACTGAAGCAGTATTCCCATTGTGGAGTAGATCCATCACGGGCCATGGCCCACGGGCCCCATCTCTCGTGGATGTCGATCATGCACCACTCATCGGACGAGCAGATACCTGGCTGTTCGTAACAGTCGAGTCGAGCTGGGATCGGGCAATACACGTCGTCGCAAGTCAATTTTATAAGATCACCCTTTGCGGCCGTGCGGATGACTGTGATATTGCCGGTCGTATCGGCGTAGGTGATGTCTTGGCTTGCAAGGCTGCAACCGCCCTGAGTGAACCACATTGGCTGGCTACCGTCCGGCTTTCCGCATTGGACGCGGCCGTCGTCTTCCGATTTGTGGATGGTGGTGTCCATAGAGTAACGTTGGGACACGCGCTCGTCCCGTAACATTGCCCAACGGTCCTGAACCGCGGCAGACCAGGAAGCGCGGTAGTGTTCTGGGTTCGAATGAACATTGCGACAAAATGTCGAAATGACGAGGGCGAGAAAGACGTTTCGATTGCGTCGCAAAAGTAACGAGGCTGCCATAGTGGCGGACAATTTTGCTGAGGCTTGGACTTGCAAGTCAAAGGCGTCGCGTAATGAGTGTGTGCTTAGTGCTGGGAATTTCCACCAAAGGTCATCTTTTAAAACGCCTTCCACAGGCAGACCGGCTTATATATACACAACGTGGACACCAAGCAGAGTTGCAAATCACGGCACGAAATCCTCGCGTAGACCCATGCCGCGCATACCAGCTCCATTCTACGAGAGGTCCGCGATCCTAGTTAGTTCGTGAGTTTATAAGCCACCAATTCCATTAAGGGCTTCGTGGCGTCCACGGAATGGACTTGTGGCATGGCGACAGCCCAAAGGGCGTGGATAAGGTACAGACACACAAGGAAGACAAGGCAAAGCAGAGTAATCGGCAATGAAGTCTCGTATTCATGGTGAGTGATAATGCACATCTTGTCCCAATGCATATCATATAATCACAGCAGATGATCTTGTTACCAAGAACCCCTCTGACCATCCGAGGCCAATCTCGATTTTTCGTGCGTAACTTGTAGCTTCTCTAGCATGGACGATGGTGCTACCTGGCGAGAATGCGCCAAATCGGCAATGGAATTAGATTTTTCCTCGAGTCAGCCTAACATTGCAACGACTGAACTTTCTCGCCTATTAGGCTGCATCACAGACGGTTGATCACGCATCCTACGCAGCTCGTTCGGCATCAACGATCATTTGCCACTGACGGGTTAGGCACATTTTAGGAGAGGTGGGCTCGGAGACATGAGACCGGTGAGAAGCGACGAAACTACCAGGCGCAGGGAATTGCAGGGATATCTAAAGTATTCGGCGAATTCTTAGCTACTAAGGGAATTCCTAGCTACTAAGTGAGTTCCTAGCTACTAGACGAATTCCTGACATTCCTGACTACTAGACTTGAATCCCTAGCTATTTGTGACCGCGCAGCCAGATCAGAAGAGAAAGCGATGAAGGTATTCAATTTGAGTGCTATGGACGACGGGAGTTCCAAGTTGGAGAAGGAAAGAGGAAAAGAAAGAAGAACAGGAACTATCTAGAACGAGAATACTTTTGGGACAGGGAGATCGCTTTTATCGCGTAGATAATTTAGCGTTGCCGCCTCGCTTGCAAGGGCTGTGCTTGTGCTCTCCTTCTGAAGCACAAAATAGTCTTTGCGAGGAGAACGGAATATCCATTCAATACCATTTTCAAAATATATAGATATGGCCCAGTTCAAACTGCCACTCTTCGGATGTTGGGATTGGTCGCAAAAGCAAAGTTTCCCAAGAATGTCTTTTGCAAGGGATAAAAGGGAAATTAAATCAAACTCAGAGTGGAAAAAGATATTTGGACGTGGCTGTTTCTTCGGCATTTGCGAGACAATGAAATATGTGACAAAGATCAATAATACTACCGGAAGGAGAGAGCTTTGGAAAAACCCTGGAGATACGTAGAGACGAGCGAAACCATCATGGATCGAGGAGCAAAACATCTACGGAGCGAACGGATAGGTAACGTGATAAGCTACCACGTGATTTTAAGGAGTAAGGTGGTCTATAAGGTGAGTGATACATGAAAAATGATAAATGAGATGGCTGAACTTCGGATAATGGATGAAAATATGATGTCGCTAATGCAATTGACTCGAGCTTGCCCAAAGCCAGGGGCTGAAGATCAAGTCAGCCGGCTTCTGCTATTAAAAATCCGCCTGCGGCACTATATCGATAAACTCCGGGTACAGATGGAAGAATTGAGGACCCATTTTCCAATTCGATAAGTCTGCAGCGTGCTGAACAAAGAGGTCACTTGGAGTGTACCCGGAATCACCATCAAAAGAGTAACTCTCCTCAAACGAGTGGGGCCAATGGAAGCGAAAAAATTGCTGTATGGTCGAGAAAAAGGTGCAGGTCTCCAAATATACGCTATAATGGGTGATCAGTCGATCACGAACACTTGGCCAAGGGAAAAAGTCGATAGCACATGCATGTGGCTCTTTCAATTGCTTCTCCGTTGGAAGTTCCCACGCCGGTATTTTCAACCGCGTCTCTGGGCCCGGCTGAAAGATGTATCGCATCAGCTGATAGCTTTTGTATGCAATGGCAACCCTGAAGATTTTGGGCATTGGTGACCAAATGTACTCATCCATGCGTTGGAGAATACACAAACCTGGGTTTATTCTTTCTTCGGGCGATAGAGTCTCCCATCCTCTATCAATAGCCTGAAGCAGGACACCAATTTTATCAATCTTGGGAAACATTTCGGAAGTATGAGAAGGGTAAGCTTGGCTGAGTAGCTTGTTTACAGTGTACCAAGCGGAACATGAGCTTTGGTATGATAAGGCCGTCTCAGGGTTTTCATACGGGTGTCGGTTGTGCGTCGAAGTGACAGGCATCGGCATGAGATAAAGTGCACTGCGTAATTGCACTTGACGGTGGAAACACGGATATTGTGCGATCTCTTGTCGCCCTTTACAACTTTCCGTAGGAGAACAACCTACGTGGACACTTGAGGTCTCTGTAAGACCTGCGATCGAATAAGATCGTTCATAGGAGGGAATGATTGTATCCGCCCCATAATCATTCAAAGATGGAGCTTGTGAAAGGAGTTTTGGGGTCGCGATATGTTCCGCCGTTGGCATCTTGGTGTGGCTCGCCTCTTCTGAAAGTACTGAAAAGGCGCTTTGGATCACTTTCTTCAGACGTGTGACCTCGGTCTCAAGTTCCTCATTTCTTTCCAATAACCGGGTAATAGTGTCTTCTGGTGTCTGATTTTGTAGCGATTGGATTGTCTCCTGTAGGTGCGCTATCCGGGCCTTCGTCTTTTGTCGACATGTGCGCTGGGCGGCTCGATCCCACGCGCGTTTCTTCTCTCTGCGTATTTCAACATTCGCTGCATTGATTTTAGTCATTGGTGAGTGATCGATTCGAAGTGTGAGATACAGGTTTGGGAACCTTGGGAAGACATTCAAGACGGGGGTATTGGGTGGTTAACCGCCAACCTCGGGAAGACCCTAAAGAAGACCGCCACGGAAAGGACGGCAGACTGGCCCCGCCATCGCATCAGACTAAGACTACTTCGATCGCCTGCATTATCCATTTTCAACATTCTTTTCATGACTTGGAATGCCTTTACTAGAAATGTGTCTTTGAAATCATTTATTGGAATAGAGGTATGTTGTTCAAGTGATGAATCCACCAAGAGTACATGTCAATCATCCATGGCCGACATCTCTATAAACCAAGCCTTCCTCAGAACTAACACAAAATCAGTAGCGCGGTGGCCATATCCCATAAGCTTAGACCACGACTTCCATCATGAGATCCTCCGGCCACTTGGGTTGATCAACACCATTAGTCCGGGTTCCCACATTATATTTTAGCTGCACCGTGCCCTTAGGGAATTGGAGCACAGGTTTGGGAACCCTGACGGAAATGCCCAATTGAGGACTGTGGAGGTCGTGGAAGTTACGCGGGTGAAAGACGCGGTCGCCACTGTTATTCTTCAGCAATTCCACGTGCGCTGGGATCGTATCAAACATGGTGTGGTAGTGACGGAAAACAGGACGGCCATTGTCCGACCAAAGCTTCTGCCAGACCTTTTCAGAATAGGTTCCGACAGAGCGAACTAGCCATTGAGAGTAGTAATTGAGGGCGATATCAACGGTATAAGATCCACCGTCAGTGGCGCGTCGCAGAAGAGCATCCAGGACTCCAGCAGTGCCACAGACACCCGTGCAGTAATCCGAATTGGGGAAAACGGGTATGACCGGCTCATCAAGACCCATCCCGCGGCCATATTCCATCGCGACGCCGCAGTTTGCATCACTGATTTGCTGCCACCCACTGCGCTTCGCCCATGGGCCGTACCAGCCATAGCAATTCTCGCGAGCATAGATGATGCCACGACCGCGGTCGCTGCCGATTCTCAGAATGTCCTTTTCCGAAAATCCATACTTATCAAGTACGCCCGGGCGATAGCCTGTTACAACAACATCGGCATCCTTGATCAAAGCTCTCAGACTATCTTGGCCTTGCGCCAGTCGCAGGTCCAGAAAGCTGTTCCACTTTCCCCAATTCATATCACAGTGCACAAAGGAAAAGTCGCATAAGTGGGGAGCAACAACTCTCATAACGCTGGCACCCATCTCGGCTAGACCTCGACTTATGGCTGGACCGGCGATGACTCGAGTTAAGTCAACGACTTTCAGTCCTGCCAAAGGTCTGGTAGCACTGGTATCTTGGGAAGGCGGCCACCAGCTAGGTTGTTGCTTCGGATTGGCGTGGTGATGAATCTCGTACAGCCCAACTTTCCCATTTGCCTGCCCGTGTTTGCTGGCAAAATACTCCTCGGAGGTCCAACAGATGGTTCCAGCTTGGCGATGAACCTCTGATGCGAGATCCTCGAGGTCGGCGGAATCGAATTCTTTCACACGATTCTGATAAAACTTGACAATATCCTCACGGGGACTATTGTCAAGCTCCGGCATCCAAGGCGGAAGACCTACGCTCGTGAGGGTTGGCTCTGGGTTCATACTTCCTATAATGACGGAATAGTTAGCTTGTGTGACAAATGGCCGGAGATACAAATATACGATACCGTGCAAATGGAAGTAACGGTCATCCTTCGTCTTATACACATTAGTGCAGAGGGATCGATACAGGTTGGCCTGTGCCTTGTTTGTGTCCCAAGTAGGGAAATAGTCCAGGAAGCGTCCACCGTCGCGAGCGAGCGTGAAGGAGGATTCGATGGGTTCACCCTCTGGATCAAGCGTCCAGATCATCGCGGACATGACAAAGAGCTGACTATGGTCACTATGTACATAATAAGCTGGGCTCTCCCGTTCCAGGAATATAGAGCAAAAGAATATATGAGAGGAAGGGTAGAGGGTGGGAGGGAGGTGAATCGTTTCTGGTTTCTGGCGACATACGTATCAACCACAATCTCCGGCGCCTTGACCCCATATTTTCGTTGTAAGAGAACACTTAGCATTGCCCCCTCAAATGCTTTCAAACTCGCAATGCTCTCTGCAAATCTCCAGTTAATCGCAATGCTGGGATCATCTGACCCAACAAATTTGATGGCAGCTGCGGCGTTGTGAATCTCTGCAGGCAGGCCTTTCATCAGCGGGTTTTGAAGGATTCCGGCCAGAAAGACCCTTTTGGGCCTCTGCTGGCACAGAGTACGCTTCATCACCCTGAGCATCATGAGTAGTGGTCATAGTGGGTGAGTGTTGGGAGTGAGAAGAAGTTTTCTCCAAATGGTTTGAATTTGATGTTCCACCGTCTGTAAACTTGGTCCTTTTAATAACATATTTGAACTTCACATAATCACCAGGGCCCTCATATGTCACTCATCTTGTTTCCGAATTCTGACTCGTACCCACTCGAGTCAGTGTCCTTACGCGATTAGTATACAAACTAGAGAGTCCGGAATCTCGGCACAGAGGAGTGTGTAAACAACCGGCCAATATAAACCGTTGAACCTTGTTTAGTGGGGAATATAAACCCCACTCTGACTCGTATATATGCTAGTCAGACCGGGGTTATCCTGTGAAATCGAAGGGCCTGCTAACAAGCTCGACACCCGAGGTGGACTCTGGGGATCAACATCCGGCTGACCGACGTATACCATATAAAAGGATCGGACAGAAGGCCCCCATAATATATTTTGTCTTGGAGTCCTGTGTTCCATTGTATCGCCTGACAACCCACAAATCCAAAATACGACATGCCATCACAGCAGACCAAACGGCCCCTTCGCATCCTCGGTCAGTGATTGCGCGATATAAACATCGGGGTGGAAACTGATATTTTATCTCGTAGGATCGTCTGGATCCGCCCAGGACCGCAGACGACTCCTTGCCGCAGCTGTGAGAAACCATAAGAATGACCCGTTTGATGTTCTTGTTGGAGACTGGATGTCCGAAGCCAACATGACCTTCAACGCTACAAAGCATCACAAAGGTATATTGTTTCTTTATCATACATGCACCGGTCTTTCCAAATTTCATTTTATCTAATTGAAGCAGGACAAGGAGTCGCCTACGAGAAAACCTTCATTTCAGCCCTCGAAGATGTGCTCCCCGAGATCGTTGAGCATGGCATCAAGATTGCGGCGAACGCCGGGTCATCGGATACAAAGGGACTTTATGATGCCCTACTTGCCCTTGTGAAAGAGAAGAATGTATCTCTGAACATTGCCTGGGTCGAAGGCGACCAGGTACTACCGGCTGTACTGAAAGCCGAAGCGGAGAAGGCCTTTGATTTCCGCCATCTCTGCACAAACCAACCTCTGAGCGAATGGAAACGTGAAGCAATCTCCGCTCAGGCGTATCTGGGCGGGCTCGGAATCGCCGAAGCCTTTACGCAAGGAGCCGATATTGTTGTTTGCGGTCGAGTCTCAGATGCATCTCCCGTGATTGGATCCGCGTTGTGGTGGCACAGCTGGGACCGGGAGGACTATGATCAACTTGCCAACTCGCTTGTGGCCGGACACCTCATTGAATGTTCCTCCTATGTTACTGGCGGCAATTTTACCGGATTCAAGGACCTAGAGCATCATGGCTGGCAAAATCTTGGACTGCCCATTGCCGAAATTGATCATTCTGGCCAGGTCATTGTCACCAAAACTCGCGGAAGTAACGGCTTGGTTTCGATCAATACCTGCAAGTCGCAACTACTGTATGAGATCCAAGGTCCGCGCTACTACAACTCTGATGTCACAGCGTATCTGGAGGGAGTGAAATTTGAAGAAATTGGGCCTGACCGTGTACTTCTCTCCGGAATACGCGGTGGCCCACCCCCAGCCACAACGAAAGTCGGAATCACAGCCAAGGAAGCGTATCACGCCGAGTTGGTATTCTGGTTGGTGGGACTCGATATCGAAGCTAAAGCGAGGATGCTAGAGGCACAGATTCGGGAGGAACTGGGTCACAGGGTGAAGAACCTGAGCTTGCTTGAATTTGCTCTGAATGGCGTGGCAGCGGAAGACGCTCAAGATCAAGCATCTGCCACTGTGGGTTTCCGCGTCGTTGCTCAGGCGTCCGAAAAGGACTATCTCGCGTCTGCTAATTTCTTGGAACCCATTCTGGAGACTACCATGGAGCTGTACCCTGGTGGGACATTCCATATGGATGTGAGGACTGCTCTCCCCAGGGAGATTCATGAGTATTTCGTGACAAAATTCCCTCAATCACTTGTCAATCATCGTATCCATCTCCATGATGGACGAACAATTGAAATTGCACCGCCATCAACGGTTGAGAGCAAAATTGCAGTTTCGACACAGAAGTCTGCTCATGTCGATGTCGGCAGCTTTGGTTCGACGACCCGAGGACCCTTAGGCTGGATAGTCCATTCTCGCTCCGGAGACAAAGGCTCCAATGCAAACGTCGGATTCTATATTCGCCATGATGATGAATACGAATGGCTCCGCGCGCTTCTAACGGTCGAAAAGATCCAGCAACTTCTAGCAAAGGAATACAAGGGTGGAAGAATCGTGAGTGACAGCTTTTGTAGAACGCTCTTTGCCCCATCGCTAAACTTTACGTTCAGGAGCGATTTGAGTTGCTTAACATTGGAGCCGTGCACTTCTTGCTTTATGATCATCTTGACCGTGGAGTTAGCTGTACTAAGACGCTCGACTTCCTCGGGAAGAATGTTGGTGAGTATTTGAGATCCAAGTTTGTTGATATTCCAGTCGCCTTCTTGGAGCGTGGGAAGATCTGAGGTACTCCATAGATAGGCGAAATCTGACCTCAATTATTGTGTCTTGACAGCGTAACACTAAACTTCTTCTCTGGAACCAATCGCCAAATGAGGATATTGTCTGGGAACCCTGGAATATCTTGTTTCCCGCTTTGAAGATCTTCGTATTGGCGAGGGGCTTGTTCAACCTCCCTCATTGTATTCAAGGGAGAATACTCTTTCTTGATGCAGCAATTGGAGAGGCGGAGCCGCCCTCCCTGTTTAACATCGGATTCTCTGAAAACGGGTACCATTGGGAGCTCAGAACATCTTTTGGCGTCAGAGGAACTCTTGCTTCGGTGGCAGACAGAGCCCCCAGAGACTTTTTGCCATATTACTCTTGTTTGTCTTTTGGCGGTTCAGAAGTTTCATATCACCACCAAGCAACGATTCCTCAATACCAATTGCAGGCCTGGAGATCAACTCGCTCGGTTCTGGTTCCTCATATGGCGGCACATGATATTCGTTGAGCTAATCACCAGACGTATCCGCGTTTGAGGGACTGCCCCAAAGATTGTGCCGAGGGTGGCGAAAAAGCCTTTGCTCGATGTTAATATCATCTCTTTCATACTCCGACATATCATCAACCGGCCTTCTAGCGTGGCAATTGTCGGGAACTCCCAACTGGTCCCTCATTCTAGGCTCGTCGGGATATTTGCTGACATCTGCCTCGGCTCTGAATGTTCAACCAGATGTACCCGGGATAGGTGTTCTATCATATTGGACCTGCGATTAAAAGCTCTGTCGCAGATGGTACACTTGAATGCAGGTGGGGAAATATGCTGGGTCTTCATGTGACGTATGAAATCCAGTTTGGTTGGAAATAATATTTTCGCATTGCAATCTTTCCATTTGCATTGGAAAAGAACACGACCATCACTAACTCAAGAGAAATAATCAGATGAGTCTTCTCAAAATCGGCGCAATTCTATCCACGGATATCTTGTTAGAAAACTTACTCGGCTTTTTTCTTACCGTCATGAGATGACGATTCGCCTTCCAAATCGTTGATAGGATTGTTCGAATGAGATATAGTCCTAGTAGCCTCATCAACCTGCCAGGTGTCGGGGGCATAGGCATACCCAGACATCCAATCATTCTGGTTTGCACTAGATGTGACATTAAAGTGCTCTGCATCCGTCATCCAAGTTTCGGGACCAGCTGGGGCAATGGTATTTTTCAGGTCCCCCACGTCGCCATCAAGGAGAAATGAGTGGCTGTTCCCTTTCTCGGTCCTCTCTCTGCTCTTCCGAGGAACATCCTCGTCTGCTTGACCTTCGGAATTAGGACTGAAACCCGAACCTTCTAGCTTAGATTTCCCAATCCCGCCCCGAGGAGATATTGGATGGTCACGATCATAGTGTTCCTTCGCGGTTGTATAAGAAAAGGGACTGGAGCCACCCGGAGTTTCCTCGATTTTTCTAAAGGACGAGGTTGAAGACTCCGGGGCCTTGACAACAGGTGGCACGTGGTTTCTTTCCAATGACAAATTTTCTAGGTAAGAATGCTCCTCATCAAAATTGGTCTCATCCATAATTTGAGGATGTTCCTTAGCTGGATCAGTGCCAAGTATGCTTTCATCTCCGACATCTGCCAAAGATGCAGCATTGGATGCCGTTCCAGGAATAGCTTCTTCGGTTGGAGTCGTGCGCGGAAGAACAAACAACGCCAGTTGTTCCATATGATGTCCAACATGTCGATCAAAAGTCAGTGGCGGACAGATTTGAACTTGGCACAGAGGACAGTTGGAGCCACTCTGCAAATCGGCCAATATAGAGTGAGACTGACACATATGATCATACCACTGTCGACGACTTTCATATAGCTTCGATGGAGTACTGCACTTTGTCGATATGCAGACATATGGCGTTAGGTCCCGAAAGACATGACGAGCCCAGTCTTTTTTGCCTTTGATTTTGATGACAAGGTAACAATATGGACACTCGAACGGGTTTTCATCGGCAGATTCCTTTGGTGGATTCGGAACGGAGAGAGATTCATTCGACGTGAATATGCTGGGGGCATAGGAAGTCTGAGAAATGCCGGAGGTGGAGTTTGTTTCGAGAAATTGGAGGTGGCCCGCCGATACCATCTCCGTAGCCACTGTTTCTGATAGCTGATCCCCATTACCAGATAAGCCCTGACCAAGCTTTGCTCGATGTCTCTCAAAATATTTCAAAACTCCTTTTTGCCTCGCCATTGCAGCGCCGAGGCGAGGAATTATAGAAACCATAGCATTCGGAAATTTGTGGGAAATGTGTTGCTGCGCCCATGGTTCGAAATATGATTCATCTTTGATTTTCACGCCGAGAAGACGATCGTGGTCAGCGGGTCGGCGAATGGCCATTGATATTTGGAACAGGAGGTTGATAGTGTTTCTCAAGCTTTGAAAAAGCATCTGAATGTCTGTCATATCATTGTCGTCCTCAAGCTCTCCGTCGCTGACCTCGAAGAAAGTCTCATCATAGTCTTCATCTTCAACCGGGTCTTCATCTTTCATGACATCGGCCAGGTCTCGAAGTACCCTTAGCAATCGCTGCAATAGTTTGACCGTTTCGTTCTTCAAGTGGGAAGCATCTCGAAGTCGATAATCCAGCGAAGATTGGCCAGTCTGATGAGCCCCAATATTTCCCGCCCATATCCGAAGTCGTCCGAACTCATCCAACCAGCGATGTTTGGAGACTTCATTGTCGTATTGCGTAAGAGCACCTGAGCTAGTCAATTCTGTGAACTCTTTCACACACTCATTTAGCACAGTTGCAATATTTGTGGCCATGGCACTATTGTGTATTTGGCGTGACTATCGTGAAACTTGTACAAAGGAATAGGAGTAAAGGGTGTAAAGAAGTTGATAGAATGCGGGACTGAATGTGAGGCTGAGTGCGGGGTAAAATATCAAGTACAATCTCACCACCTACAACATGTATAGTTTTTGCTTTGTTTTTTTTTCCCATCTCTGGCTTCTTTAGATACTGTCACTCGGTCATGGTCACAGGAATAGAGGCAACAGGTGTGGCTCTAGCCATCCTTCCCTTGGTTGTGAATCAGCTGGATAATTATGCACGGGGACTCGAAAAGATAAAGGCCTTGCGACGATATAAATGGCAGCTGGAAGACTTTTCGAGTGGACTTAGTGCCCAGTACGCCATGATGGTCAATACTTTAGAGCTTTCCTTGGAGGGTGTGGTCGACGACCATGATCAAAGGTCCGACTTGATCAACAACCCAAGAGGTCCCGGGTGGAAAGACCCAACATTCCAAAGTCGACTGACACAAAAGCTCGATCGGGACTATGTCCCCTTTACTGGCACAGTACGAGCACTATGTCGCTTATTGGAAGACCTTTCCCGCAAGCTCGGGTTAGAGACAGGAGATTACTGCAACGTGAGTCAAGCGTGGAAATACTGTTAACACGACAAGGTCACTAAAACTATATCTATTCTGCCTCTAGGCGATATCAATAAACCCGTTAAGCGCCCTCAAGTTTCGAAAAGTGTTTAACGCAGCGATATATGAAGACCTGTTAGACAAGATCGACAAGACAAACCAGATCTTGAAAACGATAAGCGAGCAGTCTCAACATCGCGAACAGTATCGCAAGGGACCAGCGAGACGAAGAAGAAACCTCAACCGATACCGAGAAAAGAGAGCCCATGCAAATGCTCTCTATAGTATCATCAAAAAAGGCCGAAACTGCTGGAATTGTTCATCTCAAGATGCCCACTTCGTTGCCCTTCAGCTCAACACAGATTGCAAGGATATCACAGATGACACACACCTTGACCCCCAAATCACCAGCTTCCATATGATTGTATCGCCTCCAGAGAACTGTTCATCCACAAAAGACCGAAGGCGCTGGCATGAAATCAAAGTGCAAACTGATCGAAGTGCCCAATGGCCCCGCACCTCACGAGACTCCGATTCAGGAGTTCAACGGTTAACTCGAGCATCCAAAGTCCATTTCGAACTGCCAAGAACAAAATGCATGGAAAACGCTCAGCCAACACCAACGTCTCTGGGTGGGTCGTCTAGCGCCGGTCTATGTTCCGCATTTGATCAGGTTAATATAACATCGCCGAATTCCAGTTCCGAATCCATTGATTACATCTTCGGAAACAAGGCCACAGAGACGGGGTACTGCATCAGCCTAGTTCGCACTATTCAACATGAAATACATCTCCATTCTTTACAACAAACCCTTCTTGGCTCTCCATCCACCCCTGAGTCCCCCATCCAAACCTCAGAGGAGTTGAGCCGCCGAGACAGACTCTACCTTGCAACACAACTCGCGTGCAGCCTCCTCGAGCTACACGGAACCTGGCTCCAGCAACACTGGGGAACGAAAGATATTTTCTTCCTCCGTGGTAAGGGATCTCAACTCTCACAATACGAACGCCCATATCTCTTGCGCACAGGTCTGAATGTACCCGAAACAGACGCAAATGGGTTGGCTTACCGAGTACACGATGGTCAAGACTCTAGTCGACACTCGAATAAAACGCTGTTTCCTCTTGCACTGGCATTGATAGAGTTGTCCCTAGGAAAGGCAATATCATCCCTGCGTCGGCCTGAAGATGGAGAGGCTTCGGAGGATATGTCTATCCTCAACACTGTAACAAGGTTGCTGCGAACGGTATATTGGGAAAGTGGGTCAAATTATGGAGACGTTGTCAAAGAGTGTTTGTATTGGTCTCGAAGTAAAGGTGATGGGTTTGAGGATCCTTCCTTTGACGAGTCGGTGTTCGACACAATTGTGGCCCCTCTACTGAAAGACTATGACTACTTCGAAGGCCTGTCCATGAGAATGTAGAATGGCACCGAAGGGGGTCTAGTGACCTAAATCCCTACTCATATACTCTATCAGAAACATATTTTTGGTACAGGAGCTCAAGCCACCTTGGTATATGATTAATCTAACGAAAAATAAATCAAGTCTAGAGAGTCTAGTAGAATCAGGAGCATTGACATTGTTTTAGTAAGTCCCACCAAGTGCCTACGATATGATAAAAGTCACATGTTTTCGTAGCGGTATATATAAAAACCCCGAGAAGCATTAGCATCCGAATGTGAATCATTAATTGAGAAGCTGCTAACTTTGTTTCAGGAGCGATTTGAATTTCCTAATATTGGATCCGTAAACTTTTTGTTTTCCGACCATCTTGACCGTGGAGCTAGCTGTACTAAGACGCTCGACTTTCTCGGGAATAATGTTGGTGAGTATTTGAGACCCAAATTTGATGATATTCCAGTCGCCTTCTTGGAGCATGGGAAGATCTGAGGTACTTTAGCGAGTGAAAGTCGTTGCATTGACTTCAGTTGGCTGTGTTTCAATATATTTTCGTTGGTAGTTTCTTGGTATCAGAATCATAGCAGTACAATTCATAGCAAGAGACTGCAAAGTACCTTCGAAGCTCTAGAATCAGAAGATGGGAATCCGAGGAGAACATATGTAGATGCGTAAATAGGAGAGGAAATATCTACAAAACTTCTACCAGCAAACGAAGAGGTCACGAGACAGCAGTCACGTTACGCTAGACCTCGGTCTCTTGGCAGACGCTGGAAAAAAGGTTGTACCTTAACGGCAATTTAATGTACGATTGCGGGGAATTGCTGTCTTTGCTAGTGTGAACTCAAACATGAGGCAGATTAATTCTGGGGAATTTCAACCCCCTGAGTGGATAGTGGATGTATTGAAAGTTGCCTATGTTGTACTCTGTAGAGTTGGGAGTAGTCCTGTAGCAAAAGGGCTGGTTTGCGTCATCCAGTATTTCGGCAAAATTTCATGTCATATTTTGAACGAATAATTTTATTGCAAAGTTAGAATGCATATGAATATTCTCAATGAGAATCTACCGGCGATTAACCGAGGGTAGTGAAGGAATGAGTGCCTTTGGTACAACCAAAGTCTCTACACACTATTGACATCCTGCATACCTAATTTGGCTTAGAGCCATGTACAAATCCGGTAAAAATAGAGTCATCGTCCGCTAAGATCTTGCGCCTCTGCGTAATCGAAGCTCAAAATTGAGAGTAATCGAACCCAGAGCGACGATCTTCCCCGCAATATGGGGGATCGTCATCCCCTCCCCCTTCCCCTCACAAGGTCCGTTCGCCGCCGTTCATCGAGGCTGTTTCAAGATCCCCCACAAAAAAAGGTCAAGGTCCCAGCAACCACATTTCAATAAACGATCGACCGATGTCAAACACCGAGGTATCGGTTTTGAATGCGCCTGTGAATCCGGGGGTGGCCGAGGCAGGGCGTCGATTCATGTGGCCCCGTCAGCAGTGGATGCATTGAACAAGTCCCCATCACCAGCGACCTTTTGCGACTAAAATATGAGTTGATTTCCTCAAGTCGATTCTGTATTATACCCACGATTCACGCCATGTCTCCTACTCCCGATCCACTGTCCGGGCATCTCGGCCACCTCACTCATGACCAGGAAGCAAAGTTAATTGAATTATGGATCATTCTTTTAACCGCCGTTACGACTGTCCTGTCTGCTGTGTATGAGGTCCCGATTCCGGAGGGCTCCTCCAGCAAGCTGTTTGCTGCTCTGGATAATATCAATGAGCCGACGGTGGAGGCTATTATTAGCGCATTGAAGGGCGAAGTCGCCAATGGAGAGACCTCGAATGGGACCGCACCGGCGGAATCAAATAACGAGACCAACGGAGAAACCGCCGCTTTAAATGGCTCCGACAACAAAGAGCAGAAGTCACTCGACAAGGTGGACGCGCTCATGAATGGACATGCCAAAAACACTATAATTTCGGAAATGGCCAACCGAAAGGTCACCCCGGCGCACTTCTCTTCCCTTTTCTCACAGCTCCGAGAGCTGGGCATGCAGGATACAGAGATCAAGTCTATGGAGAGCATCCTCTCCAAAATGACGCCTCAGGAAATGTGCTTTGCGATCTTGAAGATGATCAAGCAGGAAAACCCAGATAGCTTATTGCTCCGGTTCTTGCGCGCTAGAAAATGGGATGTCGGAAAGGCATTCTCGATGATGGCGTCGAACATCCTGTGGAGAAAGGAAGTAGAGGTTGATGAAGAGATTCTGCCCCGGGGAGAGGAATACGCTCTGGAGCAATCCCGCAGTGCCAAAGCCACGCCGAAGGAGAAGAAGGAAGGTGCCGATTTTATCAACCAATTCAAGACGGGCAAAAGCTTCCTTCATGGCTTTGACAGGGATGGTCGGCCTGTTATCTATGTTAGAGTGAAGATTCACAAACCAGGGGCTCAGAGTGAGGAAGCTCTCGAGCGGTATATTGTTCATGTTATTGAGGCAACGCGACTTATCTTGGATGCTCCGGTTGAAACGGGCGTATGTTCGACCGGAATGTTGGGATATTGACTCACGCTGACATATTCACAGACAATTGTCTTTGATTTGACAGGATTCGGGTTGTCCAACATGGTAAGACACCATGGTGCGGTTAGATCGAGATGACTGGTCTTATACTAATCTTCGCAACAGGAATACCCTCCAGTCAAGTTCATCCTCAAATGCTTCGAGGCAAACTACCCAGAGTCTCTAGGACGACTGCTCATCCATAATGCACCCTGGATCTTCTCTGGTAAGTCTTCTACTAAGAAATTCTTCCTCTTCATTGCAGAGCATACTCACAACATCACTTTCACCAAACAGGAATCTGGAGACTCATCCACGGCTGGATGGACCCTGTCGTGGCATCGAAAGTGCATTTTACGAAGTCAATCGCCGACCTGGACAAGTTCATCCCGCGCAGCAAGATCCCCAAAGAGTTCTCCGGTGACGACAAGTGGACCTATAAATACGACGAGCCTGTGAAAGACGAGAACGCGGTCATGAAGGACACCGCAACGCGCGATTCACTCATGTACGACCGTATGATGATCGGCATCCGGATGATCAGTGCTACAGCAGCGTGGATCTCTGCCAGCTCGCAGTCTGATGGGAAGAAAGAGGTGTCGAAAGTGGAGGAGCTCAAGTCGCGACGGAATGCTGTTATTGAGGAGTTCCGCGTGAACTATTGGAAGTTGGACCCTTATATTCGAGCGCGGTCAGTCATTGATCGGGCTGGGATGCTTTTACCTGGTGGTGGGATTGAACGGGATGCTAGTTCAAACGGTCAGGCAAAGTAGAGATATGGCATTGTTAGAATCTGCAGGCAGGAATGGATACATATTCAGGCCTTAACATGTGATCTCCCAAGAACCCACTTTCCATTTTCGGAAGCAAATGGCTTCCCCAGGTTCCTATAAATTTAAGAGCAACACCAGTTATTTGACATCCCCCCACCAAGAAGCCATATTGGAAAGTGGGTCCATACTCCTGCCAATCGACTGGTTTTAGTCCACCACTTCAAATTCTTCGATAATTTCACTTCTTTCATGTAGGCAGATACTATTTCTTCATTAGCTGCTCTGGTTACTTTACTGCCGCTTACGGGTTGTCGGGCTCGATTTCTTCCCGCAACAAATCTCAGAAATGAGACACCCTGGACGAATATCACGGACAATTCTTTCATCCAGAACTGTACGAAGTTAATTATGAACTAGATGAGCGATGCAGGCATACATGGGTCATACACCGAAGCAAGACCTAGCCCAACTCCACCGCGCACACCTGACTATGGTAGCCGCTCATCAAACCCAGTCAACAAGTATACGGACGACTAGGTCTCATATTACCGATGTTGATAGTAGCTTCCCAGGTGTACACCTTCGCGGCCTTCTGTCGCTGAACAGGACCGTGTTCCTTGGGGAACGGATCTAAAATAAGGTCGAACTTAGAGTTCAATGATTCCCCGCCCGACACAATCTTCTCCTTAGACATCAAACGTATCCCCCGCCGTCATCCACCCAGCCACTCATTGACATTCTCAACATTTTGTCTATGTCAGGTTCCAAATCACAAGAGCAGTAAGAAACGCCATTTCGGCTTGGAGACCAACCGCTGCCACGATTTGGACATATATTACAGTGCAGGATTCACAAGGGAGCAACATGACCCAGGATGCTGAAGTGTGGACACAGGATGCTGAGATGTGGAAGCTCCTTGGTATGAGGCAGTGAGTGGACCCCCTCTCCCCCGTCTTTCATCAGCGCGACTTTTCTCTAATAACGCTAACTCAGCCGATTCGTGTGGATCTGATGGAAAGGATCTGTGTGATCTTACAAACTCAGCTGTCGGGGTAAAGTTCACGCCCTCGCAGCGAGACAACCCGCGGCCACTTGTTTCGGTACAACGGATCCGAGAGGGCCTGAATATTTGCCCTAATCGACTCAATGTCTGTTATCTGTTACAGCTTGACGAAAAGTTTAGATGGGAGAGGTGGAGGCTATGATTCTACTCAAGAATCAAACATCAGTCCCTGTCCCCCAAGTTTTCAATGCCTATATGATTGAGGATATCGGATTCATCTTGATGGAAAAAATACACGGCATCCAGCTCAGTCAAAGCTGGTCAAAATTACCGCCAGCGCTGAAGGAGTCCCTTGTGCAGGTGCTACGAGGCTATATACAACAATGGCGCCAAATCGAGGGATCGTTTTTCGGGACTGTCGATAGCGGCCCATGCCAGGAGATTGTTTTCCAACGGAATTCAGTCTACAAATATGGGCCATTCGCCTCCCGTAAGGACTTTAATAAAGGTATTGTGGAGGCTATGGAAAATTACAGGCCTAATCTAAAGCTCGAGACAGAGACAGATATTCTCTTTGCAGAAGAACTCCTCATATCTGGAACCGACTAAGAAGAAATCAAAATACTTACTCATGGCGACCTGGACCACTCTAACATCATGATTCAGGACGGGAAAATTACAGGGATCATTGACTGGGGCGCTGCGGGTTATAGTGTGCCAGAGAGGGAGTACTTCGCCTTACGATGGCCAGCGCTCGATCGAGAGTGGGCGCGAACTCTCTACCTCCATCCTACCGCCAGATGGATATGAATATTGGAAGAACATCAACCGTCAAATGATGCTATATACATGTATCCAATTGTGGAGTCATCCTGCCATATTCACAGCACTATATGACCGCACTGAATGTTTTCTATTTCTAGAGTAAAAATAAGCTTAAACGTCTGAGTTTGAACCAACCGGAGTAAGATTGGGCCCTGTCGGAGACATTACATAAGCATTTTTATATGCCGAGGGATTCCCGAGATTCGGAAATTCGGGCCCTAGTTCAACCGGGTGGATATCATTCGGCGACTTTTTATATTTTTTTACAGGGCCATTTTGGCTACACGCCTTGACAAATGGACCCCTGTGTCAAAATTGGGATGATTTTATGGCGGAATATTAAATTCCGTGGATCTTTCCCGATTTCCTCGCCTCCAAAATCAGATGGTAATGCATATCAAAAAATTTCGATGATAAATCAATCTTCAACTTCCCCACTGTAGATCAGTACATAAATGAAGCCAGTACACCCCTGCAAGATGGAATTATTCAAACATATAATAATATTCATACCTGAATACCATCAAAATGACCTGGCCTGACGTCTCCGCTAAGCCCGCCGAGGGCATCTCATACTACACCCCTGCCCAGAGCCCTCCGGCAGGCACAGCTCGCAATCCCCAAACGAGCGGAAAGCCCATTCCCAAGCTTTTCAAGCCTCTCACCATCAGAGGAGTGACTTTCCAAAATCGCCTTGGGGTATGCAATTCCCCCCAATCTCCTACATAATCACACAGCTAACAATAACCCTCCAGATGGCACCCATGTGCCAATACAGTGCCGATGATGGCCACATGACCGCCTGGCACTTGGCGCACTACGGTGCCATTGCCCAGCGCGGCCCAGGAAACCTGATCATCGAAGCAACCGGTGTTGTCCCCGAAGGCCGCATCACGCCCGGGTGTGTAGGCCTCTGGAAGGACTCGCAGATCGCGCCAATCAAGCAGGTCGTTGAATTTGCGCACAGCCAAGGCCAGAAAATCGGTATCCAGCTCGCACACGCCGGCCGCAAGGCTTCGACCGTGCCTCCTTGGCTCGGCGGTGTTGTCGCCAACAACTCCGTCGGCGGTTGGACCGATAACGTCAAGGCTCCCAGCGCCATCCCCTTCTCTGAGGGTGATCCTATCCCCATTGCCATGACCCAGGATGATATCGCCGAGGTCAAGACTGCCTGGGTTGCGGCTGTTAAGCGTGCTATTGCTGCTGGCTGTGATTTCATCGAGATCCACAACGCTCATGGATACCTCCTCTCGTCGTTCCTCAGCCCCTCTTCCAACCAGCGCACCGATAACTACGGTGGCAGCTTCGAGAACCGTATTCGTCTATCCCTGGAGATCGCTCAGTTGACCCGTGACGCTGCCGGTGACGATGTGCCCGTCTTCTTGCGTGTGTCGGCTACCGATTGGCTTGAGAACAGCATGCCGGATGAGAAGGGCTGGAAGCTTGAGGACACGGTTGAGTTTGCTCGTGCGCTTGCTGCGCAGGGCTGTATCGATCTGATCGATATCAGTACCGGTGGTGTGCACGCTGCTCAGAAGATTACTTCTGGTCCTGCTTTCCAGGTTCCTCACGCTGCTGCTGTCAAGAAGGCTGTTGGCGATAAGATGCTTGTTGCTGCTGTTGGTATGATCAACAACGGAAACTTGGGAGAGAAGATTTTGAACGACGATGATCTTGATGTCATTCTTGTTGGTCGTGCCTTCCAGCGCGATACTGGTCTTGCTTGGCAGTTTGCTAAGGACTTGGATGTTGAGATTGCCATGGCTGCACAGATTCGTTGGGGTTTCACCAGCTTCCGCAATGCGTCCGAGTATATTCAGCCCAACTCCATGAAGGCTTGCATTTTTGATTAGATTTAGATACACCAGCCGTTGACCGCCTTGTGGCTGGCTTGCATTGCATTATATAGACAGTCTTTTTTAAGCAATGAGAACAATGAGAATTGATATTCCGTTTCCGCTTCAGACCTGTGATTGACTACAAGAGAATGATCAGTAGAGACGATGAACTTCAGAAACGTGACGCATGTTAGCTTCGTCTGCCTCGAGATTTTCCTGTCGTCCATGTTCGTTGCCGCCTGTTCGTCGTCTTCATTTGTTCGAATACAAGGTGATCCAACAGATCCTAAGCAGAAAGCGCGGGTTTCCAAAGTCAGAGGCAACTTTTGGGTGGCTTGGACATCTAAAAAATACTATCGGAGTCATGTGAGAGATTATTCAAACCAAAAAATTGTAGTACTTACAATTTTGCGGCTCTCGGTCAAACTTGACATGGAAGGCTACCTTGAATTAAGTCATTGAAATGGATAATGTATTGGTTGAATTCTAACTAATCTAAAAATGAGCTGTGATTGGTTTTTTTTAATTGGAAACATGGTAAAGAGTGTTCTGTCTCGCTGAAACCTGATGACGCCTGGAGCTCCAATTCTATGACCCCTTCAGCGTACATCGAAAACCAGTTATATGGTTCTCAACGGACGCTGAAGAGGCCATAGAATTGCAGATCCGAACAATCACCAGGGTTGTCACCGAGATGAGGCGAAGTGATTCACCATCCAGAAAGCAACCATGGCCTCAACCAAAAAAAATCTCCCTGGTAGGACCCAGGGGATATAAAAAAAAACCAAGACGTCACTACCTCACTGAACACCCGCCCAAGGGTTGCGATCCCTCAAGGGAATTCCAGTTCAGCAGATTCGCCACGTACCCGCCGGGCTTTCAGCAAACGGTTGCGACCCGTGATGCATCGGCCTCGTGCTGGAAGGATTTCTCGAACGCTTCCTGGAGCGCTGGACTCGGATCTAGGTCCAGACAGGTTCCAGGTCTCCACTTGGTGTTACCCGCAGGTGTAAACCTTGACTCGCTCCGTGCTCGCTTGGGCATCGGGAACATATTCTGATGTTTCGCAAGCGGTTCCATAAGGGGGGCGTTGCGGCTGCTCCTCTGGTATCCCGACGTTGCTACTCCAACAAAGCGAAAGAAAGGTTGATCATTGCTTTAACCCGGGATCGGATTATTCGGCACAAAGAACATCCTCAACAGATGTCGGCAGGTTCGGACCAGCACGGGAACTGATCCTCTCCCATACCTTCCATCATACAGTACAGCCGGAAATCCCGTTGTCCCCCCCAAGGGGCCTGCGGGTTTTAGCAATAATGACTGTAGAAGTCGTAGCGATGGCCTCACAATCATGGATCCTATCGCATCAGCTCAGATCAACGATTTCTTTGGATTGGAACACAGGTTTTATCCCTGGTCCGCTCCTTGATCTCAAAACGATGCTCGGAACGTAAGAGTTGGGGGCTTCAGGTACCAGACGAATCTGGGCACACAAAATCCCCCTGAATCGATCTTAAGAAACAGCTTCGAATTTCCTCCCCAACCATGCCGCATGGAGCGAGCTTCCACCATGGCTACCCTAAGGCGTGCTGCGGGGACGTCCCGAGAAGAGCCAATTGGAGAGTAGTTCTAGGCATGGAGCTCAAGACGAAAAACTCTCATGGGCACCAAACCCACAAGAGGCGTCTAGGATCCCACCATTGACGCAGCGCCTCGAGGATCTCAAACAAATTGCGAGGGTTTCTCGGCGCGCATCTCGGATGGGAGCTTTCGACAATTGCCGAAATCGATCATTTCCCAGCAAAGAGGCGCAGCGAAAGGACGAACCCACCTTACTTTGCTGGTCAATCCTGATGACGACAATAGGGACAATCGATATAACTGGTCATAAGACCAGCGAAATCACAAAACGACGTCCACCAGCAGGTACTCCAGCGAGGCTCGGTTGGAGGGCAGGACAACCGAGGGTTCAAGGAAGTACCTTTTGATAAACGTCCCATCCCAGTGAGCAGCACAGCCGTTCAACGGGATGGTATGGTTGAGAGAACTCCTTCCCTATCCACGTGCAAAGAGCTGAATGGGAAACTCAAGGACCCGCTGCTTGGTGGATGAGGCCAAGCAGCTCTAGAGGAAGGAAAGAGGGAGGAGGGGATTGGAAGGATACTTATATTCGCTCGTGGACGCGTTCCAAGGTTGGCGCGTTTTTGTATTACCTAACCATTACCCCACCGCCCGACGCGTCCAACTTGACTTTTAGGGCTGTTCTCACTTCTGTCCTGTCACAGTCAACGTCATGTTGATTCTTCCAATGCTTTTCTGTTCCGATTCTTTTAGTCACAGATACCTGGTTCTCGTAGACCTCCGACCACAAGCTCCACAAAAATATCGGATCACAGATGGATCTCCAGAGCCTGGCCTGCATGTTAAATATCTGGAAATCAAGTAGTCTACTTTGTACAGAGGATATTGCAAATAGGTCATTGAGCTTATATATCATCCATTTTTTTCTGTCCTTCGTCTTTTGTTTTCTGTCTTTTGTTTTCTTGTGGCCACTTGCGATCAACTTCATTTCAGTGGTTTATGGCTTCTTCAAGGTCCAGTCAGAATGATTATTATGGTTTTCGGTGTACGCAGAAGGGACCATATCACCGCAGCTCCAGGAGGCTCACAGGGGAAACAGCGAACACAATGTTTACCAAGGATTTGCAAGTGCTCCGAGTTTCACGGAACATCCGGCGTTAGAGGTCAATCCAGAAGCATATTAGCATTATTCCACCTCCAAACAAGAAACACTTGCTCTAATAAAAACCACTCTCTGAGGATTTGAACAGCTCACGGCAAAATCTCCTTCCCCATCCAATCCCAACACCTCCCTCTCCCTCCTTTATCATCCGATGACAACCCCACAAGCACCTCCAACAGCTTTTCGGCCGCGTCGGCCGGCTCCAGCATTTCTCTTGTTCCCCAATACTCCTTGGTGAAATTCGTGTGCACAGTCCCAGGGTGCAGCGCCACAGCAATTGCCCTCTGCGCACTCTTCGAGCGCAAATGCAAATCAAAAGTCTTGGCCAATTGGAATACAGCTGCCTTACTTGCACGGTAGGAATACCATCCGCCAGAGGCATTGTCCGATATTGAGCCGACTCGAGCGGCCATCATCGCATAGATGGCATGCGAGGGCAGCCACAGCGGTCCTGGAGAGTCGATTGCAGAGCTAGCTTCTATTGTTGGAAATTCCGGAGCGGATTTCAATGGGACGAATGGGGAGAGATACTTCATGAGTAGCAAAGGGCCGAGGGAGTTGACTTTGAAGTTGTCCAGCGCATTGGCAGCGTCGATTTTACTAGGTGATTTTTCTGCATGCAAAACGCCGGGGATTGTTAATCCTAACCTGAGCGGTGTGTTCGGATAATCCTGGCGGATTGTGTCTGCCATTGCTGATATTGTAGGCTCATCTAGGGAGTTGGTTAGCCTTGTAGTGCCGAAAGGAATGTATTCCCGGGAATTGAGTTGCTTTCTTTACCTGTTACATCAACTTGGAGAATGCGGAGTCTCTGCTTTGCGTCTTTGGGCATACCCTTGCTTGACAGTAATCGTTGTTGGAGTTCATCGCAGTTCTTGCGGGCTGTTGCAATCACAGGGAGCTCGGTCCGGGATAGAAGCTGCTGTGCGAAGGCGAACCCCAGTCCTCGCGAGGCAGGGGTTACTAAAGCAAACCCATGATCTGCTGGTAACATGGCCCATTTGCTGAACCAGTATGTGTTGTTGTTCAAGTAGTGAGAGATGATGGAAGCAATTACAACATACCTAAGTAGAATTGCTGATGTTCGGCCTGCATATGACGTCACAAAGCATCGATTTAGGCTTCGATCTGATCTTCTGGGCTTCTACATCGTGAGGTTACAATGCAATTTGGAACTACAGTCAACCTGTCTGCACTCAATATTTATTATTTGCTTATTCTGAATTACCTGTTTATCTCCCAACGCTTCTCAAACACAACTAATCTACCTCAGCTCTTTCCCTCCAGACCAATAAAGAAGTCCCTACCAAACTCGTCACTGCTATCATTGAAACGAAGCTTCTTGTTGATTTTCTCAATCTTCTTCATGTCTTCTGGGCCCAGCTTGAAGTCACCTCCCAGGTTGGCCCTGATCCTCAGGGGTGTTTTAGACTTCGGCAGCACCGAGTGGCCCTGCGAGACTCCCCAAGCTGTGAAATCACACTACAGTCAGCACCATACAAACTACATTCGGGCAGATCACACTCACCAAGAGCAACCTGAGCGGCAGTTTTGTTGTACGGCTCGCCTATCTCCGCCAACACAGGGTCCTCGATCAGCTTCGCGGGCCCGCCCTTCTCACCATAGAGAGCGTTCTGGTTCCCAAACGGCGAGTAGTGCGTCACATGTATACCATTCTTTCGATGCCAATCTGTGAAATCACGCTGCTGCAGCCACGGATGACATTCCATCTGGTGCACAGCGGGAACGATGGAAGTATTCTTGATCAGGCGCTCCATCTCAGACTTGTCGAAGTTTGAGACGCCGATTGCCTTCGCCTTGCCGGTTTTCAGAAGCTGTTCCATTGCCGTGTACGTCTGCTTCGGTGTCAGCGCGCTTGGATTCATAGGTCAGGAAATGACAGTGCAGCATACGTCGACGATGTCGATATTCTCCATGATTGGCTTCCCATCCTTCTTCGGAAAGAGTTCCTCGCCTCTTTTCCAGGCCACGGGCCAGTGAATCAGAAACAGATCAACGTAGTCCATTCCCAAATCGTCCAAAGATTGCTGCAGAGCGGGGGCCACATCGTCTGGGTGGTGCTTGTTGTTCCATAGCTTAGTTGTGATGAAGATATCTTCGCGTGGGACGCCGCTTTTCTTGACCCCTTGGCCGACAGCCTGCTCGGTTCCGTAACTAGTATACAGTCAGTACTGTACATTGAGCTTGTCGCTCATCTCAGTCAGGAAGCAAGGCGGCTCACACGCGTGCAGTGTCGATGTGACGGTATCCTGCCTTGATTGCCTCTGCTACGGCATCCTCCTGTTCACTGGCATCCTGCCAGGTGCCGAATCCAATGGCTGGGATCTCGGCTCCGGTGTTCAACTTGAATTTTGTGGGCATATTGGATTGATTGATTTCAATGATTCAACAGCTCATGTCCAGCTCTACTTCGGGGAAACTCCAAAACACATCGAAAGATTGACACGATTCTCAAAGACATGTCAAAGTGACGTTTTCATATTTGTGGTTGTCCAGGTTGATGACGTGAAAATGACATCTTCGGGGTCTCGGTGTATCACTAAGGAGTGCAGGATATGAAGCCTAGGCATATGACACTTCTTCAGTTAGCGAGCTTAAGCCTTTTCCGACCCGCAGCTAGCTTTTCTCTATGTAGAATACCAATAAGCTGCCCGGGAATTGTGTCTACTAACACTATGGCCGTGGGTGCTGATCAGCTTTTGTGTGATGCCCTGCCTTCTACTAGCTCCAGACAAGCTCAACATCAACAGTCTTCACCGCTGATTGCTAGAGAAACCATACTGACTGTCATCTCGTGTTCGTGACGCTGCCGGCTCCTACCATCGAACTTGCTTTTGATACATTCTCACCGGCAACTCCACGCTATACTACCAAGCATGTTAGGATTCTGTTCGCCGATTACCCTTTTTTGAGCGCCCAACACTTGCATGTTGAGAATTTCTGCCTCCTGCAATCGGCCCTGTCCTTCATATGTTGACGTCATGAGTAAGGTGCTCCAGAGGCCTTCGCCCAACAGCCTTTTATGGTTGCTGAATATTTGATGCCCAAGCTCTTCGGCTTCTTGCAGACAGTCGCAATACCAGTATACGATGCCAAGTTGGTCACACAACTCACCGTTTGCATGAAGCATGGAAGGCACTCGGTGGAAAGATTACCAAACAGACCAGGTCATCTCCACCGTTGGAGTGGTATGTATTGCTGCATTGATGTATCTCTAACCATCCCTTCTTTGTTAGTGAGGACCGGCCATTCCACATGCAAATACAATTTCCCTTCACCATACATCATACCCACTCCAACTCTCGGCCCAGTTATTTCGCCGATGTTTGATGCCAAGACAAACAACGCCAAAGGTCGTACGCGTCTACCGTAGCTTAGCGCTTTCGTTTATATAGCGAGCTCCACCCGCAAATTTTTTTCTTTCTTTCTACATCGCTCGGAATTCTCCAGCTCTCACTTATTTCTTTTGTTTTTCTTTTCTCAGCTTGGACTGTGTCTAATGATGGCACACACTCCGGCTGTGCTCAAAGCCTGAGGTTAATCTCAGCGCTGCGAATAATGCTCAGTTTCGGTATTTCCCAAAAGGTAAGGAAAATCTTTTTGCTTTCCCAACCCCAAACCCCCGGGGATGATTATATTATAGACATGCAAAGGCATTCCTCAATCAGAAGATCCATGTTGAATCTGTCATACTTTTAAGTTTCAGCCTTGTCTGACCCATCACAACCACATCATTACTTTATAAGCCATACATTGAGTGATCTTTGACTAACAATCTCTCGCTCAGGTAAATCACACTTGGATTCAATCCCTTCCCTCCATTGCGGCTGTTGCCTAGCATGAAGAAATCTTGAACGAACGGGCGGACATAACGTACCCATTTCCCTTCATCCAACAAAACCAGAGCGTACAAACTCTGTGGGTGTATGGGAAGTGGATTACTTGTTGAGAATTCGTCACCTGAACCATTGCCCTTGTCACAATTATTTCATGTCGCATCGACAAGTTGAGACCAGCATTTCTAACAGAAATTCTAGGTAATTCATCACTCGTCTTTCTTTGCCCTTCCTCAACATGGACATACCTATCATGATGAATGTGTTATTCACACTGTTGGACTTGGACCTTGTGTCCGGGAATGAACATTTATACAAAAATCTGATTTAATGAGGTATGTATCTCCTATCGATCGGATAAATGGTATTTCATGCTGACTGACTTGAAGCCTGATTTAGTTGCCATGTCTTGATTTCGCTTTTGACTCATGCTTTTTGCTTGAATGCCATCGCTGACTCGACATAAGTGAACAAATAGGAATACCCCAAGTAGACCATTTGGCTCGTTGACCGTGAGTTTACTCTGCTTCCATTCCCTGTCTCATTGCATGATGAATACCAATATACTGTTCTATCTCTGAACTATCATGTCGATAAACTATTTTCACCTTGGAGAACTGATCTTTTTCCTTTGACTGCCATCATTTCACTCACCTTGAGATATGATCAATTGCTAATATGCATTACAGGAGCCATTGGTCATTTTATAATAGTTTAATATCAAATAATTTTTTCTTCTTGAACACTTTGCCATTCATTTCTTCGGGCTTGTCCTTTGATCTCTCGTAGCCATTCCGTACATCCTTTCCTAGACACCATTCCCAATACCTCTTGCTACCCCCATGCTGATTGGCATTTACCTACTCGACAAACAAACCATGCTTCTTGTGCCATTCCTCAAGACTATCTTCACCATACACCTCGTGTACACTCTTCTTTCCCTCTGGCCACCGCGCCCACGCCGGCTTCGATCCCTCCATGATGCACACCATCTCGCCAGGCACAGGCAACTCCGTATCGATTGCAGAGGCAAAGGGATGAATCAATTCAGGCCAGTGATGGTCCCAAACCCACAGCATAGTACTGCAATTCGAGCAGAAGTTCCGCTCGGAGGAGCACAGCTTTTCATCCGGTGTGCCGCGGTCTTTGATTGCAGTGTATTTCCTAGTCATGACGTAAGTACATGTGGATGAGAATGTTATTTGCGTATTCCAGGTATGGAATGACAGTTTCTCGAGGATCCTGTGCTCAGAAGTGAAACCGAGTGGATATGAATGGGTCATACTTGATCAGATCTTTGCCCTTGATGATATCCAGGCTATCGGCGATGCCGCCGAGGTTCACAGCACCGAGATGTCCGCCTACTTTGCGGCAGATGCTGCAAGCACATAGCTGGTAGGGAACAGGTGTTTGGGACTGGAGAGTAAATTCGACGCCGCCGCATTGGCAGCTTCCTTCGAGGTTCCTATAGACTCGGTTAATATGCCTGTGCTGAGGATGAAAGGCAGTGTTGGTGAAAGTCCACGTACATAGGCATGATTTGGTGTGTTTGTTGGATAAGCTAATGGTCAGTAAGAGTATAATCAAATCGATGTAGGTGACCTCGGGGGTTCGTGGAAGTTTGGGATTATCCAGAGTTAAGAGGTGGTACTCGATATATATACATCCACCACCGAGAGGGGAACTCGAAAACAAAACCAACAAAACGAGCAAACAGTACAGGTCTCGTATGACTAGAGGACGTGTCTAACGCCACTTACTATATTTTCCATCAATAAACCTATATCCGAATGCCCGAGTCCTGTTCTCTAGACGCCAGGTTGATCTCATGCATCATCGACCGTATCCTATAGTTGTGATTGGCTGAATAGGTGTTTGTCTAGTTTGTCCTGTTTGTTTCTCGGAGGTTTGGATTCGCTTTCGCCGACTGATGCTCACCTCGTTGAGCTACATTCTCGTCTGTATCAAAGCAAAATCCTGTTGTGTTGATTTTCAGAGCGGATATATACTCAATCTTGCTGAAGATGAGTTTCGGTGCCCCCGGCGGTGGATCGGTGAACTACAAGCCATCACCGTGAGTTTGATTATTCCAAGCGCGCATATTTCCGCCTGCGACATGTTGTCTAGCGAAGGAACGAGATTGTATCTCATGCTTTACACAATTGCTGACCCAATCGAACCGTCTGCAGACCCGAGCGCGGTAGTTTTCCTCTTGATCACGAAGGTACGCCAGACCGCAACCACACAGCCCATATCCCGAAGGAATTTGGCAAGACCAGCAAAGACAATGGAGCTAATTATAATCTGGGACAATGCAGGGGAATGCAAGCACATTATTTCGGGATATCTGAAGTGTATTAAAATGAACAAAGGCACCAACGACGAGGCGTGTCGCAAATTGGCTAAGGAATACCTTGCCTGCCGAATGGACAAGTAGGTCAGCCCAATACGTGGATGCACCAGATATCGCCATCAGAGGAGGAATTGTATTCGTGATGAATGTCGGAGCCAAATGCTGATCGAAACAACTTGTGATTAGGAACCTCATGGCGCCGGATAACTTCGAGAACCTCGGGTTAGTGTTTAAAGATGGCGAAGGGAAAGGACAGCCTCCAGCTACACCCGCTACAGGCGCAGCAAATCCAGAACAGAAGAGCTGATATGGGACTGCGAGACGTTGGATGATATTGTATGATATGGAAGAGTGGTGCTAGTCCGTGATATTCGGGTAGTGCTGGCATTATTCAAGGCGTTGCACATAAGAAAATGTATTTGGTACCTATTCAACTCATGAAACATGTAAAAATGATCTGTGTAAATGAATTCGCATCGAAATTGGCAAAATCATACTAATCTGAACGAACCATGGTGACCATTGTTGGCTATCACCATATGCGGTTCCCCGCATGTGAAACCCATTCCGCCCGGCCACTCTTACAATCTCCAACTCCTCTACGGAGCCCCAAGCCACCAAATGTCATCGATAGCCCGGCCACCAGACCCGTGCCTCGTGGCAATTATTCTCATTGTGCGCTCTCGTACCGGCCCCCGTCTCGTCTTCCATTACCCCCCAATCCCCTCAGCGAAAGCCGCATCAAAACCACCACCAGGGGCGGCCGGCGCGTCTCGCGCACCCGCACACGATCAAAGAATACCGATTCGAGCTCGAGTTCCGAGAGCGGCCTGAGCTCCGACGAAGACGAGGATGAACGGGAAACCCAGAGCCATGCTGGTGGGAGTTCCGTGCTAGCGGGTCGCCGCGCTAGCAACTTCGGCATCGATGATCATCTCCCCGCTGCTGCATCGCCTGCTGCTGGTGAGCCTCAGCGCCCTGGGTCGCTAGGCTCTGGGCGCGGCTCTTCGGCTCGGAAAAGGGCTGCAGGCACCGATCAGGATCCTGACGACGATGCGGGGACAGCGTCTGATCGTCCTGATGATGGTCCTGGGAGTTCTAGGCCGCCTTGGGAGTCGCTTTTGGGTGTACCTGGGAGTGTGTGGGAGAAACTCCTTAGTCCGTCCCGGTCGTGGCATAAGCGACGTTTTGAGGTTGGGATCAATGATTTGGCGCTTATTGGTTGGCCGGTCTTTGTGCGCGAGGATGGCTCATGGCGCAAGCAACGACGCAAGAAGCAGAAGAAGCCTCGTGCTGAATGGGACGGTGGGGAGTTAGGTCACAATGATAGTTCTGAGGAGGGCAAGAAGGATGAGCGATTTGTTACTTCACCTGATTTGGGTGCTAGTGTTTCTTCTATCGCGGAGTCATTGACATCGCCAACAGACAGCAAGCGTGGGTCCACTAGCGGACGGCCTGGGAAACCAGATGAGCCGCTTGATCCAGAGGACAAAGACCATATGACAATGTTCAATGTGGTTTTTGTTGTGGATCCTCCTTTGCTGGAGTATTCTATGCGCGTGAAGGAAATCTACGAGAATATCATCAAGAAATTCGCCAAGGCTCTTAAATGGGAACAGGCTCGCACTGACTATGTGTGGAAGGAGTCTCAACATATTCTGCAAGTGAGGAGAAGAGCACGAGAGACAAGTATGTTTCCTGCTAATAGCCATCCTGCTCGAGCTGACAATGATACTGGACAGAAACATCGACCCATAATCTTTACTCCGAATTGATATCTCAGTCTTCTCTAGCTCGAGCTATCTACACAGTCTATAGCAGCATATCGGCATCGAAAATCGCATCCGTATCGCTCAGCCCGGATGTTTCTATCTCGCTCCAGATCCCACCTTTGACCTCTACACCATACCTTACTGGTCCTATGGATAAAGCATACCCAGGCTTATGGCTCACGACAGCAGATAGTGCAACCCCTGTCGACGATCCAAGTGCAGATGAAAGCAACACGCCGCATCAGGTCCTGGCAAAGCACTTTGCTCTACTTCTGTTAGACAGCGAAGCTGCCATTGTTAAGGATGTCGAAGCGTCTGGGGGAGCGCTTGCCCCCGCACTTGCGCATTATATCCGATGCTCTAAGCCAACCAAGTCATTTGCGCAAATATCAGTATCATCGGGAATTCCACTATCCCATATCCAGATGCTGTCGAGTCATCTTGTGTACTGGCGTCGTGCTCGCGCCATCCCTCCCATCCACCAACGAGACACATATATCGTCTCTCCAAACTGTGACTTGAGCAAGCTTGAAATAGCCACCATCGCTTATCAGACAGCATTCCCAACATACCCTAGTTTGCCCAAAATGCTTTCCACTCTCAGTGGCACCCCTCGCCCTTATAGCAACTTCATCCCCAGCAAAGACCACAAGGAGATATATTTCAATATTCTGGCCTGGCTACTGCGCGGCGGCTGGGTTACCCAGCTCCGCACTTTCGCGCGCATCAAAGTCTCGCCCGATGTCAAAATGGCTGTGGAGATGGCGCTGCGCAAGGAGGAAGTCGAGCGATACCTGTCCAAGGGCAACTCAAACTCGATCTCGGTCGATGAGGACAGCGACTCTGATGATGAAAATGACGACGCCAACTCTTCCTCGTCCTCTTCGCTCGACAGCCACGGCAGCGGAGGTGAAACACCCACGCCCAGTCGACATGACCCACACGCCCAACTGCGCTCTTCCCACAAACTCCTCGATCAATCAACAGCTCTCCGGCTGTCCTCTTTCATCCCTTCCCCTCACCGCGCATCCCCACTCGAGTCCCGCTGGCTTGACGAAATCTTCTCCCGATTCCCCGACAAACCCAGAACCGTCCAGGGAGACGAAAACGCCAGCCCGGATATCGCGCCCAACGATAGCCAGGCCCTGCACAAGAAGTACTGGCCTGTCTTCCTCAAGTACTTCAATGGCTACGATGCCATCGAAAAGATCTCCGTGCGCGAGAATCTTAAGCGCAAGCTCGTCTGGCAGGTCCTTATGCGTCTGGGCTTGGTGACGGGTCCACTGGGCGCTATGGATCTCGATACGCGTGAACAGGTGTTGGTCAGTGTTCGGCATTGGTAGGTGGTGTTTTTCTGGAGTTGGTATGGAATATGGAACATGGAGTTTTCTCTAGCAGGACAATGATATCCCTCTTTTACATAGACATTCGTTTCCAAATGTCTTGTTTATATTTTCAGGTAAATCCTATTGGTATAGATCACGGACACCTGAGGCAGGTTATTTTCAGGGTAATACAGCCCGCGTATTCTGATTACATACCCACTCTCCTATTCCGATGGTTTCCGCGTGCCCTCAGCCCTAATCACTGCCGAAAGCACAACGTTTGAATATGGATTTATTAGGTGAAGGGTAATTGAGATGGTTCTTGTTCGAGTTATATACTTTAATTGGACTGATTGGTATCATTTTTATACAAATATACAAAAAGAGTGAGAGTGTTAGTATGTACTAGTAGCACTTGGGTAGCTCACGTGTTCCAAGGTTGGAAAGCATACAATTATATCACATTCTTTTCGTCGCACAATGATCAGCATGGCAGTCCTAGGTAATTTTTTTTTCTCACAGGGTACTATGTAATATAATATGTAATCCCTTCACTTGGCACCTTCAAATGTATTGATAGTATTACGTTTACCCCGAGGATTCCATCGCCGGCCCGTATATCCGAACAATTAACGGACTAACGGGCTGAAGATTATAGGATTTGGGAGGATTTCGGTTGTAGTTGGGAGTGTTTATACTAAAGTTTATACCAATATATGACGGTAGTATAATAGTATCATATTGATGCTATGATATTTTATACACATAAGTTTATATTCAAAAGAAAAGCTCGACTCTCCCATGTCAGATAATTCTATTGTGCGTCAATGGCCGGAGGGGCTCCGGTGGACCCCGCGATGTTCAAATGTACTTTGTATGTATTCTTGCTCCAAGTTGATGAGCCGAGGATTAGTATACGTATTCTGTTGTATTCTATGCAATTTCTATAGTTAGTACTTGAATAGAAGCTCGATCTATATAGTGAAAGGTCTTTGACGGAAGGTTTAGAACATGAAAGCCATAGTGTTATCCAATTGGCTGGACATTTGTTGCTTGAGACCTCAGAACCCTGAATATCGCCACTTTGACAGCTATTTTAATCATGGGTCGCCTGAGCTGTGGTTGTTATTGGGCCGACACCCTTTAAAGAAGCATGCGGCTCAATTATATGACTTTGAACAGATTCTTTGTTGGTTTCATAGACCATGTATAAAAGGTACCTGACTGCGGAGCGTGTTGACCTCGGCAAAGCAAATACATGAGCAGAAGTGGACATAGTATGTATAAGACAGGGTATTCTAGGAATTCATAGTGTGTTCATTATGCGTAGCGTAATAGGTATATAAGTACTATGAGAATATATGCCTCAATCGGCTAGTACAGACCCAGCTCCGAGATGCCCGATTACTTATGGATTGACCTAGACAAGGCAATCCGGACTTGAATTAGAAGTAATATATATGATATTCAAATAAATGAACCTTTGACAATTAAAATCAAAAGAAATCAGAGCAAAATCAGGAATAAAATCGTTTTATGCGAAATTCCACAATAAAAAAAACCCAATGTGCCCATTCAAATATTAATTACGTGTAAAGAAAAAACCCCGCTACCAGTTCTGCCCTGAACCAAATAATTTTGTGTCTTCTCTCTCTTCTCTCTTACATTTCTTCCCCCTCCGCATCGGGCTGTTTCTCCCTTCCTCTTCCGCGACTTCTTTATTCCCCTGCGGTACCTCTCCGTCTCAGAGAGAACCGAGTTACTTCATCTCTTCCACCCTTCCCACGTGCCGAATCGCGGTCCTCATTTTTCAAGGGTCTTTCGCAAATATTGTGCTTCGCATCCTTGTCAAGAATCGAATTCTAACAGGAATTACACCGCGTTCCTGTGAATCCGACTTGCACGACTCAGCGACTGAGCCCTTACAACCCTTTTCAGCCTGGCGACGTTGACAAGGCAGTGCCTTCGTAGCGTCCTCAGTGGGAATTTTTTCCTTACTACACCTTCCTCTTTGTTTCCTGACAACCTGTGTGCTCACAAGTCACGGCTGTTGAGATCACCCCTCCACACCGAGAAATCGACGGTCCATTTATCTATGCGATTTGTGATCTAGACGATCCTCTCAGCAGATACAACTCCTTCGATTGCCCTTTCGCGACCCGATACCCCCCGTGGTCCTTCTTCTCGCTTACGCACGAAATCGTCCTTTCGACACACAATTGAGAGCCTCTCCAAAAAGACGGGAAGCTGCAGATTAGTGGGGTCACAAGAAGCTGGAAACTTTCCCTTTCTTGATTTCCACTTTGCGCAGGTGCCATCTCGCCCCCAGTAGGCGTAGACTGAGATCCAGAGTCACCAAAGGTCGTCCGGTAAAATAAGCCGCACCTCAATTTTTCCCCCACACATTCGATCAGAGCTACGATAAGCTCTCAATACAACATGTCTACGTTTTCGTACGCACAAGCTGCCAAGGGCGTCTCCGGCACACCGACCCCGTCCAAGACACCATCAGAATCCGAGAAGACTGACTCCAAACCGGAGGAGCAGACCATCGCTGAGACTACAACGGATGAAGCACCAGCCCCCACTGAGTCTGAGCCCATCCAAAAATCCGAGGTAGTCGCAGAGGAGACCAAGGATGATGATTTCACCACTGTTACCAACAAGCATGCCGCTAAGACAAAGGCCATCAACTCTCGAACATCAAGCCCGAGCGTCCGCACAGGCTCAAAGTCGCGCAAGTCAAAGGAGGAAGATTCAAATACCTCCAACGGCACCGCAGATGCCACCGCTGAGAAGCTGGCTCCCAGTGAGGGACAGACCGAGAAGGCCGAAGGTGCCGCAGAGAAGTCCACTGAAAAATCCGAGGATTCCGAAAAAACCGCATCACCACCCAAGGAGCTGAAGGCTGCTCCTCTCCCGTCAGTCAACATCTGGCAACAGAGACGAGAGGCCCAGGATGCCAAGGTCAAGGCCGTCCCCAAGGCCGCCTCAACTAGCAAGGCTGCCTCCACTAAGGCCGCCTCGACTGCTGATGAGACCCAGCAAGACTCCAAGGCTGGTTCTAAGAAGAAGGGCGCCGATGGTGCACAGGAAGGTGCCAAGGACCGCAAGAAGACCGATGGAAAAGGACGCGATGCCGGATCAGTGCCCCCAGTAGAAGATGCTACTGCATGGCCCACTCCCCAAGTTGCGATCGGTGAAGAGAAGAAGAAGTCCCACGAAAAGACTGATAAGAGCCCCGTCATCCGACCACATGGAAAGGAAAAGTGGACTCCCGTTCCTTACGTCCCTACTGCTGTATTCAACACCCCGCTCCCATCTGCCGGTGGCCGTGGAGGTAGACGGGCCACTCGTGGTGGCCGGGACAGTGGCCGTGGAGCTCACGGTAATGGAGCCGCTGCCACCGACAAGGCTGCCTCTGGACAGGCCGCCCAAGGCGCAAAGCAGACATCTGGAGATCGCGGACGCCACGAGTCTGGCACTGGACGTGCCGCTTCTCTTCCCGCGCAATCGAGACGTTCCACAAGCACCGACGCCGTTGCCGCAGCTGATGCACGCAAGGCTTCCCAGGCACCTGAGCGCGGCCGTGGAGCTCGCAACGGAGAGGAGAACAAGCAGGTGAATGGTGGAGAGAACGCCCCCCGCCCTCAACGTGAGGGCAAGTCCTTTGGAAGAAACCAGGATGCCCGCGCAGGTGACCGCAACCAGAAGGGTGGAAACCTGGCTGTTGACTCGCAGGCTGCTGCCCGCAGCAACGACCGTCGCCTCGAAGCCGGATCCAAGTCTGCCGACCCCACCGGTTTCAACGAGTTCAACCGCGAACGTGGAGAGTTCCGATCCGAGCGTGGAGGTCGTGGATCTAACCGCGGCCGTGGTGGCGGTTACTCCAACTTCGGCGGCCAGAACGCCCAGTTCAATGCGTCTATGTCCAACAACTCATTCGCTGCGCCCAAGTTTGGCTTCAACGACCGTCAGCGGTCACAGCAGCATGGCCTCCCCAATGGATCGCAACAAGGAAACCGTATGCCCCTCCGATCGCCCTCTTTGCCCACTCCCGCAAACATGTACGGTGTTGTTTATCCTTTCCCAGGTGATATCAACACGATGTATGGCTACCCAGCTGTCAACTCCGCCCCGATGAGTGCTGTTCCATACCAGCAGCAATACGTTGAGCCGTTCTCGCTCATGAATATGCTCTCTATGCAATTGGAGTACTACTTCTCGGTTGACAACATGTGCAAGGACATGTTCCTTCGCAAACAGATGGATTCTCAAGGATTTGTGCCTCTGAACGTCCTTGCCAGCTTCAAGCGTGTCAGGTCCCTCACTGAGGACTTTGAGCTCCTTCGTCACGTGGCTCGTCAGCTCCGCAGCGTAGAGTGCCAAACTGGTGAAGATGGTGTAGACCGCCTGCGCCCCAGAGACAAGTGGCAGCAATGGGTCCTCCCCGTGGACCAGCGTGAACCTGCCGCCCAGCATGACGGTGCCGCCCCTGCTAGAAAGACTGATGAGAACACCCCCGTTCACAGCCACTCCGAGAGTGTTATCAACGGATCCGCTCCTCAGTTCGTTCCCAACGGTGTCGCCCATGATGCGAAGACTTCACTTTCGTCTACCGCTCCAGAGTTCATGCCCTCATTGCTACCCACCGCAGTGAACGAAATTGCCAATGTAGGATACCCCTGGAACCCCCCAACCTCCCCCGATGATTCGACAACGTCGTTATTTTCGTCGTCTTCGTCTTTCCCCATGGACTATTCATTTGTTGACCCTTCTTCCTCAGCGCGTGGACTAGATTCGCAAGCCGAACCCCCCTCCCCCTCTGATTTGGAACAGACGGTTGCCCCGACGAGGTAGGCCGAACTTTTTACATGAGCAATAATTTCTGTGAGGCACTGACTGACTGTATGAACAGCTTTGACGCAGATTGCTTTCGAAACCAAATCGGCGGTGCTGATTGGTTGATCAACAAGTCTTTTGCCGAAGCGCGTCAACTGGCGCCCAAGTCAAATGGGAAAGGCCGTTCGTCCACAGAAACGTCAATTTATGTCCCAAAAACTTTCAATATGTCTCGCAAAGAAACTTTCGATGGCCGTGGCCGACCGATGGCAAGAAGGTATAGCTTTGGAATGATCCAGCCCTACGAATTCTGGTCATTCAGCTTGACAAAAAATTTCGATTCGCATTTGTACAATGAATTTAGGCGTTCAGCCCTTGATGATCTTTTGACTCGACACGTTGACAATGGGTTCAACGAGCTCATGGAGTTTTATCGGAACTGTCTGCTTCACCGTCGCCTCATCCCTGACCTCGTGATGTACGACCTGGTCCATCTTTCACAAGATCAAACATTGGACTACCATACCCTCGTCTCTAATACGATCCATGAAACCATTGCCAGTGGAAAGATGAAACTACACAACCGGGGGAAAATCAGCAAATATTTCAATACCCAAGCCGGCAAGACGGCGGGAGAAAAGTTATCATGAGCCCTTTTGCATTTCTTTCTGAATTTTGCTTCTTCGCGACACGTTTCCTTCTACTGCTTGTTCATCTTTCATGACCGGCATTATTCCTCTTTTTTTGTCCAAAATGGTTTTTTTTGCATGCATATTCGCCAACTTTCCTAGAGTTCCAAGTGACCCCTTCATTGCAATAACGCGGTCTGGTTTCTCGGTCAACTCGAAACTTCGGAGTTTTCTCATCTCCTTTTTTCTGTTTAATTTTCATTGCTTTTTAGTCATGGGAGATTCTCAAAACGTTCTGGCGTCCGGGCATGATTTTACTGGCAGTCTCTCTTTCTTTCAATGCCTGCCGCTACGGTGTGCCGGGCCCTCAAAATTCGTTTTTTTTCCCACCCTTGACATAGATATTTCCACTACTTTTCTTGTTTCCTTCCTGAAGTTGTGGTTTTCTATTATTGATCCAGTCAATCTGCGATCTGGGCTTTTCATCGGCTCTGGATCTTAACAAGTATCAGCATGGCAATGACCCAGAAAAAAGCACATGTCTTACAAAAGTCTTGTCTGAGGTTATCTGTGTGTTTCGAGTTTCCTTCATGGTGCCAATCGGAGAAAATCAATCCAGCATATCTACATTGCCGATCTCTTCTTCCCTGGGTGACCGTCCAATTGGTCTACCCAGTTCTTCTTTGGACGGATTCTTTGAAGTGGATCGATCCGTTTCAGTGCTTAGTTCTTCTTGCTGGGGTTCCTGCACAGAATATTTTATTTTCTGTCCTTTGCTTTTTTTGCATAAACTGGGCTGAACAGGTCTTTGTGGAGTAATATGATGATATGATTGATATGGATACCGTGCGCTCCATGATATTAAGCTTGCCATGTAAGAGAATGTCAATTATAAGACGTGTCTCAAACTATGTACATAATGATATATCCATATAAAACAAGGATAGTCGGCCGTTTATGCGGCTTCTTTCCTTGACAACGTAAGAGCTTTAATAGTCTGATCTATTTGGACCAAGATGGTATTAGCGGTGTTATATGTAAAAACGCTCCGATGTGCATTTTGGATGTTCTTTTTGTATGCCCTTTTCGATGTCTTCTTAGGTGTATATGAAGGCAGTGAAAATCGTACTTTGTGCAGACGACCTTTCTATGTATAACCTTTGAATAAGGCCAGTCGAGTCTGATGGAAAGAGGTCGATGGTTCCTGCCTCAGGCAGACAGATCTTGCAACCAAACGGAGATCATTCAATTCCGATCCGGCTCTAGCAGCTCACTTTCCCCCCCCTAGCTCTGTTCAGCACACCCAAAACACTGTTGTTCTTTTCCTTTAAACCTCTTTACATTTAAACCCACCTCTTGATCAAGATGGAGGGCGCATCCCGCCAAACGTCAAGGCTACTCCGGCCTCGTGGCCAGAAACTCCTTCCCCAACGTCTCACACGAACCTCCGCAGTCAGCGCCACACCCTTCACCCAGATTCAACGACGGACACTGTCAAATTCTCCTCGGTCTCTCGCCCCAGAGTCCCTTCTCAACAGCTTCAGAACTGGTGGTCCATACAACGAGGGACCCACCAGCTATTTCTCCAACCGACAAACACTCCCCGCGAACACCGTTGTGCGCTTCGTGCCACAACAGACAGCATGGATCGTCGAGCGCATGGGAAAATTCGACCGTATTCTGGAACCCGGTCTTGCGATCCTTGTGCCGTTCCTGGACCGAATTGCCTACGTGAAGAGCTTGAAGGAGGCGGCTATTGAGATCCCCAGCCAGAACGCCATTACAGCGGATAATGTCACCCTTGAGCTGGACGGTGTGCTATATACGCGTGTTTTCAATGCATACAAGGCAAGGTGAGTGGTTTTATGCCGTTCTTGGCTGTTGCGTGGAATTGGACCAGTCGAAACAAAGCGAGTGCTAATACATCAATCGTCAATTATAGCTACGGAGTCGAGGACGCAGAATACGCTATTTCGCAACTCGCGCAGACGACTATGCGTTCCGAAATCGGTCAGTTGACCCTCGATCACGTTCTTAAGGAACGCGCCAATCTCAATACAAACATCACCAAGGCTATCAACGAGGCGGCCCAGGAATGGGGTGTCGTCTGTCTCCGGTATGAGATTAGGGATATCCACGCGCCGGAGGCGGTCGTTGCTGCCATGCACCGCCAGGTTACTGCTGAGCGCTCCAAGCGAGCTGAAATCCTCGAGTCTGAAGGTCAGCGCCAGAGCGCGATCAACATTGCCGAGGGTCGCAAGCAGTCTGTTATTTTGGCTTCTGAGGCTCTGCGCTCCGAGAAGGTTAACCACGCTTCTGGTGAAGCCGAGGCTATCAAGCTTAAGGCCGAGGCTACCGCGCTCGGCATTGACGCTGTTTCTCGGGCCATCGAGGAGGGTGGCGACAACGCTCACAGCGCCGTTGGTCTCAGCGTTGCTGAGAAGTATGTCGCGGCCTGGTCTAACTTGGCACGTGAGGGTACGGCTGTTGTTGTCCCCGGTAATGTCGGTGACATGGGTGGCATGATCGCCAATGCCATGGCTGTCTATGGTAAGGTCAGCGAGACGCATGCCCGGGGTTTGGCAAAGAAAACTCTTGGTGTCGAAGGCAACTCTCAGTCATCGGAGACGTCCCAAAACAGTAAAGTGCCGACCTTTTTTGAGGAACAGGCTGAGCAGAACACGCAGTCCAATGTCGCCTCGCAAACTGCCGAGGAGGGATTTGAGACGGTCGCCGGCGAACACAAGAAATAAGCGTCTATACTTCACCCAACCGAAACGAGAACGACGACTCCTCTCTTGATGTGATTTTAATTCCCTCCGCCCTTTTTCCTTTTTGTTCTGGCACCTCCACTCAGTCGGCTCCTTTGGTGTATGGGCTGGCTGTTTCCCACTCTGCTCTTCCACATTATTCTTGTATTGGGCTCTTTACATTTACCCACAACCTCCATCTCCATTTCTTACTTCTCCCACTCTTGCTGCCTGTTGTCTTCCCATTGTTTTCCGGCATTTCTTTAGGAGTCTTCCAAAACGCACGAGCTTCGCTGTGCATGTGATATCGAATTCGCCAAATGGGTTCCTGTATGTGTACATAAAGGAATTGTTGTTGATCAGAGAGCCCGTGAGGAAGGAGAATATCTCAATGTACAAGTATCAGTATCTATATTGCTTTCCAGGGATTGTAGGTCAGTTGTGAGACGTCGGATGTAAATTGTGTCAGATCAGCTCTTCGGTTTCATCACTGGTATGATCCTTGCGGATCTAAGTCGGGCTCTAGCATTGAATTATGCTACATCCATCCTTCCTCTTCTTCAAGGGCCGTCTACTGAATTTACTACGGATTATTATGGGGAAAATGGAGGTCACTAAAACAAGTGCATTGTTGACAGCTCTCAGTAAAAAGGTTACCGAATTCCTACATACTTAGTTCCAACCAAACACGAAGAGACAAAAAGGAAATAGAACAACGTACCTGAAAACGAATAGAATCAATCAGTAGAAACCGGAGATGCAGGAATAGGTTCAATATCAAACCTGATCTCAAGTGAGCAACTTTGATCCCAGGTTACAATCCTAGCAATATAATACGTACCTCTAGGAAAGATCTCCAAGACCAGATACACCGCGCACTTTCCAACGCGCGTACCCAGAAGAGCCTGGTACTCGGGGGTATTATACTGCCAGACCAGCGGTGCTCTACAGACCGGAGGCCAGGTGAGATCATTGCGCGAGGAATACAGAACCTCCTGCACAAACTCCCTAGTGTCGACATTGACGATATCACAAACATAGAAGTGTCGCAGAGACTGGGGCTCAGCAATCTCCTGCAAATGAGCCCGGGCAATCTGCGAAAACTGAGGCCCGTCAGTTCTGAACATCCCCTCGGCGATAATCAGTCCCCTTCCAACTAGGATGTCGTACACGTTCTCGCAGCCAGCAGCCCCGAGACCGCCCTCTGCGTAATTTTGCGCCAGTGTCTGGTTGTATATAGCCGCGTTCGGGTATCCCAGTGCGAAGGCATTCTCCGCAATCTGGAACGGGATGTTATGCTTGTTGGTGCGAATCAACCAGCGTGCGTCTATAAGGTCGGCTACGGTCAGGGTGCTGGGCTGAATTTGGCATGTGCGGTCTGTGGGGTCTTCGATCCATCGTTGTCGCATAGCGCCTTCGTCTTGGATCTCGCCGTATCGCCGGGCTGGGGTGGAAGTAGCTGGGGGTACGGCTAGAATGGTTGGAATCCCTGCGGGAGGATTTGGGGGAACCCAAGACTGCGCTGAAGGTGCCATACTGACGTATCAGTATCTTGCCGATCGATAATTTGAATGATGGGCTTGGGATACTGATCGAACGACGGTCTGAGTAGTGCCATATATAGTATGTGTCGGTATAGTAAGAAGACATGCAACAAAGGCAACAATGGCCTGGAAGAGAACAAGGACAAAGGCAATGTGGGCATCGTAGACGACTGAATCATAGAAGACTGCTAGTTTGAGAGTCTCGACAAAGAATGGAGAAATCTGTTTCAGGAGCTTTGTGCTTCTTTGTGCAAAACATATTTGTTCGAACAAGACAATCCCGACTTGAATAGTAATAAAAGCCTGAGGGTTTCCACCTTCTCGAGTCTTTCCCTCCATCTCCCACCTGACGCTTCTCTGGTTAATTCATCAATCACTGTCCACAAGCCCTAGGTCTTAGTCTTCACATCTCTAGACCATCATCACCGGCAACAATGTCTCTTACCAGACCTAACCACCTGACCTACGATCAGCATTTCGAGCGTGAATGCGAGCTCTTCCAGGAAGCTCTAGTAAGGGAAGCTCACTCACTCCATCTGTTGGAAGACCGCCGCGCAGAAACCATTCAAGTCATTTGTGATCTGATCTTTCAGCTGGAGATCATCGGGCAGCTCGCTGAGACTATGGCCAGAAAGTCCCCTATATGCCCTACTGTCTTGATTAGCCCCCCGGGCTATTTCCTTGGTGAATTTCAAGACTTTTGCCGTGCGAGGATTCTGCCTGGTTTGGTTAGATCGTTGACCTGTCTTAGAGAGTCGGATACTATCTATCGCGATATCAACTTCACAGTCGCTGGTCAATTGGAGGCGGCACACGACGATATGGCGTTTGTCTTGGATAGTCGCGAGTAGTAAAATTGTGTTGTTTGGATTCTGTCTGCTTTGACTAAGCTGTTGAATTACCCCTACAAGCCGAGGACATGACATTTGTTTTAGGTATGTTGCGATAGTCTATTGCATTGGTTAGACGAATAAAATGGTCTACTTCAGTTTATTTTGATGTTAATATCTGTAGCTTAAGAAGATGTCTGTATATATGTAGTTATTGTTGAAATAGTACACTGAGGGACTATACAGCATGTAAAATAGGGAGTATCTCTTGCGAAGTAATACTTGAAAGTATCGAAAAGAATTGTAAAACTGTCTAATCTCTTCATACATAGAAAGAAGCCCATATGTATCTTCTTCTTCTTCTTCCCTTGGAATCTATCAATTTGTAATGGAAACAGAAAGAAGAGCGGTGATAGCACTGAATGCAGCCTGAATTGAAATGGCTTCCTGTGATACAACAAACTGGCGGTTGTATACAGGAATTGGTGGTGTCGACGGCAAACTGCATACGGCGCTAACCTCGATTCCGTAGGACCTCAAAGCTCTTGGCATGGGGGTTGCATAGTGATTCGTAATGCATAAAGCATGCCGAATTAGGGTTAGCGTTGAAAGCTCCATGTTAATTACTGAGAATTAACCTGGATCTCAACAGTTATACATAGAATTTGTTGTCAATAAGCTGGCGTTTGGTAGCCTACATCATACATGACCTGTTGGTTCTGCTTGCATGGCTCTTGTAGTCTCGAAAGCAGTCGCGCCGTAGGAGATACTTCATTTCTCCGCTTCTAGATATCTTGTATGTTAGATTATTTAAGTGGCGGTCGATACGTCATATACTCATTTTTGAGGTGGTCTGAGAGAGCTATATCTGTACTCTCTATCACAATCCAATGCACCGGCAGTTGAGCATCACACTTCATTTCTATAGTTAAAGTACACCCAGGTCCAAAAAACACCGTAATGCGTCAAAGAACGTTATCACTGCTGAAGTGGCAGCATCCAATGATTGAGTTCACTGCGGTCCTATTCATGCCGCTTCACCCACCCCAAGCAATGTCACTGGTATATTAACCCCCCTCCCCCTCAATTCTTCTCTTAATCTCCTTGTTTTTTTCCTACATTTTGTCTCCAAAGCAATACCATATCCTATAAAGCATCCACCATGTCTAGCTCCGGAAAGGGATACACCACTGACAGCTCCGGCACCAATAGCCAGGTATGCTCCCCTATTTCCTACGCTATGCCACCAAGAACACCAGAGATGCATCCGTTCTTGGTAAATGTCAAACCATCATCAATATAAAACTTACAAAAGCTAAATTAGGGCAACCACTATTGCTCTCGCGACTACGGCTCCAGCGCGTCTAACTCGAACAGCTACCACTACTCCAATACGTAAGAACCTGCTTTGAACGAAGCTGTCATGCATATGCAGTGATTGAAAACAGTTTATTCTGACTGTTTGCTCTAGCGATGGCTCCTACTACTACTCCAACCCCAATGGAAGCACCTACCACAACAGCGGGTCGGGAAGCTCTACGTACACTGCCCCCTCTGGAGGATCCGGAGGATCCGGCAAGAAATAAATTTTCATGTCATAATGTTGGCAAGTGATTGATGTATGATGAAGCTTAATTTATGTGAATAACCAATGAATCTTTATTCCTTTTTTATATAAATGTGTGTTGATGTAGTTGTAGCAAGCATATCCAGTAGAGAATATTCGGTCACTCAATACTCGCATCAACTGGAGTACCTCTCCAAAAGAAAAACATCAATTACTTCTTCCACAGAGGTCCTTCCCCCAGAAGCTTTAGTCTATATTGGCTTCGTTTATCATAGAGATATCTAGATGTTTCGCCTCTTCTTCGCTAAGGGATGAAGCCCAAAGACACCGAGACCTTCAACATGCACTGTAATTGAATTTTAAAAGTGATATATACTGGTACCCGAGGAATGTTTTATTTTTGCAATTTTTACTATGATCATTCATTAAAGACAAGGTTGTCCAGGTATACATTGAGTGGCCTTACTTTCTGGTATAGAAGCATGTTTGCCTTGTACCACTATGTTTGATGAAACCAGCAAGCATAAAAAAAATATCTGCATAAGATAAAACATACAAAATGACTGTATTCCCCCCTCACAAGAAATTAATAAGTGCTAGCCCTTGTAGCCCTTGCAGTGTAGTTCGAAAGACTATCAACGCGGGAGCTCGGACCAGGCAAATCTGGAGATCGCGACTTTTGGATTCGCGCCCTTTTAATCTCCGGTCTCATTTCTCATCTGGACCTGAGCCTGATTTTATTGGTCTTGAATCTCGTGATCGAGGAACTCGTTTGTTTTGGCTCTAGTTCCTGCCATGTTCCACGTTAAACTCATATAACCACCTAAAGATCAGCGACACGCTGCGCCGTTCCCCCTCCTTACCCACGCTCCGCGCACATTGGTGCCGATACGTGTCGCACGACCTTATCTCGAGACACGACTACTCAAAACTTTGAGAAATAAGCGAATAACCGTGACTTTGCTCCGGGACAGGCGCGATGCATATCATAAAGCCGGTTTGGCTCACCCATGGAGGTACGGAGCTTGATCGCCTTGGTTTTCTTTGCTCGACACTGTTGGGACGGAGACACGATGCTTCATGAGAGCAGAACCAAATCATCCCACGAAAGGGCCAAATTTGCTAATTTCATTGCTCTGATACAGGTGAACGTAAGGATTTCGAGGTTTATAGCTGCGATGTCTCGCCAGATGGGAAGCGACTGGTCACAGCTGCTGGAGGTGAGCTCGACCCTTTTTGTTTTGAGGTGGAGGTCACAAGGATCATGCGCCACGGAAGGGAATTATCGCTGACATCCTGGCTTTTGATTCGCTTTAGATGGATACGTGCGAATCTGGTCAACAGATGCTATTTACGGCACCGGAACCCCCGAACTTGAGGGCAAGCCAAAACAACTGGCGTCCATGAGCAACCACTCGGGCACGATTCATACCGTCCGTTTTTCACCCAACGGGAAATACCTGGCGTCAGGCGCAGATGACAAGATTGTCTGCGTGTACACCCTCGACGCTAACCCCCCAACACACTCGTCAACATTTGGTATGCTTTGGATACACTTGGATATGAAGAGATGGAGGCAGACACTAACAGCTATGGGAAAACTCTTAGGCACCGATGAAGCACCCCCCGTTGAAAACTGGCGCACGATTCGGCGATTGATCGGTCATGACAATGATGTCCAAGATCTTGGATGGTCCTTCGACTCATCGATACTGGTCTCCGTTGGGCTGGACTCAAAGGTCGTGGTGTGGTCTGGTCACTCATTTGAAAAGCTGAAGACGATAGCGATCCACCAGAGTCACGTCAAAGGCATCACTTTTGATCCGGCAAACAAATATTTCGCAACTGCTAGCGATGACCGGACTGTCCGCATCTTCCGATTTACCTCCCCTGCCCCCAATTCTTCAGCTCATGACCATATGAACAATTTCGTCCTTGAGCAAACAATCACAACCCCATTCGCCAATTCTCCTTTGACAGCTTACTTCCGTCGTTGCTCTTGGTCGCCTGATGGGATGCACATTGCCGCCGCAAACGCTGTGAACGGTCCTGTGAGCTCTGTGGCCATCATCAACCGTGGATCATGGGATGGTGACATCAATCTGATTGGACATGAGGCACCTGTTGAGGTTTGTTCGTTCTCTCCGCGACTTTACGCAACCGAGCCGCCCAATAAGAAGCAAGCCGATGGGCAGCCTGTACCCCAACACCACATTACCGTCATTGCTTGTGCCGGTGGAGACAAATCCCTCAGTATCTGGATTACGAGCAACGCACGTCCGATTGTGGTTGCGCAGGAGATGGCCGCTAAAGCCATTTCAGACCTGGCATGGACTCCTGATGGAAAATGTCTCTTTGCTACTGCTCTGGATGGCACAATTGTGGCAGTCAGGTTTGAAGATGGCGAGCTGGGCTGGGCCACCGAAATGGAAGAGAATGAGAAATCACTCACTAAGTTCGGAACTAATCGTAAGGGTGCCGGTATCACAGAAACCACCGACAGCTTGTTGCTGGAGGAGAAGAGCAAGGCTGGCGAGATCAAGCACGTCGAAGGGAGAATGGGTGCACTGATGGGCGATGGCGCTGAACCTACTACGAATGGAGACAAAGCCCCACAGCCATCAAATGGGACCACACCTGCTCGGGGCCCTTCGCCAGCTCCCGAGGCTACGAAGACCCAGACGAATGGAACCCCTTCGACACCTGCCACTACAGAATCAGAGAAGCCTGACCCTTACAAAGCCAAGCTGGAAAGACTTAAGCAGCGTCCAACGTACACCAAAGAGGGCAAAAAGCGCATCGCTCCATTACTAGTCTCCGGAGCTGGGGCTGGCGAGTCATCTCTCCCGCAAGCCCGTTTGATGGCATCAGTTAGCAATCAGGTCAAGGCTGACGCCCCGACTACCATTGTTGACCTGTCAAAACCCTTCGATGGTCTACCCAAGGGTGGTCTGACTGCTCTTCTTCTTGGGAACAAGCGCAAGCTAGCCCAAATAGAAGGCGACGAAGATGGCAGTGTAGAAAAGCGCGTGACACTTGCCAGTCAAAACGATGCGACTCCCATCATGGCCAACACTCCCGACGGCCTTCTACCGGCTCAAGTTCAATCTGCCACTACCGGTCAACAGCCAACTCCAGAGTTCATTCGCCCCGCGGTCATAAATCCTTGCATGTCGGTCAGCCAACTTCGTCTGGCAGTACCCAAAATTCGCAGCCAGATTCTCCGCGCTCTAGATTCGAGCGGGAAACCGACGGAACAACCTGGCCCTGGTACAGACTCGGGCTCTACCAAGAGTCGGGTGGACGTGGTTTTCGAAGCTCGGAACCCATCACCAGCTAGTTTGACCGGTCGTGCCGTGGACCGCGAGCCAGTACGCCTGACATTGTTCCGCGGGGATCAGCCATTGTGGCAGGATTTCTTACCGCGGACTGTCCTTCTTGTGACTGGTAATCAGAGCATGTGGGCAGCTGGCTGTGAGGATGGATCAATCTATCTTTGGACACCGGCAGGTCGTCGTCTGGTAAGTGCGCTCGTTCTCGAGGCACAGCCTGTCATCTTGGAGTGCAATGGACACTGGATCCTGTGCATATCCTCTGTGGGCATGTGCTATGTCTGGAATGTGAAGCACATGTCTTCTCCTCACCCACCAGTCTCCCTCCAGCCAGTACTGGATGCTGCAATTCATACTCTTGGTGCGAACCCCACCGCCGCTCCCGCAGTAACAGATGCACGCATCAACTCTGAGGGCCGAGTAATTGTTTCTTTGTCCAACGGCGAAGGATATTCCTATTCCCCATCCATGTTCACATGGCAGCGCATCTCGGAAGCTTGGTGGGCTGTCGGCAGTCAGTACTGGAACACCACAGACGCACCCGTGAGCAACTTGCAGGCCAAGGATGCACAGCAAGATAACAAGGATGCCAAGGCAGCTGTCGCAGCCGGCATCATTCCTTGGTTGGAGCGAAACACCACCAATGAGACCCTCCTTCGCGGAAGAGCATACTTCCTCCAGCGTCTTATCAAGGTTTTATTGTCACGCGAAGGGTATGAGACTTTCGAGTCCAGCGTATCCATTGCTCATCTCGAAAATCGTCTCGCTGCTGCTCTGTCCCTGGGTGCCAAGGAAGAGTTCCGGTTATACCTATCCATGTACGCCAAGCGCATCGGTGCCGAGGGCCTGAAACTAAAGGTCGAGGAGCTCTTGAAAGGTCTCATTGGCGGTCTTTTCGAGGACGAAGACGATGCCAGCGAGGGAGTCTTGAAATTGCAGGACAATGAGCGCGAAGGCCGTAACTGGCGCGAAGGATCTGATGATCTGTGTGGCTGGCCACGGGAAACATTGTTGAAGGAGGTGATTCTAGCACTTGGTATGTTTTTGTTCTCTGTGATTTACTTTTCTTAACGCTTCAATTACTAACGGGTGTTCATCTAGGCAAACACCGTGACCTTCAACGTGTGACAGTGCCTTATGCCAAGCTGCTGGATATGGTTGACACTGCATCAGAGCATGGCGATGCAATGGATCTTTAATGATGGTTTCGCTCTTGCCACCTATACCTTTTCTTCTCTTTTTGCTGGCGTTCAATAAGTTCGGGCTGGGTCACCCAAAAGGGTTTGCATTATTTATCTCTGCTGAGGCGGGATTGGAGATGATATATCTCATTTTCAAGGTCTATTTGTATCATAGGTTCTCTTTTGGGGTCGTTCTTATTTAAGCCAACCTGTTCCCATCTTGTTATGGTCTGATCTTGTTCTAGGATCAACTAGACAGACCCTACTTCCTGTAATAGCCCTCGATAAACAGTATTACGTACATGGCACCCACCGTGGATGTAATGACGTCGTCAGGGCTTGACTCTCACGTGGGCGGTGGCCAGCTCTGCAGGCAGAAAATTTGAAGATATCTGGCGCGAACATCATTAACATTGCTTTTTGGTAGTTAAAACACGCATTCATTTACTCTCTTTTTATTCATTGATCTTGTCCGCAATTAATGTGGGCAGCCGCAATCACGTCGTCTACTTCATCTATCTTCTTCCTTCGTATCGTCGATCGATCCGCAGCTGGTCCTGCATTTGGCGCGCTCCATCCTTGTTCCCGCTTCCGCCTTTCGACTTCCCCCCACCTCCCACCTCTCTTCTGTCGCTTCTACTCAAGCAAGAAGAAAAAATCCAATAACATGGGCCCCAAGAAAGCACAAGTCCAGGAAAAGGTCCTTTTGGGCCGTCCAGGAAACAACCTGAAGAGTGGTATCGTATGTGAGCTAGGCCCCCACCCTTTCCTTTTTTTCTTCTCTTTTTTCCACACAGCACAGTCCACTTTTTAGCTTCCGAAAAACTATTTAAACCCCCTTGCCCCGTTTCCTCTCAACTTTTTTTTCTTTTCTTCTTCTCAACCATGATTGACTAACAATATGGCTTCAGGTTGGTCTTGCCAATGTCGGCAAGTCGACACTCTTCCAGTCCATCACCAAGTCCTCCCTCGGTAACCCGGCCAATTTCCCATATGCCACCATTGACCCCGAGGAGGCCCGCGTCATCGTTCCCGATGAGCGGTTCGACTGGCTCTGTGAGCACTACAAGCCCAAGTCGCAGGTTCCCGCCAACTTGACCGTGTACGATATTGCCGGTCTCACCCGCGGTGCCTCGACTGGAGCCGGTCTGGGTAACTCTTTCCTGTCGCACATCCGCGCTGTCGATGCCATCTTCCAGGTGGTTCGCTGCTTCGATGATGCCGAGATTATCCACGTTGAGGGTGACGTCGATCCTTGCCGTGATCTGACCATCATCAACGAGGAGCTCCGCATCAAGGATATCGAGTTTGTTGAGAAGGCTCTTGACCTTCTTGGCAAGCAGACTCGTCGTGGTGGACAGTCTCTGGAGATGAAGAAGCTCAAGGAAGAGGAGGCTACTACTGCCAAGATTCTTGAGTTCCTGAGGGATGGCAATGACATCCGCAAGGGTGACTGGAGCCCCAAAGAGGTATGTTGAAAATTTTTTCTTTCCCCCAACTCAACTTGCCCTTCTACCCACACCAACTCCTTTCCTGATGAATAAGAGCACTGCTCGAAATTAACCCAGCTCGTTGAGTGCCCTCATTAAAAGGATACTCACAATCCGAGGGCACCTTGAGAAAAAAAGTTATATGCTGAAATTTTGGAGTCCACTTCTACATGATTGCATCACTCAAACTCTTTGAGAAATCTCATGCTAACCAAATTGGTTATAGGTCGAAGTTATCAACCCTCTGTTCCTCCTCACTGCTAAGCCCGTTGTGTACCTTGTCAACCTGAGCGAGAGAGATTATATCCGCCAGAAGAACAAGTACCTCCCCAAGGTCTTCGAGTGGATCAAGATCAACTCGCCCGGCGACCCCATCCTTCCCGTCTCGGCTCAGTTCGAGGAGCGTCTGACTCTGATGCACGATGATGCGGCCGCTGAGGCTGAGTGCAAGACCCTGGGCACCAAGTCCGGTCTGCCTAAGATCATCACCACCATGCGCCAGTCCATGAACTTGGGCAGCTTCTTCACCACTGGTGAGGACGAGGTTCGGCAATGGACCATCCGCAAGGGCATCAAGGCTCCTGCTGCGGCTGGTGTCATTCACACCGACTTCGAGAAGACCTTCATCCAGGCTATTGTGTACAACTACGCCTCTCTCCGTGAGTACGGTGATGAGAACGGTATCAAGGCTGCTGGTAAAATTATGACTAAGGGCAAGGATTACGTCGTCGAGGACGGCGATATCCTCCTCATCAAGGCCGGTGCTGCTAAGCACTAGGTGCACATAGTCGATAGTTCTTTAAATGATACACCAGTGTGGATGAGTCTTTGTATACTTTTTTTCAACTGTAAATTTCGATTTATCTCCTGTACGCCAATTTGATTTGCCTGTTGCAAATTGTCATTGCTCGCTCTGTATTCGCTAGGTTCAATATGTTTGTTTCGTTGCAGGATATACCCTATTTCCCTTCTGTAGACGGTTCAATTGCCCTGAAATTTGGTGACCAAGTCTGCAATAACTCATGTTTATAGTGTAAGATCATACTTTTAACATTTTATTCTGTTCTTCTGAGCCGTTCAGCATCGAGTAAAAAAAAGCAAAGCAATCTATCAGTCACGTGACCACGTCCCCGCGCATCCCACTTGCGTATCAAGAGCTTGATTCTCATATTATCACAACTTCAACCAGCATCATGTTTAAGAAAGAGTGAGTGAAAGGCTTCAGTCAATTCCCAACTGTCCCACAACTTGTCCAGTGGCTTGAGCGGAACCTTTTGCCTGGTTAATGGGAGCACACATCTCCCTCCGGTTTGAGGAACTGCAAAGACCGCAGGAGCTGCCCAACACTCTAGATCAAGACATACACAGCTCCTATGGGATAGCTCTTACCGCAAAAGTTTACCAAAGGCACGAGCTAACACCCGGGTTCCACCTAGTATCCCCCCAAGCAACCGGTCTAAGGTCAAGTCCTCAGTGCAGCGCGGCCTGCGCCAAAAGCTGCTGGAGACATACCCAGGCTTTGAGCCATTCATTGAAGATGTCATGCCCAAGAAGGCCTCATTGGAAGCCGTGAAACTGTACAGTTCCCATTCACCCATTTTTTTGCCTTCCAATTCCAGCAACGTCATACCCGGCTTTCAACATGAACCTACTATGCATCTTATTCCGGATACCCCAAAGCTAACCAAAACCACCACCCCAGACCCGACCGCGTGACCCTCTACACAATAGACGCAACCCCCCTCTTCTTTCAACCCATTGACGGACCCCCAGTCCCACACCTCCGCCTCATCCACGCCTACCCCTCCGCCGTCCCGACAATCCAGATCGACCGCGGCGCCATTCGCTTCGTGCTCTCCGGTGCAACGCTCATGGCTCCCGGTCTCACCTCCCCCGGAGGCCGTCTACCTGATGCCGAGCATGCGCTTGAGGCTGGGCAGATCGTTGGCGTTAAGGCTGAGGGGAAGGAGGAGATTTGTATGGTTGGTATGCTGAAGGTTGGCACTGAGGAGATTAAGAGTAAAGGGAAGGGAGTTGTTATTGATGAAGGCCATTACCTTGGTGATGGGCTTTGGAGAATGCATTTGGATTAAGGGGCTTGGGTTTCAAAAGAAGCAAGGGTAATTCATTGGGCTGGGGTTGAGGTCTTTTGTGTTGTTTTGGCTTGGAACTATACCTCTCTGCACGTATGGTGATGATTATGTGTTGGATGATTTGAAATGAAATATCACCCCCTCTGGACGAGGATTCAGATTGGTTCAACGGATGTATTGATTGAGTGTAGATAGCTTCTTGTATTGAGGTTGTAAGAGTGGGTCTTGATATAAGGCTTTGTAGTTTTATATGTATGTTGTAGAAGAAATAGGAAGTAGTACAGGACGCTCTGCGGAGTATTCGGAGGTTCTTAGCTTCAAATACCCACTTCTATTTTCATCAATGTCTCCTTTGATCCAGTTGACACTTATTTCATACTGCAAGTAGCCTAGTGAAGGGAATGTACCGAATGTCGACGACAACGTGATGTCCGGATCTGCGAGCGAGACCTCGGTGAAATCCGAGGGCGACGCATCTGAGAATGGAAATGAAGCGGCAGGATGTACCAGTGTCAAATCCAAACCCCGTCACAGAACCCCGAAGAAAGGAAGCTTGGAAACAAGCAGCTTAAGAAGAAGCCACAAAAGCAGAGAAAACTCGAGGCGAAGCTTCTTAGAGGGAGACAATTTCGTCGCCCCGAGTGACTTACGGAGACGCTCGCGAGCTGCTTCACTTCGAGAAGGGTGGGGTTCCACCGTCCAATGGGGAGACCTAGGACAACTTTTCTATGTATAACCAGGTACAAAATACTCATATTTACTCATATTACAAACTATACTGCATTATATCCTTCAACAATTGCTTGACGCCGCAGCCCACTCGGGAATGTACTTTCGAAGCAGATCCAGTGCCGGCATCCACGATAGCAGCTCCGGGCTATTGCGAAGAGCCCGGAGAGTGTTGCTAATCTCAAACCGAGGCGCATTTTCTTGAACATCCCAACGGGTGTGCATACCCCATATCTTCTCCTGGAGTAGCGGAAGGAAGGGATGTAGCGGGTTCGTCGCATCGTCGACAAACATTTTCAGCCAGTGGGAAAAGGAGATGCCTTCCAGCGGGCGAGAGCACTGTCCACTGATCAGATCAAAGGCTTCCTGAAGATCTATGGGTACCGGCTGGATCAAATTATAAGCATGGCCCACGTTCTCGTCCGAGGCGGCGATTCGCAGCGTCGCATCCACCACGAAATCCACCGAGGCGAACGCTTTGCGTTGCCCCGGTACGATGGGGTAATGGCCTAGCCGAAGACAGGATGACATGAGACAACCGACGAAATCACTCGGGTTCCCTCTGCCCGTCTGACTGTGGCCCAGGACATACCCGAGACGGACGATGGTCGCTGGCGCACCGTTGCGGATGGCATTCCAGACCACATTCTCCGCCACGAATTGGCTCTGGGAATATCCCGTGTCATACTGTAGAGCCGCGATGTGGCTAAGTGGCCCCTCTTCCTCTGGGACGGTCTTGGTTCCTTGGACAAATCCAGTCGGTCCATACGCGGCGATGCTTGAGGAGTAGATCATCCGTTTTGGTCGGGAGTGATTGGCAAATCTTAGCAGCTCTAATGTTCCCAGAACATTAGCTGCTCGATGACGGGAGTAGGGCTGGACGTAACTGACCAGTGCCCCCAAATGGAAGACTACACTGGCCCAGCTTGTATAGTGATCGTACTGTTCTTGCGGAAGACCGAGGTGCGGGAGTGACAGGTCGCCAGTGATAGAAATGATTTTGCTTTCCTGGGAACCACACAGTTTGTACTTCTCCAATGTTTTCTTGATGCGCAGGTCGGCTGCGGATGCGTCCTGGGCGCGAATAAGACATGCGACTTGGGTGACCTGCGGCATAGACAGCAGTGTAGCGAGAAGAAAGGCGCCGACAAATCCAGTGGCTCCGGTGAGGAATATTCGGCCTTCCGAAGCGTCGAGCCAGTCGACGGCCGGGTCGAGATTGAACTGTAGGTCTTGACCCAGTAACGAATCCCGAGCCAGGACGCTTTGCTCTTCCACTGCATCTGGCAAAGCCGCTCCATTCTTGAGTGTTTGCACCAGTTGTACGAGCTGACCTAGTGTGGAATTCTCGTACAGGGCTGCGGACCGCAGCTCAATTCCTAACAAAAATCGAATTCGGCCGATCATATATGCGACTTGCAGTGAGGATCCGCCCAGATGGAAGAAGTCATCGGAATAATTCAGGCTGTCTAATGGATACCCTAGTATCTCGAGCCAGAGTTGCTCCAAATATGTTTCCACGGAGTCGACGTTTTTGCTCGAGTGCAATTGACTCTCGCGCACGACCCTCATCTTCTCCATATACAGCCGCTCAAGCTTCCTTCGATCATACTTCCCTGTCCTTCCCAATGGAAGCTCCGCAAGGAGCTCAACGCGAGGTACCAGAATATGAGGAGCGTGGTTGACGAATGCTCGTGCTATGGTATCCCGGTCGATATGAATACACTCCGGTACAATATAGGCAACTAGTATTGGCTCAGTGTCGGCATCCCTGGACTCAACCTTGACAACCGCTGCTGTGGAGACAAGGTTGGTGCTCAAGAAAATGTTCTCGAGACCTTCTAGCTCGATGCGGTGGCCCCGGATCTTGACTTGTCTGTCGTGGCGGCCAACAAAGTTGTACAGCCCAGACTCGTCCATGCGCACTATATCGCCTGTCCTATAGGCATGTCGCGAGAATCCCATTGCGATGCCTTTCAATAGAAGATGTGGGGGGCTTATAAACGACTTGGTGTTGGCTAGAGGATTCCTACAATATCCTCCGCCAACTGCTGCACCGGCTATCACCAGTTCCCCTTCGCTGCCCGTCGGAACAGGACGGAGATTTTCGTCGACAACGAAAAGCTGACAATTGTCAAAAGGCCTCCCGAGCGGAATGTGACCATTGCGAATATCGGCTGCAGTCACCTCGTGCGAGATGACAAACACGGTGCATTCTGTCGGCCCGTAGATGTGGACTACTCGGTTCGGGGGCTCATGGTCGAATATCTTCCGGATCACTGGAACATTGATAATTTCGCCATCGGTCGCCAGAGTGTGGACGTTGGAAAATGCTCCCGGGCAGGTGTTGGCAATTGTATTTAGCAATGCGGTAGTAATGAACACAACGTCGACTCGGTCGTCCCGGAGACTCTGTGAGAAGAGAACAGGGTCTATGACTATCTCATGTGGATAGACCACGATCGTCCCGCCTCTCAACAAGCACACCCATATTTCGAACAGGGTGATATCGAAGACGGTATTACCGATATGCGCAAGGCGTTGGCCATCTTGGAATGGCGTCGAGGAATTGAATGCCAAGTTGATCATTCCGCCGGCCAGAATCTGGACAGCTTTGGGATCCCCTGTTGTACCCGAGGTGTGGAAGATATGGGAACAGCTCGATGGTCCATTGGAGGAAACCTCAAATTCCTCACCAGAGAGTACAGGATTCAGCGTATGATCTACAAGGATGTTGTCGACCTCTGGAGATCGACTCCAATTTTCGATGTCCACCAGAACCAGCTTCACATCCAGGTTTTTGAGAAGCTTGCAGAGAGATACATCCGGTTGCTTTATGTCCAAGGGGACACACGCCCCGCCGGCATAAATAATGGCAATTTGCGCCAAAATATGGTTAACTCCCCGAGGGATAGCGATAGCAATTGGAGTTCCTGGTTCTGGGGCTTCCAGTCGGATCATTTGCGCGAGCTGGAGGGCTTTGAAGTGTAATTCCTTATAGGAGACAGCATGCTCGCCGGATTCTATGGCTGTCACTGTGCCAAGAAGCCGGGCCTGCGCCTTAAAAAGCGGAGCAAGCCCAGCGTGCCTCACCAGGCTTGCATCAAGTTTCCTCGCACATAGGAGAGACGGCGGCATAGTTAGCCCAGGACAGAAAATCCGGCACAGAGGTCAAGGGAAGCAGCATATAAGCCTATATAGTGAAGCAATGTGCCGCAATCCAACAATCTAGTTACTTGTTTTCTACTTCACTCTAATTCGCAGTCAGAGTTTCTTGGAAGCGTGCTCGCCTGGGGCTGGACCAACTTAGCGGTGCATTGTGATACGTTCCACGCTGGCGTTGTTTGAGCACATGTTATCTACATTGGTGGAGATATGTGGCAATCTCATGTTGTGTTTAATCATACACGGGACCCAAATGACGATGCTGCACAGTTTGAAAAATGGCCACTCTCATGTGCACGTCAATAGCCAACGTGGCATATATTGTACCGTGTCAAGACAGCCTGAGATTGAACCCGCTTATAGGTATTGAGATGAAAAGAATAGCGTTAATTGATTGGGCTGTTTGGGCTGTCCTTTTCAGTTACGTCTAAAACCCGACGTTATACTGCATATGCAGTACTCTCTGCTTCTCCACAGCAAACAACTCGGTTAAGCAGTAGAGGTCAAATACAAGATATCGGGTAACACAGCATGCAAGATAGGACTTAGAAGTATCGATGTTGCTCTTATGTATAAACCATGCATGACATTATCTCCAATGGTTTGGCGGAGCCTCTGTGACAATGAAACCTCACGTTTTGACAAAATGCCACCGATGCACAGTTCTATACAAGGAGAATTTGCGCTAGCGGAGATAGCATATGTTACTCTGCGTGACCTTGGGCTATTCAATGCCTAAGATTCAAAGCAACCCCAGGCTTGAAGTTTATAAAGGCTCTACCCTGCAGGGTGATTGAACAAATTCTGAACCCACTTTCAAAATTCGTTTGAGTATTCTTGAACTGTTGAAACTTCCAATATCTATCTAGGTATCTGACCGAGCCTGAAAATGCATGAGTGTCAAATCAATTTGCTCCAGTACCTGCGTTCAAAGACCCAGGTCGACGTAGATAGCTTTGATGTTGATGGTATGGAACTATGCTCGACTTTATCCTTCTTTTTATCTCAGTGCCATATGCTAATCTCTCGCTTCCAATCAGCTTCGACGGCAGTCCCAGGATGTGTCGATGCAACATCGAATCAAGTACGTATATTACTTTTCGAAAATGGCCGCCAGAGACATTGATTGGAATTGTTTTTTTCTTAACAGGCAGAGATCTACTGGGAGATGATCAAGCCACATCATGATGGCCTGGTAAAAGAAGTCCTTGCTTTCAGTGCCGAAGTGAAGTCTGAATTCCCGACTGTGAGGCTGGAGGAGCTAGCATTTGAAGTCATGGTAAGCCCGAAACTCCCAGTGACTGCCTTCTACTGTCCCGTCCATTGGTCTGACTTCCACTCAAACAGGCAATTCGGCTGGCCTTTCTTATTATACCCAACATCACTGGCGCTGTGCATGTGATGGCAAATCCGTGCTACTCGTACCACAAGGAGAAGATTGTCGAGACGGGGAAACGTACGTCGTCTGCTAATAGCACAATCGAATCCTACTAACAGGAATTCGGTTAGGGTTACATAAAATCTGCAAGTTCCTAGATCCCGCTTTCGACACCAATCGGTTGGTCATGAAGGTGGCCGCCACATGGGAAGGCCTCCAGGCATGTCGGGAATTGGCGCTTTGCGGGATAAAGGCTCTGGCAACCACGGTGTTTACAATGGCACAAGCCGTCTTGGCTGGTGAGGCCGGTTGTGTTTCCATTTCACCTTTCGTTCACGAGGCTAAAGCACATTTCGATGAAAAGTAAGTAGGGTCTCTTCAAATGTCCAGTCCTAGCCGTCTTGCTCATCACTGATAGATACTCGGATGAAATTCCTCTTCTTCGTCTGTGCATCCAGGCACAGCAGTTCTACAAGAAGCGGTCCATAAACACAAAAGTCAAAGCATGCGCCACCATTTCGGTTGATGAGATCCTACAGTTGGCTGGTGTGGACGCGTTGACCATCATGCCTGGTGACCTACAGAACCTCCAAAGGGGGACTGGTTGCAAACGCTTGACTGAAAGTCAATCTTTATTTGGTGATAATTCTATCCCTGGCGATAGCGACTATCCTTCATACCTGGATGACGAGAGCACCTATCGTATTCACTTTTCTCGTAGTGGCCAAGGTGCTGGTCAATACAAGTTGATGCAGGTTCGTTTCTCTGAACAAGCTAGAAGTTCCCCATTCTAACGAGTTCAATCCCTAGGTCCTAGCAATATTTTCAGACTTTCAGTTTAAGGGAGAGGAATTTATGAAAGCCCATCAGCAACTTCTGAGTTAAAGATATATACTTCAAGGAATTTCGGAATGTTTTACCAGGATGCGCCCGAGTCGATAGTAGCAGATGATAGAACTCAGGCAGGGAATTTGTAAATAGCAACCTGAGAGGATAAAATGGAAGATCTCAGATATTAGACCTATGGAATGAGAGGGAGTTTTAGGACATGAATGATGAGAGACGATTCCGGATCATGGCCGTTAGCGGAGATTACCTCCGGTATTCTATAGTGGTCTACATAAGATAATTGATTGGGCTGCCTGCACTGTCTCTTTCGGTTCCACCTAAAACACGACGTTATACTGCAGTACTCGGCTCTCTGCTTCTCAGCATTACACTTTAGATACTTCTGAGGTCATGTTGTACCGAGCTAGGTCTGAATCCAATACCCCGAAGCAGGTGAGAACTAGAAAGAGAAATAATTAAAAATGAGAGGAAACAGAACAGATCAGATCAATCACATAGGTAGGTACCCTTTGTGTATTCACATTTTGTAGGATGTATACCCATTCAATAGTACTGGCCTACTGATCTTCTACTGAAAAAGGAATTTTTGCGGGGAATTATTTAGCAGATAACCTACATATGCACCTGTATTGCTTGATTATTACAGTCTACATCCCTACCGTGGTCCTTCTAGCCATTATGCATGCATCGTGCGTCTGCTTGTGTTCTCCTTTGCAGCTCAACCGCCTGGGCAACAGGCAACTCGACTTAGTTTTACATCTTCAGACTTATTAGTGCTTTTTGCAATATTGCCTGAGGTCTATATATTTGTTCTATCTATCCTCTCCAACTCCATTCTTAGGGCTTCGAAGATTTCTTTCTCGTTTCGTTTCTTACCCAAACCTGCTCTGGTGGGTTTCATTTTACAGAGAATAAGCGCCTTCTCTGCCTGCTGACTGACACCCAAAGACACACAAAATGCCATTCAAATCATTCCCAATGAATGTCAGAGGCCGTAAGCAGGTTCATGTTCCCTCACCTGCATTTGGCACTTTTAGGCCAGAGGCTTGGAGCTCAACCGGTATGACATGGGTTCCAAACTCAGTTTTGTTTAGAATCCGGCTACTTACTGCATTTTCAAGGCGATCGGCCACAAATAATCCAGACAGTTCGCACAGCCATCCAAGCCGGATGTCGTCATCTTGACTGTGCATGGGAATACAATGTATGCTGTCTTCAATTGAGCTCCTGCTATTCCATGATCTGACAAGTGTAACCCCCACAGGCAGATGTCGAAATTGGCGAGGCGATTCGCCAGTCTGCCGTCCCACGCGACGAGTTATTCGTCACCCACAAACTGTGGCCCAACCTTTCTGCTCCCGAAAATGTGGAGATTGCGTTAGACTTGACTCTCCAGCGAATGGGGATCGATTACGTTGATTTGTTCCTAATCCACCACCCTGTCGCGATCAAACTGGCTGGGGATCTCCGTAAGGCGTGGATGGGCGAAGAGGCAACCCTTGAGGACCAGGGCTGTGCAGCCGACGATAAGGGTAACTTCATTCCAGACCTGGAACATTGTCCAGCAGCGGTCGCTGCACTAAATGGGGGTGAAGGCAGTATCATTCCGACATGGAATGCGATGAAGGCGTTGGTTCGCTGTGGGAAGGCTCGATCCGTTGGTGTTTCGAACTTTGAGGTCAAACATGTGCAAGAGATTCTCGGTGCTCAGAGTGACATGGACGATGAAGTCCCACTCTCATACAACCAGATCGAGTGCCACCCCTGGTTTCCCAATCAGCGACTGGTTGAATTCTTACAGGAGCATAACATCCTGGTCATGGCGTACAGTCCATTTGCGCCCTTCAAATACGAGACTGGAGTCTTCCCACCCAAGCCGTTCACACCTTATGGAACGACTTTGTTGAAAGATAAAACAGTCGAACGGATTGCAACGAAGAATGGCCTGAGTGCGGGTCAAGTCTTGCTTAGCTGGGCAGCTCAACGATATACACTGCCGATATTTAGGAGCTGCTCCCTTCGGCGTCAGCAGGAGAACCTTCTCTTCAAGGAGTTGCCGCAGGAGGATGTCCAAGCGCTGGAAACTTTAGAATTGGACAATAAAATGGGCAAGAGTACGACAACAATGGCCTTTCCGGAAATCAAGGTATACGACTAGTAGCTGTTGGTGCTACATCTTGGTAACAATGAGCTGAAGATAACCTAATTCTGGTACACGATTGGTTCGTCAGTCTATATATGTACCCTGCACCTGCACGCGACTGATACTATGTTGCACACCCTAGCTAATTTTTGCAATTTATTTGTCCTCGTTTTTAAATGATAATGGTTTTCCTATTTCTGCATGAGATATATTCTCTAACTATGTGTCTAGCTGTATATTGAGGTTGTATCTATGAACTTTATTAATAAAGAAGTAGCGATGTATATATAGCGCTTGCTTCATGATGAAGCAGTTGTGTGAATAAAGTCAACATGCAATGAGGTACTCCGTACAACAATGAATATGCAGCACACATGCGGTTGATATGCAACTCTGCATGCAGAGAATACGCAACCATATAGAGTAAATGCTCAATGATTCCCGTGATTCGTGGTTGTACATGTTGGGTTGTGGTATGCTTTACTCGTGTAAATTGACTTGTAATCTTGTGACCAGAATTTGAACAATTGGCTTCTGATAGTTGGCTAGAGATTAGCTAGAGCGACTATTGAATATGAGCACATGAGTTTAATGTTGGAACTATTGAGAATGTATGCAGCTTGATTGCATGCATTTCTGCCAGGCCTACTGCGCTATAATATATAGTCACTCTCAGTTTTCTTAGAAATCGTAACGCTCTTTTCGATTTGTACCTCCTTATCACTATTCTACTTCAAAGCGCGTTTGATCAACATTATCCTAACTATAACTATGGGTGCCCCTGTCTCAGAAGTGGCCATCATTCCCCTGGTAAAAGAGGCCGATCTACGCGACGAGAACAGCGAGGCATCAAAGATCCTCAACAACTCAAAATACAGTTTACAATTGAGCAGCCTGGATACCAGCGCATGGTATGGGGTTTGTACGAAAAGACCCCTACTGTGATGATTATGATTGTTGGTGAGTTTATTCTTGATCTGAAAATTCAGATAAATCCACAAAAATAACAGTCTTCCCCAGATTGGGATGATCTCGAATCTCACCTCAACTTCGTGGCTGCTCCGTATTACCAACCCTCCATGGACGAATTCAATGCGATTGTTGCTGGAAGAGCTGTTTTGTTCCATACAACATTTGAGGAAGGAGTTGGCATTTTGCCTCTGGTCGAGCTCAACAATTACACGGCCGATGTCTCCTTTGCTTTCTTCCCCGCACGATCCTTGACCCAAGACTTCCAAGATGATCTTTCCCGAGTCGCTCGGGCTGTGAACACGAATCTCCTCGAGTCTAACGATGCGCCCTCGAGTATTGCCAGCGGCTGGTGTACTGATGATGTGTTAGACGAAGAACGTCATGGAAAAGGACCGGAGAGGCCTTGGATGTCGATGATGACATGGAAGAACAAAGAAACTCGCCAGAGAGCATGGGGTCGCAAAGCTGTTCTCGGTGATATTCAGAAGCTCGTTGAAGGACAGGGAGAGATGGAAATCTACGAGGTCAAGTTCCAGCCTGTGATTTCCAAGCCATGGATAATAGGCTTTCGGACATCATGTTGCATTGATTATTGGCATAATTCGATTTAAAACTCCTGATCAACTAGCTTTGTAAAATTGAAAGGCGTACAAATTCACCGAGTAGATCACCCACTATATATATACAGATAGGCCCACATGTACTAGTCCTAAAAGAAGAAAGATCGGACGATTCTTCCGAAATTTCCGTTTTATTTTTAGAGAGCTCCCCTGAATAGCTTCATGGTTGCTATGCTCTGAATTTGTGATACAAAATAACGATGGGAGTTTCCGGTTCTACTCTGTCGGGTAGACCACTCCGGATGCAAGCTCAACGTGTCGATCCCTCTGATACTCCAGTAATTTCCCAAATAACTGTTCCAATCGTATGCAATTACTAATCATGGAACCGACATTAGACGACCCAGGGCCCCCTGAAGGATGTCTTCGGCGAGTATACAATTGTTACCGAAAAGCTCAACGGAAGGTCTGGCACAAAGGTAACATATTATTGCACAAGTATGTTTAATATATCGCTCAAGGCTGACTTTTACTCTGCATTCTAGAGAGATTGGTACTGCAAACACCAGTATGCCCGCGAGGGCTGCACTGATGGCTACCATTATGTCCATTTGTGAGTTTTGTCCTCTGTATGGTGGTAATATTTGGTGCTAAGATATTTAGGGATGGCTGGTACTACTCCAAAAACCCGGATGGAAGTAGAGAGAGGATAAATCCCATATTAAAGCAAGCCTTCTACACTCCACCAAGCAATCGCCGGATAGACTGCTCGGATGAAGTCGATTGGGAGGGGCTAAATGAAATACCCGACCTTTGCATCGCAAGGGCCTCCGTAAACCACGAGCTTGTGGGAAAATTCATGGAGAAAATGAAGAGCCAAGAAAGTATGTTTGAGTGGCACATAATAAGTGTCATAGCTAATATAGCGCAGAGAGCACTGTCGACAACGATCGCGCTCAAAAAAGGAGGATCTGTGCCAGAATGCTGAAAGGAAAGGAAACTGCAGATCTGAGCACCGAGGACGAGGCTGAAGAGACCGATTGTGAGACCGAGTGTGAGACCGAGTGTGAGACCGAGTGTGAGACCGAGTGTGAGACCGAGTGTGAGACCGAGTGTGAGACCGAGTGTCAGACCGAGTGTGAGACCGAGGAAGTATCAGATGAAGAGGGGGCAGCCCAGCAGAAGAATGAGAGAAAGAAAGAGGGGAAGAAGGAGGACAAGGAGAGAAAGAAGAGCCAGCAAAGGGAGGACGATGAGGAAGAATACACGCTGCAGGAGATAGCGGCGCAGAGAAAGACACCCATTCCAGAGGAGCAGACGGCAAGGGCTCTGACGCCAATATCCAATTTGACGTCGGAAAATGAGTCAATCGACGAGCCTATGGAGCTAGGAAAGACGTAGGGCACATCGGCTCAAAAGCGGAAGGCCAATGAAATAGACAACAGCGAGGACGAGACGACCAGGACTCCAGCCGCGAAGAGGGGGAACATGAAAAGGAGAGGCGAACCTGAGCTCACTGTTGCCCAAAGGCAGGAGCAGAAGCGAATCGCCAATAGGAGGAAGCGAGAGCGTACAAGGGCAAAAAAAAGCATGGATGAGACATGAGATGGAAGAGAGGACTTCAGAGTCCTAGTTTCGCCAGATATGTGCCCTGTTGCCATTCAGTTCAAGCTTGAGATATCGGCATTGCGTCTGGTGCGGATTGAGAATGGAGCACCGCCAGCGAGGCTGTCGACCGGTCGTTGTGTTCAGGATGTCATGTCTGATGGTCGTTGCAGTCCCCAGTCCTGATATTATGCCAACTTGATATCGAATCTCACATGCTGGAGCTGATTTGTGCTGGGGTTGAATATCGGAATGTACTTGTCCTGGCAGGATGCTGGTTCCTGCATTCAACTGAGTCAAGCCGGAAACACCATACTAGGGATGGAGGAAGTGGATGGACATCGCGGCTCTAGTGGTCCAAATCGTCCATCCCATTTATTCGTGCAGAAGAGGCATTTCGAGCTGCTGGTATACCACATATCTGTGTGTGGATTGTCACCGAGACTCAGAAGTTGTTAGAGAAGAATGTAATACTTGAATCTTAAATGCCCGAAACCCGTATGGTGGATGATGGAGTGGAAGAGGAGGTGAAATAACGGCATAAAGAAGTAAAGGAAGCCAACTCCAGCGAGTCCCTGGAGGTATTGTCTCCAGGGTTGAGATATCAAATAACGTAAATAAGCAGATATCTGGGTAGGCTTATGGATTATGATTATTATAAAAACGAAGTGAACAAAGCCAAAAAAAAAAAAGCAAGCACATGCATGCATCGTCCGATTGCATACCTAGTCTACATCAATAGATGAGACCTCGTAAGGCCGACCAACCACCTGCAAAAAAGAAAAAGAAGAAGAAACCCATCGATTCATTACCATTCCTCCACGAATAAGCTAATTCCCAGAACGTAGTTCTCAATTCTCCACACCTTGAAGCTGAAGTCATACCGAACCTAGGCATATACCAAAGTTCGACACAGCAGCCGATCTTCAAGTTGCAACTTACAGGAGAGCGAGGACACCAGCCAGAAGACCAGCAGCGGCACCGGGGGCAACGAGACCCATAGCAGCACCGGTGGAGGGAGTGGCGGAGGCAGAGCCAGAAGCAGTGCCGGTAGCGGAGCCGGTGGAGGAAGCGCTGGTAGTCAGACCAGTGTGGGTGGAGGTCTTGGTGCCAGTGGAAGTTCCAGTGGAGGTAGAACCGGTAGCTGTACGGGAAAAGATATCAGTACTGTTTTTGCCATGGGTGGGGAGTCCAGTAGTAAGGGAGCCAGAGGTAAAGTTTCCGGTGAGGGAGGGTTTGATGATAGACACGTCCGGGGTAGAAGTACCGGTAGTGGAAGCCTCGGTCTCAGTGGTGTGGGCACCAGTAGAGGTAGAAGCAGTGGAAGTGGTACCAGTGGAGACAACAGAGGTAGAGGCAGAAGAAGAGGCAGTGGAAGATGTACCGGTAGTAGTAGCGCTGGAGGAGCTCTTGGCGGACTCGGTCACATCGAACTTCTCGGACTGCGCGAGGATGCCGGTGTTCTTGGCCTCGGTGGAGAGAAGGTTGATCTGGAAACCGGAACTGTATTGTGCGTTGAATGTTAGTGGACTATATGTATATACAATCGACGCGTCACAAGGGTGATCTTACCCATTGGTGACATCCTTCAGACCAGAGGCAGTGTAGCTGCCCTTGGAGGTGTCGATGCCGGAGGCAATCTTCTCCGAAACGGGAGGGTAGACGTTGTTGTTGACAAGGACGATGTCAACGGTGGAGGCGTCGGTGCTATAATGGGGTTAGCCTTGGCTGTCATGACTAGGGTAAGGTGTGAGGGATCATAGTCGACATACTTAACGGACGACCACTTCACGGTGAAAGAGCCGGAGACATCGAGCTCGTCACCCTTGGCGGGCTCAGTGACATTGATAGCTAGACTGATTGTTAGAGAGACTCTCGTGTTTTACAGGGTGATTTACATACCCGCAACGGAGAGGGCCAGAGGCAGGAGAGACAGAATGGTGGAGAAACGCATCTTGACTGAATTAAAGCGAGTGTGGTGTTTTAATAAACGAATGGACGTTGGAGCGTAAGAGAGAGTGAGATGCAAGAGAAAAGTTGAAGATGGAAGTTGGAAAAATATTCAGATTCAAGGATCCATGTCATTAAGTAGGTGACCAAACATCTTCATCTGATATCGCACAACCTTGGATGTCCTGAACGGTCAACAATGTCTCTGACACCCACCAATACGGAAATACACCTGAAAATAGAACTGACATAGCGAGGTACCTGGTTTTAGAGCGATTCTAATAATATTTTAATCATTTTATTACCGAACGTGGGAATTCAGGGTCTGAGTAAGGTTCCATGTGGGAGAAAGGTACGGAGTACATAGAGCGTCATGGTTCGCCGCCGAGCTAGTTTCAGGCGCAAATCCCACTTCCATTTGTAATATATTACTGCATTATTGGGAGTTCCATTGTACACATGCCGAAGAATATCCATAGTTATGTAGGTATACTCGGCGGTGCCGTTCATGGGTATGGATACCAACCAACCAAGGATGTGGTACGCCGATAGGGCCGATAATGAATACGCTAAGCGGGCTTGGCATTCCGCTAGTGGTATTTAAGGCCTTGGCAGAGGCCAAACCGCACGATGCAACGTGGAATTGAATTTTTTATTACGTTTTTTTCATCTAAGCTTTTAAAAACGCTTAGATGGTATCCGTATTTTTTAGTTGCAAATTCTGCGGTAACTTACCAGCCAATTTAACCGGAAATGCAACATGGACCCTGAATTCCCGTATATTTTTAATCGGTTACCTCGGGCAGGGGTGCTGGCCACAAAATTGAGAGAAGGCCAGCACAGCCTAATAATCTCATGTCTAAAGAGAACTCAGGGGCCGAATTCATAAATTTAGGAACCCTCTACCCGATATTATATTACCGTGTCTCGAAACGAACTCAACAATGGCTTGCGAGAACACCGTTTCGGTGTCTCAACAAAGGACCCACCCATACACAGCTGAATTTCAGGATTGAGACATATCTCAATAGGGTCTCGGACTACACGCTAAATAAACCATAAGTGGGAGCACCGGAAGCGATAAAATGAGTGTCTCACCCAGAACCTGCAGGCGCATTATTATCACATTACGGAAAAAATGGTGCCATTTCCACACCAGTTGAATAATAGCTATCAATTACGGAGTAGTCAGATCCGAATCAGGAATTTTTTGTTTTTCCGAGGCCGTATAATTTAGCGAATACAGGAGGAAGATACATAGTATGCAAAGTGTTATCACAAATATTATTGTTGTACATAATTTCCGCACCGGAAAGCCGGGGGATGTGTCTTGCGCCCAACCCCAACAAAAGATTAGTTATCGTAGATATTCACATTACTGTGTAACACAAGAAAGTTAGCCATCAAGCCACAATCTAGAAAGTAGTACCGGCGAAGCAAGGATGAGGACGTATACATACAAGTCCCTTTTGAGACCATCCCGGTCCACTGTAGCCGATTCAACCCAGACACTGGCACTCATCGCCTGGACACCGAAATTTCCATAGCCCTTCTGGTTGATAATGACAGGTTTCATGTTCGGATGTAACAGGTCGGTCCATTGCTCATGTGCATGATGCTGACCGACAAACATGCGCTGCGCACCCGGACCGGCATTGCTGATAACACACGCAAGTCCAGATTGGTGACGGGCGTTTCCGTAGCGGACGAATCCTGTATCGCGGTTAGATCTGGGCGAGCGGATAAGTGTTCCCCATAATGGGGCTCAGTATCCAGTGGGGAAAGTGTTAAGCGAACCTATGCAGTTGGGTTGGTTGAAATAATCCTGCTGTTCACCGTAGGCGTAGAGTTTCCGGGCTTGGGTTAGTACAGGCAGATGGCCGTTGCAACTGGGTGTCATTGGGTTATCCACATTTACTCGTATCCCGTACAGGTCACCGTAGAATACACATGGGTGACCGTCTTTGCGGAGGAGGACCAGGGCGTATGCTAGTAATTTGAAGGATGGCAATACGGGGGTCTGGGGGCTGATTAGCTATGTTCAGCTCTTATCAATAGGGCAATAGTCCACTCACCTCAAGCATTTGTCCTGGTTGCTGCGAAGAGTTAGGTAAGGAGAAAATATGCCAAGATCCAGCCACAGTTGGTACTTACCGTATCATGATTCGAAACCAGGGTCTGGAGTAGTTAGCTGATTGTTCCTAGTCGGGCGTCGGGCATCGAGTAACTTACCACAGCATGGTCCGGCCGACACTGTACCAAGGTATCTTTGAAAATCCCGCGAAGGTCTGGTGCATGCGCATGGGACAACTTGGAGAACCGCTCTAGGAGAGGTACATCATATGCAATAAGATCATACTCCACCTTCTCAAGGTAACTCAGAAGGGACGGTAAATGTCCAGTCCAGTACTCTCCTATCGCAAAAAAGTCTGGGTTGGCGGTTTTCCGAACGTATTGCACAAATGCACGTTGGAACTCGGTCGAGAAATGCTTAGCGGCATCAAGCCGCATTCCATTAAGGCTGAGGGATTTGGTGATCCACGTACCCCATTGCAGGAGGTCTGCGCGGACTTCTGGGTGTGCAAGGTCCAAATCGGAGAACATCAGGTAATCGTAGTTTCCATACTCCGTGGACACATCTTGCGCCCAGTCCTTGTTGGATGCGACGATCTTGTAGATTGCGCTTTGCTTGCTCTTGTCGTCCCAGTCGACGCCGCTGAAATGTTGCCAGTGGTACTTCATTGAACTGTACATGTCACCGCGACCGGCAAAATCAAAGCCTGTCCAGCCATTGACTTCTGCCGGCTTAGATATGTCCAGATCTCTTCCTGTTGGTTCAGTCAGTAAATGGCCGAAGATCCGTAATGGATCGAATATCAACGAAAAGAAGGATAGGGTGTCTTACGTTTAGGATCTACCTTGACAGCCTGAAAGGGCTCTGGATAGTCCGCGCCAGCTTTATGATTGAGCACAGCGTCCCAGATTACACCAATGCCCAAGTTTTGCGCTTGGCACATCAGGTCTTCAAGTTCGCGCTTGGTACCCCATTTCGTAGGAACCGCGCCCTTCTGATCGAACTCCCCAAGGTCGTACAGGTCGTATATGTCATAGCCATTACCATTGGCATCCATCCCCTTGCATCCGGGAGGAATCCAGATCTGATCAACGCCAATGGCCTTGTACTCTGGTAAGGCATTCTGCAGACGGCGCCAATGTTGCCGGTCGGCGGGAACATGCCATTCAAAGGCTTGCAGTATGAGCGAGTTATCTGGAGCAGTCCATGACGGCAGCTGTTGTATATTCGCTGCTGCCTCTGTACCATGTATTCAAGTTAGACGCGGAACCGGTTTCCAGTGGGGGAGACTGACCTTCAATCTGTTTCCATTTCTGGCCTTTCTGTCGAGATCCACACCACAGGAAAGACGGCATCGCGGGATTGATGCAAATGACAAGTCAAGCTATGTCAAGCTACGTCAAGCTATGTAATGAGTACAAAAGCCGAATATGCATATCCCTTTTGGGGCTAGGGCTGTGTGGGGCGACTTATTTTTACTCGGCGACCGTTGTACGGAGTAAGGTACAGGTTTTTCAGGTGGATCTCCCATTATTACTAATTAAGTCTGGAATTATTATCAAATGTCTCAGTTAGACGAAATTTTCACCCATGGAACATGTTGAACTTTTCTAGAAACTAGAAAATCCACCCAGGTGATTTCATTGGCTGTCGCCGGGGCCATAATGCGTGAGTTTAGGAAATAAGGGAAAGCACATGACAAAAAGGCCAATACAAACCTTGGAAGGTCAACGAATCAAGTAAAAGGCCAATAATATCGCCAAAATAAAACAATAGGACAAAAAAATATGGCACATAAAAGGATATCTCCGCGAACCAAGCCGAGCCGTAAATACGGCTCGCCGCAATGGGAAAAAATGGCAAAAAAATGTGAAAAAAATAAGGATCAGAAGAAGAAAAATGAAAAATGAAGAAAGAAGAAAGAAGAAGAAACGAAGGGAAGAGCGAAGAAAGGTCTTTCGGGGCATTTCTTTCACAGGAACATGACGAAGGTGCTGGTCACCAGTGCTAGCAGGAAGGTCGCTACACTGGTACCACTGGTAAATTGCATTCCAGCCGACGTCGAACCACTGTGAGTTTTCAACATCGCGAGGGTAACGTTCGACTGAGCGTAGCCACAAAGACCACTACCGTCCATGTATTTGGTGGGGAAGAAAACCCGGGGCTCTCCCTTGTCCATCCCAACACGCAGCAGGCCCTGGTTGTCGACAGTATAGTTCTTACAGTTCAGAACATCTGTCACTGGCGTGCCGGCATTGTAGCTGACGGCCATGTCGATTTCGTAGGCTCCACTGGTCGAGGGTTGAGTGGACAACACCATGACGACTTGTCGACCCTGGACACCCTTTGTGAAAGCAAGCTCACTGGCCCCCTGGAAGATCGTGTGAGTCGAGTCCTCAAAGTAGTCTGTGCCCAAGAAGGCTGCGTGGCTCCGGATGCTATTCAGCTTTGCGATAAGCTTGTAGAGCTCCGTGTTGGTGTCGTACTTGGTGAGCCAGATGGCTTCTCGGTTGGTAGGCACCGCGTTTCCCGTCAGATGTTGCTCTTGACCTTGATATATCATCGGGATTCCGTCAAACAGCATGGTAAACACCAGGACGTTTTTGGCCATCTGAAAAGTATCATTATTAACAAAAGCGATCAGTCAACCCGAGGAGGGCACACATACCGCCATGTCTTTGGAAAAGCTACCAATTCGAGCCTTGTCGTGATTTTCGGAAAAAGAGGCCATAGCATTGACATCTGGTATCGAGACTCTCATGTTCTCCACTGTTTTCGCCAAGCTGGACGTATTTCCAGTGGTAAAAGCATTTAGGATGTCGAAATAGATTGGATAATTTGGCAAACTGTCGATGTAGTTGGTCTGGTAATCCTCCATGATGCTGACTGCCCCTTCCAGGACTTCTCCCGTCATGAAAGTGTCGACACCCTTGGAAAAGTTGTGCAGAAAACCCGGGCTGACGTGCTTGGCAGCGTCAATCCGGAGCCCATCAATGGAATAGGTCTTGATAACCTTGTTCGCCCATTTGATCATAAGCTGCTGGACATCTTCGTGCTCTGTGAAAAGATCCGGCAGCGGCACGTACGTATCACCTGTCTGGCACCTTTGCGCCTCGGACATGTCATTCCAGTTTTTGATTTTGCAGTAGGGATGGAAATAGTCAGCGTTATTGAAGGGTGTGAAGACGGAGTAGTCGATGGAGTTGATATTTTTGGCGGGATCGGTGCCATTCGTGATGTAGGCCATGTTGTTGATCACCGTATCCATCATGAAGTACATGCCCCGGGAGTGAAGAGCGTCACTGAGGTCCAGCAAGTCTTGATGTGTCCCAAAATGAGAGTTGAGATTGTCGAGGTTCAATGGCCAGTACCCGTGGTAGGCCTCACCATAGTAGACCGAGCCATGGATGTTCTCGATGATGGGGGAGATCATCACAGCATCAAATCCCATTCCTTGGATGTAGTCGAGACGGTCGATGGTTCCTCGCCATGTCCCCCCGCAGTAAAGACCCGCCGTAGTGTTGCATGGTGCTGTTGTCGATCCATCTGTGCGAGCGAAACGATCCGTCATGGTCTGGTATATCGATCTGGGCTTCCAGTCGACTGTCCTGGCAGCGGATACCGAGGAAATGAGGCCCGTGATCAAAAGTAGCCCTGCCAAACGGGCAACGGTCGATCGTGACATCATGGCAGCTCGTATTTGTGTGGCTCGTATTGGTGAGACGGGTCGATTGGAAGAGAAAAAGAGAGTACTGGGATTTCAGATAAAGAGTGACTTGATTAACTCATGAAAGGGCAAAGATGGCCCGGAAAGAGGAATAAATGAGTGACATTTGGTCTTTAGCCATAAGAGAAAACGAGAGGAGGCAAAGAAAGCAGAAATTGGACACCAAACAGGAAAAGGTCGGGGAAATTTGCGAGGGCAAGTCAGGTGGCACGGCTATCCAAGGTTGTGTCGTCGATCCTAGTTAGTTAAAACCTTCCCCCCACAACCTACGCGCTATATTTTTATTCGGAGAAACATGTGTTATATGTACCTAGTAGCGTCTACCTAAGCACCTGCCTGTGAATATAATCTGCCTCGGGATAGCTGATGGACCTGATTGACATGCGACCTACCCGTCTTACCCGCATATATTTGTTTGATATGCCCCGGAATTCAGAAAGAAAGTTATGATTATCCGTATAGTGGCTTTCAATCTTGAAGAACTACGCCTGTGGATTCATAAATTATGTAGACATCAAGCGGGGAATGCAGAAATCAGGTTTAGTTCGATTATCATGTACCTATGAGGGGAAGAAGAGAAAAAGCCTTGACACACTAGTAACAACGCTATTGGAACATACTCCGTACGGAGTAGAGGAGCCATTTTAGTGCTGTCAGGTACCAGGCACCGTTCACAGGGCTTGCTGGGCGTGACGGTTAATTGGTTGTTGTTCACGTGGAGACACTGCCCTAATCCCAGGAACAGTCGCCGCCCTATTCATCACACGAGAAGTGACAAACTTTCCATGATCCAATCATCTAAGACAAGGTGCCATCAATCTAAAGACTAGCGACGTTACTCTGCATCTCCACAAAATCGGGTCAAAGCTATAGATAGTACTTTGGTACGGAGTCCTCCGTACCGTATGCAGTACTCCGTACGGAGTACATACCGTGAATTGATACACCAAACGCTTTGGCCCTGCCCAGGTGAGGCTGTTGAATACGAGATATGAGATAGTGAGACAGATTGTTAGAAGTTTTTAATAACGGACGCCTTGCCCCGTCGTGAAACTCGTACAATATTATGTTATCTATTTTAAGTTCATTTGTTTATTTTCAGTGATAGATACTCTGGAAACTATGTACTACAATGACTAAAACATATATACCACGAGCAACGCAAAAATGAATAGGAATAAGGATGTGGAGATGAACTGAGATAAGTAGTACTCCGTATATTCTGGAGTGATAGATAAGGGACTCCAGGTGGCTGTACGAGATTTTCTGCGCCATTCTCGCTTGCTGACGGCTTCCCGGGCTTCCGTGTAAAGTGGCGTTGATACTAGTATCATATCACGGTAATTACTCTGTACTGCAGGGATGTCTAGCCATGTGGAGATTAAGGCAGAGATTTCTTGCTTATTTTTTCCAAGGTTCGTGCCCAGGTGTATAGACTTGAGGTAAAATAAAATAGCATACATAGCGGACATGCCGGACCCGATGTGTAGCTCCTGGTTATATCATTGATGGAAGTTATGTATGATTCCTTCGCCATTGGCTGCTACTATAAACCCTGGAAGGATATTTATATCCGCACCATGGTTGAGCTTCGGAACCGAGAAGAACAAAAAACCCTGGAAAAGGGAAGGGAAAAGAAAATTGAAAAAAAAAAGAAAAAAACAAAAAAAAACAAGTGCCATACACTATCTCGTATATGACCCCTAGTCGTAAAACGCTAAGTGGGGGCGGGTCTCACTTTGACCGCCAATCGGTCGGGTCGGGCTATAAGGATCTCGGCCCCAATTCCACGCGGGTCATGACCGAAAAGTATATCGGCATTGTCATAGGCTGATATTTGCGGGTCTGGAAAATCACCGGTAGAATAGAAGATTTACCTATAGTCGGCAGATGGGAAAATCCCTACAATGTTGCATGAATGTCTCACTGTCTAAGTTTTAATTCTTTTATTTTATTATCAACTTTCAGAGAATAGATATCCACGGCGACATGAGTCTATAAAGCCCGAGTCCCGCGATAAAAAAGACTGCATTTGTGACGGTAGTAAAGACACCATCAGGGTCCGACAAGTGGCGCTATGGGTCAAATCCAATAGTATATATAGAACGGTTGATGCGAATCGGGTAGCCCCGTTGGTCAGGCTCCAGTTTTTATTCTTTTAAACGAACCAGATTTCCTATTCGGAGAAGCATGCCGTGCTGTTCTTTGTGTATTCTGATCGTATTGGTCGCCACCAGTCGCATTTGATGCCAAGGCCAGGCGAGAAAGAATAAAATGATGAAAATTTTATATCCAAAGAAGAAAATTAATTAAATAATTGAAGATAATTAAACAGAAAGAGGAAAAGAAACAAAAAATACCGAGGCTGAGGCCTTGGAACCCAAGATACTCCAATACTCCGATACAGTCTGGGGCTCTAAAATTGATATGGGGTTTGTCTCATCTTTTATTTTTATCTTGAGCTTCAATGCGACTAGCCTTTTAGCACTTAGCACTTAGCACAGCGCACTGCTGTTATGTGAACATTTCTTTCTCACTTCCACATTTGATTCCTCCTTTACATCCCTTATCCTTCGTCTCTCGTTCACTCGTTTGCTTACTCCGCCTGTCGTTATCTTCTTTCACATACTGCCACCTTTGACGCCTTCTGTTGGGAATTTGTGACCTGAACTCCACAAGATACCCACACTTCACTGCTCCATGGCAATTGAGAGCTGCACATCTCCATCTCTTTCATAGAGTGTCTCTCATCCTCACATCCCAGCGGGGATATCCGCACTACCTGAGGCGCGCGACCACCATCCGACAGCTCCGCGCAGTCACCAGCCATGAAGTGGCTACTCGCCAGCGGACTGGTCTCGCTTCTTGCGACGACTGTCACAGCCTGGCCCTACGACGAGGCCTACCTGGATCATAATCTCAACCAAAATAAGACGGCCACCAACCCGGCAGATTACTGGGGAACATGGCCTGGTCATGAAGGGAAATATAACCCCTCCCCGGAAAACTGGCGCTTTCCGTTCTACTCTCTCTTCTTGGATCGCTTCGTGAACGGTGATCCTTCCAATGACAACGCAAACGGTACCACCTTCGAGCATGATATTGAACATCGCATTCGCCATGGTGGTGATGTGGCTGGCCTTGTTGACACACTGGATTATCTCCAAGGAATGGGAATCAAGGTTTGTCACATTTGTGATCTTCTAGTGGCAAGAAAATATATGCTCACAATGTTTAGGGTATCTATATTGCAGGAACTTCCTTGCTCAACCAGCCGTGGACGTCAGACGGATATGGAGTTTTGGATACAACGATTCTCGACGCACACTTCGGCACTATCCAGGTTTGGCGAGATGCTATCACTGAAATCCACAAGCGCGGGATGTATGTCTTGTTCGACAATACTATTGCGACGTGAGTTGTCCCTATGTGCCGGGAAAAACAGAGCAAAGCTAACTAAATATATCTAGAATGGGTGACTTGATTGGATTTGAAGGCCATCTCAACACATCGACTCCATTCTCGGAGAAGGAATATAAAACACAATGGAAAACTGAACGCAAGTACAGAGACTTCGACATCGGAGCTGGCGACTACAATTCGACTTGTGACTACCCTCGATTCTGGTTCGAAGATGGGTTCCCCGTGAATGAATCGGAGACTTCGAGCTTGGTTGGATGTTTCAACAGTGACTTCGACCAGTACGGTGATATTGAGGCTTTCGGTGTGTGGCCTGATTGGAAGCGACAGCTGGCCAAGTTCGCTTCCGTCCAGGATCGTCTCCGCGAATGGAACCCGAGCGTGCGCGAAAGGTTGATTCGGCACTCCTGCATGATCATCCATTCTCTGGATATTGATGGTTTCCGTTATGATAAGGGCACACAATCCACCGTGGATGCCCTTGGAGACATGTCCGCTGCCTACCGAGAATGTGCGCGCGCGGTCGGGAAAGAAAACTTCTTCATCACTGGCGAAATCACTGGTGGAAATGACTTTGGTTCTATTTACCTCGGAAGGGGTAGGCAGCGTAACCAGTGGCCTGAGAACTCAGCCGCCACAATGAAGTTGACAAATGAGTCTTCTGCTCAGTACTTCTTGCGCGAAGCGGGACATGAGGCCATCGACAGTGCGGCCTTCCATTACACGACATATCGTGCCTTGACACGATTCCTCGGCATGGACGGGCAACTTTCGGCTGGTTATGATGCGCCTAATGACTGGGTTGAGGGCTGGGACTATATGTTGAGATCAAATGATTTGATCAATGCTAACACCGGCAAGTTCGACCCTCGACACATGTTTGGTGCGACGAATCAAGATGTGTTCCGCTGGCCAGCGATTGCGAACGGCACCCATCGGCAGTTGCTCGGTTCTTTCGTGACTACATTGATGCTCCCAGGAATCCCACTTCTTCTTTGGGGCGAAGAGCAGAACTTCTATGTCTTGGATGCCACCGCGGAGAACTACATTTATGGGCGACAGGCAATGTCGCCTGCAACCGCCTGGTGGACCCATGGCTGCTTCCACTTGGAGTCATCCCAGTACTATAAGTGGCCTGTTACGGCTGCTAAAAAGGGCTGCGAGGACGTGACAGTTGCTTACGACCACCGCGATCCCTCCCACCCTCTGCGAAATATCATGAAGCAGATGTACCACTTGCGCGAACAGTACCCGGTTCTTAACGACGGGTATTCCCTTGGCAATTTGTCAAAGAGAACCGAATTTGTTTACTACCCTGGTTCCAACGATACGGCCACGGAGACCGGAATGTGGTCCGTTTACCGGGATGTCAACACCGATGTGCAAGATTTGGGCTCTGCTGCCAACAACCAACCGATCTGGCTTGTTTACCAAAACCTCAATGACACAGCGACATACAAATTCGACTGCAACTCCGAAAACCCGAATAAGACACTGACCGCGCCATTCGCTTCTGGCATCACTGTCAAGAACCTCTTCCACCCGTACGATGAGATCAAACTGGTTGATGGAGCGCGCAAGCTTGGCTTCAATGGGTCCAAGGAGCTGAATGGCTGTGCCGAAAGTCTGACGATGAAGGCATACGAGTTCCGCGCATACGTCCCTATCGCTAAACACAAATCACCTCGGCCCATGATCACCAAATTCACCCCGGGCCATGATTTCCCACTGCGATCTACCGTGGCGCCCAACCTTCCAGAAGATTTGGCGATTGAGCTTTACTTCTCGGAAGAAATGAGCTGTGACTCGGTGACCAAGGCAATTACCTTCAATTCATCAACAGAGATTGGGCAGGTTCCAATCCTAGATTCCAACACTGTCAAGTGCACAACTATTCCTCCCATGCTCCAAACAAATTGGACTGCTGAGATCCCAAGCGTTTGGAAATGGGCAGCAAATCTCACTGGAGTGTACAACGGAGTTCATAAAATGACTGTCACCAACGTAACTAACACCGACAAAAGCGATTCTACCCACGCCGTTGATCATTTCCTCTTCCGCGTCGGCCAGTTTGACAACCCTATGGTGTTCACTTCTGCCAACTATTCGAGCAGTCTACTCCACAAGAAAGAAAACGGCGACCTTTTCATCCAGCATCACGCCGCTGGTGCAGACAAATTCCGTTATTCTACCAATTGGGGATCGTCATTCTCCGACTGGAAAGTGTACAAAGGTGGAAATGATACCATTGCCAAGCTCCCATGGTCAGGAACCAAGAAACAAGAGTGGGATGGTGAGCATGTACGTGTCGAGTACTGGAGTCGTTGGACCGGAAGCAGCGACTACGTGCAGCAAGGTGACGTTGACTGGAACCACCCAATTTCTCGCCGGTTCCCCCATGCTTTCTTCAACGGACCTTACAATCAGTATGGATACGACGGGGGTCTTGACAACAACATCAAGTTGGACACCAAAACCGGAGTCTGGTCCTATCATTTCACGTCCGAATGGCCCGCAGTCGGGCAGCTCAACATCTGGGGAATTAATCCAGACGGAACGCCCGATCAAACTTGGGTTTTGGGTGACACCGACAATGACACAATCCTGGACCGAAGTCCGCCGTCTGCTCTGAGCGCCACCTTGATCAATATCACCGCTGCGCCAGCTAAAGGCTACCTCTCCCACAAGCTCTACTTTGACGATGGAACTCTCCGTTTCTGGCTTGATCCGGTTGGACCTCAGTCCACACAGATTGTCATGTTCGTGTTATTTTGGATCATACCATTCCTCACTGCCGTGGGATGTGTGTACATCTTCATGAAGTCTTTCTACAAGGTCAAATTCAACCAGGTCGGTGTGAGTGAGAAACAAAACATTCCCCTCGCAATCTGGAACAAGATCAAGTCCACTTCTCGCAGGGATCAATCCTCAAACCCACTAATGCGCTTGAAAAACAAATCTGGCTTCATGCAAAGCACCACCGCTCTGGGCGGAGCTCTTGCGGCCGACAAGCGACGCATGGTTCTAATCGCTACCATGGAGTACGATATTGAGGATTGGGCCATCAAAATCAAGATCGGTGGTCTCGGTGTCATGGCTCAACTCATGGGTAAGACTCTTGGTCACCAAGACCTAATCTGGGTCGTTCCTTGCGTTGGAGGTGTCGACTACCCTGTGGACCAGGAGGCAGAGCCTATGACGGTCACCATTCTCGGCAGCCCCTACCAGGTTCAAGTCCAATACCACGTCTTGAATAATATCACCTACGTCCTCCTTGATGCTCCAGTGTTCCGTCAACAATCGAAGACCGAACCCTACCCTGCTCGCATGGATGATCTTGACAGTGCAGTGTACTATTCAGCATGGAACCAGTGTGTTGCGGAAGCCATCAAGCGATTCCCAATTGACACCTACCACATCAACGACTACCACGGTTCTCTCGCACCTCTTTACTTGCTCCCAAGAACCATCCCCGCTTGTCTTTCATTGCACAATGCTGAGTTCCAGGGTCTCTGGCCTATGCGAACCCTTAAGGAAAAAGAGGAGGTTTGCTCAGTCTTTAACCTTGACGAAGAGGTCGCTCGTCGTTACGTGCAATTTGGTGAAGTGTTCAACTTGCTCCACGCAGGCGCAAGCTATCTCCGTGTTCACCAGCAAGGATTCGGTGCCGTCGGTGTTTCTAAGAAATACGGTAAACGGTCCTACGCTCGTTATCCCATCTTCTGGGGGTTGCATAAGGTCGGCAATCTGCCTAACCCTGATCCATCTGACGTCGGTGAGTGGACAAAGGAGCCCACCAAAGAGGCAGACATCACTGTGGATCCCACATACGAGGCTGGCCGTGGTGAGCTTAAGAGGCAGGCCCAGGAATGGGCAGGGCTCGACCAGAACCCTGATGCCGACCTGCTCGTCTTTGTCGGTCGCTGGTCTATGCAAAAGGGTGTTGATCTTATTGCGGACGCAATGCCTGCTGTTATCGAAGCCCGGCCCAATGTGCAGTTGATCTGTATTGGTCCCGTTATCGATCTCTACGGTAAATTCGCTGCCCTCAAGCTTGACCACATGATGAAAGTCTATCCTGGACGCGTCTTCTCGAAGCCCGAATTCACCGCACTTCCGCCATTCATCTTCTCCGGTGCCGAGTTCGCCTTGATCCCATCTCGTGACGAGCCCTTCGGTCTGGTTGCCGTGGAGTTTGGCCGAAAAGGTGCATTGGGTATCGGAGCTCGTGTTGGTGGTCTTGGCCAAATGCCAGGATGGTGGTACAATGTGGAATCAATCTCGACGTCGCATCTTCTCATGCAATTCAAGCTTGCAATTGAGGCTGCCCTCAATTCGAAGACATCCGTCCGTGCGATGATGCGTGCGAGATCTGCGAAACAGCGTTTCCCTGTTGCTCAATGGGTTGAGGATCTTGAGATCCTGCAATCTACTGCCATCATGGTTCACCACAAAGTGGCAAAGACAAATAGTAACAACACTCGACCTGGCACTTCTTCTGGACTCAGCACTCCTGGAATCCTGTCACCTTCACCTTCTATGACCCACCTCGGGAGCCCACTGGCTTCACCCGGCATGAACTCTCCATTCACGCATTCCAGGGACAGCAGCTACTCCTTCAATCAGATGAACAACCTTACACCACAAAAGAAGATCAGCTACAGCCCAGATCCAGGCCTTGACGAAACAGAGAAACCAAAGTCGGGACTGAGTCGTTCTCTCTCCCTGGGTGTCCGCTCAGGCCCCGGTCATGCTGGACGTCGCAGAAGAGCAGGAGAGGCTGGTATCCCAGAAAACGATGAAAATGGTGCCACTGATGTCGAAGGCGATGATAGCGACGACGACGCTGCCCACAACGCGTTTGACGATGACGAATACACTCTCACTCCAGCCCAAGTCGAGGCAGGACGACGAGCCCAGGCTGCACAAAGGGAGCGTGCTCAAAACTTGCCTTCTCCAAACAGTCAAGAGTCTTTACATCCTAGGTTTATGATTCCCTTGGAAAGCCCAGGAAGTCCGGGAGCACCACCGACCGCGGACAGTCTCCTTCTTCCTCCCCAGCCATTTGGTCATTCCAACCGTCACAGCAACGCATCCGTTCTCTCTCTGGACTCTGTCGTCGGCAACAAGACAGATTTCAAGCTACAGAAGGTTGATCCTTTCTTCACGGATAGCACTGGCGAGTACTACAAGACGTTCGACAAGAAATTGGATGCCCTGAACGGATCCAACTCCGAGTCCCAACTTTGTATCGAAGAGTTCTTGGTTAAGAGCGAGCAACAGTGGTTCGATAGGTTCCGCAATGCCAGACTGGGTCGCAACAAATCTCCCACACCATCGATTCGCCACTCATCAAGAAACACTGACACCCCAGACAATATGTTCTATAATGATGATCTCGTCTCCAACGTGAACAGTGACGAAGAGAATCATCTTCAAGATGATGAGTTCCTTCTCGGAAAGGACTATGTCCCTCCCACTGGACTTAAGAAATGGATGCAGATCAAAATTGGAGACTGGCCGGTCTACTCCATTTTCCTCGCTCTGGGCCAGATCATCGCCGCAAACTCCTACCAGATCACTCTACTCACAGGTGAAGTTGGTCAGACCGCAGAGAAGTTGTATGGAATTGCAACAACATATGCCATTGCATCCATGTGCTGGTGGCTCGTGTACCGCTACTTCAAGTCTGTCGTCTGTCTTTCTGTTCCGTGGTTCCTATACGGTCTTGCATTCCTCCTGATTGGATCTGCTCACTGGCAAGGAGATTCCTTCAGTCGGGGATGGATCCAAAATGTCGGCACCGGTTTCTATGCCGCGGCCTCCGCCAGTGGATCCATTTTCTTCGCTTCCAACTTCGGTGATGAGGGTGGTGCTCCAGTTGAAACCTGGATTTTCCGTGCCTGTGTTATTCAAGGTATCCAGCAGGCATACGTTATTGCTCTCTGGTACTGGGGTTCCACTATGACCAAGGCTTCTTCAGCGGGTCTCTTGGACCCTGAGACCAGCATTGCCAATACCTGGAAAATGAGGTAAATATACCTGCACACCTATCTCCTGACTTATTTTACTGACTTCCTTCCAGTGCGATCTGTTATCCCATCGCCATCTTCCTGTGTCTCGTAGGTGCTCTGTTGGCGTTGGGACTTCCCAACTACTACCGCCAGAAGCCCGGCAAGGTGCCATCCTTCTACAAGTCCCTTTTCCGGAGAAAGATCGTCTCTTGGAACTTCGTCGCAGTCATCCTGCAGAACTTCTTCCTCAGCGCACCATACGGTCGAAACTGGAGCTGTAAGTTCAATCCCCCCATTCGAACTTTCGCACACCGATCAAAACTAACATCCCCCTCCCCCAGTCCTGTGGACCTCCATCCACACCCACGCATGGCAGATCGTCATCCTCTGCATCGTCTTCTTCGGCTTTGTCTGGTGCATATTCCTCTTCGTCGTTAGCAAATTCTCAAAGAAACACAGTTGGTTCCTTCCCGTCTTCGCCTGCGGCCTGGGCGCACCCCGCTTCATCCAAATCTGGTGGGCCATCTCCGGAATCGGGTACTACCTGCCCTGGGTCGGCGGGTACACTTCCGGCGCGCTCGTCTCTCGCAGTCTCTGGCTGTGGCTGGGCGTGTTGGATTCCATCCAAGGTCTTGGATTCGGTATCATCCTTCTGCAGACTCTCACTCGAGTCCACATGTGTTTCGCTCTCATTGCATCTCAGGTGCTGGGTTCCATTGCGACCATCTGTGCCCGAGCCTTCGGCCCCAACAATGTGGGCCCCGGCCCAATTTCCCCTGACATGACTCAGGGCGCCCATGCCTTGGCTAATGCCTGGTTCTGGGTGGCTTTGTTCTGTCAGTTGTTGATCTGGTATGTTGATCTTTACCTTTCTCGTTCAGTGGAGTTATTTCTAACATTCATCTACAGTGCTGGGTTCTTGCTGTTCTTCCGTAAGGAACAACTCGCCAAACCATAGAGCTCCTTTCCCTTTTGGAGCATTTCTGTTTCTTGTCATAAAACGGCTACGGCCATAACGACGAACATGAATGATCAAACTAATCTCTTCTGCATAATTGAAGCATGTTGTCCCTTCTGTGATCTATTTTCCCGTTTTTCTTCAGGTATCTTAATGTTAATATTACTGTTGTACTGAGTTCATACTCGGTTAGAAGACATCAAGTCCTCATCGTAGTAAAATATAGTAGAACCATGTGAATATGTTTGGCAATGTTGCTTTTTCTTTACCTTACTCAATCACATAAACTTATCTCAAAGAGCAAAATACCCTTGAAGACCAAAATTGATCAACTAAATCGTTATTTTTTATCATCTGTGACAGATCTTAAGACCATAGCTTTACAATATTTGACGTTCCTCTGCTTTTTGTTTTAATGCAAATTTGATCTAATAGCACGATTGATTAATCAATAAATGCATAGTGATCGGAGCAAGATGTAATTTTTAGCACATAAGGTGGGTCCGTAGTGGAGTGTCATCAATGTCTCGATTGGAAACTCCGATCGGTTATAATTATTATCTCCATCTAGTATGGATAAGCATCTCTGTGATACGCTAGAAGTATGCTTTCTTTTAAAAATTTCCTCTGGAAGATTTTGTTCCTTGTTGTCGGGGTTTGCCTACATTATATTTGTGAATATAGTTGGTCAATCTCTTGTTGGATTAAGAGAAAGACAATTTCATTGTGCACCGCACTTACTACAAAGGCTATGTTCTTCAGTACTTATATAAAATCCGCACCGCGGAGAGGTAAACTTGGCTATGTATGTGGAATAGATATCAATTTAGGAATTGAGATCGTCGTTATTCCCTATACTTGCTATAGTCTCTAGTTAGGTATGTTATCTATCTTTTCAGACTGAGCGTACTAAATATTATAAATTGAATACGTAATATATACTTGCGAAAACCCTAGAAACTAGTAGCTTACGGAAGATCGACTCTGACAACGATACCTCCGGTAGCAGTGCTATTCTTACTCAGTGTAGGGTCGAGTGTTCCTGCAGACGAAATGTACAAACAATCTCGATCAAGTCTTGTCCTTCCAAACGAAATCGCGGAGGCTGATTCCAAATAGGTCGAATCAACTACGACCCTGGCCGTTTTCCCAGGTACATTAACCTCAACCAAACTATGCTGTCCATTCATAGCAATCCACGCCTTTCTGCCGTCCTTCGACATTGTGAAATCATCACCGGCTGTATTATTGACAATCACCTCTGTGGGACCTATCGCTGTACCGTTGCGTAATGCGATTGGAATCTTGGCAAAAATCCCTTGATTTAAGTTGGTGAAGTATAAGTCGGATTCATGAACATGGATGCCATTGATGGCAACCTGTAATCCGGTCGCAAAACGTTTCATTGATTTCTCATCGATGATGGTTTCGTACACGCCAGTTTCGACATCGAGTTTCAAAACATTGCCCGCAGCGGAGTCGGCGATGAGCAGCGTTGAGTTGTTGTTTTGTTCTAAACGGGACATGCCGTTGAGCAATTGAGCGCTGGTAATGTTGGCAACTAACGAAGTCGTTGCAAACAAAGATGAGGCTCTATTCCGTGCGGAGCATGGTGCAGATCCACGAAGGTCGACCTTCCAAATGGCATTTGAACCAGGGGTGGCGCTGACTGTGGTGACATTTGCTGCTACAACATAGAAAACATCTTGTTCAAGTTCGGCAATACCAAGCAGACCAGTTGCCCCAGGTATATTGGCAATCGTAACCGCTTCATGTTCTTCAAATGGGGAGACTTGGTAGAGTGTTGAAGACGTAACAGAAGTGACGATGAGGTGGCCATTGTGACGGGTCGCAATATTCTCAAACGTGCGCGGAGAAGGGAATTCATCGATAACTGTGAGAGGGTAGGTAGTTGTTTTGGGGTAGGATGATACGATGGATGCTTGCAAGAGGAGTGTGATTACTCCTAATGCTGGGAGGATCGATGCCGTAACAAACATTTCAAAAGCTTCACGGAGAGGATTAAAACAAATTTGCGAAGAGCAATTACATGCGCAAAGCTCAAATGGCGAATTTCACTCCATATATCGAAGCCAGTGGAGCGACTGCCTTTGATTTAGGAGTTAGCGGACATAGTTATATAGACCCACCGGGATTTTCTGCTCCCGGAACTATCCCGAATTCGCGGGCAAACTTCGGGCAAAATCTCGTATGGAACCCGAAATCGAGACCCCACCCTAGCCAGATGTGGTTCTCAGGTTCGGGATCGTATTGTATACTTCATTTACATCTTCAAATATTCAAATAAACTTTCTCTCTCCCTTAACTCCGAGAATTCAATTTGCAGATCAGACGAGGCCACCAACCCTGGTTAAATAACGTAGGTTACATCTTCTGAAGGTATAAATATCATCCCAGTTTCCGGTCTGAGAACCCCATCCTCATACATCTAATCCCCTCTTGATCACCAACACTATATTCAATATGAGTAACATGAAAGCTGTTTTTGGCACTATGACTGTCGGGAGACCTGGTAAGCTTCTTACTACTTATCTAAGTTTCCGGAAATAAACTAACGACAATCCCATTTATCAGGCCTCGAGGGTGCTCGAATTCACACCCTAGAAGACCTCTCCGTTATGCTCGATTGTTTCCAAAGACACGGCCATTCGGAAGTGGACACCTCTCGTGTCTACGCGGCGGGCTCGTCAGAGGAGTATCTCGGTAACTCTCAATGGCAAGGTCGTGGTCTAAGGATGCAAACGAAGGTTTATCCCACAGCAGGGAAGGGATTGGAAAACCTTACGCCTGAGATATACACGCATTCCCCGGAGGATGTACGGGAAAGTCTGAAGCGGAGCCTCGATGCGCTCAAGGCGGATAAGATTGACATATTTTATCTACACGCGCCGGATCGAAGTATTCCCTTCGAAGTCACCCTACGTGAGGTGAACCAACTCTACCAAGAAGGCCACTTTACCCGGTTTGGAATCAGCAACTTCATGTCCTGGGAAGTCGCTGAGATCTACGAAATCTGTTCCAAGCACGACTGGGTCAAGCCCAGCGTCTACCAAGGGATTTACAATGCTCTGCATCGCGCCATCGAGCCAGAACTCATCCCTTGTCTCCGCTTCTACGGCATCTCCCTTTATGCGTTTCAACCATTGGCAGGTGGATTTCTCACCGACCGGTACCATCGCGATACCAAAGAATTTGTCGAGGGTTCACGATTTGACCCAAAGCGGTGGCAAGGACGGGCGCAGCAGGGGAGGTACTGGAACGAAGCATACTTTGAGGCTTTGGATATTATCCGCCCTGTCGCGAAAAGTCACGGTCTCACGGAGTCAGAATGTGCATTTAGGTGGTTATCTCATCATTCTGGGTTGAAAGGGGAGCTTGGCGATGCCGTTTTGATTGGAGCTAGTAGCTCCGAACAACTTGAGAAAAATCTAGCGGAGTTAGAAAAGGGACCACTGCCAGAGGACATTGTGCAGGCTCTAGATGATGGATGGCTACGGGTCAGAGCAGGTGTTTTCAAGTACTGGCATTAAAATGAAATAGTAAAATGATGCAAAGATATTTTTCCCGAAGAGAATCTCCGTTTTGTAAGTTGCTATTAATTTTAAATCTCAATCTAAAGCTTCACTATTAAAATACTAAAAGGGCCCGACTCAAACTTTATAACGAACTCTATTTGGAAAGATGACAAGAACACTCTTAAGTCATCTATAGCCCTGTAGATCAGAATGGCTTTCTAGTCAACCGACAATGTACATAAATGCCAGTGAGCTTCATTCGTCCAGGAATAATGTCACAGAGAGAAGTATCCTACTCTAAAAAAACGGGACAGCAGTAATTTGATTTAGACTGTCGCCAAGACTCCCATGGTTCCATGGGAGCGGTTTCGATCTGGCCCCGGCGGGAAAAGTCCTTAACTTCGTAATTTACTTGAATTGACGTCAATCATACATATGTATCCACTGTCATCAACTTCCAGAACATGGAGATAAGTAGAGATAATACGGTTCTAAGGAAATATCTCCTTTATTCAATTTATTGCGAAGATATTAAAGTACCAACAGATCCCAGGCAATAAAGCTCCTATATTCCTATCATTGACATCTGACCACTACCAAGCTCAAATCTTTTTCTTTCGACACAAAGCCGTCTAGTCATTTTCCAACGGCCCAACATGGGATTTCCACCCTTCACCCTAAAACATCACACTGCTCCCTACCCAGGGATTGATCCCAGTCTCCCAGCTGTGAGCGCTGCCGGCAAGACAATTCTCATCACAGGCGGCGGATCTGGAATTGGGCCTCGTATTGCGGAAGCATTTGCAGTTGCAGGAAGTAAGCAGATTGCTCTTCTTGGACGGACCAAATCAACCCTTGAAAACACCAAATCAACACTTGAATCTAAACATAGTGGATTAAACGTTCTCACCTTCGTGGCGGACATCACCGATGCTTCGGCTGTTAATGCTGCCTTTCAAGGAACGAAAGCAGCATTTGGACCCATAGACATCTTCGTCTCAAACGCTGCATTCCTACCAGAGCCGGTGCCAATCAAGGACATGGTCGTTTCCGATTTCGTCCAGGGTCTGAACACCAATGTTGTTGGGAACCTTATTACTACACAGGCCTTTCTTTCGACCGCCGCTTCGTCCAATGCCGTGCTCATCCACGTCACCACCGGCGCCGTTCATTTCCCCTCAATGCCTAACTATTCAGGTTACCAGACAAGCAAGACTGCGGCGCTGAAATTCTTCGAAGCGGTACAGGCGGAAAACCCGAATCTGCGCGTCATGAATGTGCATCCAGGCTATCTGCCAACGGATATGAATGCCAAGTCTGCCAAGGGAGGTCTAGGCAGTGACAACTCCATTCCATTTGATCACATGGACTTGCCAGGCCATTTCATAGTGTGGGCTGCTAGTCCAGAGGGAGCGTTTTTGGAGGGAAAGCTTATTTGGAGTAACTGGGACGTGGAAGAGCTGAAGGAGCGAAAGGAGGAGCTCCAAGGTGGGGAAAAGTTGACCATGGTATTGAATGGATGGCCACGGAAGGATTGAATGTTCCTTTTTATTAGGAGCTCTTGTGCCATTATCTTTTTGATAAATTGACTCGTCGCATCAATATAGTTTCAACGCAATGTATTTATGGGATCAATTGAACCGTTCGCTCTATAGCTGGAAAGGATTCATATTTGCTTGTAGCGATCCGCACAATTAAGAACCGACGCCATCACTGGCCGTCCATTTCTAATTTTTTGCCCTCGCGCTAAATGACAGTACTTACCACGGAAGAAATTATTTGTTGAGTTCATGGTCTGGAATCGAGCAACTTGGCCCCATTTCGTAGCCCTGAATACAATCGTGTTTGTTGAACGAAGCTATTAACAAGGCAGGAACTCATTCGGCGGTTGAAGAATTTCACTATCATCTATGTAGTTGGCGGATATCTAGAGTCGAAGCTTCTTACCAATACGGTATACATGGGCCCACAACAGCAGCAGCTCCTCCGGCGTTGTCTAGTCTACATTGCCGGTCTCAAACTGCCTCATAAGAAGCCCAAAGAGGGCCGCGTAACGGGAGGAATTGGCAAACGTGCTAGACGACAAGCAGGGCAGCGGGGAGGGTGAATAATCGTTGACAGACGCACCTGGCGACCACAATCATGACAGGAACGACGCATTAGCATTATCAAGCTTTATCGCTAAGAGTGTAGAGGAGAGTGAAAAGTAGAGACCACACAAGCCCGCGAAACCATACGTGATAATTCATTATAGGGCGTCACGATAAATAGAGGGTCAATATAGGCGAAGCAATCATCAAGGCAGAACGTGCAGAAGCATACAGCCAAAGCCCTACAACGCTAAAGACCAAGAAGTGCTAGGCCGAAAGCGGCAAAATAACGGCGACTGAGAATAGAGCGTGGCACCAGTCCATACGTATACAAGCCTCTTCTGTTTGCGCTCTCGCGCACGTACATCCGTGTTGATTAGTTCCCTTACTCTCACTTAGTTCGTTTCAGGGCATGTGTCCAGTACCTCCAGGGTTAACTCTTATAGTTACAAAACATATGTCTCGCTGGTATAGGAAATTCATGGTATTCTCTACCTAGGTACCATCCGCATTAGCTCCGCAGCGATGACCATGATAGCCAAGTACCATGATTAGAGCTTTTAAGAGAGTTTTTGGACTTTATCATTACAGGGATAAATCAAATCCGTTTCCCGATCCCTCTTGTATGCCCAGATCACACCTGTTGTACTTTCTCCCTCTGGCCCATGTCCGGAGCAGTTTCCTGACGGTGAAAAATAGCTACTGTATCAGTTGTATTAGCAATCTGTCATCGCTGGAGGTCTTTCCACTTACGTACCGAATCACAGGTCCCAGATTATCACAACAGTAGAGTAGTAAGTACTCAATAGTCGCAGGCTGCCGCGAGGCTGTCCTCATTGTGCGTCCTCATTGTGCCGTCGATCAAGGACCGAGAGCCAGAGTTCCTCCCACTGAATGATTATTCCTCATCAATAGGACCATCTGCGACGTCGTCGGTCTCGTACTGTCGTTCAAGGATCGAGCCAGCGTTCTTTCCGCTGAATAATCGCTTAACAAAACCAGCATCTCCATCAGCAGCATTAACATCATCACCAGGACCACCTGCGATACCGTCCTCCTGCTGCCGTCGATCAAGGATCGAGCCAGCGCTCTGTCCGCTGAATGATCGTTCATCAGGATCTGCGACGCCGTCGTCCTCCTGCCGTCGATCAAGGATAGAGCCAGCGTTCTGTCCGCTGAATGATCGTTCATCAGGATCTGCGACGCCGTCGTCCTCCTGCCGTCGATCAAGGATAGAGCCAGCGTTCTGTCCGCTGAATGATCGTTCATCAGGATCTGCGACGCCGTCGTCCTCCTGCCGTCGATCAAGGATAGAGCCAGCATTCTTTCCGCTGCCTCCAATTCCACGCATATTAGAGGCAGATGCTTCGGGTACTGAGGCGGCTTGGTTGGGGTTCAGGTCGCTTCCAGCTACTCCAGCATTTGCCGCAACGGAGGTGGTAAGGAGCAAGGCCCCAAGTGCAGTCGTGATAGTACAAAGTTTCATTTTGGAGTCTGGTTTCTTGTGTGGAATATTTTTGTGAAGAGCGAAGATGTCAAGTAGGGAGCTCTCTGCACCCTATTGGCAAGTGGTCTCTTAAATGGATTTTCTTACTCACAAGGGATGAATCGAACAAAATGACGCAATTATATTTTCAGGTTAAAAAGCCATTATAATTGGCTACAGGCACCTGCAAAGCGCTTGCGTGTTGCTGATATGCGGTCCGGCACGTCTCCGCTGTTTTCCAATTATTTGACCCCTTGCTTCGATCTATGGAACTTAATATTCCAATGGCCAACAAGGATTAAACTTTAAAGCCAAAACACCAATAATGTACTATAAGAGATATGTAATTGAGTTTTAGTACGGAGTAGTGCTGGAACATACTTTAAACAGGCTTGTCACTCCGTGCCAAACCACGGCTCTACTTGAATTATTTCAGTTCGACTCCGTTTGTAGTATGAAGTCTGTTGAGCCTCCCCGTCGTCGGCCGTACCGGATGCCCTCGATACGCAACATTATGCTCCTAGTCACCGGTGTGATACTCGCAGCTTTTTTATCAAGGAAAACTCCAAGTGCAGCTCCCGTTACATACAATACTGCTTTGAGTATTATGAACAGCACTTTAGGGGTAGGAAAGCAAAACTTAATATCAGTAATATAAGAGCTGACAAAGCTATTTAGTTTGAAAGAGTGCTCGTTGTCTCCAATGGGACTGCCTGGAGATGGAATGGCATCCAAAAAGCAGCCAATTTTACCGGCTTCAAAGTACAAGCTCCTACGCAACCGCACTGGTCGACCGCCGATATCGATGAGTTTCGTGGTTCCGATATCTTCGGCCATGATAAGACGATTCGTCGGGGAGAGGCACGAGCCTGGGTTTTACATCTCCAAACTATTTATCAAATTGTTCACTATCGATTTGCGACTACTTTGATCTTAGAAGATGATGCAGACTGGGATATATCTATCAAACAGCAGCTATCTCGAGTGGCCCCTTTGATCCATCAGGTCACAGGATCTAACCAGAGGGGTGGAGAAAGCCCGTACGGAGATGCGTGGGATCTACTCTGGTTTGGCCATTGCTATGATACCATTCCATCAACAATCCCAGCGTCATATCTGGATGAGACACTGCCTTCATCGCCACTTTACCGTGAAAACAGCGGAGGGTATACTTTGTTTCCGCAACGTCTTCGCATGGTGTATATGTCTGAGGCTCCAGCCTGCGTTTATGCCTATGCTCTCACCTACAGCGCTGCAACCAAGATCAATCAACTGGCGCGTGAATTTGCAGGTCACCCCGTGAAAAAGCACATATCAAAGCAATACCGTGATTGGTGCAAGCAAGGCATTCTTCGGTGTGTTACGGTCAATCCAGAGCTTTTCCACGACCATAAACAGGCTGGAGAGCTTGGGAGTGAAGTCAAGGCTGTGGAGGGGCTCCCCGGCGCAAGATCGCCCCAGAACGTCTCATACACACCAAACATCAGATATAGCGCCTGGTGTAATAGCAACTCTGCAAAACTGGTGACTTGCCAAGCGGAGAACGGGGATGAGAGTAGTTTGCAAAACTGGTGCTGAGACTTTCGCCAAGGCGGGTACTTAGCCTTTTCCGGGTGTGGCAAGCGAGTGTAACATCGTGTATTGATAAACTAGCCCTAGTGTACAAATAGAGTGATGCTTTCTGGGCTAGCAATTTTATTGGCTAAATATTTGACGTTGCCAAACGTACGTATATCGGAGAAGTTCCCGGGATAGTACTGTACGCTTGGAAGAGATAGCTGCGTTTGTCAAACTGATCGACGGCCATACCAAACCTACCGATAAATAGCTTTAGAAAGGCGTGGAAACAAGTCGCAGTCGGTTCAAAACACCAAGGCACTTTGGCGGATAGGTAGTTCGTAGCATGGCGTTCCTCGAGAATGGCAGAAGACTGCATCTGGAAAGTTAAGAAAGCCAGACTTACGGGAATTCGGGAAGAGTGAGTCGACTCGTTTCCGTTTTCCGTTCTCTTTTTCTAAACAATTAAGCTGACTGGGTATTATGACAGAGTTGTTGAAGAAGACGTGCCTGTCAAAACGGCCCCCAAATCGCAAAATCTTTTGCCTGGAGATCCGCCCCACACACGGGCTGTGCCGGTGGATCGCAATCGTCAACATTAAAGCTTCTTTGTTATGCGTACATATTTATGAGAATAATACTTGTGGGAAAGGAGTAACATCAAGTAGAAAAATGAACATTATTTTATTAATTCTATAAGAAAGCTCAAGCGCCAGCTGTGAGCCTCTACCCACTGCCAGTCACATCAAGTCTGTATATATGCAAACACCAAGAAACATCGCCTTCCGTCATGAATTCATCTCCTCGCAGCTCTGTCACCGGTGGTAGGCACGGGCTTTGCCAGCCGCAAACACCAACAAAGTGCATATTCGAGCGGAAGTAGCAAGATAAGAACTTTGTTGAAGCGGTAGGAGAGGGTAACCGTAAAAATCGCCACAACAGCATCGAGCCAGTAGTGATTTGCGGTAGCAACGATAACACTGAGGACGAGAATCGGGTAGACTATAGCGAGTGCCAAAAAGCCAAATTCAGTCAGGGAGGACTTGTTTGTTGGTTTGCGTTGGAGTCTTTGCAGGAATCCGGAGTGGTGGAGGAAGGTGCACCCGATCACAAAGGCATAGGTGAAGTGCAGACTGGGCATGGCCGCGAATTGGTTCACGGATTTCCCGCCAACCCAGATGCTCTCGGCGTTGCCTTGGCGGACGGTGTCGTAGAAGCCATACGAGTCGGGAAGCAGGCGTGGTGGCATGAGTGGGTAGACGCAGAAGACCAAGAAGGCGGCGAGGTTTCCAAGAGTCATTGTCCGTCGTGCGACGGCGAATGATGCATGGTTCCTGGCGACATAGTAGTACCAAGAGAGGAACCTGTTCGTTCGGTCAGCTGGGTATTCGAATCGGAAATGTACCACGTCAAGGGCTACTCACAGCACTGTCCCGGGAATATGGATTAATGAATAAATGCGATTGAACATAGTCAACATCGACGGGTGATTTTGAATAAAGTAGGATTGAAAATCGGCTTCGTTGATCGGGAATATCCAAGAAGCGGTTTTATGTTCGAAGTCGAGAACGTCGATGGCATGGCCTCGCGCTATCTCAACAACGCCTATATCGGCGGGAGAGAGCCACTGGGCCGTCGCTTTCGTCACGGAATAGAACAGATAGTTCATACTCCAGTAGAACATCTCGACCAAGAAGGGAAGTTTCTGCAGGACTCGACTGTGAATGTGGTGCGCCCAGCGAGAAGAGTCTCCCGTCTTGATATTGATCCCGCATACGGTTTCTGACTTGTGTTGTATATCGTCGTCGAGATGAGCGTCGCCCTCCTCCAGAATGGCGTAGTTTCCTAAGTATTGAGATTCACTGGCGCTCTTGCTGGAGTCTCTGCGACGATTCACAATCAACGACCCAACCATAATACCTACAACCACCTGTTCATGAAATTAACACATGTTTGGTGATACACTCAGTATGAAAACTTACGATAGGCTCAAGCCATGCGTGCGACGCTAATTGTGGCTTGCCCAGATCGGGCGCAGGTGTATCGCGAGTAAAATAGGTGCTGGTCACCATATTTGCGATGGCAGATGCCATTCAGAATGCAAGGTGAAAGCCTCCAAAGACGCTGGAGGATGGAACGAAAATGAAGCAAATCAAGACACAAAAAGGGGGAAAGGGATGCAGACAGACTAAAGGGAGTCGCGTGCCCTGGTTGAACACGTTATCCCAATTATGCATAATACAGATGATACAATAAATAATATACGAGTACGAATCTCAGATGACGGAAGGGGTACAGAATAGAATCCCGAGGTCGGCCCGGTGGGGATAAGGGGACTGTATTGGTATTCGCTCTCCCGAGTTTGTTAACGGGCATATATTCGTTCGTTTACTACTATTTCTCACCATAATGATGTCCCTAGCCTCTCTTAACACGTTGAAATTTTCAGAAACTCAGACCTTTCCATGGAAGGGGGAAAAAGAAAAGAAAATTTCTTTCACTGCCAATGCCAATACCAAGGCCAAGGCTTGGACGGAGTCTAAGGGTGAAGTAGAAGGTGTCGACCAGCACCGGATAGAGCAGAATACTAGCGCCGATTGGCTTCTGCAAGTTCTGTACGGGGTACGAAGAATGCACCCTCCTTGATTCAAAGCGGGGAATTGGACCATATCAACCTATCACGACAGTCTTGGCCTGTTTATCTAATAGTTGTGTCACAACTGCTTATGCTCACCTGAGTATGTCCGGGTATAGTGGATGAGACACGGACACGGACAAACCACACTATCCGAACTCAGAGCCAAAGTCTTCGTACTCGTACGGAAACCTCGGAACATCCACAAGGCTTGTATCCCAAACCTTATTTGTCTTGGAATGTACTCCGTACTCGTACTCCGTACTTTGTTTGGCCTTCCAATCAAGTTCTGAGCTTGAAAGGAATCCCTGATTCCAATAATAGACTGATTACTCCGTCTTGGGGCTATGCATCGACAGTCACAAAGCCATTTCGAGATGTACGTCTCTTGCAAGAACTGCGCACTTGGAAACCAGACCGATGAGAGGAAAGCTATAATGCAGGAAAGGCTCCAGGCATTTATGAATGCACAAAATCAGCCGATCCCCATGCGAAGTGGAGTGAATTGAAGTCAAACTTGGGACTTGGATGTTATCTTGGGCCTCGGCCGAACCGAATTTTTTTATGCAAACATGATTTCTGGGTACTTCCCAATTGCGAATGGCTTCCGAGGTTTCGAGTTTAGAAAAGAAAATAAATATAAAAAAATTGACCATTAATATAGAGATTTGTGAAGGATTCGCCCTAGCGTAAGGTTAATATGCTAGGCCCAGTCACAGCCACTAGACGGATATTAAAATTTTCCTGCAGAGTATCCGCTGACTTATCGTCTTATGCATCAATGTATCCGAGGTCAATCCCGAGGTATGGACAAGCATAATCTACGTAGTGTAATTAAAAATTAAAACTCATAAATTCAACTTTCCAACTTTGGAAGGTTTTTATTGAGACCGACTCGAATTTATGTGCGAGGCAAACGGAGAAAATATGCAAACAATGCATACAATGCATACAATTCATAAATAACAACCCCATCAGACCTTGGAATCCATCCCAACCCAACCATCGTAACATCCACCATAAACCAGCGTATGTGCATCGACTACCATGCACTAAACCAAGTCACAGAGAGGAATAAATACCCGTTGCCACGCATTCAGGAACTCTTAGAAACTGTCGGGAACGGAAATTGTCGATCCCGGCGGGGTACGAGCATTCGAATAGCTGACGTTGCTCAATCCTTCGACATCCCTATGACATAAGAAAGCATTGAAGGCTTTGAGTTAAAGGATAAGGTGCCAAAGCAGGCCATTTACAGATCGTCCCTATCCATCCCCTATGCCTTCGTCGCCCTCAATGCCTTACCAACATAGCAAGACTATGTGGTACATAGGCTTGTATTTGCACATAATGAGTCTCTCATTGTACTCAATAAACATCTGAGAATCAGATATATTTGTCCAAAACTGGATGAGAGGATCAAATTGCAGACTATCTAATTCTCGAACAGATCTTAAATTAGATCAAGCCCTTTGAACTTATTCACAGTGGGAGGTCACTACGAGTATTATAATCCTTCGACCGCCCTAGATAACGAAGAAAAGACGGTATTAACTAGATACCACGCACACGAATACCCGGAAGGGCACTATCTAACCCTTACATTCGTAGCCATTCTCCCTGTTCTATAGCTATAGAAGACCATCGAAGGATGGTTTAGAGGCGTAGGATCCATAACCGTGAACTCGTACCGCGCGAGATAAAGTCCACTACAATTGGAACGTCACTATGATGATGATGATGATGATGATCTCATTAACCCGATGTAGCTCGCTAATACATACATGCTGCTATGCGGGGATAGCGTTCCAGAGCCTGCTCTTCGACGACAAAATGGTGGTGCATCCCCAGTATACACCCACCCTGTATACAGGACTCGATTCCTCGAGGTCCTGCAACCTGAACTGTAAGGCCACAAATCGGCCGGCATAATGCAAACAGGACAAAAGAAATTAAACGTAAAGAAAGTCAATCCACCCGTAGATGGTCAATCTGGCATTCCCCGCGGGCGCAGAGTGTCCCCTTCCCTCTGCAATGCACCTTTCACTTCCTCCTTCCACTTCTCATCTCGCATTGGCTTCCCCGAGTCACCGAGTCCCTGTATCACCAGGACCGCCAGGTATGCAATGTGCGTCCCATTGTATCTCGCTGCCTTGCATCATGCCGGCAGGTCGTATACGAACAGGTTCGGATCGCGACGCCATGCTTCGTCGTCTTCGTCGTCAGCAATGGCCGATCTCCATGTGCGTTGGTGTGAGGTGACCTCGGCAGACCTGGTGCCTGACCACTGGGTTGTGCTTCCTGTCTCTCCAGTACTCGCAGTCTCTTGATTTGGTTTTGTTGGAACGTCACTAGTTGCGCCGGTTTCCGCAATGGCTAGAGTGAGGTTAATTTCCAGAAACATTAGAAAATGCAAATACTAATGATCACTGACTGTACTTCATTCAATTTCATAGCCCTAGATTCTTATCTTGAGCTCAGCCGCCTGACAAGGAACCAAGTATACCGCGTGTTGATAAAGACCAACAAGTATCACGCTGTCCGATTTCAACTCCGCCATTTCAAAAAGTCCACACGATCAACCTCCTCGATTCGATCAATTTCCAAGGCCAAGAAATCACTTTTGCACTGCCCCCTATTTGGAAAGTCGTACAAGCCGAACCTTGCATCCCTATCCGACCTCCGTTCTTAGCATCACAAAGCTTCAGTTAGTGGTTATGACACCAGTAGTCTGCATGCCCAACACGCTCAAAGAGCTCTTAGGTAACAAAAGCTCGGGGTCATCAGTATACAAATCCAGAGGAGTAACATTCGAGACAGAGGGTCTTCCCTGCCCCGCCGTCACAGTCGAATCCTGACTCTGTGCCATAGTAGCATCTATAGATCGGTCACAGGCTGGGCAGATGGCGTAATTAACACGACGGGCCTTGAGCATACCCGGCTCGATGAATTTATGGAAAAACCCTTTAGCAAAGGAGCGGAAATATAGCAGACTAAAATGATTAGTATATTGGGAAGAGCAGGTTGGATTCAAGTCATGGACAAGCTTACGTGAGGAGGACACATGAGAGGTTGGAGTAGATCTGCGGAATACCACGGGAAAGTTTGTAGTTATGGGGATTAAACCATGCGCTGATCTCCACGGAAGCAAGAATGACGGTTCCGGAAATGTATACTCCGGCCATGAGCAAGGCCATCAATAAATCAAGAGCGATTTCGAAGGACGAATAACATGGGTTTTTGGATCTGCGATATTTGAAGAGCATGAATGCAGGTGCGAGAGTGGAAATCGAGATCTTTGAATCGTTAGATGGCGGTTTTTTATCATAAAAGAAGACGGCATACCGCTAGAAGTTGAACCCATGTTTGAGTACTACCACCAGTGATGGGGACGGCAGCAAGAGCGCATGGCCACGAAATCACCGAGAGAAAGGCCTGGATCTTGCGAGCTCGAGAGAGCGGGTGTTTGTTGGAACCCATTTTTGGGAACTTTTTCACTTTGATGTTTCTTGGTTGTACAATATAAGATTAAATGTGAGGTTCGTGGGGATTGGAAGTCAATGTTCTTATTTATTAGGTTTGACGGCCCCCGGCTTTGCCGGGAACGAAATGGAGGGGGTAAATACCCCTGTTGCCTTGTATAATCAGTCTGCCTGGGGAGAGTTAGTGTCGGGTAAAAATAGATAGAGGCCTTTAATAGGCTGGTTTCAATCAACACTAGGAGACGATGTTTAGACCCGCAAAAAGAAAACATGCAAAAAAATTATCACTCGATCATTCATTTTGATACAAGTCATATCATATGAAAGAGTCCAATATCATCAGAACCATGACACAAGACCCAAAATTCGAGAATTCCAAAGCAAAATAAAATAGGTAACCGTGCCAAGCAACACATCGAGTGATTGTCACTCCCTTTTTCACCAGATCCCAGATTTCATATCAACTTCCCATACGGAGTACAATTTGCTAGAACTGTTGTGATATATGGCTGGTGCAGATCAGGAACCAAGCCGAATCATCGAAAATAATTCCTTCACAATCTATACGAAGAACCAGATTGATTTACAATCAGCTTGGACCTCACATTGTTTATATAAGCTCCTGAATCCCCTCAGAAATACGAACAATCAATTATTCCTCTGAAATACAACAAGAACCTCTACTCCAATATTGGGTCGATCGGCCCGCGAGTGGGGTAAGAGACATCCATGTATGCCATGTCAACCATTCTATATGTGCTCTCCGAGCGAAACTGTATTGGGGAACCAGAAGAGATAGGAGTGAGGTGCTAGTCCCCTCCTAGACTTCGGCACAACCCACTCTAACCCGAACCCAACCCAAAATGGGTTTTGGGTCCAATTATATAACCCAACGATGGGGTTTGGGTTATTAGTTATAACTAGGACAGATCTAGCGACCTGTCTTAATTGTCCTATCCTTCCCCTATGCCTTCGTCGCCCTTAGTATCTTACTAATATATCAAGACTATGTGGTATATAGCCTTGTATTTATATATAATGTGTCTCTCATTGTACTCAATAAACATCTGAGAATCAGATATATCTGTCCAAAACTGGATGGGAGGATCAAAGATCAAATCACAGACTATCTAATTTTCGAACAGATCTTAAATTAGATCAAGCCCTTTGAGCTTATTCACAGTGCATACACCCGCTATCTCACAAACACAGCAGCTTTCTGGTAATCCCCCTAGGTTCTCTATAGGCTCATCTCTTTGTATACACCCCGGTGCTCACAGCATGATAACCTTTCATGCCTACCCTCGCTGTCAAATCACTCTTCCATGGCTCGCCACGCACCAATCTCCCCACTGTCTTTTCAAATGTATAATTTGGATTCCATCCTAGTTCCTTCACTGCCTTGCTTGAATCATACACTCTGTCGATCCTCACGAGATGCTTCCACCCCTTCTCCTTGAAAACGACATCCACATCAGGAAATGCCTTGCTGAGCACCTCCGCGGGGCTCCGATTCAAAGCATCGAGAGTGTGTATATCGTTGTTGAAAGGCGGCGGGGCGCTTATAATATATTTTCCCCATAGAATATCCTTGGCCCTTCTCATTGCGCAGACTGATGCGCTGACAATATCATCAATGTCGCATCTGCGGTAGGCTAGCTCTAGAACTTTCAGGTTCTCATCGCCCATGGCGGCGCGACGGTCTTCATCGTCGTCTTCCTCGGGGAAGAAGCGACTAGTGCGGAGAACTAAAACGGGCATTCCACTTTGCTTCTGCACCAGTGCGCACATATCCTCGGCCGCAATCTTCGTCACACCATATATATTCTTTGGGACGGGCACAATAGATTCATCGATCCAAGCAGCGGGGTGTCCTGGTTTGGGACTGAGCGCCATACCAAAGGTACTCGTTGTACTGAAGAAGACAAAGCTCTCTATCTGCGCCTTGAATCTAGAAGATTCTTCTAGGAGAATCAAAGTGCCGACAACGTTGGTCGAGATGAACTGCTCCTTGCTGTGGCTACCAACATGCGGTTTATGCAGTGTTGCGGCATGGAGAACGTGTTTTATGGGGTAAGAGTCGAAGAGGGAGGCGATAAAGTCTCGGTCGCTAACAGATCCCAGAAGTGTCGTAGTTGGGGAGGATAGGATATCGATGCCCAGTGGTTTGAAGCCCAGAGAAGGCAGGCTAAGCATCAGAGCAGTTCCAAGATGGCCAGCCGAGCCAGTGACAAGAACATCATACGATGAAGACATTTTGAAATGGAGGTTACTCATAAGAGTTGCCTATTGCGAGCTTATCTGTTTCATGAGAGAAAAAACTTATGTGAGTCACTCAGGACGACCAGGTCGAATTTGATTATTAGTACTCCGTATATGTCACGTGTATATCTTGAATACTCATAACTAACTATCACATGCGGATTTACGTAATTCAACCTTCCTGAGGTAGGAGTGTATAGGAATTTCATGTAAATTATGATATTATACGTCAAGCGGACGATCTGGAAATACAACATTGAATATATGTGTATTTTTAAGCAACGATTATTTACGCCATTTATTAATACGGATTAGCGTAGTACCGGGTACGGGCCGACAAACAAAGTGTGAGTGTTTCCGAATTTTTCTACTCCGTACTGTACCCAGGTACTGTATAAACATGCTTCTTGCACAGCGACCCACACCTTGGATACTTCCCTCGGCCCGGGCCACATCATCAACCTATCCTTCTTAAACCTTTCCCATAACCCAGGCTCCAGTGTCAGCCTCACTTCCCAGGGCGACGACCTGCCCTTGTACCGTGCTGGCATAATCCACGCCTAACCATCAACACGACGTTCCGGCAAATCAAAATCCTTCACAGTTCCCAATCCCAGTCCAAAATCAAGCTCATAAAATGGAAGTTACGCAGCTAGCTGATTATAAGTCCCTGGCATGAGGATTCGCAGCCCACTCGTCACTCGCAGCGCTGGCTGAGATGAGTTCCCAAATAGTTTCGTCGGCAACAGAACCTAGAGCAGCATGGACTGAACTTGCGAGCTCTGCGAGGAGTTTGATATCGTGGTCACGACAGGGTTTGGTGTGAGTTTTATCATTGGAATCAGTCATGGAAAATGCATTCGTCGTGAGAGGGGTGTATACTTTGTGGAGAATCAGTGCGTTGCCGATGTACGATAGTGGTAGCTTTGGTTGTAGTTTCGACCGCGCTTCGGAGACTAACATGGTGCAGGATTTCTTTGGCGTAAGCGCGATTTTTATCGTAGCTCGGATCGTGCACAGCCAAATCACCGGAGTGAGGTCCTTCCCAACCTGCGTTTCTGTGTACAACCTTCCAAGGTTGGAACGGTAAACTAATGAGGTAATAGAACATTTGAAATCATCTTCCGCCGTTTCTGGAAGGTATACACCGTGTTGACAGTAAAGATACCTCACCCTCACCCTCACAAGAAAGCCCTCTACGATAGAATCAAATCCCCTCTGTCTCGATGCACGGATCATGGATACCGTCTTTATTGCGACCGATTTCACTTGGCCTCGACCGATGCAATGGTGGTGCTGGAGTTCTTGCTAGCATATGGACTGAACTGATTCTTTAGGATGATAGCACACTTTGGTAGCGTCCTCAATGCACTTTGTACTCAATTTTCCTCATTGTCTGGAGTTTCACCGGCTATATTTCCCCTGAAGCTGCCCAGGTGGTACAATGATCCTCGGGAATATTTAAAAGCGCAGCTGCAACCCATCTTCACTTCTCCTTGCGCCTTTTTTCTTGTATCTCCGCGTTTCCATATATTCCATATAGGGCCAGCAATGTAAAATTCACACATTATATGTGGACAAGAAGATATTGACGAAAAAGACCCTGAAAAAAGACTGCTTGCAGCCTGAGGCAGCAAGGCTTTCGACTCTTTGTAGGAAGCTGACAACATTAGAACACTCTGCTTAGGTGTGCTTTGAGAAGTCATCACCTTAATCCTAACATTCTCTAGTTGGAAGCCTCCAGCCCTGTAAGTATTCAAACTTATAAAACAACTTCACAGTCGGAATGATCTCTTTTCATTTTCATAGCCTCTATAACAACTCCCTTCCTAGATATACCATGCTAGCTGACTTTCAAAAACCCATAGTATAAGTGGAAACCATACTAGTGGGGGCTTGATAGGTAGATACAATGGATTCTTGACGTTGTAGATACTCGATTAGTGCTCGATTTTACCTTTTCCCGCAGACATGTACTTATAGCACAGGTAGTTGCGACGTACCCTACATCGCACCTGCTTTATTATAGAATTGAAGCGATGCCAATGTTAGGTACCCCGACGCAGCATGACTCTCTCTACAACTCACCAGCCTCAGACAGCAAGACCTTCAATCGCATCCAACCCTTCCATCATGACAAACTCGGACTACGGGAAGCTCGCCATTGCCACGGCCGCCATTCTCGGAATCCTCACACTCGGTGCACTGATATACTTGCTAGTGTGGTACATTCGACGAAGACTCCGCGCCCGACGGCTTCATCGCCAGAGCCAGGAGAATGACCAATTTGACCAATCCGCAGTATCCTTGGCCGAGGACACAAGCAGGACTCTAGATGACTTCCTGATGAAGGATATCCAGCCCGAGCGGAGTTCAATCTTGTTCAGCAGAAGCGGGTCTCCATCCATTACCATAATCATTGACGACGCGGACGATGCTGGCCGCTGCAAGTCTCCGCCTCAGCCTTATCTCACAGAACATCACACTGCACCTTCTTCATCTGCAGATACCCACACGTTGATACAGATCCCAACCCAAGACTCTGTTCCTGATGACCTGTGGTCAGATCAGACTCAGTGGAGTAACTCGGGACAGCGTTCTTCAAGCACGACGCCGAGAGCATCCACCTCGTCGTCTGTCGTCCCAACATCGCGGTCATCGCAGATTTGGACTACGACCTCTGCTAGCACACCGTCCGACCAGACTCAGAGGCGCAGCTTGGGACATCACTCGTCAACCACGACACCGAGAGCATCCGTATCGTCATCTGTCATTTCAACAGCGGGATCCTCCCAGGTTTGGACTACGACCTCGGTAGGGACTGAGACGTTTTCGCTTCTTAGTCAATCTTCAAATCACTCGCGTCGCCCTCAAAGTCCCACTGGTCCATCGGCCTCGGGCATATCACAGGTATATACACGTCGTTCGAATGTTTCTGGTGCATCGAGTCGTCCGTCCAGTGCAGGTGTCTTGCAGTCTGCATCCCGAATGTTCAATGAGGCGGAGGCTTCTCGGATGGCTTACTCGAGAAATATCGACTCTGTTGGATCAATGACTCCTACTTCTCCTGTTTCTCCGGTGTTGGTGGACGTCTCAGCTGAACATGATCTGCCCCAATGGACATCCGTTCCCCCTACTCCTTTTCCTTTCAGTCAGCTCTGACCGTTGATGGCTTATTGTGGGTTGTTGATTTGGTCTTGCTTTTTTTTGGCAGTTGATCCAAAGCTGATGAGGAAATATTGGGATGGACTCAGGTTCCATCCTTGACTAGGGGAGTTTTCCTTCTCGCCGTTAATGTCTTTGGAAGTTAATGTTTTCAAACGGGATTTCTTGTTGCTGGCAACTCTTATTCATTATGTACAGCGTCCAGGTCTTTCCAATGCTTATTCTTTGATTCATCATATTGATCCATTGCATGCCAATCCAACTTGGAAGTTGGGAAATGCCAAGTTTAAACTGCAACTAACACTGGCAGCCCTCCATTCATACCTTTGGTCGTGGGTGACGTAGGCGAATAGTATTATTCGAGAAAACGTGTTGCTAGAGGGCCATCCTCCACATTGTCATACGGAAGTATAGGATAGTAAGTTGAAGAAGTGAAGACATAACCCTAAGAATACACATTTCATTGCGAGTTGGTTGACGTGAAAAAGTCTATTAAAAGATATAGAACTAATGCCCAAAAGACTGGGTTCATGGATTGATTGCATTGATTTCATTTGCGTTTCCTGGTGCGGACGGAGCCTTCGTCTTTCGCGTGCTGATCCCAGTCGGCGCTTTCTCCTTTCCTTCGGCGTGTCATGAGTTCCAGCACAGCAGTGGACGATCTGCCTCTAGATAGAGTCATCGCTGTTACCAGCGAGATCGGTAAACTCCTGATGTCTTTCCATAAAGGCAGCACAATGGGCATGACGATCCGCCTTTAGGTTCATCTCTCTAGGAATCAGCCAAAACTGAACCCTCATCCCTCTCTCCTCCCACATTTCAATTTCCCCAAGAAGACACTCCCAAAGGTCCCGATTCCTGATCGGTTCCCCGGCACGTGTAACCCAACTCCACTCAAACCATTCCGGTGCCTCTCTTGTGATACCGTCCACGACGTATTCCGAGTCTGTTGCAATGATCATACGACTGCAGCCATCCGCAGCCCAGTCTCGATACCGCAGCGCTGCAATGACGGCGCGAATTTGTGCGCGGCCGATTGTCAGTGTGTGTTGTTGACCAGTGGGCCCTTTATACTCGAGGGGAAATCGTGCGAAACCAGATGCAGAATCGTTGTAGACAAAGGAGCAACCCGCCCTGGCGTTCATTCTGCCATTGTCCATGCACGTGGCATCCGTATAGATGAGGAATTCGTCCTCGACGGATCGGTTGTTGTGATTCAGACGAATGAATCTATGGACTCGCTCTGTTTCTGTGACTTTGGGGCAATGTGGGAACAAGGACTGTGGCGTATCATCTGCACTCGGAGGGGTGAACTTTGTGGGGATAATGCGGCCACTGCCGACTTTGAGCTCCGTAAACAAGCGAGGAGGCGTGTAGCCTGGCCAGTATTGCGCGAAGTATTGCGCGGGGTTCACTTGGTGAAGGGCCATGGTTGTTTTGGTAGACGCATCAAATAATGACTTCGGAGGACCTGGGTATAGCTTCAATCGGCGTTCCTTGTATCAGGCAAACATATGTTTAAAGGCTGACTTCAAGTCTAGAGACGAGGATACAAGAGTTAGACAATGGAGAGATGACAAAACGGAGGAAGCGAGCAGGGTGTCTTGTATTGCTCCTTCCATATTTCTTCTGGATGCCTGAGGCCAGGAGAAGAAATCAATGATCATTTATATTTCATTGAATGGTGTCTGAGCTACCAAAAAAAAAAAAAAGGGGACCTCCACGCGCCTCGCTATTCCAGTCCTGGAGACGCTTCGGACGTAAAACCGACAAAAATTAAGAGCAACAAATACAGAAGCAAAACTCTCGGAATACATGTCCGCCATGAGATGTACAGGTAGGAAAATGAGAGACACAAAAAGAAAGGTGGAAGTCCTTAAGATCTATCCGGATATATGATCTTCATCTTCATGCATTCATATCGCGCACACTGCGCAGGCACCGTTCAAGGCGTTTGCCGCGCTCCTTTTCACGTACAAGGGTATCCTTGACAAACGCTCGGATGGCGTCACGGCCGACCCTTTCCCGCCATGAGGTCCAGCCAGCGAGTTCGCCGACCACGACATCCTTGTTCCACGAGACCTCCTTCGCCAGCCGAGTGGACTCGGATTCGCCATCGTGAATCTTTTGTTCAAGGTCACGGACGGACTTTTGGCGGGACTCTTCGAAGCCTGGGAGGTTTATATTGAATTTGCGGGGGAGGGAGGAAGAGAGGAGCGAGGAGCGAGAGCGAGAGATATGGCGGTTTGTTGAAGAGAGGGAGGACATAAGGGCCAGTGGACGGGATAAAGAGATGAGAATTGCGGCCGTTGTGTTGTCGACTGAGGAGAGAGCTGCCAAATACTGGAGGAGAGGGGAGGAGTCAGACCTAGAGGTCGATAGGTAGGTGGCGTAACGAGCAAAGGCCTCGATGTGTGAGATCGGAAGTGCATTGGTGGGCGCTCGGAGCGTAGCAAGGACAGATGAGCATATCATCACCGCATCTGCGAGATCGGATGTTGCATTCTGCAATGCGTGCCCTCGGCGAATCAGGGAACGCGTGTTGACATGTACACCGCGCACCATTTCCTGGGCGTGGGTGATAAACTGCTCTGTGTCGCGCATGCCCTCCAGTGATACCGGCGGATATTCGTCCGCGATGGTCTCTGTGAGCACGGCAGCCTTGCGGTACGATCGGTCGGCTACCATCTCAGGCTGAAGTTCTGGAACGAGGAAGAACTCCCACAGCATTTCGTGAGTTGAAAAGGTTGGATGGGCGAGAAGCGTCTTCAGGAACCGGTCCAGTCTTTCCTGGAGATCATGGAGTACGGACCGTGATGGCTTCGAGTGGATCTGGAATGGATTCCGGAAATCCGAGAGGGACGGCATGTAAGATCCTGGATGTTCCACTGCAAGCCATTTAGCCAGATTCTCAAAGTCGGAGAAATTGCGGCGACAGGTCGTAACGGTGTATGTCGTCGATCCAGGCCGTGACGACGCCACAGATTCAGTGGGAGGAAATGGTGCGCCGGATTTGAGAATAAAGCGCACGGTTGCGTCCTCGACGAAGTACGACCGCACGACTGTTGTGACACGACCCGAAGGATCTCCACAAGCCGACGGAGGATGGGACAACAAGATCAAATCGTCGATTCGATTTCGCACCTCATCATCCTTGGCTAACTCCACGGCTGTCAAACCACGGGCTTCTTTAATATGAACGTCGACTCTTGGGTCTAAGAAGAGAATGCGAACTTGGTCAACTCGCCCGTACTTGCTGGCCATCATCAATGGCGTAAATCTCTTGTCGTTGGTCGCGTTGGGATCGCAATCGCTGTCCTGCAATATGCGTCGGGTAATCTCAGGATCACCAACAATATGCAACAGTGTGTTCCCCTTCGTATCGACATGATCATCAAGCTGAAGCGGTTTGTTGTCGCCTTGTGCCCACTGCGCTGCAGTCAAAGCGGCTTGAACCATTGATTTGTATTCTGGATGATCATACGATCGACAGAGTGCAAAGAGCGGTGTTTGTCCATGTTTGTCTCGTTGTCGCCATGGGATAATGGTACCAAGTCTCCCTAGCAGCGAGGGTGTGCTGAAAAGATAATGAGCAACAGTGCGACCGTGGACGTCGGATTTAGTCAAGTAGAACGCAACCACGCTTGTATCTGTCTTTGCAAATAGGAAGTCCAAGAGGATCTTGACTATCTCAGTGTGTGCGAGTTGCACCGCAGCGTTCAATAGCGTGGTCCCATCGACGTTGGTGTCTTGGATGATTTCCTCCAATGGGTAGTATTCTTCTAGAGTCAACAGGTATTTCAAAGCTTCGGTCTGACGGGCCTCTACTGCCATCATCGGTATGGAATGACCAGCAGGATCTTGGGTTTTGGTCAAGGTCTCAATCGAATTGTCACCTTCAATTCCACTGGCCATGGATCCGAGAGTTGCGGTCCTAGAGATGAATGAGACGGCTGATGATTCCGATAGGCTGCGAATTGAAACTTTCTTAATTGGACGATGAGGGTGAGATTCTTGGATAATGGAAAGATCATCCCAATTTTGGAATGGGAACACATGGGATAGCGGTGGTGCATCGACAACAGCTTCATCCGGGTATGAGTCGCCATTCGTATGACTGGTGTAAGAGTGCTCAAGAGGGAGGTCATCCAGCTCATCAGCTTCATCTGTCTGGAACAGTACAGACTTTCGCTCCGGTTCCGGTGGAGTCGTATCGTCTATGGATTCGTGATCTTCATTTGGTTCCAGTATAGATTTCATATCCGATATTCTGCCAGCTTTTGTTGCTTGCCACAAACGTCTGTTCCGAACGCTGGCACGCCGTAGTCCGGCAGAATCGGTCACGAGATACATCAGAACAGCTTCAAATGTACTTAAAGCATATCCCATCTCGCCGTTATCAACGTCGTCAATGTAGATAAAGTGCTGCATGTACAACAATCGAGCTTGGAGATGCCGTATTTGAGAACGAATGACAACAACAAGCAACAACGATACCAAGACATCAGCGTTGATCGTGACAGAGGAAGTTCCCTTCTCGGATGCTGAGCCGTCCATTTGATCATAACTGCCAGGGAAGGAGATAACCTTGACTGTTCCAAGGAGGGTATTCAGCATATCATGGGGACATCGAGCGTCATTGATCTTCCGAAATTCTTCCACGGCTCGCCCAAGTCGACGAATCAGTTCTCGCTTCCCTTCATGTCCACCTTCAACCGATATTCCGACTTGGGACACATCAATGCTCTCCATCTGGCGAATGCGAGCATCCAGCTCTGCGTCCTCTGGTCGGCGGAATGAACAAAGACGAGGGAAAAGCAGCGGCTCGTGAACTTGCTCGGCGACATAACGTTCTATTAGCCGCTCCACTAGAGGACCAGTGAGATCAGTAGTCGCACCAAGCAACGATAATTGCTGCTTGTCAACGAGGCGGAAAAGATCGATTGCAGCAGTCACCGCGGTTTCTAAGCTTCGGCGCATGAGATCTTCGTCATCTTCGAAATATTCCTCAGAGTTGAACGGCAATCGCCCTCTGCTGCGTGACGACCAGCTGCGGATGGAAGAGCTTTCGTCTGTCCAAGACTCGGCGCGAGACAACTTGTGGACGCGTTCACTGCCGGATGCAGATGGCGATCGTGAAGGAGGAGGTGGCAATGGTTTACCAAGTTCCTTTCCAAACTCCTTGAATAGTCTTTCCAGGCCCGGATGCATCTGTCTGGCAATCATCGGGTAGTTGGCTAGCAGTTCCCCAAACGATTTGATCTCTTGTTTTGGTGGCGTCCCAATTGAATCTCCGTTTCCATATTTCTTGTCTGGTGTAGTTTGCCCGACGATGCTGGTGTCGGTTCCAGGGACTGCGGCTGGTAAGATCTTCGCGGGGTCATACGTTCCGATCAACGGGCGAGAGATGTAGTAAATCAGCCATGGGCGCGATTCATTGGACGGGGTGTAGTAAAGCACGTCGGAAAGCAGTTGGGCTTGTGTGAGTGACTTGAATCCTGATAGAAATGACCGGTGTTAGCTAACATATTTGGGCGAGCGCATTCACCAGCAAGTGCTCTCACCTTTGTTGCTGTAGACTGAGTTGTCCTTGATGATCACCGTCCTCCCATTGAATGTGGTCACCTGCTTTGCTTTCCCTCGATTTTCTCGGACATTGTTCTCCTCTTTGGAATTCGCAGGGCCAGTATGGATTGGGATGCGGAGCACATGGCTCCCCAGAAACTCCTCTGACGCGCAAAGATCGGAATATAGCAGGTTGGACTCCCGGTCGCGTGAACCGATGAGAGACTCTGTCGTTGGAACTAGCAAGACCTGAGGCGCACGCGCAACATCAATTAGCCACTCCGGATGATCCGATGACAGATTCACAGCCTCGACCTACATGATTCTCGACCGGTATACACTGGCCCGGGACAGTGCTTCGAAAGAAGGCACGGAGGAAAGGGTTTAGAGGGTGCATCCAAACGGTTTTGGACGGCCCAGTCGAAGAACTCCAGCAACCATCAAGCCGTCCGTCTCAAATCTCCGCAGCAGGGGATATGTGCGCCGTAAGATTTCGCGGGGAAGGGCAGCTCGCATCCAACAGGCAGCAGCGCAGTATGAAGTCAGATCAGGCCGTTGAATTCAGTGGACAGAGCTGCAAATAAGCTTGAACAAAACCACAATGCTAGATCGCAGAAAACAAGAAGCCACAAAGATAAGAGTTGAAGCAGAAGCACATGTTTCGCGGGTGAATCCAGAACATGATCGACAAGTTGATGGGCGCTATACCCCATTGGGTAATTCTTCCATTCAATACACTGCCGGGCTTCCTCTTACATAGACAGCTTCGAAGATCTCCTAAAATCCTAAAATATTTTGTAATGGCAGAAATTATGCATCGGGTCTAGTCTCTTTTTTTATAGAGGTCTTGCAGATGGAGTTTGTGTAGTCCTGTCATGATATTTCTAATATACAGAGAATAGATGGCGACAGGCATGCCATTAGATAAAAACACAAAAAGGACAGCCGAGGTCTCTCCGCACAATGCAATCCAGTACAGCTGTGCTGCACACAAGCAGCCAATCCAAAACAAAAACATGATCTCTCCTATGGAGGGAGATCAACCCAGTCTACGCACATGTCTGCTGCGAGTACCACCGAACTTCAGTCGAGTGGAGTCGGACACTCGCGCAACAAGCCCCCGAAGGTGCCGTCCTTCATGGCCAAGTAGGACCTTTGTAAATGCATCGCGACCCTTTCCAAACCCACGGTACACGACCTCCAACCGCTCGATCTCCATCAGGAAGCCCTTTTCCTGAATCTGATTCATGAGATGAGCGGACAGTTGGTATGCCGGGTCAAAGCCGGAGCGACCAGCTTTGCGGAAACCTATCTGACCGCATCCGATGGACAGAAGGGGACTGCCATTTGGTCGTGTCAAGGTGAGGATTGTGTTGTGCTTGTGGCAGTAGACGTGCAGGTGGTGGGGAGGAGCTCGGTCGGCGTAGGGATTCTTGATCATGTCGGCTTCGAGGCTTTCGGCCATCCTGGAGTAGTCAGAGCCACCGCGCGAGGACGGTGCGCCTGACCTCTTGCCCTGCATCATTTGTGTGATTGCAGAAAGCGGCGACGAGGAACCGGAAGGTGTCTCGGGTTCTCGGTTCAGCATCTGTTTCTCAATGTCGCTACCATCGTTGCGCGCGGAACGCATGCTTTGGTGGGAAAATGGACGTGTGATGCTCAAGGAGGAGATTCGAGGCTGAGATTGGCGGCATACTGAGGGCAATGCCTTGGTCAACTTGCTCATCGAAAAGGAGCTCATGGTGGTGACCGGGATTTGCAGCGACAAAGGACGAATATCAAATGAGGAAACTAGTACTGGATTATAAACAACTGATCAATTGAACACAAGTCACCAATGCAAAGTGCCGAGATGACCACAAAGCGCGGGTGGTGTAGAGCCGTTGTCGGACCGAAGGGAAACGCTGGAAGTTTTTCGAAGTCTTGGCATCTGCACTTTTTCCCTTCCCCGAGATCTTTGCCTCCCCATCACCTTCTTCATATCGCGTCCAGGCTGGGCTGGAATCCATCTTTCCTCCACCCTCATATTTAATTCTATTTTGTTTTCTTATCCCGTTCACGCTCTAGAGCATGATTCCGGCCAAGATGTCTGCGGCACGAGCCGTTTCCTTGCGGTCTCAGGCACCGTCTCTCAGAGCATCATCTCTCCGGTTGTCTGGCGCCGGATCATATTCGACCGTCTCAGCTCAACCATTTACGCACTCCGCTAAGAGCCACCGAGCCATCCTTCAATCCCCTTCCCATCCCATTTCTCAACTTGTCTCACCGTTCGCCGCTCTCCCTTTGACGCGGTCTTTCCACGTCGCAACTTCCCTTTGGCAACAGCAGCAACAGCAAAAGCAACAGGAAGGAAAGCAGGGTGAGGACGAGAAGTCTGAATCACAGGGCGAGGAGACCAAGGAGGAGAAAAAAGAAAAGCAGGAAGAGAAGGCTCCACCACCACCCCACGGAGACAAGTCTCCTTGGCAGGTCTTCCGTGAGACTCTGCAGACCGAGTTCAAGGCCTCCAAGGAATGGGAGGAGTCCACGAAAGCGCTGGCATCTTCAGCTCACCAGTTTACTGAGAATGAGAATGTCAGACGTGCGCGCGCTGCTTATGAGGCTGCGTCAACCGCTACAACCTCCAAAACCTCCACAGCCATCAAGTCGACCGGTCAAGTCATTGGAAAGGGAGCTGCATGGACATGGAACACCAGCGTTGTGAAGGGCGTTCGAAAGGGTGTCAACGCAACTGGAGAGGGCCTCGAGAAGGCCACGAGACCCGTTCGGGAAACCGAAGCATACAAGAGTGTGAAGGACGCCATTGATGATGGAAGCAGCTCGCGCTACGGTGGTTGGGTCGAGAAAGAGGAACGCCGCAAGCAGCGACAGCGTCGAGAGGAGCTGGAGCTCAAGTCTGGAAAGTCTCACCGCGTTGAGGAGAGAGTTGAAGATCCCAAGTAAGTTTTGATGATGACAAGGTTTTGATTTGGCGTTTCTGACTGATTCGTCTCTAGTGCCGGTACCAACGTCACTCTCCACAAAGATTCCGCCTGGAAGGACTCCTGGAAAGACTTCAAAGACTCCAACCCCGTGATGCAGAAGCTCTTCACGATCAAGGAGAACTACAACGAGTCCGAGAACCCCCTGATCAGCACAGCACGCAGCATCTCCGATCGCGTTGCTGGCTTCTTCGCCGAGAACGAGACCGCCATGGTCATCAAGAAGTTCCGAGAGATCGATCCCAACTTCCAGATGGAGCCTTTCCTACGCGAAATGCGTGACTACATGTTGCCAGAAGTACTTGACGCTTATGTCAAGGGAGATGTTGAGACACTCAAGCTCTGGCTTTCAGATGCTCAGTTCCACGTCTACGCTGCTCTTGCGAAGCAATACACCACTGCCGGACTCAAGTCGGATGGTCGCATTTTGGATATTCGTGGCGTGGATATTTCTCACGCCCGTATCTTGGACCCCGGTGACATTCCCGTGTTTGTCGTCACTTGCCGGACACAGGAGATCCACGTCTACCGCAAGATCAAGACTGGTGAGCTAGCCGCTGGTACGGATGACAAGGTGCAGCTGGTCACCTACGCCATCGGATTGACTCGTATCCCTGATGAAGTCAACAACCCCGAAACTCGGGGCTGGAGATTGATCGAGCTGCAGAAGGCTGCCCGTGACTACATCTAAGAGCGCAATCCGTCCCTCTTCATTACATACTGCCACATTTTCCCCTATCTTATTGTCGGCATATTCCCTCGTGGACCTCACCCCCTCTTGCATCTTGACTTCCACTCCACCCCTTTCAACTGTACAATACAACTGTTTGATATCAAGCCAGGTGGATCCTGGCGCCTGTTACGGTTATGCCTGTTCCAGTGACTGCCAATTCGGGCCGTCGCTGGTTAATCGGATTTTCTTTTCATGTATTAATGCTTCATTCGGTCTGACATTTTGTCTCGAGTTTTACTCTTGAGGACTTACGGCCCAGTCCGCTCAAATCTGAATGTTCCATCTTTCCCATAGACTAGGGCGCGTTGGATTTTATCTGATGACATTTCTTTGGGTCTTGGGGTGTTCTGCTGGCGTCTTTGTGCATTTTATTTCCACTCTCCCCTCGCCACCGTGTATGACTGCATTGGGTTGTTGGTTTTAGTTTCTGTTGGGGCCGTAATCAGTCACCAACATATGAGGATTCTTGAAAATCGTGTAAATATATAAACAGACATTTCTAGCTTGCTTCTTTTGGCTATCTATTGTAGTTATCATGAGAGTATCATGACACCACCCCCAGTCAAAGTCCTATCTTCACTCGGCCCAACTAAAAGATATATAATAGGCACACATCCAATGTGAGTCTTGTTACTCTTGATGTTGGGGTCCGGGTTGCAGGCGGCAATGCTCATTTTCGATCTAGCGTTGATGGTATCTTTTCGTATAGTGAAGCTTAGCGAATGCTTTGTCTGGTAGCTGGCCGTGATTCAATCAACTATATATATTTGCAATTCGGTTTTTGCTTCCATTTTCGCGACCGCTCATTGGCTGTTAGGCCTGCTGCCACTTTGCTTCCGCCCTATCAAAAACTGCCGTGCTTCCTTTTTTGTCGCTTTTCTCCCTACCCTATCCTCCGTTTTACTTTTAATTTGGTATACGTATAGTGAGAATTATCTATTTCCACTCTGCTAAAATTTATATCTTTCCGATTGTAGATGGTTATATTATAGTAACTTCATACTTTTTCTGCCGGCCGTGTACCTACCGCGTCGACCTATATGTATAGAGTAGAGCGCTAGCGGTGCTCTATAGGAGCGTAAGGTAGCGGCCTCCTCACTTTTTTATTTTATTTAATATTAGTCTTATTCTAATAAACTGGCAAACCCTCTAATACTTTTTTTTTTAAGTAGAGGGAGGCCGGCCCGAGCTTCTTGTTCTTCGGTAAAAGTAACAACTCGAACAACAAAAGGGTTCAAGCAGGTCACCAGGGTCTGATAGAACCAAGCAGGACACTGGGATTTGATAGCATACGAGCTCGAGAAACAAACAGCCCGTCTGCCACGGGATATATATTCTTCTGGCTCATTTTGAGATATAGTGATAATCGTGTATTGCGGGTTATCACACTTAGACCTGCCCCTATAGCCCTTGTTGACAAAGTCTTGGATCACTGGCTAGGCTAAGTGTAAGTCACCAATTTAGCCTTTGATAGGTAGACGATATCCAAGCGTGGCTTACCTAGGTAGAGTTCCTCGTAAAGTTCCACATGCTTTTCTTGACATAGTCGCTCTCGCGTGGCGGCTTTAGAAGGGTTTTAAAGAGGAATATAAAGAAGAAAAAAAATAAAGATTGCTTCTAGTAGGTTTAGATAGCCTCGTTCATCAGAAGAATTGAACGCTGCAAGCACGCAGAACTCTACTTTGGCGCCATTCTTGGGTTTCCGACATAGGTGGGAGGCCAGGCTCTGTTGCCATTTGCCCGAACGCGAATCTTGATACAGATATATAGGGCAAGGGTAATTGTGCCCTCCAGGAACAGAAGAGGTTGGTATAGCTAATTATAAAGACTTGGGCTACCAAGAGGTGGATGAAGAAAGGAAGAACAGCAGTGAACAAACTAGGCTTTTTTAAGCCCCAAAATGAGGTGTGATCTCAGCCAGGCCTCCTGAAGAGACAGGTATCAAGCATCTCAACACAAAGCAAATGATGCACGTACTACGTGGTTGATAAGAAGAACTGATCAACAGAAGTCAATGATAATTGCTGATGATGATCTAACTACTGCCATGAGGCTCTCTAAATAGCTTCATGAAGACAAAGGGACAAAGTAACAAAGGCCAGGAAACCACCAAGGACTACAAACGGGGCAAAGAGAGGTAGGTTTGTCAACCTGCATGTATGCCTCAGCTAATCCTCAATGCCGTGATCCAATCATGCCATGCCAACCAATGACGAGCGTACTGACATCCGAGCTGATCACACCCTACCCTAACTCCTAATTCAGCAATACTGATCAGGGAGCCGATGTGGGACCCGATGAGCACACTATGGCATTTCGCAAGCAAATGCAGCGACTGAGAGAAGAAGCGTATGAAGACCCCAAGGACGAGGGCATGGAGACGAAGAGCTACGAAACGTTATAACCTGGTAAAATAGGTGATTCCTGATTTTTCCCATATACTTAGCGAGTTACATCAAAGTACAAATGGATGGTCCCTGGAAGATGCTTTTAACATTCGACCGAGGTAAAGATGGTGGTCAAGAGGTGTATCTACTAGTGGACATGCCCAGGAGGAAAGTGACAAATTTTTCTTCTAAGGAACGCTTTGAAAAGTGAATTTGCTACATGGTATATCAGATTGCGTCTTTCAATTTCATGGCATCAATCATCGAACCAGAAATTTACTTCTGGTCTCCAGCACCGGCACCGGCACCAGCACCGGCACCAGCGCCACCACCGCCCATCATGTTCCGAGCCCTGTCAGTCATTGTCAGTAATGTGATTTCCGAGGCCCAGATATTTCATAAACTTACATATCCGCGAGGTTGGGATCGCTCATCAGGCTGGACATGTCGGGCATGCCGCCACCCTGACCAAAGCTTTCGGCCATCTGGCGGAGGCGGGGATTGCTCATCAGGTTGCCAAGCATATCGGGGTTGCTCATAAGGTTCTGTGCCATGCTGGAGAACATCGGGTTGTTCATCAGGGAGCCCAGGTCGGGCATACCACCAGCACCACCACCACCACCGCCGCCAGCACCGCCAAGCATGCTGGCCAGGGAAGACAGGTCAGGCATGCCACCGCCACCACCACGCGAGGCACCAGGAGCAGTGTCCAGTTCCTCAGATGGAGGCTCAGTGGTCCGGGTGGTCTCTTCAAGCTTCCGTGTCGATGTCTCCAATCCGCGCTTCATGGCCTCACTGCCACCGTTGCCTTCGGCTTCAATACCCTTCTCATATGCCTCCTTGGCGGCATGGTAGTCTCCCATATCGAAGCGAGCGAGACCCAGACGGCTCCACGCCTTGGAGTACTTGGGATCGGCGGCGGCAGCAACCTCCGCATCCGTCGCGGCCTTCTCGTGCTGGCCCGAAGCGGAAAACGCGGCGGCGCGGTTGGAGAGATAGATGGGGTTGGCCGGGGCAATCTCGAGAGCCTTGGTGTATTGCTCAATGGCAGCGGCGTAGTCCTTCTTGGCCATGAGAGCATTTCCCTCGGACTTCAGCTTATCGGACTCCGGTGTGGGCACACCAACCTTCGGCTTCTCTTCTTGGGAAGTCTGAGCACCTTCGGTGGGTTGCGGGGTCGACTTGTTGCGCAACTTCTCGTAGACGCTGTATATTCCGGCCAACGATTGTCCGCCCACAGCATCCTTCACAGCAGCCTCATCGGTAGGGTCAACTTTGAAAGTATCCGCGATGCAAGACTGGGCAATTTCAATCGACTCAGCATCGTCGGCGGTGAGGGTGCCATCTTTCAGGCTGGAGCCAAGGAAATCAATGACGGCCAAGGCCAAGCGCTTGTTGCTTTCTGTTGGAGCCTGCCATGAATTAGTACCATGACTCGATCGCAACAAGCGAGAAGCTTACCATTATAGCAATCTTTCAATGAATATTGCGAATAAAGGATAAACAGCGTTCAGGAGTGACCGAGATGGAAGAAAAAAACAGGTGAGGCAATGCGGGGGAAGTGCTTTTGCACGTGATCGTAGCTTATCGTTTCCCCGGTCTGTTTCCATCCGAGTTGCTTGGACGTTATTTCTTTATATTTAAATTTGTGCTTTGGGGGTTCTTGTCTGCGTTGCTGACGGAGAATTGGTTTCTTGGAGATGACTCCATGTGAGCTTCATTGTCCATTTTAACCCCTGAACCTGACCTGAGCCATGTACTGGCCTCATGGAGTTCCTAGGGTCTACGCGGTCAATGGACCCGATATTGCCTATGCCTCCTTTGATGAGGATCGCGAAATCCTGAATACCACTCCAACCAATGATCGCAATACTGCCTTTGACGAAAAGGCGGAAGCACCAAGGGACGGCGGTCAACACGAGTCCGCAGACACCCGGCCCCATGAGTCGCAAACCAACTCGTCCCCGGACACTGGCAAACCAGGTTGGGGAGATGAAGCTATCAGGGGTATTTGTGTGTCTCGATCTGGTCAGATGTTTGCTACAATGTCAGAGTCATCAATTGCCCTTTGGCAAACTCGGGTATGTCGACATTGACGTTATGGTTCATGAAGTCTGAGCTGGTGACTGACAATTATGGCAGCCTACAGCAGTAGTTACAGCAATCTCTCGATCTCGATTCTCGTTGAAAACATACGGTCCGAATGTCTCACTCCTTATGCACCCAGATTCGACGATCCTGGTTGTACAGACCTTCAATGGGTACCTACTTACATACTCGGTGGCGTCGGATTCAACAACTCAGGTCTACCAGCAGCGATTCGATCATTCTACACACCCTCGTCGTCAACAATTGGCCCGGTTTTCAGCGGTTGAAGAGGCCAATGTGGTTGGGGACATCAGCATTCGCTTCCGAATGGCCATCAAGATCGAGTCGGGAATTGTCAAGGCGCTGGCGCTAGATCAAGAACTTGTTGTCGCCACTGTGAAACCACCAGCTATACAATGCATTCGGTGGACGACTGAGGCGGGAGGAGCACAAACCACATCCGAGCTATTGAGTCGCATTCTAGGGATCTCGAAGAAGGTCTCGATCGTGGACATGGTATACGACCGTGCAATGAATCTGCTCATCTGGATTACCAGTAGTGGCCAGGCATATGCTGTGCAACGAGATCAGGGCTCACAGCACCATCCCGAAGCAGCCAAGAAACTCTTCCACGGACATTGCTTCCATAATCCAAAGGATGACAGCGAAAAGGCTGTGAAGGTCACTGTAAATGCACGCTTCTCTCTGTTGACTGTGAGCTGTTCAAATGGTGACGTCTTGGTTTACACTGCAAAAGATTACATGGGCAACATTCCACTTTCACAAAAGCTCCATCTACCAGCATCGCCCACAACCACCGGGGCTTTGACTTTTATGAGCTATTCCCCGGATGGATATTGTCTCTTTGCTGGTTTTGAAAATGGCTGGACAACATGGAGTGTCTTTGGGAAGCCTGGAGGAAACAGCTTTTCAGTGGATACTGCGTTGGCGACTGCTAATTCGGAGGATTGGTTAACTGGAGTGTCAGACGGGTGTTGGATTGGCGGAGGGTCGGATATCATTCTGTCTGGACAAAACGACCGTCGCCTGTGGGTTCTGGAGACAGCTCGCAGTGCCTTGACTGGTTGTTTTTCGTCTGCGAACTTGGCTAGAGGCCTGCTGCAGACTGGTACTGAGTTTATCCTCTATCGTGGTCATGATCTTCCAGATCTCATGACAATCTCAGGAAAGGATTCATTGTGGCATCATGGCCAGTATCCTCCGGCATATCTTCATTCCCAGTGGCCGATTCGATCTTGCGTCGTGTCTCAGGATGGACGGTATGTTGCAATTGCAGGCCGGCGTGGCCTTGCACATTACAGTGTCAACAGCGGCCGATGGAAGGTATTCGAGGATTCAAAAGCCGAAAACTCCTTTGCTGTGCGAGGAGGGATGTGTTGGTATGGCCACATACTAATCGCAGCGGTGGAGAGTGACGGGTCATACGAGGTACGATATTTCTCCCACCTGCGTTAATTTTATGCATGACTGATTTGGATTGAAAGATTCGTCTTTATTCGCGCGAGGCTTCTCTCGGTAACAATTCGATTATGTTCATCGAATATCTCCCATCACCAGTTGTGTTCATTGGGCCCTCTGGTGAAGATTCTCTCTTGGTCTACACATACGATAACATTCTGTACCATTATATCATTAATTCGACACAGCCTCAGATCACTCTTGTCCCTGTTGGACAGATCGCTTTCAATGGGATTGTTCGGGCACCCTCTCGCGTCCGATCTATCAGCTGGGTATTGCCCGAGGAGCAGATGCGTGAGTTAGCTTCTTTTTTATGCAGTTACCTGAGGACATCACTGACAACAAAGCAGGAAACGGTGATCCATCTCAAGATGTGAAGGTCGCATCTGTGCTTCTTCTTGTGGACGGCAATTTGGTATTGTTGCGGCCCACGGTCTCAGATGCGGGCGATCTCAAATACGACATGCGCGTTATATCTCATGATGTCGAGTATTACATCTTGATGCGCGACCAGATTTCCTTCAACTTTTCCTCGCAGGTTGATGAATACCTACCCGCCAGTCCTTCGGTTGATATGGCACTGGAGCCACCTCATAGCAGTCTCTCGCTCAGGGACTCTCTTTGGATGTTTCGTGGCCAACACTTGATAGCTTGGAATGACGTTCAAGATGTTTTGCGGGAGGAGATGGTGCCGGCACCACTCAACATCCCCTTGGACTTTTATCCATTGTCTGTTTTACTGAACAAAGGCATTGTGCTCGGCGTTGAATCGGAAATGATGCAACGGCGCGATGTGACATTCACCGTTCTGAAATTCGCCATCCGAGTAAGTTATTTTCCCTATCGATAACATTCTATACTGACCTGTGCACCTCAGACACACCTTTTCTTACCATACTTCCTCCAATATGGCCTGATCAGTGTTGGAACACCTGCAGCTCTCGCTCTCTGTCGCCATTTTTCACATTTGTCTTACTTCGCTCATGGATTGGAAATCCTACTTCACCACGTGCTGGACGACGAAGTGGATAATGAGAGCCGAGCAAATAAAAGCGAGGATCCCCAAGCACGAGAAGAACCACTACTCCCAACCGTCATTGCTTTCCTCCAAGCCTCGCTTCCCCCAGGGATTACCTTGAGATTGTTGTGCAATGCACACGGAAAACAGAACTTCGATCATGGCGCACATTGTTCACCTACCTACCTCCACCCAAGGATCTATTTGAACAGGCCTTAAAACTTGACTGCCTTAAAACTGCAGTTGGATATCTCCTTGTGCTGCAAGCCTTCGAGGATGAGGAGCAAGGGCATGATGGTCGCATCGAAGAGTACGTTGTTCGTTTGATTGCTCTCGCCTCCCAGAAGGAAGACTGGGAGCTGTGTGCTGAGCTAGCCCGCTTCCTCATTGCTCTGGATTCTTCAGGTGAGATGCTCCGGCGCGCAATTTCCCGAGTCGGTCTGCGACCCAACCCTCAATCTCCCGTGAAAGGCACGTTTTCTGGCTCGGGACCCCGATTTGGTCCTGCGGGTGTGCAAGGTTTGGGCTTAAACCTCCCAATCAGGTCGCCATCATGGGCATCTCTTTCTCCAACATCGTCTCTTTCGCCCCTTCCAAGCCGGCGAGAAGGGGATGTATCAGATGGAAATTCATATTTGGATGAGCAAGATAGATAATTAAAGAGAGTTTTGTTGATACTAAAAGAAGTCAGATAATACCCTCATAGTAATATCCCAGTTGCTTTCCTTCGGAAAGTAGACGTTCCAACAGCAAAGAGTAACAACAAAGAATAGCAGTATTGTTAGTGTAATCCCTACCGAAAAACAGCTGATATCATTTCATATCCCTTTGCTCAACATGATCTGTCATGATGGAATTAACCTCCTTTTAGGTTAATTCAATTGGCAGCAGTTGTGGACGGCAACTCGAAAGGTCCTTTTGAAACACAGTCAGTTTTGATTATCCTACACATAGTTGATACTGGGGTCTAACTGGAATTCGTCTTGATCTTTACACTGTCTGTCACTTTAGAAAGAACTGTCCATTCATAGTGCTCACTAGGTATGTCCTACGCAGCTTTCTGATACTTGTCCTAGTAATCTTCCTTTCTTTCTATCTGACTTGGATCAGAAGTACACTGTCACAACTCAGGTATTGCTAGGCTTCCGGAATGAGGCAGTTAGGTTCGTTGGCATCTGCCGGAATTGCATTGCCTTTTCTCCGTAGCCAAATAGCAATCCCTATTAGAGGAACAGAAGTCACCTGGACATTTGTGCGGGTGTTGAGTTGATACATGGCCATTCGTATTTGCCACTGGATGATTGCTATCAACAACTTGGCACTTAATACTCTCCACGCGACCGCCGACATAGGCTATAGGGCCCTTATCTGATTTGGGTGCCCCGAACATAGCAGAATGAGAGCGATCGAAAGCAACTATTTCACTTTCGCATTTTTTATCACTGATTCTGAGGATTAATCTCAATCGCACTGTATTAAAACATGACTTGTACCTACCTGTAAAGTGTGCACATATTCTTTTTGCCTGATGCCGCTTCACAGGGGATATATACGGACCCGACGTTGCGATTACTAGTAGATATTAGTCCGGTTTGATAATGATAAGCCTGGTAGACTTACTACTCCCTGTTAAGTGCGTGACATGAACCATCAAGCGGTAGTTCCAAATGGTGAGCCCAGAAGCTCTGGTTCGTGTAGATACGTGGGTTCGTGGAAATATCAGTCTGGCCTGAAGTCACCAACGAGTGAAATACCAGAGCAAAAGCTATAACAATGGGGAATAGCATGTTGGAAGCTTAAATCTATAACACCCCAAAGGATTAATAGAGTTGACCAAGAAGCATGTTGGCAAGTGGAAACGCGACTTTATATACCATGCCCTAAGACCGGGTTCTATTCCGGGTTAACGGGGGTCTTGCATAAGGTTTACTCCCAGTAAAACAATCCACCGGAGAATAACCTGCAAGATGCTAGGCATACCCAGCATGAACTAGTTAATGTAGGGTTTCAATAAATTTGAATCGCCAGGATTATCCTGATTTGATAATTTCATGGCGTTTGTGCATTGACCCGGGTCAACCGTAGCTCTATGGTCAAATATCCTGCTACTTCATTTTGATATTCATTAGTTGCCATCATCATTCTACCTATTACCATTATATGTAGCATGAATATAAAAATGTAAGGATGTAAGTCATAGGGTAGGAATCAGTTATTAACTAGGAAAAACAAGCAGAAAGGAGAACTAAAAAAACCTACCATACAGAAAATCGGGGAGTACAGAACTTTAACAGATCCGAAGAATCCGAACCAGAATGAACCTAATCCCTAGCGAAACAGTTCGCATGATTCTACAACCCTTACAACCTTTTACTTAGCATCGCCATCCCCGTCAAAAGTTGGGCGTATGAAACCCTATACATCCATGTAGTGGGGTCAAACATTTGGCGACGTAGGGAGTGGCTCAATATCAAACCGAAGGTGTATCTGGTACTCACGACCGAGAGTGAGAACTCTAGCGATGCGATGCGTACCTCTCTCCCAGGCCCCTAGCACAAGGCATGCCGCTGCCTTCCCTAGCTGTGTACCTAGAATCTCTTTATACTCCTCGGTATCATACTCCCATACTTGACTCTCAATCCGATTAAGCTCGGGCCAATCCACATCATGTCTCGGGTAGAGGATTTCCTGCACATAGGGTAGGGTCTCGTCGTTTTGGACATTAGTAAAATAAAGATATTTGAGCGTATCGATGGGGTGGTCAAACTTATATTGAGCAATAGCGACATTGGACCAATGAGGCCCCGTGTATCTGTAAATAACTTCACCAATTAGAACGCCTTTCGCGAAGGAGTGTTGATACTCAGTTTCCCTTTTGTAGCCATCTTTGTCCAAACCGTGGTGTGTCAATCTTGTGAAGCGGTACCCTTTCTCTGTTGTGGGAAACCCTAAATTTTCCAAGTCCTCCTGAATGGTTCGGGGCGGGTCATCAAAATGGTTCTCGGGACAAGTAAACCTATCTCTCTTATTGCTGTTGTTGAATAAATTGAACAATGTAATTCTTGATTGCCCACATTGGCAGCCGCCTAGAGTTGGGTCAGCAATCCATGCTTGGAATGCAGCTCCCTTTCGATAAAACTCGCAGACTTGTTCGTTTGACATGGGGGGTCTTTCATCACTTACAGGACTAGTGGGCGTAAACGGTGTCTTTCCATAACTGGATAAGCTGTTGTCATCTGGAATAGGATATGGGGGAAGAGATGCTGTGGACTTGGCAGGGACTGGGGATCCCGGTGATTTAGAGGCCAGACAGCGGCGAGTTGGGGAGCGAGAAGAATCACTGCTATCTTCATGGTTGCGCCCACGTTTGCGTAGCCCTGCTGGTTGATGTGCCATTCTATAATCTCTTGTTTTGTCTTATATTGTGTAGAAAAGATATAGAAATTTGGGTGTGGTTGAATGTGTTTTATAATAATTTTTATCTCGAATGAATACTTGTAATGAGGAAACGAGAGACCCTATAATTATATAGTCCTTGTGAATTGGCCTTGATAATCGAGTGAATGAGGGCCATTGAAAGAAGAAAGAAACAAGTCGTCGACAGAAATAGAATACTCGACAACCTATACAACCCATGAGGATACCGAGTGGCAAGACGACTTAGTACAAAGGAAGTAGAGACACTTGACAAAGAGTACAAAAATAAATTCACAAAGAGGTTGTGGAAATACAAAGCAAAACAAAAATTGCTTTGTTCGGAACAATACTATTCTAAGCTACAGCTTATATTAGGCTTAAAGGTAGCGACGACCTATAATAATAGGTACAATCATTCATTAACCTTACGATTATTGTAAAATTCCAAGTTTAGAACAGGTGCCCTCTAGTTGAGAAGCTAGATATGTAGGAAATCATCACGAAGTATAGTGCCGGACTTAGTAATGAGCCATGTTGCATGAGGACAGAGAGTCATAGAGTGAAGGAGAGCCTCTCTCTGCAAGGTCATGGTGGTCACAGGAAAGAGTTTCAGCATGGAAGTAAGTTCTTTATTATTCACCCAGAAAAAAGAAGGACAGCGAGCTGTTCCCCAGAAGCAAACGGAGGACAAAAAGGCGGGTGAATATTTGTTTTAGAGGACTGACTCTTTGTTGGAGCATACAACAGTCTACCCTAGTGAAATTCACCTACCATTATTCTAAGGCGATCTCATATGCTCAGCATAATCTAGTGCAATATCTGGTTTTTATCGTCTAATTAGGATAACCTCATAGATCAGAGCGTTATCATTTATTTGTATGCAATTGAAACAACTTGCATAAAATATGGGCAGAAATCTTGACGCTAGTAGATCCACTGTGGGGGTTGTTGTAGTACAAGCCTTCTCCGGCAAAGCCCTCATCCGTCCTGACCCCGGAAGTTGCCTAAATCGGGTATACGAAAGGTTCGATATCCGGCTTTGTATATACGGATTTATGTATATCCGGCTTATCGAGGGGGCTAGATAGACGGGAATTCGACGCGTGGAAATCAACAACATTCATACAACTAACACCATTAAGAAACGAGCATTCAAAAGAGGTATGTTAGAGAAACACATCAACTAATGTCACATAGCTGACCCCCATAGATGTCATTCCAGCCCAACTTGTCGAGAGGCGCACTCGCATCCCAATATTCGGTTGAAATCTGACGACATAAGCGGTTGAAATCTGGCGACATAAGCTGTGGTTCATTAAAGTCTGAACTGCTGTGAGGTTGCTATGTACAAAGCACTGTTGTCCCTGTGGCAATCCTCGAAAAAAATCCGTTATCTCACTTCCATCCTCCCATGGACCTGCATCTTCCTTGACCTGCATCTTCCTTGACCTGCATCTTCCTTGATCAGGTCTCCCTGCAACATCCATGTTCCATTGCTAGTAGGAATGAACATGCACGGCTCGCAGACGTGTAAACACGTCCCGGTTACGTGCGCCTCCTGCCCATCCCGTGCCAGTCGCCCTGATGTCGTTGAGTCCGGCCCCAAGCTCACGCCCAAGCCAGCAGCCTCCCCACACCAACGTTGCATCAAGATGTTCTCCAATTCGGCTGATTCGGGGCAAATCATCAGTCAGCACAAGAGCTCCCACTACGTTGGGATTGTCATTGCACAGCCTGACCAGATCCTCTTCCGAGTCAAATGGATAGACGATAGCCACAGGTCCAAAGATCCCCTCCCGTGCCAGGAGACTATTGGTGCATACATCGCTCAAGACCGTGGGTTTGACCAAGAAACCATTCTCGGGAACTGCATCGGGAATCCCTCCAACCTCAAACTTGGCATGCTCTTCACTGGCCTGAACTAGCTGGTGTCGAATCTTGGCATAATGCTCCTGAGAAACAACAGGACCAAGTTCCTTGCCTGGCCGGTAATTCATATTGACACGTCGGATGAGCGCGGGCAAAAATCTCTTGAAAATCGATTGGTGGACGAAGATCTGAGAACCGCTCAGACAGAGTTGGCCGCTATTTTGAAACGCCGCGTAGGCTGCCGCAGCAGCCGCCTCATCGATATTGACATCGCCGAAGACAATAGTTGGACTAATGCCTCGGAGATCAAGAGACAAGTGCTTATGAATGTCAACCAAAGTATCATTTCGAATTTGAATTCCGGTCCTGGTTCCTCCAGAGAACGAAACTCCTCGCACGAGATGCGAGCGCACAAGGGTGGAACCAGCGTCGGCATCTCCGAAAACAATGTTCATCACACCCGCTGGGACCTTTGCCTGTCGGAGGACCTCGGCAAGCACTATTCTCAGGGTTAGTGAATTTACGCAAGTCTGTCAAATGAGCTAATCGCTTACAAAAGGCGGTCATGCTAGCGAGGTCGCTCGGCTTGGCCACACCGGTACATCCAAATGCGAGGCAAGGGGCAATCTTCGACGTCAACAGGTAAAGCGGCATGTTGGATGAAGTGACAATGGCATAGACACCGACTGGCACTCGGTCCTCGTACGTCAAAGTTGATTCAGCTGGGCCTTCAGCTCGGCCTTCAGCTCGGCTATTGTTCAGACGTACCGCGGTCTTCTCGTCATGCAGTATGTATCTCGCAAAGTATCTGAAAAGAAGAAATGTCAGAAGTGCTAATATATAGTAAGGGCGTGAACGAACCGGAAATGTTCAATGGAACGGCCAACCTCAGCCCGTGCGCGATACACCGGCTTGCCTTGGTCAATGCTTTCCCAAACCGCAAACATCTCTTTCTTTTGCTCCATGATTGATGCAATTCGGAACAGAACATCAGACCGCTGCTGAGGTGTTTCCTGGGACCATGCAGGGAAAGCTCGCGATGCGACATTGATGGCGTACTCGACGACATTTGCAGGACTGCGAGGCACTTCCAGCAGGAGACCACCTGTACCAGGGGCACGCGAAGTGATCCATTCCGATGTGTGCACACAATCAAGGAAGTTGTTGTCGATGAAGTTCTGAAGACGAAGAGACTCCTTTGTCGAGGTGTCCAAGTGGTCCATGGCCCGGCCCAGGGTGTCGAGCTGCCACAGCGTCGAAAGGGTTTCCATGATGGATGGAACACAGGGAGGACAGATCAAGTGAAGGATTACCGCGCGTTACGGGGTTGGAATAAACCCTACGTTGGGGAGAGTAAGTAAGACTAGGATCAGGCTAATCCTTGTTGATACTTTCTAGTCGAAAGACGTACCTTGTGCTAAAGTTGTTGACAGGGTCAGGATGTATCAGAATGGGAAGCGTCGAAAAGGATGAGAGGACAAATGCTCTTGTTTGTTGTACCCTTTCGATAGCCTGGGTGAGAGCTCCGTGCGGTGAATCAAGATTAAGCGAGGCACATGAGATTGGCATATCTACAAACACCTGGGCTTGCTTCCTAAGGTACCCCGCCCCGACCCTCGCTCTCTCTACCACCTTTTCTTCTGTGAATTTGCCCCAATCTTCTGTCATTACGTCTTCGCTCCCCCAAGAACTCAGGCCTCCGCTCCGGGCACTGCCCTCGGGCATGGGAACGATTGAAACCCATCTCCGACACCTCTGCATCAATCTCTGGCACTGTATCCATCTCTGACACCTCTGCGTCCATCTCTGGCATTGCTCTGGCATTGCATCCATCTCAACCGGCGAACAAGGACGGGCACTCAATTGATGACACCATCACCTCATTTAGATAGAATTGCCTTGTATGGCTGCACAATATGTACATAACTCCATAGCTTGGCACGTCCACATACCTCCTGGGAGGTTACAGGAGCATGGGCTTCGGCTATGTTTCGCCTGGCGTTAAATACAACAACAACACCAAAGCTTCCTAAGATACTCGAAAGCAAGGGTCAAAAATAGATCGCAGTTTTTCCTTCTTTATTTCCTATTTTCTCGTCGAGAAATTGGGTTTCTGGGCCATTTCATAGCCAAAATCGAGCTCCAACACTCATGTTCTGCGGTGATTACTGCATTGGTGTGGTTGAGACAAGTTGTGAAACAGTGTGGAGGGTGGATGTAGTAAGATCAATGGAAAATTTTAGAATTGGAACAATATCATATCGAGAAACTGAGCCCGGTGATAACGCTAAATATTCTGCGTGATAATAGGCGGGCGAAAGACCGGACAATTTTACACCGAATCTATTTACGTTGCCTGTGTGGCGTTAGAGATATGTGGTGTTGGAGAGTATCCTACCCCGTCTTTTAGTTATCTCCCTTCATTTCTCGGAATTTCCAGGTCGCTGATCAACCCGGAGGCAGAATAAAATACATGACTCAACCTTAGAAATACCCATAGTTAATATGTACTAGTAGGTAACTATGGGTTATAGACAGAAATAGATACACGATGTACAGATATACTCGCACGTGGTATGGACCCACCTTCCCTTTTCGGAAGCACATGTTCCTATGTACCTACATGTATGTAGGTATAAGTTTCAGATCAACACCTTCCTTCCAACGACAATCCCCCCAGTGGCTAATGCACTGCCTGGAACTGCCTTATCATTTGGGGTTTGATCAAAGGTCCACTAATGGCTACCGCTCCCTTTGATTTTCAGCGCAAGGTCCTACGTGCTTTTCCATCGTGATCTCCGTGTGCTTGTTCCACTACTGGCTCCACATATTCTTTCCAACTCCAGGGATGAGCGGAAATTTCATTAGCACACCATGGGTCTGCCCCTTAGATTGGATTGGCATGTTGAGATTTCTCTTGCAAGATAAGTGGAATGTCCTGACCTAAAACAGTGATTGCAATGCTGTATTATTATCAGTCGGATTATAAGTTCACCCCATGTCAGACGGGTTGATTAAACTTCTTCCAGCAGTTCGAAGTATTGTCTATCAAGGAAGCCGAGGCCTACATACAATGTACCATTTACACAGTCAAAGGAGGATGTAGCAGGGGTCATAGACAGAGGACTATCTGCTTTGTCCATAACAAAGCCAACGAACTCTACGCATAATATCTTTGAGTCTTTGACAATTATTCAACTTAATGTGCTGCACAATGCCATTATCAACCTTGCTTTGTTGCTTATCGTTGTTATATGTGCTGACTTCGAGTATATAACTCTGCTGGAGACCCCCTGCTGTCTACTCAGATCGTCATACTGACCATATCACACAATGGATTTTAAGTATCCCGAGTTTGAGCCGTACGGGGCTAAGCTGATCCGATGGATGGAAAATGCCGACGAGCCTGGATGCCCAGTTCCCCTAACTACACTCGCCACATGGACTCTGCCACACCCCATGGACTGGAATATCGACCATGACAGGGAATGGTTATCACCAGACCGGAATGCCTCTATTGTGGGTCTTGGTCTGCCAATTGGATATCCAATTCCAGCTAGTCTACATCCCACAGAGTCCCCGTATATACGGCACTCGATCATCAAGACGGACGGTGGAATCACGGCATTGGTCGGGACGATTGGACCAGGTGTGCTTTTTGTCTATTCTATCAGAAGATACCAAGAGTTGAACGATCCGCACATGTCCGAACTTGCTAAGATTTCCTATGAAACGCACTTTCCGTTGCATGAGGTGAAGTTTATCTTTATGAACGAGGTGCAGGAAGCTGCAACTGAACCCTTTATTGAGGAACAGATCTACCCGTCCCGTGAGGGAGCTAGATATCCATCAGCAGAACCTCAAACCTGGGAGTATTCTTCACCCGAGTTTACCGCTATTATGGGTACGCCCATCGGTAAGGTTGTCGGATCCTTCATTCTAGGTTCTTTTGGCCAGGGTTTCAAACGAGTTGCACGAATTGTTACTTTCCAGTCCGGTATTTGCCTTCACAGGCTTGATATGCGTTTTGATATCGAGGATGCTTGAGGTCTGCATTGAGCTTTTCCTTCTAGGGGTTTGACTTGGAGGTGAAGATCATAGAGGAATTTGCTTACTTTAGTTGTTATAGAGTGCGGTGGACTGGGAGAGTATTTTTTATAATTTCACGTTAGAAGTGTATGGGAATCCTAGATTGATCGAACCCTTAAATCCTTTAGTAGCTTATTGTTTCCTACTTCTCCAAGCAAGGTTAACCAAACCTAGAAAGTGTGACAGGATCCAATGTGTTAGAGTGAGAAGTATCGGCATGTATCTATCACCCACTATCTTCTGGTTCTGGTTCGTTCGACGTCTCGAGCATGTTGCCTGATAGCTTGTGAGAAAGAGATGACGTGTTTTCCCCCTTCCTTCCACTCTTATGGTTCTTGCTGTATTCAAGCTCCAGGCGACTAGCTTCCTTCGCACAAAGCTTTGTAAACTCCTCAAGCGTGACGCTGTCGTCAAGAAATTCACGCGCGACTGCTCCCTTCAGACCTCTGGTCAGGCGGACACCCACCTCGTGCTTCAAGAACTCGAAACGAGTTCCGAATACACCAGACCTATACAAAAGCATGCAAAGGTAGGTGTGAAAGTCATCTGTGGGTTTCATGTCCAGTCTGTGGGATTCGTTTTTATGGCTCAGGTCACCGGAGATTGCCTCGAGATCATCGAACATATCCTGGACTTGAGTGTACGGAAGAATGGCATCCTGGCGTAAATGTGTGTTTAAGTGCATGTGAGCCTTTCCAGTGGTTCGGCATGAGAAGTAGATAACTTTGTGCTTCTATGTGGGGTAGTGATCCGCGTTAAACAGAAGCTTGCCGCGCATATCAATGACCCAGCTCTCAAAGGGAGGGTCGAGTCCATAGTCGAGCCTTTCTAGATCTGGGAGGTAGGTCGACTTGCTGCTGATTCGGGGCTCAATGTCACCTTCAACACTCTTAACAGCAAAGACAGATCGATTGGATTGGTTTCGGTTAGAGGTTTCAATGTAAGCAAGTATCTCAGGGCACGCGTGAGTTGGTCTGTCAAGTTGGAGGCGGCGCACCGCATTGGCGTAATCCTTTGCCTCTTCAACCACACGATTATGTTGTTCCCTTAACTCGCCGTACATGGTTTGCATTAGTTCAGCGGAGTGTTTGACTTCAGCAGTCTCGGGTACTTCGGTAATGGCACGAGCTCGGTGAGCTTCAAGTGCATCGGTGGCTTCCTTCACAGCCTGTTGTTGGACTTTCTCGTATTCCGCCTGGGCAGAAACAATTGTGTGTTGCAGGCGACTGAGTTTTTTCTTGACCCAGCCCATGAACTTCTCGTAGTCATTTCGAATCTGAATTCCGGTCTTGGCCCCTCCAGAGAACGAACCCCCTCGCACAAGAGGCGAGCTCACAAGGGTGGAGCCAGTGTCGAGTCCATCTCCGAAAACAATGTGTTCTATCTACTGGTAGGAGGAGAAAAACAAGAGGAAGCATCATGATCTATTCAAACTAGCAATGGCAGGGCATTTATACCCTGAAAAAGTCATCTCAATAGACCTCAGTATGCCAGCAATCAACCATGGTCCGAAGCCTGGACAATCAGGGATCTCAAGACAATGTTCATCACACCAGCTGGGACATTTGCCTGTCGGAGCACCTCGGCGAGCACTATTCTCAGGGTTAGTGAATTTACGCAAGTCTGTCAAATGAGCTAATCGCTTACAAAAGGCTGTCATGCTAGTCAGGTCGCTCGGCTTGGCCACACACCCTGCTCCAGTTGGCAAATCCAGGACTGACAGCCACGGTGAGTGGTGATAGTGGAATCTTCATCACCTCCAGGTTTGTCAAGATCGGATCTCGCTCAGTCAGGCGACTGGAGCGGGTGGGGCCCAGGGCGCAGGGCCAGCAGGTCGGTTCGGTTCGGGCCGAGCCTTGATGTGCATGAGTGGAGACCAAGTCAGATGGATGTGAGAGGATGTACAGCCGTGCAGGTAAGAAAGGAGATGAAAGTAAGATGAAAGTAAGATAAAAGTAAGATAAAAGTAAGATCAAAGTAATATAAAAGTAACATAGAAGAGAGGGTATTACTGGTCGAATGTAAGAAAAGACTTCTGACCAGGTGAACGAACGGGCTACAACAATAAACTGCAGCACCATGGCATCATAACCTAGATGAATGGGAACAACTTCTTTGTTAGCTACAAGGAATTCCCACCATGGGCTTGCTATTAGCAGACAATTGAGAGTAGACTCATGTTGTCTTTGTTGATGCCTAACCCCAGGATTGGGAAGACAGTGTGAGGGCCATTGGATTTGATCAAGAAAACGGCTCGATCTCTGCTGGGCATTGTGCATGGATAGTCGCAATGGAATCGCAACTTTTGAATGTGAGCCTTACTACAAGCATAATCGCTGCCATTTTGAACGTGCAGTAAAGAATGGGCATATTGAGTTGAAAAAAATATACTACAGTTCCAAAAGGACGTAGCAGATGCTTTGACAAATGTGTTGGGAAAGGATCTACTCCAAACCATGAGACAGCCCTTCTGTCTGATCTAGAAACAAAAAATCGAACTCAGTTTTCAATGGCAATTTTTGTTATGGGAGTTGACTAGCTTGAAGGTCCGCCTAGAGGTTCGTTTGTGCTAGGACTTGGATCAAAACTTGCTTGGGGGATGGTTCTTTACTAGACTTTGATTCATTGAGTGGTCTTCCGACATAATATATATAAGTATATGTGCAATTTCGTCTGATGATATATACTAAGACCAGTTCTCACATTCGTTATTTAATTCGAAGCACCGTTCTCCCGTTCCTGTAGTGTTTGACGAACTTTGGGAATCACGAACCGACCATAATCAATGGCGTCGTTGAGATTATCATATCCCCGGATAGAGATGAGGTCGGCGCCAAGATCAACGTAGTCAATAAGGGACTCGACGATAGTCTTCGGCGATCCAACCAGGGCAGTGGATGCACCACGCGCATTTGTTGCCGTAACAGTAGGATACCAAAGCGCTCGATCCTGGACCTCCCCACGAGCGGCAATATCAAGAAGACGTTGAGAGCCCGCATTCTGTGGAGGCGGCGCATCCACGGGAGCCTTTCCTTGTCCCTTTGCTCGGTTGGTAGTCAATGCATCGAGAGTTCGGTGTGCCTTGGCCCAAGCGAGGTCTTCAGTCTCTGCGAGAATAGGACGGAAAGTCACCCAGATGCGAGGTCTGTCTGAGTCCGGGCGACCGGCCTTTGCTGCTTCGGCATAGATGCGATCAACTTGGTCCTTGGTTTCTTTCAAAGGTTCACCCCAGAGACCAAAGATATCAGCCAGGGAGCCTCCGATGCGGTATGCTTCGTCCGATGAGCCGCCGACTGAGACAGGGATTGGGCCGTTGGTCGGCCGGACGCGGTTGCTGAATTGTTTGAAGGTGTAGTATTTGCTGTCCCAGTCAAATGGCTCATCGGACTTCCATGCGCGGCGAAGAATCTTAATATAATCCTCAAGACGTCCATAGCGTTCATCCTTGTTCAGGAAGTCTCCTTCCTTGGCCTGCTCTGCATCACTTCCGCCTGCGATAAAGTGAACCACGACACGACCACCGCTCAGTTGATCCAGTGTAGCTAGTGCCTTTGCGGCAACTGTGGGGTACAGCGTGTTGGGTCGCAGAGCAATGATAACCTTGAGGTTTTTGGTCACAGATAGAATGGTGGCTCCAATGGTGAATGGATCGTATGATGAGGAGTCGTAGGGAACCAGTGTGTAGTTGTAGCCATAATCATCAAGGTTGCGGGCGTATCGAACGAGATACTCTGGATCAATCGAGGCGTTGGGGATTGGATTGATCTCGGTAGATGCGTTCGGGAACGTGAGGCTGATAAATTCCGGCATAATGACTTTTTTCTACCTTTGACGTTACTGATTTTCTTGTCAGATGCTGTTTTATTTCTCACCTTACGGTAGATCGATCTTCTTTTAATACTTCAACATGGAGTATCTCCGGGCTGATTTGGCATCAATGCATGACGCAAGATGCTAACAGATTGCGTCTTAGCACGCAAGTCGATAACCATATCCTTCGGGCCCGGATCAGATGTTACTACAAGTTGAATCCCCCACTAATTCAAGTAAGCGCTATTCCTTCGGTCGCATCAACTAAAGAATAGTACGAGAACTAGAAGGTATTGCGCCAGTATTGCGCAAGATGGACAATGAGGATCGCAATCTCATGTTGACTAGGACCCGCCAGGTAAGCCTATAGAAAGCTGGCCGAGATCGCAGTTCAGTTTCGGGACTAACCTGTCCAGCTCTTGTCCCTAGATAACGAGTTTACAGGAGGATTCCATTCATCACACGATCACTGGGATAATCTTCGTCGTGATATGGTGCGGGTATGGACTCACGCCAAGGGAGTACTTTCGCCTCTAGTGGTAGTTACCAGCAGGTTAGTCTAAGTTTAGGGCTTTCCGGAAAGTGCGAGGTTTGCAGTAAGGTTGGTGATTCTGCTCAGGTTCCTTCGGCAGAACGTCCAATATATATCCCGAACTCTGGGGTTTATTTCAAATGCAAGTGGGGCGTGTCCCTTGGGGAGTTCTCTTGTTTATTAACTGCGAGCTATAGTCCAAGTCAGTGTTTTATGGTTTGTTATTTTGTTATCTGTGAGTCTCGACCGAGCGCAAACAATCACTGGCTGAAGTTATAGTTGGGGTTGATCTGCCATCCGGCCAAAGACCCGGCAGCTTGGTTAGACCTTCGACACCTCACCCTCCTGTTGCTCTGATTGATCTTGTACTTTGATTTCCACAAGTCGCAGGCTAAGCCATCGATATGCCTCTCGAACACGGGCATATATTATACACCCTGTCGGACCTTGTCGGAGTGCCTTATTGACGCCCCCGGGGTGATCAGATCATGACTCAGCATTTTGCATTTCCACCAGTCTTTTCATATGCCATCCTCAACGCGAATTCCTATAGGATTTATCGAATAGGGACACATTGTTTTGAATCTTGAAATGCCCCTAGCTTGACATCATTCCAAGCTATGTTGAGACCAATAAGGAGATGGATAACTTGTTGAGAGGCGTATGGATGATAAGACACTAGTCCCAATCGGGATCATACGTCATCGATGAACGATGGGTTATATCCGCGACAAACCTCCCTTTGCCTCTCGTTTCTTTTACACGGCTCTCCGTTTGAATATATTGACTACTACTTTTAATCTGCCATCATGCCTCTTGTCGTTCCAGGAATCAACTCCTCACTCGGCGATAAGTCCGAGTGGGTCAACAAGCTCATGGGCAAGACGATTAGCGACACTAGTAATGAGACAGTACGTCACCTTTGAGAAATCGTCGGAATGAAATATGGAATTCTGACTGTTTCCTAGTCCTTCGCAAAGAAAGATCTTCCCGAAGCTCACCGGGTATTGAAGCCGGGTGACATGAAGTCCATGGATCATAATCCGAACAGGTAACGTCTCACTGCACGGTGCCATGGAGTCAATGACCATGTTGCTGACGGTGCATGATTGAATCTAGACTCAACATCCATGTTAATGATGAAGGAGCCGTCCATGATGTGAACTACGGTTAGAGTTGAGACATATTTACGAGACTTGGTGCTCTAGACATAGATCACAAGAACAAATTGAACTGATTGAATATCTATGTATTGGTTGAAAGTCTATTGCTGTCCCCAGGATACCATCTCGTATAGGTTAACTCACTCAGCCTTCCATCTCAGTAGAGTAAGCGAGTGTCGCGGGAACACATACGTTCCACTTCCATTCCAGGTCGACTCCTGGATCGCCACTTCTTCCTTGCCATTCATATTCGTCACGGACAAATCGCCCGCTGTGACCGTGAACACAGCCACTTCACCCTGTGCTCCCTCAACCCGACTTTCCAAGTCCTGAGTATCATGAATATTGACCACAGCAACATTGACAAACCCATCATCTCCCAGAGTGGCACTAACATCCAACCAGGGTGTATCCTTGGCACTTCGAATCCACTTAGGAGTGGTCTCACCCTCGTACGTTCCACAAGAAACATGACTGGCAACGGTCCAACCGCGCATGTATCGCGAGAACAGCCAAAGCGGCCACCAGGTCGTTTGCTTGGTAATTCCCTCTGGGGTGGTCATCAAGGGCGAGATGACGTTCACGGTCTGCGCGATACACGCCATACTGACATCCTTGCTCTTTCGGACGAAGACGTTCAACCAGGCGGCCACGGCGAGGGCGTCGGAGAGCGTGTAGCTTTCTTCGGCGCCTTGGCTTCCCTCTGCACGGATGGGATCCCAGACGTTCCACTCGTCGAAGCAGATTGTCGGGCGAAGTTGCTCGGGGGGAACTTTGTTCTCAACCCTGGCGAGATCTATTAGAGCAGATGTGATTTCGATTGCGCGCTCGGCTGCTAGTGGTGCTGTCACGTTGTGGAGGTGGGATGATGAGGATGTGTAGAGATGGATGCTGTGCATGTCAATCAAAGGGACTGAGCTGGTTGACAATGCGGAGTGGGCAGGCACTAGACACTGGTTTAGTGTGTAGTAATCCCATGAAGCGGTGCCATCTTGGCCGCAGAGGATCAAGATGAGAGTGGGATCCAGGAGTTTGAGAGCTGTGAGATCATATTAGCGTGAAGTTTCTGCTGTAATAAAATGAAGTATTACCTTTGGCCCATTGAATTGCCTTGTGAGCATACGCTTCCTTGGTCATCTGCTCCACCTGCCAGGGACCCCAACACTCGTTTCCAAGGGCCCAGTACTTGACCTGCTCAGGTTGTTAGATTGAACCCAGCGAGAAAGATTGCACCTCTTATCTGAACATACATTGTAGGGCTCCTCACGGCCATTCTTTCTTCGTAGATTCGCATAGTAAGTATTGCCAGTTCCATTGCAGTACTCAACCCAGCCCAAGGCTAAGGTGGTCCAACATCAGCATGTCTTCGTAGAAAGGTAGAGTTAAATAAGAACATACCTTCGTCTAGGGTACCGGTACCAAAGTTGAAGCAAAGATACGGCTCTGTGCCCAGAGCCTCACACCATTGCATGAACTCGTCAGTGCCAAATTGGTTTGTCTCTGTTCCGAGCCAAGCAAGCTCAGGTCTTTCGGCAGGGCCACATCAGTAAAGTTCTAGCAAAATGAACATAACATGAGAAGTAATCATACCTTGCTGGTCGTTGATCCTTAGGACCAACGCCATCGAGCCAGTGATAGGTCGCGCAGAAATTGCCGCCGGGATACCGAACGACAGGGATGTTGAGCCCCTTCAACGCCTCCAGGACGTCCTTGCGGAATCCTTTCTCGTCTGACAGCGGATTTCCAGGGTCATAGATGCCACCATAGATACACCGGCCCATGTGCCTGCGAAACTAGTTAGTTCATATCATGAAAATGGAAAAAGTCCAAGTTGCCTTACTCGGTAAAGCCGGCATAGATGTTCGGGTTGATCTTGGAGATGCGCCTCGATGGGTGCACGGAGATGAGAGGCGTCTCATGATCGTCCAATTTGGTAAAGGTCGTCATTTTTTGTACGAATGGGAGGTCTGTTTCTACTATTTATGTTGGAGGCGTTCACCGTGACTAAATAGGCGACTTGACTTGGGATCCAATGTCGCGGTTCACTTTAGGGAAAAGATGTCTTTGTTAAAGCTCGAAGGGCGCGATTAATAGAAGACAATTAAAGAAGCGAGATGTATACAGACCAAAGGACATTTATCGAAATAACCGATGTCTCGGACCTTGAAGCGGCAAAACTCCTGCGGGGGAACAATCGTGAGATTCGGATGATGACCCTTGTCTTAACCCTAGTAGCGGCTAGAGTGGCTACCGGAGAAACGAGACGAAGCCCTTAGTTAGCGTTCTGGATCAAAGATAGCTCAATAGACCAATGAGTCGATAGTCTAGCCTCACGATGCCCGGAGATGGGAGAAATGTGGGAGATCTTCCGTCAATCACAGTCGAGATCGCGCGCCACATTTCTTCGCCAACTCCTCCCCGCATACTTGGAACTCATCACCTCGGACCATTTCTAGCGAAATAAAAAATATCGGAAGCGATTGGTGATTATCCGAATTCTCCCCGGTTTGCACCACGCGATGTTAGCGCAGTTCAAGCCTTGACTTCCCCATGCAGTATACGAATCTCCGGAGTCATGGCTAATTGCCCCATTTGCGTTCATGTGTCGTTGGGTTCCCCCGTATATGTAGAGATGATCCCCCGGAGAATGAATGCCATGTGGAGGTTGATCTTCATTCCCCATATTCTTCTATAAAATATCCACTTCTCAAAACCATGCGTCTCTCGCCAGCATGGTACCAGGTATGAACGAATGGACAATCACATTAAGAAGCCCGAGCTCATGTTCGATATAGTTCCTGGTCGGAGTCTTTGCCTCTCTTGGATCATTCCTTTATGGATGTATGTCTACAGCTGCCCTTCTTGACTCGCAGAATCTAATATAGTCGCAGATGATCTGGGTGTCATCGCCGAGGTGCTTGTCTGTCAATCATTTAAAGCCAGGTTTGAGGCAAATGATACTCAAACGTCAGTCTCGCATGCCATATAAAACATGGAAATATCTAACAACATTGCAGAGGATTAGTTGTGGCTCTATTCACCGCTGGCGCATTCTTTGGTGCCGGCTTTGCGGGTCCCAGTGGAGATTACTTAGGTAGACGACGGACCATCTCATTAGGATGTTTAATCTTCACTCTCGGAGGTGGTCTTCAAACCGGTGCGAGAACACTCGCCTACCTGTACAGTGGACGATTCCTGGCCGGGTTAGGGTATGTGATCTCTCTCTCAGCCACAGATACCGAAATAGAGACTAATCACATTGATTCTTAGTGTCGGTTTCCTCACGATGATGATTCCTCTCTACCAAGCCGAGATCTGTCACCCTAGCATCCGTGGTCGAGTTACAAGTTTGCAGCAATTCATGCTAGGTATTGGAGCGCTCTGTGCTGCCTCGATTGGTTATGGAACGTACACCGGCTTTGCAGAGGATAACGATGCACAATGGCGACTCCCTCTTGGTTTGCAGGTTGCTCCTGCAGTGTTCTTGGGTGTTTTGATCTCATTCTTCCCTGAGGTAGGCTTTAGTTTCCATCCGGCCAACTCCAATAGCTAACGTTTATCCAGTCGCCTCGCTGGCTCATCGACCACAATCGCACCGAAGAGGGATTGCAGACATTGGCAAAGCTGCATGCGCATGGTGACGAAAACGACGCTTGGGTCCAGGCAGAGTTCGCTCAAATTCAGGAGAGCATCACATTTGAGCATGAGCACGAGGCAAAGTCATATCTCGACTTGTTCACCGATCGTCCCTCGTTCCGTCGACTGTTTCTTTGCTGTGCACTGCAAGCCTCTGGCCAGATGACCGGTGTATCCGCCATTCAGTAAGTGTGCAATGATTTACCAGCGCCACGGATGCATCAACATAGAACCACTCAGCTGACCTGATGTCGTGCTTAGATACTACTCACCCCAGATTTATGGTCAAATCGGTATCTCCAACAAAGACACATTGAAGTACCAGACAATCAACTCCATCATCGCATTGGTCGGACAGTTCCTGTGCATGATGTACATTGATCGCTTCGGTCGTCGCTGGACTCTAATCAGCGGCAATCTCGGCAACATGATTACCTTCATCGTTGCAACCGTGCTGCTCGCACAGTTCCCTCCATCAAGCAACAACAGCGGCGCCCATTGGGGCTTCATCATCATGACTTGGCTGTACAATTTCTCCTTCTCTGCAACCTGTGGTCCTCTGTCTTGGATCATCCCAGCCGAAGTGTTCGACACTCGCACGCGTGCCAAGGGTGTCTCGATTGCCACGATGACTTCGTTCGCTTTCAACACGATGATTGGACAGGTCACGCCTATCGCAATGACCAATATTGGATACCGATTCTATTTCGTGTTTGTCGTCTGCAACTTCACCAATGCGCTCTTCTTCTGGCTTTTGCTTCCAGAGACAAAGCGCGTGCCTCTCGAGGAAATGAACCAAATGTTCACAAATGCGCCATGGATTGTGCCTGGAAGTCGCAAGGAAGACTATATGACCCATGACCTGGAGCGCAAGGTTGAGGAGCAGGAAGTGAAGCAAAACGCGCTGCATGTTGAGTAGAAAGAGGATCACAGCGGAGGCTTTGTAGGGGAGTTGATGTTGCATGTGTGGAAAGCTCAGTTGATTTGATATTGAGATACAATAATAAAGTTGTTACCTATGGAGCGAAATGTTGGTAAATTTCATTGACCTTGTGATGTATATAAGAAAAGACACCTAACAGATGACTTGAGAATGTGAACATACCTGAGGCCAAGCCATGCCTTCTTATTATACTTGCAGAGACATTTGCTTCTTGAATCATTAATTTGAGCTACATAATACAATGTTAACTTAGATATTTGTGCTAACTAGTTCCCGAGGCCATCCATGGATTTTGGTTCATCATTCAGAATCCGAGCTGTATCCTCCCAAGCCAAGTGAAACCGGGGGTGGTTTTGTCGGGCTTTTTGGCTTTACTTGTCCCTTCTCTGTATCTGTCACCACCTTGGGCTGTGTGGCAGGATTTGTAGTTTCAGAAGCAGCAGGTGTGGCCTTATTGGGCTTAGAAGTCCCTTGGGCCAGCTTCTTGGTAATCGAACCGTCAGCTCCGGCCTGTTTCTGGGAGTCCTTCCCATTCTGTGTGTCCTTCCCAGCGGTGTTCTCGGTAACTGAAGCCTTGCGCTTCTTCCCTGGGATCAATGAGTTCTTGTGTTTATCATTCCGTCTCTTGCGTGCTAGTGCGGTCCATTCTTCTTGCACGGGTGTCACATCCGACGAGGTTGATTGAAGCAGTGCTTTCTGCGCCTCCTCGCGCTGTCGGCGGAATGCTTCAAGTTGTTCCGCCGTTTCCCTCTTCACAGCAGCCTCCTGCGCGCGTGTTGACTCGAGAACAGAATCCAGGAAGTCGACTTCGTCTTCATCGAGGGATCGAAACTGGTTTTTGAGACGGGATTTCTCTTCAAAAGCTTCTTGTTTGGCCACTGTATAATACCCGAGGAAAATCACCCTAACATGTTAGCCAGATTCCTGGATGAATCGTCCGCTCTTTTCTCCGTTCGTGCAGACAGGGCCAGGCAACCGAGTCGGGCTCACTTTTATTCCGCTCCAACACCTCAAAGAGACTTTTGCCTTCATCCTGCTTCCCTATCTCGGCCTTTCGTCTCCGCTCCTCCTCGAGCTCCTGCTGCACTTTGAGCCACTCATCGTCCCGCTCGATTGGCTTCTCGTTTGTCCCGGATGAAACGAAACCTGATGACATAGTGATCGGGCTGGGTAAAATGATTATGGGTCACGGGATGGAGCACTCGGGTATAATGGTCGGTCGGAATGCGAAATTATCCGGTGACGGGTGGGGGGCGTGGAATGGACCGAAACGCGGGCGAATAATAATGGTGAACGAAAGAGATTGAGAAGATTCTGGAAAGGTAAGTTTCACGTAAGACAAGGGGAAATCGGAGAATTGGAAGAATTGGGGGGTCGATCTCAATTGGAGGATGTGGGTCAAATATGAGTGGAAACGTGCATTTAGCCAAAATGGCGTCTCCCTTGTCCTCTTGGTTATACCCTCAAGAACACCCCCCAGGGCTCCAGTATGACGATGTAGATGTCTGTCTCAGTGGAACTGGAAATGGCCACTCGGGTAATTCTTGACTTCGTTGTCCACGGATCAATATGTTGCAAATAACAACAGAAGTGAAGAGAAACAACATCCAATCTGTCCAATATGGTCAATTACTACCCCCCACCCCCCCCCCCTCCCCCCACGACATCATCGGTGCTCTTGGACCTGCCCACTTTAAACTTGGCTATTATATAAAGCCCCTTGTCTCTTGAAGCTCGTCTTTTTTAATTCATTATTCCATTTTTCGAAATATATCACAATGTCGAACCAACACACTCAGTACGTCCCTGGCAATGGAACACACTCCCCCAAGACCATCGCATTAACCCTTATCTCTCTACAGGAAAACTTACACCCTCAACACCGGCGCCAAGATCCCCGCCATCGGTCTGGGAACATGGCAGTCCAAGCCCAATGAGGTCCGCGAGGCCGTCAAGAACGCCCTTCTCGCCGGCTACCGCCACATTGACACTGCCCTGGCTTACGGCAACGAGGCCGAGGTCGGTGCCGGTATCAAGGACTCCGGCGTGCCCCGCGACCAGATCTGGCTCACCACCAAGCTGGACAACCCCTGGCACAAGCGCGTGACTGAGGGCATTGATTCCTCTCTCAAGGACCTCGACACCGATTACGTCGACCTCTACTTGGTTCACTGGCCCAGCTCCACTGACCCCAATGACTTGTCTAAGCACCTTCCCGACTGGGACTTCATCAAGACCTGGTAAGTGACACTTTGCATCCATTCGATGGGGAACCATTGCTGACTCCATCAAAGGCAAGAAGTGCAGAAGCTGCCTGCCACTGGCAAGGTCCGCAACATCGGTGTCTCCAACTTCGGCATCAAGAACCTCGAGAAGCTCCTGAATGACCCCAGCTGCAAGATCGTGCCCGCTGTCAACCAGATTGAGCTGCACCCCAACAACCCCTCCCCCAAGCTGGTCGCCTACAACACCTCCAAGGGCATCCACTCCACCGGTTACTCCTGCCTGGGCTCAACCAACTCTCCCTTGTACAAGGACCCCACCCTCCTGCAGATCGCGGAGAAGAAGGGCAAGACTCCCCAGCAGGTGCTCCTGGTTTGGGGTATCCAGAAGGGCTGGAGTGTCATTCCCAAGTCCGTCAGCAAGTCTCGCATTGAGGGCAACTTTGATATTAACGGCTGGGAGTTGACTGCCGATGAGGTCAGCCAGCTTGACAACCTTAAGGACCGCTTCAAGGTCTGTGGTGACTCATGGCTCCCCATCAAGGTGTTCTTTGGCGATGACGAGTAAATATATCGAAAATGATGAATGTTTTATGAGTACATAGGCTTTAGATACCAAAAGAATGATTTTGCCATGACAACAATAACTTCTATATTGAGTATCTAAGCTGTAATGAGCAAATGAGTTTTAATGTGAACCCAAAGACCTCGATAATTGGTAGCAGGGTCCTGTAGAACGCGACCAGCTTTCTGAATCCATTCCGATGTCATCATAGTATCAAACATAACAAACAATGCAAACAGGGAAAACATACCTAGCTAATGTTTTTGGTCACGCGGTGGCGTCGTACAGCCACTGCGGAGCCTCGGGTCTGAGGCGGAGAGATAAGGGTGTATACCCGTGGACCCCAGCGTCATCAGGGATCCTTTCTCTCTTCTCAGCATCCGTCTCCACCATCTTCAGTGAACTATTCATCTCTGAAATACCACTATGGCGCCTTCAGCAGGCCACCTGCTGCTTCCTAAAATCTGGAGAGCAGCAAGGTACGTCTCCCCCTTCTGTCGCCATATCGAGCCATTGACTGACATCCTCTTAGGTTTGCCTACGAAAAGGCCTCCAAGGCTATACGTAACAAATTACCAGAGCCTACACAGTATCATTCGGTGCGATACCAACCCGCCTATGCCCGAATCAACCCTCGCCAGCCAATCAGCCGTGCCGCTGCCATCCGTCAAGCCCGCAGTCGCCACTTCTCGACCCGTGCCGCTGGCGCCTTCACCTCTGCGATTCGATCGGGACTAGGAGGCAATGCCGCTGCCGGTACCACCTCTCGCATTGCGTCTAATATCAGTCGACTCAGCAGCCGTGCACCTTTCGCTTCTACTCTTCGTCCCAATCTTACCGGTGGCACCCTTGGCCGCACTGCGGGAGGATACGCTGCTGGAGCTGGCCGTTTTGGTGGAGCTAGATACTTTTCCCATGGGCCTGCAGCACCAGCACAAGTTATTCAGAATGTGTCCCAGGGCGTCCGTGCTTTCTTTCTGTCTGGGCAGAAAGTCCGCTTCGACGGCATCGATCCCCGCACCGGAGAGAAACGGTATAAGTCAGTCAGCACGCTGCAGGACCAGGCCGAGCGAAAGATGAATGCCAACCTGCACACCGCCCCTGGCTCGTACATTGACTTCCAAGTTTCCCCGACTATCACTGCACTCAGTGCTGTTGGTGGTCTCGGTAAGCAGGACCGTTCTGCCTCGTGCGACTCTCTGAACTCCGAGGGTCTGATGGATCTGCTTTCTGCCGATTTTGCCCGTGCTTTGAAGGATTTCTCCGCGGTGATGAACGACCTAAAGCGTCTCTCATCACTTGGTGATCTTCCGATCTCCCTTCACGACCGATCGACTATACGGGTGCGCTTCCCAGGCTGCGATGCGGAAACTGTGGAGCAGCTCTGTTGTGAAGCCGGGATTCAGCGAGGCCGAGTCGTGCAAGATGAAGACTTCGATATTCGCAATGGCGCTGATTTGGCTCTCTTGTTCCCTTTTGCACCGAGCATTGCCGCTTCCTCCGACACTGACTATTACTTCGAAAAAATCCCAAAGTCGCACCCACAGTATCCCGCGGATCTTGACTGGCAAGGGATGATGACACCAGAAAGCTGCACGCCATCATCACCAGGTGGCAGTCGTGATTCGGGAAATGCTATCAGTTTCGAGGACAGTGAGCTATTTGGTGCCAATCCATGGAGATCTTCGACCAAGAGTTACTCTAGTATTAACATCAGTGAGCTTGGAGATCAACCTTTCTTCCCGGAAATCTCCAGCTCTGGCCAACCTGATAGCAACTCTGCATATGAAGGTGTCGAGGGAATTCACAAGTTCTTAGCCGAGTGTGATCAAGCAAAGCGTTGATTTTTTTTTTCCCCCTCCCTGCTATTCTTTTGGGCTTCCCTTCCCTTTCCTTTCTTTCCTTTTCTTCTTTTTTTTTTCTTTGGCACATACCCCAGGCTGAGGCCGGGACTATATATGATGATGATACAGATACCACTCCACTCTTTAACACTTCTTTCTGTGTTACATTTCCTAATTGAATGAAGTCATATTGAAACCTGCTCGCTCACTTTAAAGAACCCAATGTCACTACCGACATAGTACATCCAGGGCCTACCAGCTATCCTTTATGGAAGCGGTTGACTTGGCTCAATCATGATCTATCCCTCTCAGCCCGGCTTTCACGCTTTCACAGCCCTAGAAACAGGGTTTCCCGTTATTTCAGCCTGGACAACTCGATTTAGCCTTTTGGACGATTATGACCGGACGGATTGGATTGTATGGCAAACGTGTCTGCTGGCACACCCTTAATTTCCCGTGCATGAAATATCCTTGTTTCATATAGAGACTAGTAGGGCCCTTACATTGACCCGGCTGAAGAACACTGCCGCCACGGTGCGGGGTCCCGGGGATGTGAATAATGTGGCTTGTCGAAAGCAAATGGCGTTTTCGTAGTGATTTCCCTGACTGGACTTTTTATCGTGTCTACATGTCTCTATTTCAACTTTGTCCGGTATTTGGAGCAATACCTATTCCATTGCAACGGTTACTAGAAATTCGTTGTCGATTAACAGGACAAAATCAATTTGTTTTCACATGCTACTACTTCCCCTCGCGACAGCCAAGGATCTTCATATACCATGGTAGCAGTTAAACAGGGTCGAATAGCTTAACCTCTCAACATTGGGCGAGCCTAATATGGTCCTCCCGCGCCGAGTTTGGGGAGGATCGACGACGAGCGTCCTCTTTGGGGACGGGGGGTCGATTCCGCGCTGATGCCGGGAGTTTGATATTACATTTCACCTCCTCCCCTTGACTATCTAGGCAGTTTATAGTGGTTTCAAGGCTGCAGATTACCTTGTCTTCATCAGTGCTGTGTTCCATCGACCCCGGACGAGACAAGATTTAGCCAGATTTATCCACATGTAGGGCAGAGTGTGCTATTCCCTCCCTTCTCTGCCGTACATGCGTCTTGGCAATGTATGCGAATGGTCAGTTGAACGGAGATAGTTATGATCTCATACTTGAATAGCTCGATATGGTGTGGCATTTTCTTCGGGTTTCCGGCTTCAAGCTCCGTAGGAGTGACAAGACGTGCATCTCGCTGGGGTATATAAGGAGATCTAATTCCTACACAATCGTTACCAGCATCAAATAGAAACCAGCAACATTCACATCCATTGTTTCAAGACGCCAATATGCGATCTTTCATCCCATTTGTGCCTCTGCTGGCCTCTTCCGCAGCGGCAGCTGCAATCTCAAGTGCAGATAGCCCAACTGTCACCGCAGCAGCAGCAGTTTCGGGCAATCCTTTCTCAGGGTACCAACTTTACGTGAATTCGTTCTATGCATCCGAAGTCTCAGCCTCGGCTTTGCCATCCATGACGGGTGCTGCTAAAGCCGGTGCCAGCGCAGCCGCCAAAGTTCCATCCTTTTATTGGCTGTGAGTTCATTGCATCGGTGTCTTTTACACCTCGAGCACAATACTGATATTGCTTTTGATTTATAGGGATACCGCAGACAAGGTCCCAACAATGGACAAGTTCTTGGCTGACATTAGGGCTCAAAACAAAGCCGGTGCTAGCCCGCCGATTGCTGGTCAATTCGTTGTTTACGATCTGCCTGATCGTGACTGTGCGGCTTTGGCCAGTAATGGAGAGTACTCTGTTGCCAATGGTGGTGTTGCGAAGTACAAGGCGTACATTGACTCCATCCGCAAAGTGCTGGTTGAATACTCTGATGTCCAGACTATTCTTGTTGTTGGTGAGTAGATCTTGCTGATTGATGGCTTTGGTGTGAAGACGGAGGGAATAATCGTCGCTGACATTGTTACTAGAACCTGATAGTCTGGCTAATCTGGTTACCAACATGGCTGTGTCAAAGTGTGCCGGCGCACATGACGCTTACTTGGAGTGCACTAATTATGCAGTGACTCAGTTGAACTTGGCTAATGTTGCCATGTACCTTGACGCCGGTAAGGATCTTTCCTGAGTCCTTGAAGGCGACAACGCCCTGGCGACAGACAGAATAAGCGATGGAATATCCTCAACAGGATTTTGCATTTGTTTCTTTCCGGTCATCTCCTTTGTTCTGTCATTTCTTGTGGTGCCTCCAAGTGGTGCACTCAACATCGTGTAATTATACTAACTATTCACATAGGACACGCGGGATGGCTTGGCTGGCCCGCCAATCTGGGCCCAGCAGCTCAGCTCTACGCCAACGTCTACAACACTGCCAACAAACCCGCGGCTCTGCGCGGACTTGCCACCAATGTTGCCAATTACAACGCCTGGTCTCTCACTACGTGCCCATCATACACCTCAGGAGACAACAACTGCGATGAGAAGAAATACATCAACGCCCTTGCTCCCCTTCTTAAGAGTGCAGGCTGGGATGCCCACTTCATCACCGACACTGGTATGTAATCAGGAACCCCTTTAAAACTGGTCCACATGAATTCAGCGTCATATCGACTTCCCCCTCCCCCGAGTCAAAAGTCCCACACTAACCTTTTTGCTCCAGGCCGCAATGGAGTTCAGCCCACTTCCCAAAATGCCTGGGGCGATTGGTGCAACGTCAAGGGAACCGGTTTCGGTGTTCGACCAACTACTAATACAGGAGATGCCTTGGCCGATGCCTTTGTCTGGGTGAAACCCGGTGGCGAGAGTGATGGTACTTCGGATTCCAGCTCGGCTCGGTACGATGCCCACTGTGGGTACAGCGATGCTCTTCAGCCTGCGCCTGAAGCTGGCACGTGGTTCCAGGTAAGAGTGCCCTAAGGGAAAGGGATTATTTATACAATACTGACGGCTTCACAGGCATACTTTGCCCAGCTTGTGCAGAATGCTAATCCCTCGCTTTAAATCGGCGGGGCTGGTAGGTAGACTGAACGGAGATGATGTATTGAGTTCAATGTTTCATTCGTGATAGTGGAATAACAAGGACGAATTTGATCTCAAGGTATTAAGCAATGTCAGAGACCGTGTTCACTTCTTCGTATTCGAAGGTGTAAATTCTTCGAGTGTACGGAGTACTATTACGATTATTCGGTGAACCCTGTGTACGGAAGGAGTGATAATAGTGAAGATCATATGAATATTTAAAGCGTATTTCTTACAATCTGACGGAAATCGGCAGCCAAAAATTGTGGGCCCGGATTTAGCGGACATAAAACTACTGACAGGTTGGAGCTCACCAACTGAGCTCCAACGTGCCCATGGAAGAGGAGGAGGCAAGGTAAGGTTTCGGACATAAAACCACCAACCCATGGAGATGGGTGGCTGAAATTGAAGAAATGTAGCAGATTCGCGCAATTGAACGCTACCACTTATTTACTCCTCTGGCACGACTGAACTATAAGAAGCTCTTTTTGCTGTTTTTACTTTTGCAACCACACTGGTTCGCTCAGAAATCTTCTTCTCTCTATTTTATCCTCGCCCAACAACATGGACAAAACGGCCTTCCTGGTCATGGACGTCCAGACCGGCGTTGTTCCGCTCGTCCCCATCAACGACACATACCTTCCACTCATGGCCGACACCATCAACTCTGCCCGCTCCGCGGGGATAAAAATTATCTACACCGTCGTCTCCTTCCGCCCCTCCCACCCCGAGTGCTCCCCTCGCAACCCTATCTTCGGGGTACTGGCGAAGTCGAATTCCTTTGTGACTGGTGCACCAGCTACTGCCATCCATCCATCAATCGCACCTCTCCCAACCGACATTGTGGTAGAGAAGAAGAGAGTGAGCGCGTTTTCAGGGAGCGATCTCGATATTGTACTTAGGAGTTTGGGAGTAGAGAAATTAGTCATGGCCGGTATAATTACAAGCGGTGTGGTCCTAAGTACGCTTTGTGAGGCTGTGGACAAGGATTTCGAGATTGTCGTGCTGAGGGATTTATGTGTGGACTTCAAAGAGGAAACACATAGGGTGGTGACGGATGATCTGTTCGCAAAACGTGGCACAGTGGTGGGTGCGAGAGACTGGATCAAGGAGCTGAAGGGAGAATAAGACAGAGATATTTGGCCGCAAACCATTGCTTTTGTCTACTATTGCAGTGATTTTCTAGGACGTATCTTGTGCGGGAATGTTCCCACCTGCTTCCATTCTAGGCAATAATCTCTAAGATCGGTGATCCTCACTGTCCCGTCAGGCTCTGCCACTAGGGCACTGCGAAGAGTTGAAATCGCCGAGTCGTAGATCAAAGTTCTCGTTATTGGAAAATTGAGGCAGAGCAAGGTCGGAATGGATAACACCACGGCTATGGATGAAAACAGTACTAGGACTTCATGGTTCCCTCTAGTGGTAATCTACCTTAGATAGCTAGGCACAGACGACTTATTTTCCGCATCATTCTATGCCCATTTCATTTTATAGATGTTCTTGTGAACCTGGCTCTTCTGAGGCATTATTGTCAGCAATCTTTATCAAGATCCATAGTTGCCTCGATCGTTGAAGAGATGATGTTCAATAGTCATTTGGTTTTAGTATCCGAAAGATATCTCCGCCGAAGTAGATAGATAGAGTCTACAGAGAAGATTTATGGACCACGTTGATGTTTCCAGTGACCACAGTCTTTGTCTGGAGATAGTCATCAATCCCGTATTTGCTTCCTTCACGGCCAATTCCTGAGTGCTTAATTCCGCCGAACCTATTTCATTGTCAGAATATATCGGAAGGTTAAACTCCAACAAAGCAGAAGAATTGCAGGGGAATATGCAAGGGGAAGACTCACGGACTAGCAGCATCAGAAATGACACCTGTGTTGACGGCCACCATGCCAAATTGCAAGAGTTCCGAAACTCGGTTTGCGCGTGTGACATCCTGGGTAAAGATATACGAAGCTAATCCAACATCACACGCGTTGGAGGTAGCGACAACTTCATCTTCCGTCTTGAAGGAGAAAATGGGGGCCACCGGGCCGAATATTTCTTCATTGACCACAGACATATCGGGGCTCGCATTGGTGAGGATAGTAGGCTCGAAGAAGTTCTGACCTAAACAAAAACGTCTCGTCAGTTTTCATGCATGTGGGAAGTATCTAGTGTATCACATACCCAGGTCAGACCTTCTCTTCCCCCCAATTTCCACCTTTGCACCGCGCTTCACAGCATCATCCACAAGACGGGCAACTCTCTCCACTGCCGCGGGGGTAACCAAAGGGCCATGCGTGGTCTTTGCGTCAAAGCCATTACCAACTTGGAATTGGCTCACTGCGCTTTTAAGTCTTTTGATGAATTCCGGATAAATGCTCTGTTGGACAAATATCCGATTGGAGCACACGCATGTCTGTCCAGAGGACTTAAACTTGCTACTGATCGCCGCATCCACTGCCAGACCGAGATCAGCATCTTCAAAGACAATGAACGGAGCGTTACCACCAAGCTCCAGGCTAAGCTTCTTCAAGGAGTTGCTCGATTGTTGCATGAGCAGCTTTCCGACCCGAGTGGATCCAGTAAAGGAGATTTTGCGCACAGTGTTCGAGGAGCACAAGGCCTGGCCAATCTCAGGCGTGTTTTCCAACGCAGCAATGCTATTGATAACACCTGCAGGTATTCCTGCCCGCTCGCCGAGCTTGAGCAAGGCGTTGGCTGTAAAGGGAGTTTCGCCTGCGGTCTTGACGACAACTGTACAGCCAGCCGCCAAGGCAGGGCCAAGTTTTCTCGTAATCATAGCAGCGGGGAAGTTCCAGCTTTGAGCGGTGACTTATTAGCTAAAGAATTATCGCAACGAGGATTCAAATGTAAAGTGGACTCACGGCGTGATAAGACCGCAGACACCAATGGGTTCTTTCAGAACAGAAACTCGGAAATTGGGCTGAGTGTGTGGAATAACATCGCCATAGATCCGCGCGGCCTCTTCTGAGAACCACTCAAGGAAGCTGGCTGCAAAGAGAACCTCGCCGGCAGCATCTGGTTTAGCCTTGCCATTTTCCCAGGTGATCAATGTAGCCAAATCCTCCTTGTTCTCCATGACCAAGTTGTACCATCGACGCAAAAGGCGACTGCGGTTTCGACCAGATCGAGAGCGCCAGGCAGGAAGTGCCGCTGCTGCCGATTCTATTGCTCCTTGTGCATCTCTAGTGTCTGACTCTGGACAAGATCCGATGAGTTTGCCGCTCGCAGGGTCTGGTGGCAGTACAGCGTGGTAAGTAATGAATCATAGCAGGACGGACGTCAATGGTAGCTGGCCACTCACCTGTGACAATGAATCGCTTTCCAGACACCGCCTCGACCCATTTCCCGTCAATGTAGTTTTGACCGACCAGCAAGGATGGGTCCTTCAATCGGATGTTTGTAGCCATTGTTGGATTGGAGTCACCTGAACGTGCAGAATATCATAAATAACCAGGATAGAGGGCCTCATGACTCTTTAACGATATCATTTATGCACTCTGCAATGTTGACTGTGGAATTATCCAAGTTCGGTGTTCATTCCGAAGTCCACAGATTGCCGTCTCGGTAGGGTAGGTGACAGCGCTGGCGGGGCGCACGATGGGGAAGGCCACAGAGAACAGCCCTGGAGAGCCGACAACCCAGATTGTCCCTTAATTGGCTATGTAGGGAGATGCGGTGAGATCATTACAGTCCTTTTCTTCCGGGATCTCCTTCCCTTTGGGGCCTGATTACCCGGACGATAAGATGCATGGGTGTGGGGTTGAGAACGAGCGGTGATGGCCATAGAGGTTGCATATCAGCAATTGTGCATCTCAGCCTATCACCCCTTTCGGTATCTCTGCCATATATAACCCGGCAATTCCGTGTGGTCGCGTTTCTTCCCCGGCTATTACTACCCCCAAATATACATTTACCGATATGCCGAAGACCGTAGAGACCGTCGACCTGTTCAACACCACCAGTGCGTACTATGCACCAGCAGCAGTCGCACCCGCTGGCAAGATCATACATGTCGCTGGACAGCCCGGAAGCACAAAGGATGGCATCGTGCCAGCCGACTACGAGTCACAGATCCACCTGGCTCTCCTGAACCTGCGCAAGCTTATCATCGCCGCTGGGTCCTCAATCGAGAACATCGTCAAACTGCAACTCTTCATCGTGGACTATGATGCAGCCAATCGCAAACATACCCGGCACATCCAACGGTTCCTCGCTGGTCACCGACCGGCCATCACCCTGGTCCCCGTCCCAAAGCTTGCTGTCCCGTCATGGCTCTTTGAGATCGACGCTGTCATCGCCCTCCCAGAACCCTCCATTCCGCCGGTACTTCCCTCAACCAACGAGAATAGAGACGTTGTCATCATCGGCGCCGGCCTTGCCGGTCTTTCCGCTGCACATGATGTTTTGCGTGCGGGATTGTCTTGTGTCGTCCTTGAAGCGCGTGATCGTGTTGGCGGTAAGACTTGGAGCTCACCGCTGAATGGTGGCGGTGTAATTGACTTGGGTGCCGGCTGGATCAATGACACTAACCAGAGCAAGGTCCATGCTCTGGCGAAGCGCTACGGTGCGGAGGTCATTGAGCAGAACACCCAGGGCAATGTAGTTCTGCAGGACTTTAATGGCAACTGCACTCCATTTGTCTATGGAGATCTGCCCAGTGTAAGTCATCTACCCCAAACAGACAACATAGGGATAACAGGAGCTAACAGTGTTCTATTTTCCAGTTTGATAAAGATACCCAAGCCCACCTAGCGGAAATCCGCGATATGTGCGAGGCTGAATGCCAAGCCCTCGACACTTGGAGGCCCCAAGACACTAACTTGGATTCGATCACATTTGAGGCCTACTTGCGGTCCCGTGGGGCGAGTGCGGTTGCTATTGCCACAGGAATGGTCTGGACTCGGGCAATGCTTGGTCAAGATCCCAATGATATCTCAGCTCTTTACTTCCTGAACTATTGCAAGTCTGGAGGTGGTTTGTTGCAGATGCGATCCGATCGCAAGGATGGCGGCCAATATCTCCGCATCCGACAGGGTACTCAGCATTTCTCCTTCGGATTGGCATCATCTCTGCCGGAGGGCACTGTTCGTCTCTCTAGTCCCGTTCACTCAGTTATCCAAAACGCCGACAAGTCAGCGAAGGTTCGAGCGGGAGGTGTTGTTTACGGCGCCCGCAAGGTCATTATTACTGTACCTACGCCAGCCATGAAGACTATCTCGTTTCACCCCAAACTCCCTCCGGCGAAGCAAGCATGGATTGAGTCCACAACCTACGGATACTACACGAAGGCCATGATGGAGTTCCGGTCTCCATTTTGGATTACAGCTGGCTTCTGTGGTCTTGCTCAGTCTTTCATCGGCCCTGCTAGTGTTGTACGAGACAGCTGCAGCCCCGAAGATCAGAAGTATGTCCTCACTTGCTTCATGACAGGCGATCCTGGCCGAGCTTGGTCTGCGCTGTCCCAAAAGGAGCGGGAACAGAGCTTACTGCAACAACTTGGAAATCTTTTTGGAGTTGCAAATCTTGATAAAGAATTCATTCAATTGACAGCGTACGAATGGATGAATGATGAGTGGGCTGGCTGGGGCTGTCCGTGCACAGCGCTGACTCCAGGTGTCCTCGATAGTCTGGGCCCAGATGCGTTGCGCGAAAGTTCTGGGAGCTTGCACTTCGCAGGCACAGAGACTGCTGGGGAGTGGAAGGGTTATATGGAAGGTGCTATTCGTAGCGGAGAGCGGGCTGCCGCTGAGGTTGTCAAGACACTGAATTTCGGTGTTGTTTCACGTCTATAGAGGCATTGTTTGCCATAAGGTATACTACACTTAAGCTATCTAGATGAAGGCTTTTTATATCACCAAATTATGACTGTTATTTTTCTCTTTACTGTAACGGTGCGGGTTAAAACCACTACGATTCTTCCTTATGGGCTGAATTGCCCTAAGGATAGTTGTCTCTACATTATTCAAAGATAACTCGCTCCAACTTGACAACATTTAGTTAATACTATCATTAATCCTACGGATCGACATCACAGTCTCCGCCGTGAGATGCCTATTCTAGAAAAAGTGGATCACCCTGCAGTTTAGTGGGGGATCCATCATTTTCCCATTCGCGATGATCTTCCTATTCAGTACTAATAAGGTTGCGTAGTCTTGACTTGTGAATCTAGAGCTCTTATCTTTGTATGTTGTCATATCACATATCTCAATGAGCTTTGTCCGTTGTTTTAAACCATTCAAACGACCTGCTTGCTTGGCTCCAACGCGCTCATTCTTTATCGCTCCTCAACAATATCGTTCTACCCGCAGAACAAAAATGTCCGAGCAAAAGGCAAGAGTTCTCATCGTCGGCACCGGCGGTGTCGGTACTATGTCAGCCTATGCGCTCCAGCAGGGTGGCAGAGCCGAGGTCACGGCTGTCATGAGATCCAACTACGAAGCCGTGAAGGAGAACGGCGTCAACATCGATTCCGTGCAATATGGCAATGGAATCAGATTCCGACCTACCAATAGTGAGTTATTCCGCTTATCGCACCACATGTCAATGTATCAAGATTTTAACCTATCGTTAAAGTCTGCAAGGCCGTCCCGGATGTCGTAAAGGAGAACCTCCCACCATTTGATTTCATCCTGGTAACGACAAAGAACATCCCCGACGTATCCCCAACAGTGGCCGACATTATCTCGCCTGCCGTAACGCCCGGTAAAACCGCCATCGTTCTCTCCCAGAACGGAATCAACATCGAGAAGCCCATCATCCCCCGCTTCCCCACAAACCCAATCATCAGCAGCGTCTCCTTAGTCGGCGCCACTACACGCTCACACTGCGATATCCTGCACGATGACCCAGACGAGCAGAAGATTGGTCCCTTCTCCAGCCCGGGAGTCTCAGCCGAGGTCGCCGAGGATGCAGCCAAGCGCTACATAGACATATACAACTCGCACGGCAAGCTCGATCTGATCTACGATGCGGATGTCCGCCGCTGTCGCTGGCGAAAGCTGCTTTACAACGGCTCTTACAATCCGGTTTCGACAATCTTGCGTATGGATACACCCCGCATGCGAATGAGCGCACACGTCATTGATGACCTTATTCGTCCTATCATGAAGGAGATTCTGGCTGCTGCTCGTGCGGACGGTGTCACGGATTTCCCGGAAGAACTTATTGAGAGTGTTATTCGGGGTGATCCTGTCGATACTGCTTTCAAGCCGTCTATGTGTCAGGATATTGAGAATGGGAATCTGTTTGAAGTTGAGAATATTGTTGGTGAGCCTTTGCGCGAGGGTGAGGCTAAGGGCGTTCCTATGCCTACTCTTCGTACTGTCTACGGTATACTAAAGGGCTTGCAGCTTCAGGTTAAAGAGAGTAAGGGCTTGTGGGAGCCCAAGTTCCCTGTTGATAACCCGTATCAATAAATAGTTCCAAGGTTGTTTCAAACGAATATGAATTAATGCGATGAACTTGGTCATGGTTTTTTTTCTAGATCTTTAGATGGATCTTTAGTATCTACAAAATAGTTACTTCCCCCTTTAAATTGGTTTGGTACTCACAGTATGAAGTAATCAGATAGTTTGTCTTTCATTGTTCATCAACTCAGGCTTGCATCCGACAACAAACAAAATCATGCCGCTGTTAGACAACATGCAGTATCATTCAATCTCTAGTACATGTTTTCTTGAGCAAGTATGGAGTTTCATGTGTAACTGCATATTCTTGATAAAATTGTCTGGTTCTATGTCACTTCTCGCTATGATATACCACGCTATGTTCCCTCCCTCTTTACAACTTCAACAAACGACCATCAGGTTGGAGCAGCGACACCAACTCCTTTTGAATTTCAGACACGCTTTTGCAACTGGAAAGCAAATATTAGCTATCTGATAATACCTAAGAGCAATTGATCCGTTAGGTTCAGTTGGATGTCGTACCCTGCTAATGCCATGCATGTCTTGAACTCATCGTAAAGCAGGTTGAGAGCAAGCTCCACACCCTCTTGGCCGTTGTACTATAGAAGTCAATACACTTATTCCACAAGTCAATCTCAAATTGGGACTCACAGCTAAACCCCAAATGGCCGGTCGGCCAGCCAGGCAAAAGTCGGCGCCGAGAGCTAGAGCCTTAAAAATGTCTGTACCACGTCGGATACCACCGTCGACAGCGATGGGAATCTTGCCCTTTGCGACAGGGACAATCTCGCGGAGAACATCGAGGGTGGAGGGGACACTATCAAGCTGGCGACCGCCGTGGTTCGAGATTACAATCCCGTCGAAGCCGTACTTTATGGCGAGCAGAGCATCTCCGGCGTTGTAGACTGGTCATGGGCAATGTTAATGAACTGAGATTTCTTGACCAGTATTTCGAAGGAAATGGTACATACTTCCTTTACCCCAGATCTGCATTTTTGTATATTGACGGAAGAAGGGCCTAATATCAGGCCACTCAATAGAGTCGTCATAGGCCATTGACTCATCCCCGTCCTCAAGATTGGTCACATCAACGCCCGGAAAGAGGTTTGGGTATTCCATGCCTTCAGGCACCGCGAACTTGTTACGGTACTCATTGAGTCGACGACCCAGGTAAGGTACGTCAAGGGTGACAAATAGTGCCTTGAACCCGGCGGCTGAGATTCACGTTAGCAACTAGACACAATAATTCCGCTTTATCCCAAATAAAAAACTCACCTTCCGCCCGTTTGATCATCTGGATCATAGCCTTTTTGTTCTTGAGAAGACTCATCTGCATCACGTAAGGGTTTCCCTTGCCGTGTGCGATCACCTTTTCAAGATCCTTTGTAGAGTAGTTTGATAGACCCATCAGAGTATTAATTTTGGCGCAGGCCTTGGATGTTCCCTCCTCTCCGTCGGGGTGTGCCAGTGTTTGCATGGCAGTTGGAGAGAATCCAAACGGAAATTTCACCTTGCATCCGACGATGGAGGTGCTGGTGTCCAGTTTGGAAATATTGCGGAGTACGCGGGGACGGATCATGTATCGATCGTACGCTGATTCGTTTTCTCGCAGCCTGTTATTAATGATCAGCTACCTGAGAGGAAAGCTAGAGATAGATAGAACATATACATACGTGATCAGGTCCATAGCCCCCTCGTTGTAATATTCTAATTGTTTTTGTCAGCTGCTATACCATTAAGCATTCCAATGATTGATTTAACAGAGTGCAAAATTCCGATATCTTGGTAGGTCGCCAACATACCACGATAAGCCTTTTGCATCTTGCTTGAGCCCAGTCGCTCGAGGTCTTTGATGCAGTAGACCTCCTCATTGTGAGTTTTTCCCCGGTTTGCCATTGTAGCTCGGGATAATGGGTGCAAAAAGGATATTAGAAGGTACTAATTGGAGGTCTGAAAGGGACTGGGCGATAATATACAAATGTTAAAGCTAAGGTGGATAGCTTCTAGTGCTAGGGAGCTAATATATGATTGTTTTTGTAACGCCTTGGCGGAAGGAAAGTGAATTGACCAAGGAGGTCTCCAATTATCTCAATCTTTGGCGATGTCGGCGACACACCGATAGTGGACGTTTTCGCTATGGCCTACCTAGTCTGTTGCCCAGAATAGTAAGGGAAATCGAGACACTCTGATTGGCCAACCCCCTCATGATGCTGAAACTCTGATTTACAACCTTGAAACTGAGAGTCGCCGAAGATAAGTCTAAATCGCCTGTCACTACATATAGTCTTAGTTATAGCTGTTACGCGCTATAATTCTCTTCGCAGTAGACTTGGAATATACAAAATATACAGAATAATACAAAAGAATACATAAACTCGTGTGTATTGTTCGAAAAATATATTCGCAGTATTTGCAAGGACAATGTTGTCACAATTTATACGTGAAGATAGGAGCCTAATAGACATTGTATAGAAACGGGAAATGTATGTCTTCTTCTCCCGATCAAAAAGCGAATGATAACATAAATTAACAGTGGTTTGGATTTTTTGAGAATCGTACCTGAATAATCCCTGAGCAAAAGAAAAGGTAGGCCTCAGATCTATTTCCCCTTGCATAATTCGCCCTTAGACTTCCAGATCTCATATTCAAAGTCTGGTTGGAATTCGGTATAGAGAGTCTCCTGCATTGAGTGTTAAAACACCATTCATCTCAAATAATGCCATGTCTTAGATGCTAACTTACTGGATCAGCGTTCACCTTGGCAGTGAATTCAGCTTCCTTGTCTCCAATGATGTTCTGAGTGATACCAGTGCTCTCGACCATGATCTGAACCTCGCAGGAGCGCTCCATTAATGTGAACAGGTAAGCCGCCTCGTCAACAGTACCACCAGTAGTCAAGAGACCGTGGTTTTGAAGCACCATAACCCGGCCTGTATCTCCCAGGGCCTCGGCAATGCGCTCGCTCTCATCCGCACCCAGAACAACACCGCCAAATGCTTTGTAGACGGCCTGTGTGCCCCAGAAGTTACAAGTATCTTGGTTAATAATGTTGAGAGGCTGACCGAATGTGGACCAGGCCTTTCCAGCTGGAGAGTGCGTATGGCAGGCAGCATGGATATCAGGTCGTGCCTTGTGGATGGCGCTGTGGATCATGAAGCCAGCCGCATTGATGGCAGTCTTGTTGCCGCCGATAACCTGACCCTCCTCGTTGATATGCACCATATCACTGGCCTTGAGCATGCCGAAGTGCTTTCCCATGCTGAAGAATGTCAGCCGTGTCAATTTTCTGGATACGCATGAGTCGGATGACTTCAAATCTTACGGGTTAATCCAGAATGTTGATGGATCGATCGGATCGCGCACACTGATGTGACCGCTAGTACCCTCCGTGTAGCCCTTTCGTGCAAAGACCCGGAATGCACCAGCCATGTGCTCAAGCTGCCATTGTCGCTTCTTGTGGAGGTCTTCAATCTTGGGAATGCCGGGGAACTCGTATCCGCCGGTTGCAAGCGCTGCTTGGGCACCAGTGGCTTGACTTGGAACCTCTGCCGTGGCATGAATGGAGTCACCTTGTCCCTCGAGGGAGTGAGTAGTGGTATTTGTGGTCATATTGAAGGATTGCTGAATTTTGTGTTTTCTTAGTTCTTGAAATGCTCGTCGGCCAAAGGTTGATTCGATTCCCGGTATTTTTTTGGACTGAGAATGAAGGAGGTTAGTGTACCGAAGCAATATATACCAAAGTCTTTGTGAATTCGGAATTACCTGCATGTCATGATCAGCATGTCTGAAAGTGGAAACCCAAGTAGACATACTTCTGAATGGCTGTGATTGGTCGCAGGGCTCAAAGTGGGTCCCAGGTTTAGGAAGGCATCCCCGACGCGGTGACTTTCCCTCGAAAAATGCCCCGCGCCCACTTCCCCGGTCTCGGTTTGTATGTTGTAGATCGGGATAGTCATCCATGGATAGCTATCTGTTCGATAACGGCGGGGCACATTTACAGGCAGTTATCGCGTAGCAAACCACATCCCCACGGTGTCAACTTCCCCTCATCACATCTCCATGCTAACAATTGGAATTGTCCCCATTCTCCTGGAACCGATGATCCATATCCAGTGTCATTATTCCTGACTAGTTTCACCGACCTGTATATTCAACCCGCAGCTAATTGTCGAATGCGCAGGTGGGTGGAGGCCTCGATCCCATGTCCGCCCCAGTTCGATCTAGGAAGCGCACGAAAACGTTTACAGGATGTTGGACTTGCCGGACACGCAAGATCAAGTGCGATGAGGCCAAGCCGTGCTGTAGTCAATGTTATGAAAAGGGACTTAGCTGTGAGGGATACTCTGCCCGCTTGCAGTGGCTCGCACCGGCCACAGGCAAGCGAGGCCTTCGCTCGGTGGACCCAACGGCGGGTTCCATGAGCCAATCTCTACGACGTCTTATGCCTCCAGGTGAGTTGCACGGGCATCAGATTGTACCTTGTGGCTTATTGCCATTCCTTTTGGTGTATATTGTACTGACGCCTATCTTAGAGCCTCTGGAATATGCCTTAGACTGGGACCAGGTGGATGGTATTCTACACTATCTCGATTCCCTGGAATCCGTTGTCAACCCACGCAGTGAGGATGTCAGTGCCAACATACAGAATTTTGGTGTCTTTCGGGTTCAACAAAGTACCTCGTCTACTGTTGATGAACTGAATGTTACAGCTCCTTGCACAACTGAAGTTTGCCAGCCCGAGAATGGGTACGATCTAATCTTCAATCCGGAGTCAGTTTCCATAGAGTCAGATCCATGGAATGATAATTCTGAAGCAGGGGCAGCATGGAGCCTTTGTAATCTTCATGGGCAACCGTTGGTCTTGGATTTTACTCAACAGCAAGACTTGGCCCCAGTGGCGCCAGGCACTGTTTCGAACTCTCCAGCCTATACAGGCCATGATATACAATCACAACCTCTCGAGTCAGAGGGGCTGATTCTCCCGCAGGGGGCCGAGAGCAACACATCGAACAAGACACAGCATATGTCTCCACCTCTGACAAATACACTCGAGAGCCTGGTCGTTCCGTCCCAGGAGCGACTCCTTATGAGACACTACAGCCACCGAGTAGTCAACCTATTCTGTGTAATTGACAATGCCAAAAGCCCCTGGAAGACAATCCACTTACCCCGTGTCCTGCAATCTGCAGGTGAAATGAGCTTTGGATGTAGCACAACGCGGATCCGTGACGCATTAAAGAATTCATTGCTTTCTATAAGCGCATTTTGTCTATCCAACGATCATAGATCTCATCACCGAGAAGAAGAAGCTAATAAATGGGGCACAATCGCTTCGCGATATCGTTGTGATGCCATTGGACTTCTCAAATATGCGGTTGAAACCGATCTCTATGCCGACAAGAGACCAAAGTATAAGGAGTTTCTTGCCACTATGCTTTCTATGATTACAATCAATGTAACATACCCCTTTGCGGTTGCATCTTGACACGGTTGTGCTAATCTGACTTTGCAGGTTATGTCTGGAGATACAAGTACTTGCAGTGTTCATTTGGACGGCGCCGAAAGGCTTATAAGCCATATGAATACTCGGAAGGCCACTTTCTCTCGCAAGGCCCAATCGCTCCATCGGATATATCTTTACCTGCGCGTGATCTATGAAAGTACCGCCGTGAAAAGATCAAGAAGCGGAATGTCCAGATTTTCGCCATCACTGGGCTCACAAAGAACGTTCGGTCCGCAGCCCGTGTTTCCCAAACAGCACCTCTTTATTGAAGATGATGAAACGCCCTCGTCTATGCTTCCCATGGGAGCAGATATGATGACAGGCGAGCGCACCTTGTTAGAGATGTCGGCATACGAATGCATATACGGTATACCGCAGAGTCTTCTGATTCTCTTGAAGGAAACCATCGAGCTCATCGACGAGGTGAAGCACCATCGAATGAACACGGAAGGCACATCTATCCCAGATAGTCTAAACCAAATCTGCGATCATCTTGAACAAAAGATCATGGACTGGCCACTCGATGAGCGTCTTCATCGTTACGAAGAGTCCACGAATGGCATTAGTGCCACCATCATCTACCACCAGACTCGGGCATTCCTTCATGCTCTCATTATCTATTTCTCGCAGAGTGTGAGACTGATGAGCCATCGGTATCTCCGCCAATATGTCCAGGCGGTTCTGGATAGCATCGAAGCCATTGAACAGCTCAAAGCGGAGACCAAAATACTTGCTGCTCCGCTTTTCTGGCCAGCATTCATGGGTGCCACTGAGGCGTTTGAGCCTAGACACCAAGATCGCTTTCGACTGTGGTACGAGCGAGTGGAAGTATATGGAATTGAAGCCGTGAGGACAGGTATACAAGTTGTACACGAAGTTTGGAGGCAGGGACCAACAACAAATCGACAAATGCATTCTGGCTGGCGCAGCGTTGTGGAACGGACGGGGGACCATCTCATGTTAACCTAAGAGTCATGATATATAGCCTATTGAATGTAATATAGCTGAGGTAGTTCACTCGGGAAACTTTCTCGTGGGTGAAATAGCCATCTAGACCAATCAGTTCCGCATACAATACTATACTCGGCCGCGAAATCTTCCCAATACTCCAAACCTTCCTATTTCCGCTATGAATCAAAACCTAGTCCCGTAGAGGGTCTACGGATCGCTTTTAGCTTCGCCGACACTTTCCCCGGGCCGAATCGCGCCACTTGAGCAGAGGTCCACATTTTTCCCAAGCTGCTTTCAAGCTTAATTAGGAGCTCATAAAAGTGCCCCTGGTGCACTCAGCTCGAAATATTCCTTCATTTCTCAAAGGGTCACATAGAGGGCTAGAGAAAATGCGCTGCTTGAAAAACATTGCGGAGTTTCCTCTTCGCCCACGCATTGCGACAGTCTGCCGTGGTCCAGCACAGCTTCGATTCAACACCAATTCCAACCGAGGAGCAAAAAATTCACTCGACAGCTCCTCCCTAAGAGAAAAGGGTAACGGGAAAGGGTTCACAGTAGTTGTTGCGGTGGTTGCTGGTTTGGCCAGTTATTATAGGAATCCTGGGAAGGTCTTTGATCGGTAGAGGAGCTTTATATCCTGGATTAAATGATAATCAACATAATGGCACTGCTATTCGCCATCCACATCCACAATCATGACTACATGTAGTTTAGGTTTTCAAGGGAATTAAGAGCAGAATTTGTAGTAAATAATATGTAAAATCTTGGATTATCTTAAGGTTACTCCCGATATTCGTTGTTGGTCAACAAATCGAGTACATATATATTTTCCACAATCCAACAACGTACAAGCATCCATTCATCGCTTGGATATTCTTTGTTTTCTAGAGTCTGGATATAAACACCTAGTTGGTCAATTCATTCATGATCTAGCAAACCTCCCAAATACAGTTTTTATACATTCGATGAAATGGAGGCCATGTGCTGGCGCTAGCTTCTTTTGGGGGGTTCAACATCCCGGCTTCCCCGAGCTGGTAATGTAAACGTCGCAAAATTGCTTCTTTAACATAGTATTGGTTTAGCTTTCACGACCCTTCAATCAACTCACATTGCACCATGCATCTTGACGTCCATGATGCTGGATCTTAGTTGTGGTTTCGGACCTTGATTACTCGGTAGTACCCGAGGGATAAGGTTCGGGTCGCAATTATGTTCCACACTTCGCAGTATTTCCCCCAAGGTTGTTTATACTGCTTCATAGTCCTAGATGCTCTCTCGATCCCAGCTAGCAGTGCTGGTGTTGAGCGCCTCCAACTGTGCTCGTAATACTTGCCACTATTGCCGTGAGGGTAACTTAAGGCCGATGCAATTAAATGCTCAATGCTATATTTAGTCTCATTGAAGTTCGAGGTTGAACAAGCCATCTAGAGATATATAAGGGGTAAATTTCTGCTAGGGAACCTGCTCTTCTTGATCAAGAAAAGAAAGCCTCTCCTTACACTTGATAAGCTCGATCCGAGAAGAAGCAGAAGCAGAAGAAGAAGATTAGGGCTCACGGCAGTGCGATATGCCCGATATTTAATCGCGGAGTAACATTGATGATAAGCTGGAAGATCACCACGCTTGTCTATAGGCGAAGGCCCGAGGAAAGCAAGCGCCTCGAAAACTGCCCTAAGAGAGCAATCCCGAGGTCCTAGATGATGATGATGAAGGCCTCCCACTTCCTGAAATCCTAGTCGAAGAGCATACATGGAGACGGCCACAGAGGACTCGGAAGCAACCTAGTTCAGACCTGGAGAAGCTGTCGACGGGTCATCCATAGAGAGGAAGAATTTCTAAGCCCATCATCATCAAATATTACGGCAGATTGCTCATATTCGAGCTTTACAAATTTGGCTATCGGGAATGAGACCTATGTTCTTGACTTAGGTGGAAAGTTAATGCGATAATGGTGGAGTATATTTTTTGCTGAGCGCAGACATTTGTTGCCTTTTTTGAAGTATCGGCTGCTTATGCGGCCTTGTCAAGTAATTTTTTAGTAGTATTTCATGGTAGTCTTTTGGATGTCTTTTTAAATGTCTTTTTGGTGGTCTTTTTAATGGTCTTCTCAGATTCTTTTCAGTTAGTCCACGGGTCTTGCTGTACCACTGGCATTGCTGGCTGTACCACGTTGGGCACGTGCACGGGTAAATCAATTGCCAAAGGCGGTCTGAAGATCATCTAGGCTGACCGCCCGGTAGGCGAAGCATCGATAACGAATTGCGGGATACATACCTTGCCCACTACCCACTTCCACAACTTCATAACCTGCGCCAATCCCTTGACAGAGCCTCTTGTCGCTCTTAAGATTATCAGTGAACATAAATCCACCTGCATTCACCAGCTGTGCAGATTTGGGTGCTTCAGCGCCACGGGCTTGATCACCCCACCTGGTGGCTTTCATACCAGCGACAGAACGATAGTGCGCATCCCTCATCATGGAGGACTTCAACAGCGAAACCGATAGTGATTATACCAGCTACTGGCGAGACTGGGTAAGTGAATTTCTGTTGTCATGACTTGATTTCCCGTGAGATGAGTGAGGCGTTATGGCGGGCGACAGGGCCACCGTGGGTTGGGTTGGGCCGATCGAATGGAGGACTGAAAATGGAGGACCGCAAATGGAGGACTGCGAGAGGCAGGCTGGCTGGCGTGCGCGACCCGAATGAATGTCAAACTTCGGGTCAATCGTGTTGCCGCGACGATCTTGTCTCGGCGTTTGGCGACAACCACAACCTTGTGACTGTTGGCCCGGCGATCCACGCGGTGCCCGACATAAATACACAACCTGCTTGTTCTCTCCTCTCAAGTATCCTCTGGCGCCTTTATCGTCTTCTGCTTCTATCTCTACTCGACTGGATTTTCTATCTCATCATGGATTCCGGAACATATCGCTTCGCTGTCCTCTTCATGACAATCTTCATGTTCGGGGCGGCATTCGCATCATTCCAACTCGCGTCTGACGTCGGGCGCAATGGCGATATGCATTCTTGTTTTATGTATATCTCCTGCGGCTTTACTTGCATCTACTTTTTCGTCGGTCTGCTCTCAATTCATGTTCAGCTCGAGATGGATCCCTCTGCTATGGACCATTTGGATCGAAATGGCCCCAATGGGCCTCCTGGTCCGGGTCCCAACCCCGGGGGACGAGCACAACCACCCAATGGCCATTCCTCGCAACCTCCACGCCGCGGCCCTGGGCGTGGAGGGTCCTGGACATCCTCACGTTCCTCCGAATCTACCCTTCTCTCCAGTTCTGGTCGATACAGTCGTTCACTCTTGCTCATGATCGTGCTAATCGCAATCATGTATTTCCAGTTTGTTTCATCCCGTGGTAATGAATACTTCTGCGAGATTGACGAGGACTACTTGACCGATCGTTTTAACCTCACCGGCTTGAATACCGAGGTTTCGTACTACCAGTACGCTCTTGATCTTGTGACCGACGTTTTCGATCTTGATGCAGACGACGATCTGCGTGAGCAAATCGAGAAGTCTGCCCGTCACCTCTATGGCTTGGTTCATGCCCGGTACATTGTTACGACTCGTGGTCTTGCCAAAATGGTATGTTGACATCCTGAACTTGTGTGAACATTTTCCCTTGAACAAACGTGCTAACCTCCCTGTAGCTTGAAAAATACAAGAAGAGTGACTTTGGAAAATGCCCCCGTGTGATGTGTGATGGACATGCGCTGCTTCCTCTCGGCGAGTCTGATCTTCCGAATATCAGCACCGTCAAGCTGTACTGCCCCAAGTGTGAGGACATCTACAACCCCAAGTCATCACGTCACTCGTCCATCGATGGTGCATACTTCGGTACCTCATTCCACTCTATCCTTTTCCAGGTCTATCCGGCCCTGAATCCCGAGAAGAGCAGTCGTCGTTACGAACCCCGGATCTACGGTTTCAAGGTGCACGCCGCAGCTGCACTTGCTCGTTTCCAGGATAACCAGCGTGAGGATCTCAAGTGGCGTCTTGCCGAGGTTGATATCAACCACAGGTTCATCGAGGATAGCGAAAGCGACGACGATGCGTTCGAGTATGATGAAGATTATGCCGAAGGTCGCGCGGAGCCAGCCACAAACGACAAGCTCCTCGGTGACGCAGCTTCCGCTCGCATGAACGTCGCCAAGTAAAATTTTGACAAATATGGATTCCATTGCCAATCTTTCATGGGCAACATTTCGGCGCAACGAGGGATACGTGGTATGCTTGTGCTTTTCTTCAGATGTTTTCATGAACCACGGCGTTACCTGGATCGCATGGTCATTTGCGATGGTTTTTTTTTCTACGACTTCGTTTGTACTTGAATTACCAGTCTAGTCCATTCCTAGGGAAAATCAGGACTCAATTGAAACCACATAACTTTTATCTAATTTCTTGCACGGGAGGTGGTTGCTAGGTTTGTATGGCCGGGAGAATAAGAGAGTATAAACTCACTACTAAACACGAACGCGTATATTATTCACGGGTACTATTTGTAGTTGCCACTTAGAATGCTCGACAAGTATGTCCTCCTCGGCATCAGAACTACGGGGCCAGCCCCATTTCCTGCAATTGTTCGAATGCAAACGTTACCGCGCGAGCCAGTTGCTCGCCATTCTCCCATGCCTCATCATGAGCACCGCTGATCGACAAGATGCGGAGCCGTCTATCACGGTGTGAAACCTCTTGCACAGGTACCTGTGCCTCCGTCTTCTCCCAGTTCCTCAAAGCCTCCTTCATGACCTCTACCTGAGACCCGTCCACCAACCCATCGTCCTTGGAATACGCCAGGACAGCCAACGTTCCAGACTTCCATCCGCCTTCCACTCCTCGAGGGCCAGCCACCTGGGCCGGCGATACTCCATCCCAGAGCATCTCATCTGCCCCGAAAGCTCCCTCGATAAAGTCCTGGTAAGCCGAGATATCAACATGCGTATCCCGTAGCCGTCGCAGATCGTAGATACCCGCCACACCGACAATGGCAGTGGGTTGCGCTGTCAATGTAGCGAGCCCCTGTTCACGATGACCTGAGAGCGCACCCATCACGGATTGGAAGGCCAGCGTTGCGCCGCAACTGTGTCCAACCAGGATGTATCGCGTACCGAACCCGTATGTATTCTGGAGGAACACGAGCGCTGCCTCCACATCGGCGATGTGGTCAGGGTGTTTCGCATCTTGGAAGTCCTTCGGGTCGGTATTTGTTGGGTCTTGTGGGTGATTTGGGTGTGCGCTGAGACGGTACGAAATCGAGGCGAATCCGGCAATAGGTAGGCCTTTCTCGCGAAGTATGGATTCCGTGGCATTGAAGGATGCCGATGTAACCGTTGGATCCCGCCAGGCACCACCGTGGATGTAGCTAGATAAGTACATCAGACGTTAGTTATTGCTTTCGGGTTGGATTGTCCTAGGGACTCGCGTACATCACCCAGTAGCCATCTTTGCGTGGAGCTAAGGTTGTGACGGCGATGTTTTGTAGATTAGAAACTGAGCCATAGGCTACAGTCTGTGTATTTGAGTGAGCCGACATTATGCCTTGCGGAGTTGCTTGATTTATGGGGAAGTGGGACATGTCGATAGATTACGGGCAGGTTGGGAGGAGCATCGTGCAGAAGCTGGTACCATTGGACTGACACATCGTAGGTACATTTTGGCTTTGCCTCTTCAGGTGTCTCGATGTCATCTGGTCATTTTTTTCGTTTTTCTTCCGGTCTCCTATATTGTTTTGGACCAAAATATAGCATGAAGACTCTCTCGTTGAATGAGAATTCCCCGATGAATGGATGGAAATGTAATATATATGTATTGCCCCTCCATCTGCGTGATCAGAGAGTGTAACATATTTCGTTGTGTATTGGTAACACACTAAGCCCGATCAGGAATGAATGGTCCCTTTCACACAAACCCTCCAAGTCCACCGTCTCGACCTTAACAACCGCCCAACTGTTGCAATCTTTCACAATGGCCGAGTAAGTGATGATCTATTTTGATCCGTGAGAACATGATGCTAACCACTTGCAGAATCCCAGCTCCCCTCGCGGCCGTTCAGGTCGAGGCCTTGGTATGGTCTCCCCGACGAAAATCTCCCCCAGTCCTCGCCAACCAGAAATACTGACGTCGGACGTTTCAGGTGGTGATGAAAATCATCAAGCACTGCTCCCAGACCTTCCCCTCCACTGCGACCGGGGCGATCGTCGGTATGGATGTCGATGGCACCCTCGAAATCACGAACACTTTCCCATTCCCCGTCGTCGAAGTCCCCGCCGAGTCGCACTTTGACAACGCCACTCCCAACCCGGCCGCTGCCGCTCCTCGTGCCAAGGCAAACGCTGCCTACTCCGCAGAGATGATCCGCATGCTGCGCGAGGTCAACACTGATGCCAACAGCGTCGGATGGTACACCAGCGCCAACATGGGCAACTTCGTCAACATGAACGTGATCGAGAACCAGTTTTACTACCAGAGCCAGTTGAACGAGCGCACAGTCGCCCTCGTTCACGATGTCAGCCGCAGTGCCCAGGGCAGCCTCAGCCTCCGTGCCTTCCGTCTGTCCTCCAAGTTCATGACTGCGTTCAAGGAGAACAAGTTCACTTCTGAGGAGTATGTGCATGGACAATTCGAAAATTATATGAGCCACATGAATACTGACAAGAATTGCAGTCTCCAAAAGTCCAACATGCGCCACCCCGACATCTTCGAGGAACTGCCCGTCAAGCTCCACAACTCCCACCTGATCACTTCATTCATCCACCAGCTGCAGTGCCCGACTTCCACTGCCTCCACTGAGCTCCCCTCTTCCCTGGCTGCCCTCGAGTCCAGCCCCTTCACCAAAACCTCCACCCTCACCCCCAACCTCGACAACCTGTCCCTCAGCATCGATCCCTTCCTGGAGAAGAACTGCGATCTCCTTCTGGACAGCATCGAGACCCACAACACCGAGGTGAACAACTACCAATACTACCAGCGTGTGCTCGGCCGCGAGCAGCAGAAGATCAACGCCTGGAAGGCGAAGCGCGCACAAGAGAACGCCAGCCGTGCCACTCTCAACCAGCCCCTCCTCCCCGAGGATGAGTGGCAGCGTCTGTTCAAGCTCCCCGCCGAGCCCAGCCGTCTGGAGAGCATGCTCAACACTCGCCAGGTGGACCAGTACGCGCGCCAGGTCGACAGCTTCGTCTCGTCCAGCACGGGCAAGATGTTTGCCATCAAGGGCAACCTGCTGCCCAACGAGACCTCGAACTAAACGTTGATGATTGCGAAGGGGAGACACGACGCTTCTGGTATTGCATGACCTTTTTACGGCGTAGGGAGGGAAAATGTTCTCTATTTTGGATGTTAATATGACTTCCTGTTTCTTTTTTCTTCTATGAGCGGAGCTGAGTCTCTGGGCATTGAGTCCTGCGTTGAATCGACTTGTATTCGATCATAGAAGGGAATCTTTATTTTGTTTAGATTATAACAAACACATTGAACAGGTCAAATTCTCATGTACGCTTTTTTTTCAATAGGATAATCTACGGGTGGAACAAACTGATCTAAGAAAAAGGCCTAAGGTTAGATTGATCTATGAAATCGGATATACATGAATGCATGTGCATGCATCATCACTACTATGTAGCTGGAGTGTTGAAGGGATCACGAACCTCCCAAGGAACTGCACCCTCGAGCATATCGGCGACTCGATATACACTGGCGGGATCACTGTCTCCGATCAGAGTGGCGATCGCGATGCGGTAAAGAGGCTGAAGAGTGCAGCAGATCTGATGGAAGAGAGTGTCGCTGACAACCTGGGAACCCTCGAGGCAGCCAGGTGTCATCCGATGAAGATCTCTAAGCCGCTCAACCACGTGAAGGCGAAGACTGGGGTCAGCTCGGAGCTTCATGACCTGCGACTGTAAAAGGTCAAGGTAGTCCTTCCGCTCTCTGCCGTACATACTGTCGCGAGCAGGGATAGTCATGGTGAACGTGTGATAGGGGTGATGGGAGTAATGGTAGGTTAGTACTGTTCTGTGGGATCTGTGAAGATTGTGTTGGAGACACTGTTGCTTGGTGAGAAGATATCGAGGTGGGATCGAGGCTATTTATGCAGTTCGAGTAGTCGACTTCGAATACTCGATGAATCACAGCTTGGAATATGAGAACAATAGAAGTATAAAATAGCCTTTGTTTATATATTTGTCTTCTTAGTTCACGGATGGATCCGAACACAAGGGCCATTGTAGTCCGCAGAGGACGACAAGAAGTGACCAGACAAAGCAAAGAGATATCGGCTTTTGTAACTATGAAGAACATTTGCATTGAGAAGTGCATTCTCATCGGGGATCATACTCTGCACAACATACAACAACGGAGGCTCGATATATATGAGCAAGGCTATCGAAAGTTAAAGGGATGACAAGATGCTAGTTAATTTGATCTCGCTTCAGTAGATAATATACATATGCAGAAGTACATGTAGTTAAACAAGAAAAGGGATTGCGGCCTGGTGATTGTACATCTTTTCATGCCTGGTTAGCCGTGAGTCGATGGATATATACTCCGTATATCTCGGTTACCATGCTTCCCCTGTGAACTTCAACGGAAGGTGAAGCAACCGATGCCCAAACTTCGTTGGCGAAGGAAGCCGTCCTGCTCGAATGTTGATCTGCAAAGACTGGTGGAGCAGCTTGGGTGCCGCCAATCCTGCATCACGTTCCTTTCGCAAAGTCACAAAATCTTCTTCGCTGATACCGTCTTTCAGATGTTTATTCAGTTTCTTGTGGTCCTGGACGCTCACCCAAGCAACGGGGTCACTGCGTCCCTCTGGTGGATAATCATGACCTGTCCAGATCTTGAAGTGGTCAGGGAGGCTCAGAAGCTTGCGGCCTGATCGAAAGAGGTCGTTGGCATCGCCACCGGGGAAGTCACAGCGTGCAGTGCCGATATCCACATGGAAGAGAGAATCACCGCAGAATAGATTATCTGGAACAGTCTTGTGAGTACCTGTGCAACAAGGTCATTTTTGCTGGTGGATAATTACCGCCAATCATGTACCCAAGATGATCCGGGGTGTGCCCAGGTAGATGAATAGCCTTTCCTTTCAGGTTTCCGATAGTAAAGGTTTCGTCATCATCAAAAAGCCTGTTAAAAATGCCTTGGTATTCCTTTGGTGGGACACCATATCTTTCGGCGAACAATTTTTGCACTTGTTCAATGCGCTTGCCGATGCAGATGGGCGGCTTATGATCTTGATCCTGGGCAAGATGTTTTTGAAGATAACATGCTGCACTCAAATGATCTGCATGAGCGTGCGTTTCAAGAATCTTGTCGATCTTATAGCCCTTCCCCTTGATAAAAGAGAGCAAGGAGTCGGCTGCCTGAGTGGTCACAGCTTGAGTGGCGGGATCATAGTTCAAGACTGGGTCGATGATGACAGCTGTTGATGTCGACGGATCGGCAACAAGATACTGCCACGTTCCAGACGTGGGTTCGAAGATATCGTGAATCACAGGCTCAGTAGATATAGTGGATGCAGTGCTGTATGTGACTCGACGTGAGTTTAGATGGTTGGTAGGGATGGAACATGAACGTGGCGAGCAGGTTTGGTTCCAGGTATGAACCGGTTGTCCTTTTTGTGATTGACGCACTGTCCCCTTAATTGAAGCGCCATTTCTTAAAGATTTTGGGGTACAAGATACAGCCATTCGAGTCGCTTGTTGGATATGACGCAATTGCCTAAAGTCGGTTCGAGCGGGCCTTGTAGACAATCTGAGAAGATCTGACGACCATTGCCAGCCGATGCTTGATGATTGCTGCCGAAAGCTAATCATGATATGCTGGATTTGAGGAACAAAAATTGGTGAGGGATGTAAGAGCTGTCGCAGTAGTCATACTTGAAAGGCCTAGGTCGGCGACTCGGAGGCATGGAGGTCGCCGATTGAGAAGACCTCGGGAATCATTACGACACCATCCAATGGATATGTTCGGATTTTCTTGCCACAAACTGTCAAATTCGAGGAACATATGATGTTGTTAGCGAAGTACATTGGTTTAAATACTGTTGCTAACGCGTTAACCTCATATGCTGAGGTGAATCAAGGTCACATCAAAACCGAGTCCACTTGCACAACCACGATCAGCCGTAAATGAACTAGGCTTTTCGGTTTTATTTCCTGTCTTTTTTTTTCCTATTAAAAAAAGTTCTCCCTTAATTTTACCTACTGTCTAGAATGGCATTATTATAGGATATAGGTCCACTATTAAAAAAATAAGGACAGTGGTTCCAGAGGGGGTCGAACCCTCGACTTTGACGTTATTAGCATCACACTCTAACCAACTGAGTTATGGAACCCGATCAGGTGATTGAGCCCGTGGTTTTGACATTATTAGCCACTTTTCCTGATAGCCTAGTTGACTGATTGCTGCACCTCTTATATATTGTTTTATTCACTGTTGCAGCCCCGAGAACTAGATTGAGCGAAATTATGGGATAAGCCTGAAGTACAAATATTGTATGAAGTATGTCCTCCGTACTTTTACTCCTTTTACCTGAGAGGACCCCGAAGGTATTCGGCGAAGAAAGGCCGATCCCCGATATCGGAACGAGTTAATCCGAAATCACGACATCGTAAGATCAGCACTGGAGCTATTTTAGGGTACTTCAGGGCTCTTTTGTCACATTTTGCCTTAGATTTGAAGATGTTTCAGCGTCGCACAGTAGTTGCTGCCAAGCGCTCCGTCGCTCAATGGAGGAGTCTCGCAACCGCGTCTCCTGTGAGCTCTGGACGAAACCACAAGATTGTAGTGGTCGGCGGTGGTACTGCTGGTCTGTCCATCAGCCACCAGCTCCTGCACTCTGGCAAATTTGCACAAGATGACATTGCTGTGATTGATCCAGCCGCGTGGCACAACTACCAACCTGGCTGGACGCTGGTCGGCGGTGGCCTCAAGGACAAAGAGGAGCTGCGCAAGCCATTGAACAGCTTGGTTGATCCCAAGTTCAAGTTTTATAACGAGGGTGTTGGCGCCTTTGCCCCCGCTGAAAATGCGCTCACCCTCGAAAATGGCGACAAGATCAACTACGAGCATCTGGTCGTGGTGCCCGGTATTAGCATTAACTATGGTGCTATCAAGGGTCTCCCTGAGGCTCTTGCAGACCGGAACTCAACCGTTTCAACGATCTATAGCTACGACACATGCGACAAGGCTTTCCGCACCATTGAAAACTTCCGCGAAGGCAATGCCATTTTCACTCAGCCAGCTGGTGTGGTGAAGTGTGCGGGCGCGCCACAGAAGATCATGTGGCTTGCATTGGACCACTGGAAACGAGCTGGCCTCTACAACCCTACCAATACCTCTGACTCACCCGTCAAGATCAGCTTTGCGACCGGTCTACCAGTGATGTTCGGTGTGCCCAAGTACAGCGCCGTCCTCGAGCAGATGCGCAAGGATCGCGGTGTTGAGGGATTGTTCCAGCACGATCTCCTTGCCATTGATGGCAAGGCTGCCATTTTCTCCTCTCCCGATGGAGAGGTCACCAGACAATTCGACCTGTTGCACGTCTCCCCCAAGATGGGTGCTCATGGTTTCGTCAAGAACAGCCCTCTGGCCAACGAGGCCGGATTCGTCGATGTGGACGACAACAGCACCCGCCACAAGAAATTCCCTAACGTTTGGTCTGCTGGTGATGCTTCCAGTTTGCCCACATCCAAGACCGCTGCAGCGGTCACTTCCGAGGCACCGGTTCTCGTTCGCAACCTTTTGCAAAGCATGGAGGGCAAGGAACTGGATGCTTCTTACGATGGATACACCTCGTGCCCGCTCTTGACCGAGTATGGCAAGGTCCTTCTCGCTGAGTTCAAGTACGGCGGAGTGCCTAAGGAGACCTTTGGAGACTGGTTTGGTATTGACCAGGCTGAGCCGCGTCGTTCCTTCTGGTACCTCAAGAAGGACTTCTTCCCTTGGGTATACTTTAACTACATGATCAAGGGTAACTGGGGTGGACCCAAGGGCTGGCTATAGAGGAAACTGTGGATGCCGTGTATATTATCCCTGTGTTGCGATATGATGGTAACCTCAAGGTTTTTAATGATTAGGGGTTAGAAATAGAAATATGAAAGTCCTTGAGTCAAAACCTTTGAGATTTATAAATGTGTCCAGGTTAATATGAACATTGAAGCTAACTGGGGTAGTATGGTACGACCTCCAGGGCTGTTTCACATGCAAGTCCCATCATCTTCTGCTAGAGGAACATGACGTCATCGCCTATCATATCGCTATCGATCAGCAAGTCAATCCTCTGGTGGGATTGTTCAATGACTTTCTCATCTTTCGATATTTAAATTTTTACGACGTCTCTGAAATCCGAGGTATTTCGTTTTGTATTTTCTCCATGTACAACACTCATTCAGATATTTGGGTTGTGAGTTGCACCCGATCAACCCATCTCCAGTCCAACTGGACGCTTTCCTACATTTGACACAAGATACATATTTCAGATTTCAATCGCTAACTCGAATATCTTGATAGGCAGGTGCATTTGCCGCAGTTGTAGTCGATTTTATTGTCTACCCCTTCGACACACTCAAGACCCGTATTCAATCCCCAGACTATGAGAAGGTCTTCAAGAACGCACGCACAGGAGCAGTAGAGCGCAATGTACTTTTCCGTGGATTATACCAAGGCGTCTGGAGTGTGGTTTTCTCGACAATTCCTGCTTGTATGTGATGACTCTTATTGATAAACTGGGAACGTGGAACATCACAGCTGACGATCCTATGTACGTCGATCTAGCTGGTGCATTCTTTACCACTTACGAAGCTGTGAAGAGCATTATGTACAATTCCTCAAAAGAAGCTCCCACAGGCATGAAAAATGGTAAGAGAACCTTCCCCGATGGTTCTCTGAACAGTCTTCGCTTGCCCTTCACACATTCCCTCCCTACTCCCATTATGCATGGAATTGCCTCTTCAACCGGGGAGATGGTATCATGCTTCATGCTCACACCAGCAGAGGTGTTAAAACAAAATGCGCAGATGATTCAATGTTCCCAAACAAACAAATCCGCCATGCGACAAGTACTCTTGCGATTTCGACGTCATCCTTGGCGCCTATGGAGTGGGTATACGGCACTGGTTGGTCGAAACCTCCCAACGACAGCTTTGCAATTTCCGCTCTTTGAGTACGCGCGATCACACCTCATTGACCGACGGAGACAACGGAAAGCGGCTCGCAGCAACACCGGCCGACCCCCATCGGAACAGTCAGAACAACTAGTCGAACGGGCCGGCTTGACGGGCATAGCTGCGGCATTTTCGGGGACGATCGCGGCGACGGTGACTACTCCAATTGATGTAATCAAGACCCGCATGATGCTTTCGGCAAGTGATGTTGGAGGTAGTTCCCAAAATCAAAGTATCCAGGCTGGTACTCGTGACAGTGGAACGGTATCTTCGGAGGCGCGAATAAAGACCAAACCTGACAAATCTCTCATTTCTGTCGGTCGTGATATCCTACGTCATGAGGGAATCCGTGGCTTTTTCAAGGGTGGACTGATACGGGCTGGTTGGACGGCAATTGCATTGGGCCTGTATCTCAGCATGTATGAAGGAGGCCGGTTTTATCTGGAGAATCGACGGAAGGAGCAGGACCGTCTCAGTGGAAAATTGGGAAAGCAAGCTGATGAAGGCGGGGAGGTTATTTAGTCAGAAGGGGGTGAGTTGTGTTCAAGCCTTTTGTCGCGATGCCGTCACTGGCAGCGAAAACGTTCATGGATGCTAAACTCACAAATTTCCACCATTGACACTGGCGATCAAGGCTTGAGAAGAGGATGCTTCTTTGTTTTCTAAGGTTTTCTGTGACCCTTTGATTCCATTGTGAAGACAAGTGACTTACTGCCAATGAACAAAGAAGAAATCCCCACTTTGTGAATTACATTGTATTTTAGTCTCTCGAGGCCATCTTTGAATAATGAACAAAGGTCAAAAGAGAACAAAGGGTATCTTTGAAATCAGACATAATAGTGGCACCGGGGCTTGAACTATATAAATCATATTCCCACCCTGCACATGACTACAGACCAAGACTCTACTAGTGTGTTTCAATTCCTACATCAAATTCATTCAAGCGATTACAAGTTTCAATCATGTTGCACACATCAAAGCACCAGGAGTTGGACATCCCACTGCACACTGACGAAGCCTGGGATGCAGATGACGAGGACTCTGAATCAGAGCGCACTTCCAATGCATTTGACTTTGTGCCGTTGTCGATTGCACTAGGACTAAAAAAGGAAGTCCACCCCTTATTTCACTTCAGGGTCCGCCGTGAAGAAGGTAAGTTTCCAGGCGCGTCGGGTAAGTCTGATGGCTGGATTAGCGCCTCTCATTTTCTCTGGACCATGTGCGCTACACTAGCAGAAGCAGGCATCGATCCGGAATGGACAGTGACATTTGGGAAATGGCGACCCCAGTGGAACAAGATTCAGGTACAAGTGAAGACATTCGGATATACTCAGTTTTCTTCTGAGATCCCCCCTGCTCCGGTTGGTCTTGCGTTGGTCCAATTCTTTGGGTCCCGATTTGACGAAGAACCGAGAGAGTTTGAGATTGAGCAGGAGGACCTGGACAATGTCTCGGATTGTCAGGATATCTGGACCCTTTGGCGATACATTATTGAGACGCCTGCAGATCAGATCAAAGAGTTTCATGTTTCCCTCAGAGATACTGCGAGGCTTCTTGGGCCTTAGTAGATTGCAAGCCACCCCGATCATTTGCATATGTGAGGGATGATCTTTGCTGTTGAGTCAAACTCGTTTCTAATACTGTTTCTTTCTAACCAGACATACATACCTTCCTTGACTGTCCTCAACTTTATAGCCGAAAATATAGTTTCATATGTCATATTTCTATTTCATCAAAGTATACTATTCCTAGGTAAACTCTTAGATAAGTTTAGACTTCAAGTAGAATATCTAATGCGCAGATAAAATTTTAGTTGATTAGACGGTTGTTCTGCAGACTATATATCTAGCCTCACCCAGAGATGTTATTTATGGTATTCTCGGCTTTCAAGGAGGGCCAAAATGGCTTATAAAAGGAACACATAAAGCTATATTATCAGATAAGAATAGAGGAGTTTGCTTGAAGTCCGACACAACTCAGTTCAGGTTACAAAGCTCTATGGAGGGACCTTCCAAAGTTGTGAAGACCAGGGTTCTCAGGGTTCCGCAGATCACCTGAGTATCCGTTCTCCTGCCATCGTTCACCGCATAGGTAGAACGAAAGATGTAAACAGAGCAAACAAGCACAACGGACACAACCAATCAGAAGACTCACCACCATCATGCACTCACTCATTTTATAGCATCCATGGATATTTCCAAGGTTGAGACGTCACTTCTTGCTGCTACGCTGAGAACCTGACATTTCATTTCATAGCGCGCGCTATCCCAGCCGAATCCATTATCTTTCACAGACCTTTTCAGTATCCATTGCGCACCTTCTACGATGGAGTTCGTCCCTTTCCCAGTCGTTCGCTTCACCCATGCCGTTTACGTGAGTCCTGCCCTGATTTCGGAAGCATAGGCCTCCTGTGGTGAGCATATACTGTGATACGTGGGTTTGATTGGGTGGCTATGGGAGCTTTCCAATCCCAAAATTCTACGTAATCGGATGCTTTGTTGCCAGGAATGCCTTTATCCGATGAAAGCTCTACTTCTGAAAAGAAAGTCCCGGTCAATAGAAATGTCCCCAGACATGATGTCCTCCCTATAGCATTCTGCAAGCCTCACAACGATGGCAAGACACTCATTACGGCTAGCGCCATAAATTGAAACTGGAAATGATATGCAAGATCCCCTCCCCTGGTGTATGGGCCCGGAATCGACTGTGAATTCTCCGATTCGGAGACGTTGAATTGTAAGATTCATCAACTCGTTGTCAGAACAGTGGCGGTCCGTGTTCGAAAATCTCACTGTAAACCAAAGCGTGCCTCGGAACAAGCCATACTCATCGGTCGTAGGAAGGCCTTGACGGAGGAATACGGTTCGAGTGGAAGACATATTTTAGTCCCTTAGCAGTAGCCCCGGATCTGAAAGCTAACCCCTAGAGGAGCAAATATTTTTCCAGTTTTTGATTAGGTCGCAGTGGTGGATATAGATGGACGTTCAAGCAGTGAGAAAGAAGGTAACTATGCTTTCTTTGACTTGATTAGCAACAAAGTCTTTCATTGTCTTGCCTTTTACTTGTCATGTTGGGAGTCAAAGAAATCCAACGCTTTTTGTTATTATATTCATATCCCAAGGTCATAAAGTGAGAAATCCAGTTCAAAGACTTGAACGAAAGGCAATACAACAAACGATGGACAAGGACTTTGTTCATAACCCATTCAAAGACACCAAAGCCAAACTATATAAGGTCCCCAGTTTCCGTTCCTTTCCAGGAATATTCCATTTGTCCAGTGCATCGGAGGGTTCCAAACTATCCATTTTGCTTTAGATATATAGGTCTTATCCACCGGCAACATGGCTGAATGCGAGCAATCTATCCGACCCGGAAGGGCTTCTAGTGGAACACCCAACAACGGTTTTACCACTGAACGCTCGGTTGGCGGTGAGCGTCGTTCGATCCGCCACTATCACGATGGTCGAGTATCGCAACGTGAGGGTCCTGTCCCTGGTCCTGTTCAAGCACTAACCAAGAGCAAAGTCATCTCCAGGCAAAATAGCACTTCAACTGCCCCCAACAACAAGGCTGTCCCCAAGCCCAAGGAACCGGAATATCAGTCCCCTACTCTCGCTGAAATTGAGAAGCTCTCCGGTGCCGTTCATAAGCTCTTCCACCCAGAAAGCTCTAAACCCTACAAAGAGTATCTCCCGCAGACAGAGAGCCCACAGTCATGGAGTTCTGACAGCTCCTATGGCATGATTACCCCACCCTTCCCTGTAGCATCCCCTACTCCCGAAGACTCACCGGAACTAACGAGCACGGAGGTTTTCCCCGCTCCGGTGGCTGTCAACCCTGATACCCCAGACGAGGATGCTAACTCTATTTCGAAGCAGTGGGCCGACATTGGTGGAAAGAACCGCATTAGACATTCAGGTATTCACGACTGAATGGATGTTTAGTAGGACAATCCACACGATCCACTATCCTAGAACTAACATAGGACCATTTGAACAATACAAGATCAGATAAGATAGGTTTTTCTTCATAAAAATGTGTTATTAATGTAGGAAACTACAACATGGGAAGGAACATCCATAGCAAGGAATACGTAGGCCCAGATTACCGTGATACCACCGTAGTACCATCGTGGGGAGCTAAACTGGCGTTGAGTTGAACATTGAACTTTGATTGTCATTCTCCAAATTAAAGAATGCTAATGATAATAATTGGCAGAGTGAGCAACTCGATTGCTATCTGGACAAAACATTTTTTCAGATGAAGTTCAATCAGCCACAAAAACTGAGGCACACCAAAAGGCTTCAATGCATTGCTAAAAGCAGCAAATCCCGGATGGATTTTGCGTCCTCCAAGCAGCTCTGCAATTGTTGATCCACGTTTCTTTGTCGGAGAAGGAATAGTTGTTTCCAATTTGCCCGGTAAAAGGCTTACTTCGGTCAATATGAGAGTGATAGTCGCTGGCAGTAGTCCCAATAAACGGAAAACAAGCATGATGATCACTGCAAAAACCTCGGCACCGGCGCGCCTGGTCGTGGTGAGTGGCATTTGCTCCCCAGGAGAAATCATTGACCTTTGGATTAGACCCTGAGCCTCGTGCATCAAGGCTTGGCATATTCCGTAAGTGAAACTGGGGACTGCTAAGTGTATCCATTTTCTTTGGCCTGTACCTTCTGTCAAAAAAGCGGATCTAGGTCGATGTGCTGAGATAGTAGCGCAAGTCCAGATCAAATGAAGGTTGGACAAGATAACAGAGGAACAGGCGTATGCAAATGGCGCCAGCAACTCGTGTCTGAAGATTGCAATTACCAAGCAAGTTCTAATCGTATAATGAGTAACCTGATAGACAAGACCTATCACAAGTGCCCGAGAGAATGTGTAAAGGCTCTGTGTTGCATATATGAGACGTATGGCCTTATAGATGGATCGAAAGGCCAGAGGCCGTTTGTTGTCCCCCCAAGCTTGATCCGAGGAAGCCCGATCCGTTCGAGAAATCTGAAGGATCAAAGCTGTCGCTACTACGTGACCGAGAAGATAACGAACCTTATAAAAATCGATTAGAGTCAGTTGATTCAACCAAGGGGGAAGATGGCCGGAGCAGAAACATACCAAGCTGGAAATCAAAAGCTGGCTAGAAATGAGAACAAAGGAAGAAAACGTAAACTCTTTGTGTATAGTCGTAGAAAAGGAAATATCATAGACTTGGCTTAGCAGGTTTCCATCTCCTCCTGGGCTGATCAGAATGTTCAAGACCCGCGATGGTAAACTCGCAAATACGATCCGACTCAAAGTGGGAAGCATTCCGAATTCTAATCGACGGGAATCCCTGAAAAAAAAAAAAAAAAAAAAACTCCGGAGTGAAGAGACTAGGGGGACTTGGGGAACTTGTCATGTACGGAGTACGCAGGTGGGCATTCAGCTGATGCTTAGAAATTCAGAGGGGAAAAAAATGGGAGAAAAGATAGAACTGGGCTAAACTGAGCGATTGGTTAAGCCGACCTGTGATTTAATCTACTAGTGCAACAAAATAGTAAAATTTCCATCAGGTATAATGACAGTTTTAAAAGTCTCAATCGATGTGGTCTGACGATCTAGGGGTCCTATTCTGCCAGGTTGTTCCAACTATGTTATTCGGTTTGCATTGTTTACACCCCACCCCAAAAGCACTGCCATCACCTTTGTCCCTTTTCCTCTTTTCTCTTCCTCTATACTCAGAATTCTATATGAAATGCACTCTTTTCTTTGAGGATCTTGCAGTACTAGTCGAGGGGCTCAGAAAACCAATCTAACCTTCCGAGTCAGATTTTTCATCAGGCTAGTAGGGTTCAGACCTCCGCCCGAATCTTGGCCGGATAAGCCTAGGACTTGTTTATGCAGCCCAATAATAGTCACTGCCCTTCATCAAAAGAAGCTCTGCCAAGAGAACCTTGGAAACAGCTAAGCATTATTTGGGTACGAAAACGCTGCTGCCTAATATGAAGGATTATCTTGCTTGCATGTAAGATTATTCGAATCTTTGAGCTAGGTAGGGGTCCATCGGCTTACCGGAGACTTCCATTTTGAGAACGGCTCTCCTGACACTCTCACTACTTCTGAGAGATCAATGATTGCGATCACTCGACCACCCGGCGTGCCAAGCTTTCTTGATGTCACCAAACACACACTATCGATACTATATAACGCACTTTGATCATGCATACTCCAAAGGTTGAGCAGCACAGCAGTAATGGAGCCCAGGAAAAATTCTGGGTATTCTCGGGGCGACCCGACCCGAGTTGCGCCAAGTCACGCTAGTCAGGAGCAAAGTGGATTTCCGGCACTAAGAGCGCTGTGTTATACCGTATTAGGCAAGCTTCTTCTAGAGCTGACAGCATCGGATGACAGAGTAACATTTTCTATGGAGAACACATGTCCAAGATAGCGAATCAGCATAATCTCAACCCGAAACGCCTATACTATCTACATCTCCCTTCGTATTGAGGCTGTAGAAACGGACGACAGAGGAGCAAGGCCAAGTATAAAAGGCTCCTTGTACGCCCATATAGAGCGGCGAAAAGAAGAAGACAAGAACAAGCTGTCCTTGATCAGCCAACCAATCCTCTAATTACGGCACCCTTCTTCCTCATCCTACTTCCTTCTCCTTCTACAACACGATTTGGCATACTTGTCCCAAAACAATGTCCAAGGGTCGTTCCATCTTTGCCCTGGCGATTGCTGCGCTCGCCGCTACCGCGCAATGCCAGCAACTCAGCTATGAAGACAGCATCACGGCTCTGGCATACGGCAATGTGGCCACCGAGAACTCTTCCGAGGGAACGGTATGGCTCAACGTTACTGGGTTCGCGGTAGATAAACTTCCACACATCCAGAACGACCTGGGAATCCACACTTTGGACAATCTCGAAACGCTCAATGCCATCGCTGGCCTTGCACAAGACGCCGCGAAGAGAGGCCAGTGGGGAGACATTGTCTACTTGCACAGTGCCTTCGCGATGAATGGCCACGGCGAGTACCTCAATGTCTCGACTGCAGAGATGCAGGAGTCACTCTTGGACGCTATTACAGATCAGGACAGTGGCAAAGTCGATTCCCAGCTGGCCGAGCTATACGCCAGTACCTCAAGCTCAAAATTCTTGGTTGAAGTTTTCCACAGTGTCAAATCGAAGACGAACCCCCAAAGCAAACGTTGGCTTAAAGAAGTTTGTTCATCTGCCCATCTTGCTGCCAAGAACTCTTGTCGAAGTCTCCTGGAGAATGTCAGAGGCAATGCCACGTGGAAGTCGGGCAGCCCCCGGAGTATCTGCAGAAAAGGTTGCTGTATCAGTTGGAGTGCGAATGCCACTTTCCAGGTTCAAAATCTCACCAATGCTGCGAACTATTGCATCAACGCGTGTGGTACGAGTAGTGTCAGTTGTGAGGTGTATGGTGTCAAGCTTCAAGGAACTCTTGTGGATCAGTGCTTGAGTAACAGAGCGACTAATTGCAGGTAACGAGGAAGGTACCAGATGCTCATTCAACACCGAACCCGTATGAAGGGACTTCCTTTCCTGTGAGATAGTGTTAAGGGTTTAATCCTATGACTGAGAGATAGTCATACAGTTCTAGCTTTTAATTCACTTTTTACATAACCATCTTATCCCCTTAATTCCTAGTTCCTATTTTGCTTCCTCTCTTTTTAACCTCACCTTTTATCTGTAAATAGTGCAGTTCTATATCTATTTGTATCTCTATGCCCTTTCTCTTTTCACTGGGTTTATATAATATGTCTATAAGTGTCTGTTCTAGGCTTCCTAGGCCCCAGTTAGCAAATTTTTGGGTCTATATATTGTTATGTGCCAGGTCTTTAGACAATGAATGTACAATCAAATTCAAGGTACTAGAGATGGAGAGAGAAGGAAGAGAAAAGTTATGGGAAAACCCATGAAGGGTAAATAAAGCAAACCCTATCAGATGATGAAACAAAGATAATCCAGAAGTAAGCAAAAAAAGAGATAGTTGATGCATGATCACATACATGATCGTCGTCCCTAGCTATACATAGAAAGGTCATCTGTACGGCTCTTTTCCGCCTTCTCTACCTTGTAGCTATAAAACTGAGAAAGGGGAGAAAATATTTAAAAAGTGAAATCTATAAAGACCACCAAAAAGACAGGAAACCGCAAAACACATACTAAATGGCCCAAAGGGTGCTAGTCCTAATAATTGTTGGTGTGATCTAATATTGGCCTCAGGTGTCTGGAGCCAGCGTTTGTTATTCAGACGACGATCTTCAATGGGTCTCTTCCCTCCCTATCTTTTATCCTCTCCACTTCATATATATCTATATGGAGCTCTGGTGATCAACTGAGCCAAGAATAGGGACACCGAGAAGACACCCTTCTTGAATGAGCTCCATGGCAACCTTGTTCGGAAATACTGAATGAATATCGCCGTGGTTGAGACCATCTGGCAGTGAGCCTCGGTTCCGTGAGGAGCGAGCCATGACCGGGGAGGCTTTGCAAGGCTTTCTGAAAGCCAACAAGGCGAACGCAGAGAGTTTCTTAGTCCGAATGAGCGGGGAAAATGTTTCAAGGCTGGAGCTGCAGATGGTGCTCTGCTGAAGGTCTCTGGGAGGTGTCTACAAAATCATACCAGAGTTGAATTTACGCGACATCACGCCAATTATCTGTTTACTTAGGAACATCACTTAAGAAATTCAGAACTCATCCATCTCTCCTACATCTCACTTCTCAGACCACACTTCGCGACCTACACACCCCTTCGGCTACCACATAACTGTTCTCTCGTATGCTAATACCCCACGATCATTCCGCACCCGCCCTCAGTCGTCTGTCACCTGACCTAAGCACTGAGCGTATGATTGCCTACACAACTCACAAACCTGTTCACCCTTGACTCCTGTTCCCTTTCATTCCATTTAGTGCACGCTGACGTGACTCTGTCTATACGATCCCTGAACCTTCCGAGTCCCTATTATAGCTCAACGTCCTGCGTCAGTCGTCAACCTTGACACCGAAACGATTGGGCCGCCCCGCTATGAAGGAGCGTCCGACCAATGACAAGATGCGTGGCGGGCTCTGCGACCCTGAGTCGCGCTATGAATACACCAACCATCTCGCTATCATGAACCAGCAGGCGCAGTGGGTCCTCAAAAACATTCGACCAGACGCAAACCTGCCATACTATGACACGGTAGCCTATGACGACAATGGGGACCTCATCATGCCACCCTCCGACGTCCGTTGTCCAACAGTCCAGTCTTCCTGATCATCCTCTGCAACATTTCTCCGGGCAGACTGAGAAGCGTTCGATGGCCTGGGGGCCTAGTTTTATATGTATTTATCAATCAAGTCAACCGAAAGCCCGGCTTATAACAAAACTGTATCCTTCTCTGAAAGAGTGCCAATTAATTAGAGTCTGATAGTTCTTCCTAGCTGACTTATTTCTGGTATGTTACCAGCGAGGCGTGGATAAGTCTTAGGAGCTAGATCGATGTTATGGGCCACGAGGGCTTCCGCGTCGACATGGACTCTCGCACGGTTCGCATTGCATCATGCATGGCATTCACTTTCTCCGTAAACATCTATTGCAGATTTAAACTCCCAAGCATCGAACTGCGAGATCCTTTTTCAACAGTACTGTGAAGACTCCAAAGGCGGCGCGAACATCATCCTATGATCGACGAGTCAGTACGCACACGGGGACTCAAGCACGCCAACTCCTGTAAAAACCGGTACACTATGTTCCAAGGCCCCATGTATGCCAGCCACGTCTTACCAACTCATGGCTAAAGAGACCTTCGCGGCTTTTGACCCAGCTATTCGCGGTCGTGTCTATGTTACCCAGCCGCCCGGAGAGGTGTAAATGCAGATCTAAACGTTGCAAATTCTCGATATTCTGAAGCAAGGCTCGCAAAGTCGAGTCCAATAGGCCTCCACAAAGAAAAATAAACCCACCGACGACAAGCGGCGGCAGCTCCTTACACTTTCCGACCGGGTTGTCAGTGCTCCTGATCACCAATTCACTTGTATGGATGGGACGAAGCGACCTTCCGAGTTGAATAAGTTTATGACCCCACAGGGGCCTATCCAGACTTCAAGTGATATCAAAGGAATTTATAGCGATGAACACAAATTACCCATTCGTCATATAAATAGTATATAAAGCTTGCTAGAATTTGAAATAGTAAACAATTGATATTCCTTAGTATACTCAAGAGAAAAGCTGGAAAAATTGTAGCCATGAATCTTCTTTCCCTTTTTGGTTCCTTCCCATCGTCACCTTTCCCTTTCCATTCTCCTCTTCCCCTCATTCCCTCTTCTCTCCTTCTCTGCTTCTCTCCTTCTCTGCTTCTCTCCTTCTCTCCTTCTATCCTCTCCTTCTCATCCTCTCACCCTCTGCGCACATCTTCTTTACTCGTTCATGTACCCGCTTAACTGCAATTCTAGAACACAACCCTCTCACATCTCCGCTTGAATCCAACAGTTTCAGTCAGCTACACCTACACCCAAAGCAATGACAATCACAGAAACCCACACGAAAAGCCTCGAGTTGGCTGATCCAGCTTTACTGGAGAAAATTGACAAACTTTTCGCCTGTAACGTCGGGGAGTATGTCAGCCTCCCCCAACTCGTTGTCGTTGGTGACCAGTCCAGCGGTAAGAGTTCGGTCCTCGAGGGCCTGACCAAGTTGAACTTCCCTCGGGACAACGGCCTATGCACGCGATTTGCGACACAGATCATTTTTCGCCATGATGCCAACTTGGCTGAACGAGAGATATCTGCTTGTATAATCCCTGCATCAGATGCAACTCCAGAGGAGGATCAGAAGTTGCGGGGCTGGAAGGCCTCTGCCCTTCAGTCACTAGGTGCTGATGACTTCAATCGTGCGATAAAAGAGGTATTATACTCTCATGAACTATGTTTTAGCACCTTATGCTAACTCTGGCTTGTAAGGTCCACGACGTTATGAACCTTTCTTCATCTGCTGGGGACCAAAGGCCAACTTTTTCTAACAGCGTGTTACAACTGGAGATTCGTGGCCCGAACGAGAGCCATCTTAGCGTTATCGACGTGCCTGGGATTTTCAAAAATACAACTCTAGACCGAACAACAAAGAATGACATTACCCTAGTTAGGAACATGGTCCTTCGTTATATGCAAAACCAACGGTCTATTATGTTGGCTGTGGTTCCAGCAAACATCGATGTTGCTACTCAAGAAATCATTGAGATGGCCAGCGAACTTGACCCTGAAGAGCAAGAACCTTGAGAATCCTCACCAAGCCAGATCTCGTTGATAAAGGAGCTGAGAACAAGGTTATTCAACTCATTCATGATGGGAATGCGAACGGGCAGCTGGGGTGGATCCTCGTTCGAAATCTCGGCCAAAAACAGCTTCAGGCTGGTGATGCTGACCGAGATGCCGAAGAAAGGATGTTTTACCAAAATGCGCCATGGAATCGTGTCCCGCCTGAAAACTACGGCATCTCGGCATTGATGGCTCGCCTCCAAGAGCTCCTCACATCAAACGTCCGCCGCGAGTTCCCATCGGTACGCATAACTCCCCATTGCTGTCATTAAGCTTGCTAATGCCTTTCTATGAAGGTGCGCTCCGAGGTGATCAAAAGGCTCAAAGACTCGAAAAGTCTGTTGCAATCTCTGGGAGTTCAGCGAGAGACAGCGGAGCAGCAGAGGCGGATTCTTCTAGATGTTGTCTCAGCCTTTCAAGAGATTACACAGCACGCCCTTGCGACAAATTATGGAGTCAATGATGTGTTTGATGAAGATAAGGATTTACGCCTGGCTACACTGGTTTCACTCAGAAATGATGTTTTTTGGCACAACCTCACCCATTACGGTCACACCTACACTTTCCGGTCCAAACCGGAGGAGATAGACGGCAGCGTTGATGATCATGAGGAAAGACGCAATACTCCAGTCAATACTGGAAAAACACAAGATATCATGCAAAGCCGGAAAAGCTGGGATCCAACTCGGAACACCTCGGCAGAGGATCTTGAGGAGATTCTACATGTTTCCGAGCCCGTGGAGCCCTCCGTCAAATTGGGCATTCTTTCTTGGATTGAGGGTGTTTACTCCAATTCTCGGGGCTTTGAGATTGGTATATTCAATCATACTTTGCTATCTACCCTTATGAAGAAGCAGTCTGTCAAATGGCCGATCATTGCGCGGGGCTACATCAGTGACATTATCAGCGTTGTGCATGCGTTTATATGTAAAGCACTTGAAGTTGTCTCCAAAGACACGCAGATTTCCTCAAACATCATGTCCCTTCTGATGGATGACCTTGTTGAAAGGTACAAGCAGGCCATCTCAACGGTTGAGTTTCTTTTGAGAATTGAACGTGAAGGGACCCCAATCACTCTGAATCACTATTTCAATGACAACCTTGAAAAATGGTCAGTTAGCTAGAGTTTTCTGAGTGCGTCAGGCTTTTGGCTGCTAACATTTCAAACCTTGCAGTCGACAAAAACGGTTGCATTCGACTGTGGCCAAGAAGGCTTTCGATGATTGTAAACATGGGGAGGTTGTCCGACTGAGTGACATTGTTCACCAACACCACATGAGCAACGTCGACCATACTGTCTGAGATATTCATGATATTCTCGATGCATACTACAAGGTAGCTCGGAAGCGGTTCATGGACAATGTGTGCATGCAAGCTGCCGATCACTACTTAGTCACTGGTCCCGAAGCCCCGATGAAATTGTTCTCGCCATCATGGGTGAATGACCTCTCTAGCGAGAGACTAGAGGAGATAGTTGGAGAGGGCAGGGCGTCAAAGCGGAGATGACGACAACTGCAAAAGGAGATTGAAGACCTGGAGGCTGGAAAGGCGGTTCTGCTCAAATAATTCATGTGTATTGATAGTCCAATATGTCCCCGACCATGAGAATATTAATTATGTTCAATTATTACGAACATCCCATAGGATTAAGTAGATTTGACTATACCAATGCCCTGGTGCGAGCTACATCCATGGGTATGCATAGTGGAGTCGTCTGTACGGTTTGCACTGAGAAGGGCGAAAAATATCCAGACAAAGAGATCTAGAAAGACATCTAAAAACACTCGACAAGTCCGCATAAGCGGCAGGCTATTTTTGTTCCTACTAAACAGAATACTCGCGTATGCTACACGTAGGTATAAATGCAACTCCTCGACTCATGTCTTCAAGACATAAGTAAGATGATAAAACAATTTCCATTGCTCTTCCACAACTATTCCTACCCCAAGTTGTCAACCTAGAACCCCAGCTCAGCCAGAATATTCATAATAATGAAATGGATACACATGTCGCATTTAGGATTGATACCAAGTCTCGTAGCCAGTTGGGGCATCCTTATCTGGAGCACACTGCACATTTTCGGAACCTCGACATTGTAGAACCGCGCTGGCTTTGCAGTGACGTAGATATGGTCGCTTGCCTCACGAGCCATGACAATTGAAGCTTCGGTGAGTCGATCTAGGTATTCAGCGCCTTGTTCGAGTAGGATGACTTTGACTTCTGCAATGGTGTCCGGCTTCGGCTGGTGTCTGATAAGGCGTGCTTGATCCTCGAGCCATGAGAGGAAGTTTGATCGCGCCTTTTGAAAATCCGAGACGGGATTGAGTGTGGACATTCTGGGTGTAGGATGGACGTGCAGCGTGACTGGGTACTTGATGAATTTGAACTGCAGGTATGGTATCGAGGCTTGTCTGGCTCAGCCGGTTCCCTGGCCGAGGTCGAGGAATGGAGGGTTCATGAGTTATGGGCGTGGATGATGGAGCAAGCTTGAGGCTTGGTGAGATTGGCCTGGTGAAGTGGGTTGGTTAGACACGATGTATGAGATGCATATAGAACCTTGGAAGATTCATGATACCTCGATAAGGTGGGATCTGGAGATATTTAGACTTATCCTGCTCAGAGGAGGCTCTGACTATGGTGAGAGCAACGCATGTTTCTCGGAGATGAGATAATTGGAGGAATGAATGACACTTAGCTTGTTTACTTCACATCTGATTGAGAGAGAGAGGAGGATATCAAAGAGATTATTGGTGGCGCCTTGAGGATCAGGCAACACTCTTCACATCTCAGAATTGGATTTCGTCGTTTTATTCTCTCGTATCTGTAGTCCATTTAATACCTGCCATATAGAAGCCATGGATATCCCTTGTTCAGATGCATACCATCCCTGATTATACATAGAAAAGTTACTTTTTACCGTCTTCGTATATCATACATATCAGAGTCCATTCCGTGCTATTATTCAATATCCTTTTAGAAGTAAGGTGCAACACCGAGAAGGAAAGATATCTGAGGAAAGGACATCCAGCAAGAACACCCTTATACTATCTTGAGCCAGATAAATAAGATTATTAAAGTCCTACGTCCTCAAGGACGGAGGCCACATACTCAGCCGACTACTCTTGTTAGTGAAGATACAGCGCCGTATGTCATAAAGATAGGGGATTGGTATTGGGACCCCCCCCCTTCCTGTAATGGGACCCCCCTTTCAGTAACGTATTTCCCAAGCGGCCCGGCCACCCTACCAAAAAGGCGTCTTCAAATTTGCACTTAATTATTCAACCACCCACCATGCCACCAATACGATCCCGAAGCTCTGGAAATTCTATATAGCAAGAGGGTAGGAGCTTACTAGCTATCCAGGCTTTTAAGAATCAAAAAGTCACTTCAATTCCGCGAAGTGACACGCCGTTTTATGAAATCGGAAGGCCAAAGCGGAACTTTCACCAGAAAGAACCTTATTTTCCCATCCTCCATCAGAGATTTCATACAATTTATTATCTCAATAGTCTAATTTACTGAGAATATAGCTCAAGGTATAGTATCTTATATAGAGTATCTAAATCTGTAAATTTGCGGATAGGACATGGAACTATCCGCTGATAATGCGGATAGTACCGCAGTCTAGCCCTATGTAACCTCGTACTCCAACAGACGTACACCTTACGGCGCCCTAGTTCCCATTTCTAACAATATATGCAAATTGCAGCACCCTCCACTGGTGAATAAATGTGCCAGGGCTGGCTCAGGGCTGCTTACCACATCAAGACCCCGCAACCCTAGTCAAATTCATTGTGCCACCTCTTTAGTTCTTCCCCTCCGTTCCTTTCTCCCTACTTGAACCATCTTCGCCTGGTTTCGCCCACATTCAACTGTCTATTTCATGTCTATCAATCAGCAAGATGACAACGGCACAGTTCTCCATTCAACTAGCCTCCCCAGCAGAGGGCCCCATTCTCGGCAAAATAAGCAGGGACTCCTTTCTAAATGATCGCCACACTCAAATGAAAGGACTAGGAAAGGACCCGTACGACCTCGAAAAGTCAATGACTGCATATCTTTCCCAACAAGCAGTGTCACCGAGAACCGTTCTTCTCAAAGCAGTAGACAACGAAACAGGCGACATTGCCGGCTGGGTCTTGTGGGGCTTTCGGGGGTTCGCGGTTGAAGAAACTGCAGAGATACGGGACGCTGTTCCATATGCAGCAACACAATTCACGTCGTCAACCCCGGCACAAACCACGGGCAAGACCGCTCCCAAAGACCAAACCAAGAAAGTCGACATCGATGATAACGACCCAATCAAGCAGCTCGAAAAGATGACCGACGCAGACATGAAATCCTGGATGACGAGGCTGATGCCCGATGGCACCAAATGTATGTATGTCAGCTCTCTTTGTGTGGCACCCAAATGGCAGTCCAAAGGAGTCGGATCGACGCTATTGCAATGGGGCACAAAGACGGGAGACGCAGCGGGAGTTTTTATATGGGTGCATTCATCGGCGGATGCATGGGAGATGTACGCAAAATATGGGTTTAAGATTATTGGGACACTTGATGTGGACTTGGACCAGTATGCTCCAGCACCGGCACCAGATAACAATGGGAAATGGGGTCACTATGTGTTTCGGTATATGAAGAGAGAGCCATCTGAGGAATGATCGTACCTTGACTATATCGGTAGGCAAAATTTGAACATGGTTTTTTCAACACGCAAATACGTTGGAGTAAAGACCTCTTATCAGAGAATCTCGGTGAGTAGGATTTAGTATATAGAGCACGAATAGACACGTACGTTGTGTCTTTTGTTATGGGCCATGATTACAGGATGGATCGAAATCAGTTTCACCACTTTACTCCCTTTGGCACTTTCCCGAACCCTATTTCGAAACACGCTAGTCCCTATTTGATTTAGAAGGGTTTCAAATTGTCGAAATGTAATGTAAGTAACTGGAAGACGCGCGGCGCGCGCATCGGCCCTGAAACGACGGATAGAATGAGGAAGGAGAGTGAATCGTGAGAAAAAAGTTGAATTGGCGGCTTTTGATTGTTCGTTTAAGATACCTAGGATATGGAAACAAGCGAAAAAGTTGAGAGTCATAAAATGCAAAACGTGAACGAGTAACTATGTATTGACAGAAATCTGTCGGTACGACAACGTATGGTCAAAAACAGATATATTGGAATCTCTAACTAACTAAAATGACAAAACCCGCGCTTTCAACAATCTGGGCGGACATAGATGACTAACTGTAATATGCACTTTTGTATGGTATGGATGGTACCAGTTGTCACATGATTTTCTGGGTATTATACCTTGTTTCCACCATGTATTCAATCTTAGTATTCGACATGTATTCCAAATTAGAAATCACTTAAAATAGTCTCACGAATTGCTTCCCAGAACCCACTTTGGCGACGCTAATTCCATGTAAAGGAGTATTAGTGACAAATTTACATAATTGCAGACCTTATAACTAATTCGCGACCTTCTTGCATAATCTAACTGACACTAATCCTACTTTTCTAACAGAAGTAAATGACCAGTACTATATAAGAACCAAACGTTGATCTTAAACTCTCTAAGTAACCTAAGTAACTAAACACTATCAAATTAACAATTTTATAGGACATGCTAACAAAGAATGATATGCACTTTTATATGAGGTGTCTGAATCCGATGTCACACGAGATTCTCGGGTAAATACCTAGAAATCCACGTACCATAGTAACATGTCAGAAATAGAGGTGGAATTAAAGGCCTCCGTGGAAATATTATCAGCATCATTACTCGGCACATTCACCTATGTTTGCACTGTTTTACATGTTTTGTCAGTTTATTTATCTCAGGATCCCATTCTAATTGGCGTCTGATTTCTGTCCTCCTAAGGTCCATACTCGCTCTTTCGAAGGAGGGCTGGATACCAGTATGTCCATTCCAGTCTTCGAAGTCCAACAACATAGAAATGTCCTGCTCCATTTTGTTCTCGTTGGACAGAATCAACTGAACTGTCCGATCGTTCTCGATCATCCCCGTCAATTTATTCACCAAAGAAGTGGACTTGATCGATCATGCCATGTTATTGAGTCCAAAATCGCCCTGGTAATTGGACAGCATACAAATTTGGTGGGATCTAAGAGACTCTGGGATTGGAGAACTGTTGATGGGTGGATCGATGATCTACTTGGAAGCTACGAATTGGTGAATAGTTTTCGATCAAACATGCTCTGCAGCTAAGAGATCACATTTAAAGAAGAAATTTAAAGGTGGGGTTATACCCTCGCAACTGGTGTTCTCGTTCGCTTGTAGCAGCAGCAGGATACCCTAAGTCTTCCTACAGAAGAAAGAATCAATACTTTATGGGGCTTGAATGATAATATATACCTCTCTGACCTGGAGAAATGTATGGAAAACTGGCAATAAATAGTAGGCACAGCAAATGACTAATATTAGCATTCTTTCATACAAAACAAAGACCTCTTGTCATTCCGCATTCCACGAAAAATCCCCTCTATTAAATGATAGTTTTCTGTCATTAAAGGATGTACGGCGTTCTGAAGCTGTTATGTTTTCAAACACCAAGCGTCAGACCTGTTCCATAAGGAGAAGCAACTGATTCTGTGACTCTGCGATCGCAAGCTTGGCTAGCCCGCTTAGTTCGGTGAGAAGACCCTGGACACGTGCTACATGCAAAGGCTCAACCCGGGGGGGGAGAGGCAAACTTTTCACTAAAGTAGCAGTCAGGCTAAGAAGTTCCAGATCTCGGCGAGCGTGGACGCCCAAAGGGTGAAAGAGAATGTTGCAAAAGATAACCAAACAAGCTGATATCGGATAAAAAACAAGAAGCCTGGCATGATAAGTCCATGTGTCCAACCAAATCAAGTAAAGGGGGGTGAAGGGTGGAGTCTTTACGAAACATAAGCACATACCAGAAGGTGCCGTTCGGCAATACATGCAGTGAACTCTGCAAGGAGAGGAGGGAGGATCTACTTGTCTCCACCGCGAGTGTGAAGCTCGAGCCGACCCCCTCGGCTGCATTGTTGTGGTTTCCAGCCCATGCCTTACATCGGCCGCTAGCTTGGTGAATAATAGCCATGCAATGATGATAGTCCATTCGTACGATCAGAAAATGCATGTCCAAAATAGCGTTGCCAGTTGATATTTGTTGGAAGATAAAAAGGGTGGGTCGGTGTTTCGGTGGTAGCGACAATCTCCATTTCTCGAGGTCATCGTCAAGCTCTCGAATAGATTTCAGAAGTTCTATGTCGGACTTGTCGATTGCTCCCGGTCGGTAAAACGCACTGTAGGCGCGAGACTTGATCTTAATCAACCGAAGATCGCTCGGATACAGATGGCCTTTGAATATCATGTCCTCGGTCTCAGCAGATGACAGCAGTGTATTGAGCTGTTCTTCGTAACCAGGCGGCAAGGTGAGATCACAATCTTCATCATTGATAGCAGGCGGTTGACCCGTGCGAAGGGACAACTCCTTATCCAGGGCATAAGCAGTCCAGAAGAGGTTCCGAAGATGACCATCCTTTTGGACTATTTCATCGGTGACAAAAGATATTGCTCCATCGGGGACTGGAGGATGTTTTAGATGTACGCCAAGTCTGAAGATTAATCGAGCTATGAGTGAATTCAGATAGAGCGCGGGCCGAAAATCCCCGGATGAACAATGGAAAATCATCTAATCCATGGAGGTTTAAGTTAGTAATCTATTATTTGTAGGGGAAAGAAAGTGAAGGTAATATAGATCGGGAAACACAGGAGAAGCATGGTAGCAATGTCGAGGATGAAGCAACAGGTATGGAATCATTGAGGCCATGTTGACGAGCACTTACCAACATTAGGGCAGCTTGAAGCCCATCAATAGTTTCTTCTTGTGCAATTTGATTTATGTATCGTTCAGCTTCTTTTATCAATGCTGGGCTGTTAATGGACGGTGACTGTGTCACATGAAGGTTCCAAACTTCAGACAAGGACAAGAAAGCACAAACACATGCTCTCGCACTCGCAGTCCCAAAAGAAGAATTTGACGAGTTCTGATAGGCAAGGTTGATCGTGCCCCTGAAGTGGGGTCGGCTTATTATTGGAAATGATAGGTGTGTAGGTGAACTGTAGTATGACGCCACACACTCATTGACAAAACTTATGTCTGGTAGCTTCGAGGTGTACTCCATCGGCGGGTCTCGATGAGACCTATCCGGCCCATGACGTTGCCAAGGAAGGCTAGGCTTGGAAAGATCCTGCAGATTGACCGAGTAACCGATAAGTGACCGCGCCGACTTCTGGACCTCTGATAAAGAAGGGGCAGTGCCGTTGTAGGGATGCAAAGTACCCGTCTCGGGATCTTTTGAATTTAGTCTTCCGGAAAGTGAAAAGAAACATTGGTGGCCAGGCAATGTGTCCTCGCCGACCATCGCTCGGTAGTTGCTTGGTTTACTCCCTACTTTTATACCTGTCAATCAATCAGAGTAGGAAGTCGAGTGACTACCCACCCACCTGAGCCGCCAGCGGCGAGTGTATCGACCAGTAGCTTTTCCATCAGAGCAATACGCTCTTCCAATCGAGATGCCCTTCGCTAAAATAGTCTGCGTTAGTAGTGTGGTTTAGTTTTGAATTGTGGGCAAACGAACCGCAGCCGCATCTGAAGACCCCTTGCCTCGTATCTGCAACATTCTGGTAAAAGTGCACTGAGAGCCTTGGTGTTTACACCAATCACACTTCGGATACGCATTGTCACATTTAATCTGAATTGAAAACATAGTCAGCCTATATCTCTCAACGAGTCTTGAAGAACCTCAATCATCGAGGATACGATGTGTTCAGATCACCTTTCTCATGGAACAAGAGTCACATGCTCTGACAATCCTCTTCTTTTTTTGACCCAAATGTGCGTTCTGTTTCGAGCTCGCCATCGCCTATCTTGTAGACAGGAAGGAATGATGTTGTCGGTTCAAGGCGGTTGTGAGATCAATGGATGATGCGATGCAATCAGATCCCAATGTCCCCGGGCTCCGGTGAGAAGCCCGGATCCCGGGATCGGCATACCGCGCTGACTCAGCGGAACTTCATGATCATCTTGCGTTCCAAGTTTGGCAAAACCTAATCCAAGGGTCTGACCCCACTGAACTAAAAGCCGCCTACAGCAGCCATCATCATCTTCGGATTTCTCCACCGATAGATATAATTGACATGAATTAAAAGAGAACGCGGGTTATCGGAGGTAAGTAGATGGTGGAGCTAGGAAGCCCTCCGCAGAGGGCCAGGGGCGGGCGGAGGTCCGGTGGGAGGGATAGTTGCGCTGACTCAGTGCATTAGGTGTCCACTTTGGCAGCCCATGTCCGTCGCGTGTTGAAATTGCTTTCTGGGTCTAGTCGAATGCTTTGGCTAAAGAACAATTCAGAGGTACACGCGGTGGGCAATAATAGGGGTGCGCGATAACCAAGGATGCCGACCTACTTCGCCTCAGAAAGGCTCTCAGATCGAAAAAACATCCTAGTACCCGCCTAGCCGTAGCAAAACCCGCCAGACTGGCCGCATCGGATCACGTAGCCGCTTAATAAGCGGCAATAATAAAACAGGAATGTCCTGGTCGGGTATCCTCTCGGCGAAATTTGGAGCTGAGCTCTGCTGAGTCAGTGCGTGCTATTCCCAATCTAGATAATCGATCCACAACTAGCACCAACGAGTAGATCCCATTCCATATTGAACGGCATTGGGAACTGACCTTGTATGATATATTCGGGAATTAAGATTACCACAATTCCGTGCTTTGAAATACGCACGGAAGAAGTCGGGGGTGCATTACAAAGGTTTCACTGTCAGCTGGCAAGTAGTATACAAATGTATATATATATATCAGTCCCAGACTTCAAGACGTGAAACGCACCTCTTCTCAATTCACACCCTAAAAAAACACTATATTTTCGGGCAACCAAGCCTGTCAGCTACATCACATCGATTTCGTGTCATCATGGCGGCTCAACCACCACCTCTGAAGGGCGCCGAGAAACTGTCGTCTCGATGGCACTGGTCAGAAGATCTCGGTGGCTTCGACATGCCAATCCGCCTAGAAGGGGAGATTGGCGACGTCATGGTGCGAGGCACGATACCTGACAACATCGACGGAACTTTCTACCGAGTCGCCGGAGACCATGTGACACCTACACCTGAAAAGCACAGTCCACTTGACGGCCATGGTGCCGTCAGCGCCTTCCGCATTCACAAGGGCCAAGTAGACTTCAAAATCAAATACGTACAGAATGACCGCTACAAAGTCGAAAGGAACCGAAAGAGGAGCTTCTTCGTTGATATCGTGGGTCACCCCATGCGAGACCACCCATGTGTGCGCGCCGTGATGGAACAAACTTCCAATATCAACGTAGTCCACTGGGCTGGCAGGTTGCACGCTTTGAACGAGGGTGGACAAGCGTACACCCTAGACCCCGACACACTTGAGACCACTGGTACAAATCCATATGGCAACCAGGTGTCTGACTCTGCTACTTTCACGGGCCATCCCAAGATCGACCAGGATGTCGACCAACTCATCACCTGGGGATTCAGTCACGATTTCAGAGAGCTCATTTCCTACTCAATTACTCGACAGGGCGAGGTCAAGAACCTACATCGCATCTCGCCTACGGTCATCGGACCCATCCACGATGTCGCTATAACGGAAAACTGGTTGGTATTTTGCCAGTGGCCCGTAAGCCCCTCGAACCCAAAGGACGCTGTGGGGACAACAAACCTTTTCTGGGACACTGACCGTCCTACGATCTTCATTGTTACGCCTCGCCGCCCGGATCAACCTTTGAATGGCTCGGGCTGGAAGCCTTACGAATCTCGAGTATACACTCATCACTCGAACTCGGAAATCGTCCACACCGGTGGGGCTTGGGAAGAGAATGGCAAGGTTATATTCGAAGGCACTTGGCCGAACAACCCTTTGTTTCCCTTCTGGAGCAGCCGAAAGGAAGAAAATTTGTCTGAAATCGTTGTTGTGGACTTTGTGCGCTTTGAGATCGATGTCATGCAACCGGATCAGACGGCACTTGCGGACCCAGTTGTTCTAGTTGACATTCCAAACGAATTTCCCCGCATTGATGAACGGTTCTACTGCAAAAAGCACGACCATGTCTTCATGAATGTATTCCACTCCGACACGAAGGAACCTCTCCGTGAAAAGCACATCTTCAGGGGTCTCAATGCTACAGCAATGCTTAACAAGAGCACAGGGGAGTTGAAGGTCTACTCACCCGGACCAAACTGCCGATGCCAAGAACCCGTGTTCATTCCACGGTTCGACGACTCCCCGGAGGGCGATGGGTATATCATTTTCGCAGTTGACCGCTTGGACATTAACCTCACCAATCTCGTTATCCTGGACACCGAGGATTTCGAACACCCTACCGCAATCATTGAACTTCCTCTGCGTATGCGCGCTCAAGTTCACGGTAATTGGGTCGACGGCAGGGAGTTGAGTGGGCGACCACTCGTGCCTGATCCTCTTCTACTAAACCACATGGGAAAGTGACCCGTATGGGAGTGAAGCAATGTTCTTTCCTGACGCACATTTTGCGCTCTGGCTTGCCCCTGCATCCCAGTACCAGCTTAGACCTTGTGGAATCTTGATTCTTTATCCTCCTTACCGTACTTAAAAGAACTGAGGTCTTTGGGCATTCGTTTAGAAACTACTGTATTATGGATATTACCCTGTGTTGGGGAAAAGGGATTTTAGTTAGTCAGGGAAGTTGGCGGAATTTTGGTGTGGAGTCTATAACAACAGGCTATAAAGGGTAGCATGTAGTGCCGACTCAAATCCAGCATTTTTAGTCCTTCTTCAATTGCCTTTCTGCTAGTCGGTTTAACTTTATTATGTGATGCCATTTGATCGGGTCGCTCTGTTTCTTTTTCCTTGCAAAAGGCAACATCCAATAGTCCGGCTGGTCCATTATGACGAATGACAATCTGAGCATTCACTATGAAAAGTATTGTTCGGTCATTTCTTGTTGGTTATTTTAGTTTCTGTCCCCTGCCATCCTAACTCAAGCGAGGGTTAGGTCTTGGTGCGTACCTCCTCGATAAGATATACCACCGTCGATATTCCAAGCCAATATATTTTAATTTCCTATTCGTCCGTTATACTAAGAGGTCAGGTTCGACAAAGACCGTGCGATGGACGGATAACTTATCACCGCAGATAGAAAAGAGGTAAACTAATATTTAGGAGTCAATTGTTCTACTTGGATTGAGCAAGTACATATATGTCAGTATAAGATTCTTTGTGTGGTCTCTATGAACGTCTTTCCGGTGTGGTAGTTCTGCGTTGCTAACTGGTCACGGTTCGGCTAAAGAATTTGCGGGTGATAATTGCCTTCTGCTTCACAGATTCCAACGTCAACGATCTGTCTCTCAACTGCACCGTCGCGAACAGACCTTCATAGATATAACACACAAAGTAATGTTAAGTGATTTTACCCCTTGTGGTTTGGATCGTTTCTCCAAATGTAGTCGTCGACGTGTTTCTGGTCGACGACACCAAGTGGCTGGCCAAGAGCTGCCCTATCGGCAACTATCTTTTTAAAGGAGGGCCTGTTAACCAGAGCATAATTCCATTTTGTGTAATGGGGAAATTCGTCAGACGGGTCGTATCCTGGGAGCAACTGAGGAACCATCTCGTTGGTAACCACAAAGACAAGGTCAGCGAAAGTGACCTTGTCGCCGGTGAGGTAGCTCTTGCCAGTATTTTTGAGATGCTCGTCGAGTATCTGAATGGTGCGTTTGATCGTCCATTCATAGCGATCGAGGGCAGACTGAACATGCTCTGGGTGTTTATACAAGAACCAGGCCTGTTGACTATAGTACATGTGTTGTTCGGTCGCCTGGAATTGCATCCACGCCAGTTCAGAGTACTTCTCTGGGCCGGAGAGGGAGTGTAAAGTTCCAGATTTATCGTAAGTGTCAAGAATGTAGAGGATGATAGCGCCTGCCTATTTTTTTAATTAGACTCTTGTGAATCACATACACAAATTAGACATACAGCCTACCTCAAATAGTCTTATCCCGGTGTTAGGATCCTCAATAGCGGGAGCTTTACGGTTCGGGTTGAGAGACTTAAAGGGTTCTGAATTCATTTCAGAGGATTCAAGGTACTTGCTCTCATAAGGGACCTTTAAATCCTCGAGTAGGATGCCGACTCTCCACGGAACAGGGCCTCTGGCATGGGAGTATAAAACAATGGGCTTAAGGGCAGACATATTGATTTCCCGGTGATGATGGTGATTCTGACGACGATAGTGGTTCGAATAAGATCCACAGGGCGGAGACGATGTGGACCGAGCAGTGCACTGGCGCTTGAATATATATACAACACTAGTATTAGAATTTATCGCTCACATAGTGCGGGGTAGATTATGTACGTACGCACCGATGTTCGGTAACCCATATTAACCCGGGCGTGGCCAAAAATACATCGAGAATTTGTAAGGATTATACTGTACTCATAAATGCCCGGAGTAAAACAAAATGACTCGCTCCCGCCAGACGACTGGCTTCCATACTTCCCTAGCTTTATGACGTTAAGTTGATTAAACAGGTAGTTGGTGATTCATCAGTGAACTATAATCTCACACATGCAAACTTATTTCTACCCATTGCTCTTATTCCGGCTGATAAAGCACAAAGCAAACTTGCTCGTACCCGTTAAAAGTAGATAAGCTCAAACCCGCTGACTAAGCGCAAAGTGAAACATCGTACTCGCAAACTAAGCGCAAAGAAGATAAGCTAAAACCCGCTGACTAAGCGCATAGCGAAGCATCGTACCCGCAAGCTAAGCGTAAAGTAGATAAGTTCCAAACCCGCTGACTAAGCGCAAGGCGGACATGTTCGTACCGGCTAAGCACAAAGTGGATATTTCAAGCCACAAAACATACCCCTATATCACTAGCTTCCATTGGGACTGTCTTCGAACTCACACCACAATCCAAAGTCAGCACCTCAGGGTAGAGTTGGGTCATCTCTCCAGGCAAGTATTTAGTGACTAAAGGATGACAAAGGATGGCAAAGCAAAGGATGGTAAAGGGTGATGGAAGTGCTACACCTGAACTCTTTGACAATGAACTGCATTTAAGCTTCACAGGAAGGGTAACCGGCGCCCCGCGCTATCAATAAACATACAAGTCAGGCGCCGGTGCGGAATATGCCGTTATATCTCAAGAAATTCCGTATCGAAAAGTGTTATTTAAGCTACAGTAACTCCCTTTCAAAAGGACATTAACCCCATCACATTACGTACCATTTACTGCAATCAGCACGTTGATAAGCTTCCAACACTCTTAACAATATCTTGTGGTTACGTTCTTCAGCGACATCATGACTGCATCATCTGCATCAACTACTGATGTGGTAATCATCGGCTCCGGGCCATCAGGGTAACTCCACGTCGAGCAAAATACCTTGCCTGTTGGCTTATTGACTGACGATTTTTAACGCAGACTTATGGCAGCGTTATGGATGGCGCGGAGCGGTGTGAAAACACGCATTATCGATGCCCGCGCCACGAAGGTGTTTAGAGGCCAAGCCGATGGAATGCAGACTGGAACACTGGATATCTTTGACTCCTTTGGCATTGCAGACGACCTATATAAGAACGCTGCTCCTGCAATGGAGATGACATTCTGGGTTCGTGAAAGTTGCCTTCTATCTGGTACCTAATCTAAATTCGTGTATTTAGGCTGGGAGCAAGGACTCCCCCTTGAAACGCGTCGCTCGCCTTCCAAAATGGTATCCTGAACTCGGCCAGTACCATCTGGTCCACACTAGCCAAGGTTGGATCCATTTTCTGTTAATGCTAGGATGATTACTAAACATATATAGGAAATACCGAGCGTGCTTTGCTGGATGGCATGAAAGCTTTCAACGGACTCGAAGTTGAACGGGGGGTTATCGCGTCAGCTATTGCTATTGACGAGTCTAGCGTACATGATCCTCAAGCTCATGCAATTACATTGACTGTGAAACACCTTACGGACGAAGAATTGGCTTCATCTTCCAGCAAGTTCACTGTTCCACAGCCTGGGGATTTCAACTATACCCTAGCAGACGAGCCATATTTGAAGCGCAAGGTTACCGGGAAAGAAGGGAGTACTGAAACTATCAAGGCGAAGTTTGTGATCGGCACCGATGGAAGCCGAAGCTGGACCCGCCAAGCTCTGGGTTTCGACTTCCTTGGAGATGGAGATGATAATGGGGATGAGAGTATGGGAGGTATTTTGGACTGCGTTGCGACTTCAAACTTTCGTACGCCATTCTTTTTTCTTATACCTTGGCTTATGCTGACAATTTCAAAGCGGATATCCATATTCAATCGATGATTGCCAAGGACGGGCGCGGAGCGGGATTCGTACCAAGGGAGAATGGGTTGTTGCGCATTGCAGCTCCCGTAGCTAATAAGTCAGAAGCAACCCCAGAAGCCATCATCAAGTCATTGAAAGAAATTCTTTCTCCGTATGAGCTCAATGTCACTCATGTTGATTGGTGCGGAGTATTTGGTACCAGCCGTCGAGTCGCAAGCTCTGCTTCGAAACACTCGCGCATTTTCCTCGCTGGGGACGCACTGCATGTCCATTCACCCAGGGCCGGGATTGGTATGAACTTCAGTATACAAGACGGTAAATACTCTACTCTTATACAATAACAGCCTTACTAACGTTTTTAGCCTATAACCTCGGGTGGAAAATTGCACATGTTGTCAAGGGAATTTCTCCACTTGCTATTCTGAAAACATATGATGAAGAGCGCGGATTGACGAGCAAACAGCTTATCTCTTTCGATAAGGCTCTGTCGGAGCAGTCGCCCTTGGGAGCAAACTTTTCGGTTAAAGGAACCCGTCAAGGACTGCAGGACAATCTCCCATTTTCAAGCACTACGGCAATCGAGTACGAGGCTGGATTGCTTGTCGCCAAGGAAGGTGGCACGGTTAATTCCAAACAGTATTTGGCGCCTGGCATTCCTGTGGGCAGGCGCCTGCCCTCGCAGACCGTGGAACGACATGCGAACGGAGAACCGGTTGGGTTTGGAAAATGCTTTCCTAGTGATGGTCGGTACCGGATTGTTGTCTTCGCGGGCAATATATCGAACCCAGAGCAGCTGCGCCGTGTGGAACATCTTAGCAAGATGCTGAAACTCCCTGAAGCTTTACTCCAGCGCCTCGACGGGCGTGCTATCGCGCCTCAAGATGTATATGAAATTCTTATCGTGCACAGCGCGAGCAGGGATGATGTCGAAGTCACTGACTTACCCCCATTCCTTCTCAAGCACAGTGACCCTTTTGATCATGTGTTCGTCGATAACAATCAATCACGGACTTGGGCTTTAACCGATGCATATGGCAAGTATGGGATAAGCCAAGACAGAGGATGTCTTGTTTTAGTCCGGCCTGATAGGCATGTTACGTATATTGGCGAGTTGGAAGATGCCACCGAGCTGGTTCAACTTATATCCTCAATTTTGGATTAGTGAGGAGCATGATACAGTATGGAACGAAAGCTCAATATAGAATTATTCAAGTTTCCTCGCGTCTGTCTGGTTCTCCTCAAAAGTGCTATGTAGTCTCTATCAAAATGAACACAGATAACTCGACGCCTGTTTAACCGCAGTGCACGAATAATACCCACCGGCTGAACCCGGCACCACCTGTTTAATAGAGATGTGTCTTGTGGAAATGTTCAATAGATTTCAATTTTGTTTTCAATATCAATAGTGTTCTTTACATTCAGAGGATCAATGTTCGGTTCCTGCGCACCCTGAGTGGGAGAAAAAATCTTCTCAACTCAAATCAGATAGCCAAGGGATAATCAAAGCAGGGCGCAAATTTCATTAGCGCGCAGCTAACCTGACATATCCTTGAGTGACCGCAAAAACCTGTTGATCTTGTTCATTGCGTAATATATCAACACCAGGTGCACGTTAACAATATATTTACCCAATGTGTCCTTTCAAGATCCACAGTACCTGTTCACTTTTTAATTGCGGTTTGAGATAGTAGTATTATACTGCACATATATTCTACGAGTTGACTAATGAACAATGGGCAAAGGATTTTCTTGAGGGCTAAGAATAAACAGGACGATGCATCACCTGTTCAAACGTAGGAGAATGCTCACTGCATTTTGCATTTTCGGTCATTTGAGCCGCAGTACGTGACTAGGCTCTGCATCATATTACGAATTAAGTGTAGCTTTGAATGGAGTAGTCTCGGTGCCTTACTGAGCGATATTCTTCACACAACTCTCAAGTCACTACATTTAGACATAAATAGAGATAGATCAATTAGAAATGCAAAAAAGAAGACTAATATCCGCCACGTGGACTCGTGCGAGGTAAATAATATCCAAAACCACGTGATGTAAGATAAAGTGTTGTTTTTTGATTGAGCAAGTATGTTAACATACTTTGTTTTTCGTGCTCTTTGGGATCGCCTCTCCGGCGTGGGTGTGGGGGGCTGTGTTGAAACCTGGGCATCATCGGCTGTGTCTGGCCAGGTCATTTGCGTTTCCTCATGGTCGTCATTTGGGGCACTGGTTTCAGTGGGATTGCACGACGGTTGAATTATTGAGGTAGAATCATTCTCGATCAAGGTCGTTGATTTGGAGGGAGTGCGAGGGGTGGCTCTTTAGGACTAGCGGTCATGGCGTTTTCGTTTACCAGTTGTCGAGGAAGGGGTGGGGGGCGTAGATTATATTATAGTTGGAAGGAAATGTATATCATCCGTAATCACAGCTAGTTAGCGGTTTTCTTTAGTGACGCCGAAGATTCGGCCAGTCAAAAAAACGTGGGTATTTATATTTAGTGGTGGAAAGTTCGCCCAACGTTGCCCGTTCTTAAAGTATATAGTGACGGGGAACGTGTGATAGGTTCGCGACGAACTCTTATAAACTATACATTAGAGGCGGTAATGTAATAGAGTTAAACCATAGTTTAGTTGCCCCCCACGTTTAAGAACGACACCGAGTAGTGTCACGATAGGTTGAGCCGCTTTAGGGCAGTGTATAAAATATGAATCTATATCCTCTTAATCTCCTAGGTAGCTAGATTGTATTAGGACATTTCTTACGGAAGGTGCGAAAGTGACTGACCGGTCAACGCTATTAGCGTGAAGGAGAATATAAAATCCCCACTATCGGAAGAGTTTAAGAGGAAAGAACCCTATATATAAACGAAAGCGTTTAGTTGGTATAGGTTAGGTCGATTCCCCTCATTAAAAAATCTGATTAGAGTGGGAATGTCGTCCTATTTAACGTCTTTAGAGTTTATATCTTTATCTAGTATATTAAGAGAAACACGCAGCTATATAGAGAGTCCTTTACCGGGGCGTGTTAGATCTAGTTTAATATACTCGATAAAATCTCAAATATAGAGAATGGCTAGGAAAGATATATTTAAAGGCATTATAGAAGTGTGTAGCTAAGTGATATAGTTTAAGTAGGGCCCTTAATATATCTAAATTTTATAATAGGAGTTAGGGGGGGGGGGGGGGGGGGGGATAATATCAAGGCTTCAAATATATATTGTAGGTTGGAAAGATCTATACGGGGTTAGGCAATTAGGACTTGATTAAGGCATATTAGGTTGTATGATAATACGTATAAATACGAACCCGAATATGATACGTCTAGACGCTCCTCGCTACTAACTATAAAAGAGAAAAAATGACAATTTAAGTTTATTTTAAGTAAGACGTTACGGGTGTGTGCAACAGCCGAGAGAAATGATTTATAGAGATACGGTTAGCTATACGGAGTTAATTCCTTACTAGGCATTCAGAGTTTCAGCCCCGAGTGATTGTAAACGCTATATCTCTTATAATAATTACGGGTCTAGGTTGTGTTAGAGGTCACTTATATCAATCGGTTGTAGGAGATAGAGGCCAGCGAATGATCGTAGTCGCGATAATTATACGTACGTTGAACAATATCTCCGATAGGAATCTTAAGGTCGATTTCGACGGTCATATTTAAGATCAACTATAGTAGCGTCGAAGGTGGCTCCTTAGACTTTATAGTCGGTAAGATAAAACGCCGGGTAGATAGGCACTTAGCGCCGTCTCACTAAATATCCTTTCACTATTATTGAAGCCTCGAGCGGAAAGATAGGTAGGACATTCTCTTAAAGTGACTAAAGGGGAATTGATTTAGCCCGATTTAGCTCGAAAAGGAGATAGGCTAGAGGCCTAGTGTAAAGAATATAAAGATCGTTAAGCACGTGGAATTCGGCTAGCCAGACTTAAGAATGATACTTTGATAAGGCTTCCTTAGTTAATAACTTATATGCCATATCCACGACAATACCTATAGCTTTTCCGGTTGCTCTATTGACTAATCCTATAGGCGTGTATATATTCGTTAAAATCATTACCGGTATAGAAGGTGTATATAGAAGGAGTCCTAGGAAAGGGATCTTCGTCCCTTACTTAGGAAGACTTAGTAGGTCATCTGCTCGAAGTCGTAGATTACTTACGTTAGAGGATTTTATACGGGTATAGAGGGCGGTGTTACGGACATGCTAGTCACCAATCAGTTGTGGGGACCGCAACTACTGATGGGCCACCGAGAGCCAACCGAACGATCTGTCATCAGATCACGTGCACCATCCTATACTCTGGGATACCCGGGTGTTCAGGGAAAAGAGAAACCGTGATCATACTTAGTGAGCAAGAGCATGATCAGCTCTGAGCAGGACCCACTTCCAGAGGATATCCGGTACATATGTACCTATATGGACCAACAAACCTCTGCCACCAACGGGAGCCCGCACGTGATCATGTAAGTAGTAGAACGGTCAATAGTAGACTAGTAGAATCTGCCAAGGCAATTCTACTCATCTACGATCTACCATTCTATATAGGAAGAACTTAGGGATATATAAGGACACTCATTCATGTATCTAGTTTAGTTCTTCGTCTTCAATCATACATTGTTACTTGTGTATACCTTTAGAACTTCAGTGACTCTTTAACTTGATTATAACTTGACAACACTCACGAGCAGACCAATACCCTAGTATAGATCTACTCGGCGCTCTACCTGGCATCGTTCCTCGATACCTCAATAGGACCCATCCTGCAGTAAGGCCTATTAGGCAACAGTACGGTTGAGAGTACAGATCGTTGACGTTGGAAACCTGAGAAGCATAAGGCAAGTATAACCTGGAAACCTTCTAACCTAACTGTGACCAGTTAGCAGTGCGTAACAGGCGGGAAAAATGAAAATCTTTTAACCATTAGCCCGAGCAAAGCGCTCAATCTAAAAGCGGTTGATAACGTGTCGGAGTGTATTTAGCTTCGTGATTGCTATCGCCTTCTATAGGCTTAGGGAGTCGAGTGACATGATTACTTTGGAGTTTAGTATCAGCATATCATCCTATATAAGTGTGCTAGATCTCGCTCGAGTGAGGAGGCTACGGTATTATAAGTCCTCGGTTTATCGTATCTATTCGTCTAGAATTATAACTTACTTAAATCGGCTCTAGATAAGCTTTCCGTCTTAGTCGGTTTCGCTTCTTAGAAGTTTCTATAACGGCTAGCCTTATACTAGAGGAAATTGGTGAAAGTCGCCTATAAGTATCACTATAGGTAAACCACCGAAAAGATCTAAAGAATCTCTATCAAGTAATCTAGCCGCTTTATAATGTATATTAATAATGCCGAGCGCTAATTGATCTATTATACTCACCTTATCTATAATCATAATGGTTTTCTACAACTAGAGTCTACGAACTCTAGCACTAACTCCTACTTGCCGGAAACGATTTAAGGAAATTCTAAGGGAGGTATAGTACGTGTTGCCTCTAATGATATCGGTAGTAGCCCTAGTCGGAGCTATAAGAATGATTTCGTCTTTACGGTTGATTAAATCCATACCTATAATAATTGCTTTAATAATCTGGCTTTTTCTAACCCCCCCCTCGCCTCCTATATAAAGGAGTGTTTGATTTTAGTGGAACCTAGACGGATGATTAGAATAGTCGAGAGCTTCTGATAAAATCTTTTATATAACTAAACGCTATTTTCCATTTAGAGGAATAGTCTTATAAACGAGTAAAGTTAGCGAAGCGCCCATAGGATTTTCGCCGACTTAAGAGTCTCGTTAAAGCGTGCTAGAAGATATATCTAAGTTAGTAAGGAGAGGTATAAGGAATCCATTAGTTATATCAAGGTTGAAGTCGTCTAAGTAGGATACGTCGTTAGTTGATAAGCCGGTATATAGGTCTTATATTTCTAGTGTAGTAACACGTTTAAGTTATATCTACCATTCTTAAAGGGTTGGCAGAGGGACTAATTAGAGGCCAGAGGATTTATAGAGAAGGTTATCAGAAATTCGAATCGGTCGGAAATATTATAGTTGAAGGGAGAGATAGCGGAAAGAATTTATAGTAAGTGTAGCGATATAAGTTTGAGCGTCCTATACCTCCTAAGCCTAACGTGTGCTTATTAAAAATAGTGTAGCAATAAGACTTTCTAAGCTTAAAGATTCCGGCTTAGTGGATAGAGGGTACGGAGCCTCATTCCCTAAGTCGCTATCAGAATAGGGAGGATCGGCTAATTCATAGTCAATCATAGACGTATACTAAGAAGTCCGTTTCCGAAACATAGTATCTACTTGGCAATCGTCTTTTGATTTTCGTAAAAGGTCAATGTTTTATACAAAGGTTCGATAGTATATCGGGAGTGTTAGTTCGACTAAGGTCTAGATCTAATAGAGTTTGCTATATGGGTTTTCAGCTTATATAGGGATCCGTTAAACGAGTGACACCAAGTTTTCCTAAGGAATAAATAGCCCAAGGAGAATCTTAGCTAGATCGTTTTAGATAGCTGTTATTATAGGATGGCCACCTAGTACGGAGTCCTCTACAGCTTAGAATTCTATCAACTCGCCTTAAAGTGTTATAGTAGCCGTTTAGGCTTAGGAGCGGGCCAGCCTTTATAGATACGTGTGATACTTCGGATATTAGTCGTTAAAGGTAATATTATATATACTAGAATCTTAGATTCTCTTAGTGCGTACTAATATATAGTATTCGAAGATAGAGAGAGGGGATAAGAGATCGCCGCGGAACGTATAGTTATCAAAAATACTCGTAGGTGTAGCTATAATATGGTCATAGTTATACAGTTCTTCTACTATAGGATTTATAGACGATATACGCTGAATTTATTCCGGTTAGATGACTACACGAATATATTGCCTTAGCCACTAGAGGTTGATACGAGTAAAGTTATAATTGAGCGTGTAGTATAAGGGAAGTTATAGCAATATACTTACGACTTAAACACCACTTATTTCACGATCTTACGATAAGCTATTAAAGCAGCGGAGGGCAAAATTATTTATTCCGTTTTATCGAACTCGCAAATCTATAGTGGTTAGGGAGTCATTAGAGGTAGCGCGATCGATCATTTGTCTTAATAGAGCAGCCTTCGTTACTATCTACCATAGTGATACGTCGTCTTTAGTGGCATAGTTAGTGATATAGTAAAGTAGGGATAGAGATTTTGAGACTATAGGAATCTAGGATATATCGTGGTTTAATCGGATACAACTAGCGATAAATAGATTCCACGGATTAACCCAAGCGTTATTACGAGTAAGGTGAACTATACCAAAATTATTAACTCTAGACACCTTAATAAGATCGCGAGGCATACTAAAACGACAGTTGTTTTTAGCAGACAACCGTCCACTATACTTGAAGTAGGTAGCTATATAATACTTAGAATAAAGCTACTTAATACGAGCAACACTATTACTATCATAAAATATCTTCTCTATAAATTTCATATCCGACTCTACGGCGCTAGTTAAAGGGGCTACGCGGGAAATAACCGTATTAGGACTATCTAGGTCTAGATTGTGAATGCTATATATAATAACACTTTCTAGGAAATAGATTAATCGGTTTACGAACGCGTTATCTGCTAAGACCCGGTCGCGTAGCTAGGCGAATCTAAGATTACCCCGAACCTAAACCAACGTATAGAGATATAGCATTCCTCTACTATTACTTTTAACGACGCTAAAGTAATTAGAAATGTTACCTAGGACTCCGGTCTTACTAGGCCTACCACCTAGCAGACTATTAAGTACCGCCCTATAGGTATAATAGAAGAACCGTGCGACCGCTACTAGGTTAGCGGTGGCCACGTCTTAACGAATTATTGAAATTTCTTTAGACAGATTATCGGTGGAAAGTTACACTCTAGTAAGAACCAAGACTAGAGGGTTTTAGAGGTCTAAAGGATTGATTGTTATCTAGAAGGTAGGCATCCCTTCTCGGATAAGTAGGCCGCGGATCTTAGCACGTATCTATAGTTTATAAAAAAATGACCTAGGCACTTAAACGCTAATAGTAGTGAGGTTCTTTAATAGCCGTCGTACTAGCGGGTCTTTAGTAACGTGATCGGTAGTAAGCTCCCTAGCCGCATTTTAGAGGCGGGCGATATTAAGAGAGTTTAGATCCCGCGTAATAGATATCCACTAAGTACGTTTGGTAAGAAGACTATTACTAAGGCACGAATTCCGAAGTTAGATAGCGTTATATAATAGGTATATAAAAGTTCGGTGTCGGGCAAATCTATTCACGTTAGCCAATAGTGTTGGACTATGTCGGTCATCCCATTGATGCCTTTGTCTAGTCATCTCATTGATGCCTCCATTTGTTTGCAGACTGAGCCTTTCTTTGTTTGGCAGGGTATAAATCCCCTGCTCTAGATAGATTGAATAGATCATGATTCCTCTTCTCTCTCTCTCTCCCCATAGTTAGCAGCCCCAACAGGTTATGACGCCCTCTTTCTTCCTCTGAACCCTGAATCATCACTTCATTCATCACTTCCATCAAGAATAGCATCTCCAAAGGCTATATCTTGGTTGGAAGCATCACTTTCCATCAAGATCATCAGTTATCTTGACGTTTTTCATCAAGGTGAGCACTACAAAGTGCCGTACCTTCATCTCTTCCACCAAGAATAGCACTGCAAGTGGTATATCTTGTTCTGGAAGCTTCACAGGCCACTAGGAATAGCACCGGAAGTGCTATTTTCTTTGTGGAACCTTCATGTTGGAAGTGCCTTTCATGCACTATCCCGACAACTGAGCACTGATTGCTCCATTTTCAGATCATTTTTTCAAAGATCTATCACGTTGATTGAGATTATCATCCATCTTCAATATGGCTGACGCTCAACAACAACAACAACCACCACCGGTCGATGACGATAACAACGACTGGCACAATGACAGCGAAGCACCCGAGGTAACCAACCAATCTGTTGGCCTGCCTGACATCGGAAGCTTCAACCTCTACAAAATCACCCCGCCTCTCAAAGAAAGAGAGGATCTTGATATGTGGATTGACAAGATCGAGAAGATCTTGGAAGGACACAATCTACACAACTTGATCAATAGTTCGATCCCCTGGCCGATGAAAAGTAACCCCGACGGCCGGAAATGGAAGACTCTATCAAAGCAAGTAAGAAGCTGGTTGTCTAGTAGTATAGATAACGACTTGATGCAGGAAATCAACCGCCGCGGCAATACCATCGAATTCGCCGACGAGCTGTTTGACGAACTGAAGAAGCATATGAAAGGAGAAGGACATAGTGCTTTGAAGAAGGCAACGCTGAAATTCAGATTCATTACCCGCCACCAATTTAACAGCAGCGAGGAATTCATCAATGGATTGAAAACAGCATATAAAAACCTCACCGATCTTCATGCACACATTCCACCATACTTCGCTCTACAAATCATGCTTCAGGAATTGATGAATGTACCGGAATTGAAAAGCTACATTGTCGTCAAGGACAATGAGCTAAATGCCATCAACGAACCGGTCAAGAACATCACCACCATCGACTTCTACCAATATAGCATTGCTATCTTGGACCACATCAAATCGGAAAACGACAACTCACCGGGATTGATATCATCGGCAGTCTCAAACGGCACTCAACAACGTCGACAAGACAATTCCAACGGTTCGAATTCATACATAAATGCCAATTCCAATTTTTCATACTCCCGCCCAACCAATACGCCACCGAAAGGCGTTTCAGCACTTGATCATGTCAACAAATGGAAAGGCCATAAACCAGAAAGGAGTGACAACGGCAATTGCACTTACTGTGGCGGGAAAGGCCATGGAACAACCAGATGCTTCTATCTAGTCCCAGAGATACGAAGGGAGAACTGGACGCCGAGAGCTGGAATCTGGACCTACAAATGGAGAGACAACAATATGTCTCCCTCCTCCACTTCGCCATCCTCTAACGGCAAAACGGAATTCAAGCAAGACAAATCTCAACCAATCCAGGGCCCAGTGACAGATAGGACACGACAAGCCAACCTCTCTGCGCCAGAAAGCAGCACCGGTTTCATCATGACAAGTCTGGAAATCGACTTGTTGCAGGATTTCAACCCTTCCTACATTATGGCAGATGAAAAGAGCCAGGAAGAAGCCCCAATCGACGGAGAAAACCAAGAAACAACCGTTAACACCCAGCTTGAAACGTCAAATGCAATGTCTAAAGAGCGGGAAACAGATGAAAACACCCAGATTGAAGCGTCAAATACTTCAATGGTAGCTATCCAACTATCTGCCACCGCCCCAGGATATCCATGGATTCTGGATACTGGCGCATCTGAACACATTTGCAGCGATCAATCTGCATTTAGCACCCTGGAAGACTATCCCGAAGGTCAGGAATACGAATGGATGACCTCTGGAAATGAGAAAGTCAAGGGTGAATCCCATGGAATTGTCAAATTGAACTTGCACCTTGGAAATGACGACGCCCAAACTGTACAAGCATGCTTCACATTAAGCATCCATTGTGTCTACAAAAGCGGCGGTCAATACAACCTTTTCTCACTTGGAACGGCCGAAAAAGAACTCGGCATTTGGTGGCACAGCAAAACAAAATCCTTACACGACAAGGATGACATTGTTATTGGCTTCACTAAGGATTTCAACCGAGTGCCATTCATTCAACTGGCATCACCAACACTAGCTGCCGGAGCAATTATCTCCGCCGAGCTAGCCCACCGTCGACTTGGACATGCCGGAAGTTACAAAACAAAAGTCAACCAAAACGACCTCGGCTGTGAGATTCAACATGACGATTTTGACTGCGAGGCATGCGGCCTTGGAAAGTCAAAGCGCATTGTGTCAAGAACAAACCAAGCGAGAGCAACCAGAGCGGCATACATGTTTCATGTGGATCTACAACCAGTTAGTCCACCCGGCTTTAATGCGGAAAATGGCAAAAATGACCGGAACCATGCCATGGTTATCACTTGTGATGCCACTCGCTTTCGACTTGCTTTATGCCTTGCCACTAAGGGAGAAGCTTCCCCCGTTCTCCAGAAATTCGCCAATGAGATTTACCAGAGAACTGGTGAATGGACAGTTGAATGGAGAATCGACGGAGGAAGAGAATTCCTAGTATTCGCCACCTGGGCGAGAGATAGTGAGAGAAACATGATCGTTACTATCTCTGTTCCCTATGCCCATGAACAAAATGGCGTTTCCGAATTCACCGGCCATTACTTGCTACAAATAGCAAGGACAATGAAGATTGACGCCGGCGCTCCCCGAGAACTATGGTCAGAAGCTTTGAACACAGCTGCATACATCACCAACCGTCTACGAAAGAAAGCCCCAGACGGAAAGCAACAAGATGCACCAATCATTGCTTGGAGGAAAGGATTGAACATGAGAACGCCAGACAATGCTTCTCTCTCCTTCCTACGAGCATGGTATGCGAAAGCATATGTCCACATTCCAAAGGAAAAGCGAATCCAAAGCCAGAAGATGGAAGCCAGAGCATGGATTGGCCACCTTGTTGGTTACGAAGGTGACAACGGCCATATCTATAGGATCTATGATCCTAAAACCAGGAAAGTTTCTAGACATAGAGACGTTGTTTTCTGGGAGCAAAAGCATGGCATTCCTCACTATGATGACAGAGAGATCGTCATTGGTGGAGAAATCATTGACGGCCCTAACATCCAAGCCTTTGAAACAAGAGCTGGTTCACCAGTTATCACTGCCCAGAAAACGACAAGATCGACTACGCAGCATACTGAAATTCCAGAACCGAGAGTGGTTGAACTTGACGATGACGAACAAGAACTGCATACGCCATATACCACTCCAAGACCCGTTGAAAAAGCCCCAGGCAGTTTCATGCCGACGCCATCACCAAGCACTACAACACCAGCAGAAGGATATGGAACATCGTCTTCTCCTGATCCCTTAGCAATGTCACCAACCCCGCCACCACGTGCGAGAACCAGGACATCAGGACGTCAAACTGCCGGCGTTGCACCACAAAGATACGATGATCTGGAATGGGACAAGCGAGGCAACTTGAGACCACCAAGATCTGGAAACACATCAAGAGATTCACCAGGAAGTGCTATGTCCGCTATTGGAATCGTCCAAGCTGCCATTAGCATTCCACAGGGTTTAAAATCTTGGCAGGTCAAGATCCCAAGGAACCTCACCGAAGCAAAGAAATCACCTGAATGGGAGCTCTGGAAACAAGCGATGGACAACCAGATCATAAAGCTTGATGCCGCCAAAGCTTACCAGTACGTCGAAACACCACCAGTAGGAAGCACTATCTTACCCGGCAAGTGGGTATTCGACAAGAAGAGTGACAAGCAAGACTTTGTGACAGAGCTGAGAGCAAGATGGGTTATCTGTGGCAACAGACAACGTCCAGGATTTGACTTTGACGATACCTACGCTCCTGTTGCAAGGCCTGAGAGTACTCGGTTGTTTCTCTCAATGGTAGCTATTCGACAGCTATACTGGGAACAAATTGACTACACAACCGCCTATCTCAATGCCTTGATCGACGACAGATGCATTTTCATGAGACCACCAACCGGCTATGAGAAGCTAGGTATGGTATGCATGATCCTACAAGCGCTATACGGCCTTCGTCAATCTGCCTGCTTATGGTATGAAACGATCAAGAAGGAATTGCAAAAGCTTGGTTTTGAACAACTGCCAGATGAAAGATGCATCTTCGTCCATAGAGAGAAAGACATATGGCTTTTGCTATATGTGGATGATACTCTGTGTGCTTCTACGTCAAAAGAAAGCATCGAATGGTTCAAACAGACAGTCAGTTTCAAGATCAAAGTCATTGGAGAACCTAGCAGATTTCTTGGAACCAGCATCACCAGATCAAAAGAAGATGGAAAAGAAGACACCATTTTCATTGATCAAGCTGCCTATGTGGAAGATCTCCTACAGACAGCAAGCTTAGGAAGAGTCTCTGCCACCTATCTCCCTATGAAAGCTTCCTACAAAACGCCTTTTTCAGCCCAGGAAGCAACATCGGATGATCAACAAGAAGGCCACCAAGAAAATGAAGACGATGCCATTTCACAGAGCGAGAAAGCAGCATTCGGAGAAGACGTTGGCAAGGTGGGCTGGTTGACAATGAGGACTAGACCAGACATTGCTTTCTCTGTCAATCGACTACAGAGAAGGACTGCCAATCCAAGAAAGGAAGATCTTAATGCTCTCTCCCAGCTTCTACGCTACTTGAAAGGAGCACCCAACTATGGAATTCAGCTCGCAAAGGATCCTAGCCAAAGCCTAGTTGGCTTCGTCGACTCTTCGTACAACGACTGCGAAGATGGAAAGTCAACCGAAGCCTATATCTTCTACTACGCAGGCGCACCAATTTCATGGTGCTCACGGAAACAAGACGTCGTCGCCACAGGAAGCACCATCGCCGAATACGTCGCTCTCGATGGTGCAGTACGGGAAGCACTCTATCTCGTCAAGATTCTACAGCAGCTGAATCTAGAAAATACGACAATCCAGGTGCCGATTTGCACTGACAGCGACAACGCCGTTTCAATCCTGAAGAAGGACGCATTCAACAAGGGCACCAAATGGCTGGATGTCAAATACCAATTCGTCAAGCATGCGATGAAGCAAGGATTGATCGAGATACGACTCATCGACACCAAGGAAAACCCTGCAGATACATTGACAAAAGCACTGTCAAAGGTTGATTTCGAAAGGATGAGAGATTACTTGGTGAAGAAGGTTTGAAGAAACCTACAAATTGAAGGTTACAAATTGACGAAATTGACGGAATACGATACTTTGAAAACTGCATTTTATTTGACGATTTTACTATGCAAACCAGAATGTTTTTTGACTTGATGCTCAGTCTGGGGGGCTGTGTTGGACTATGTCGGTCATCCCATTGATGCCTTTGTCTAGTCATCTCATTGATGCCTCCATTTGTTTGCAGACTGAGCCTTTCTTTGTTTGGCAGGGTATAAATCCCCTGCTCTAGATAGATTGAATAGATCATGATTCCTCTTCTCTCTCTCTCTCCCCATAGTTAGCAGCCCCAACAAATAGTTTATTTAAAAAAGAGACGTTCGGACCTTCGACTATAGTAGCGTAACGCCTAGTCAGTAAAAGTAGTAAGTGATACGGGTATACTACGTTAAGCCAGATATCCTCCAATGCTAGTCGGAAACAACGTAGGGAAAGTAGATATGAAATAATGAGGATCTTACTATTAATCGAGAAGGCCGGCCTAGCCGCGGATACTATAATTAATTACAGGGTCATAGTAGGAAGGCGGGGACGTATCTAGCATTACCACACGGCGAGGGGATATAGTCTAGGGGTGTGGGTTAAGCGGTTGATTATTAACAAGGGCATACATTACGTTAAGTAGACGAAAGTCAGGATTCTAACGCTCTCCATTTATATTAGTGGTAACAGAACCTATTACTAGAGGAAGATTCCTGGTTGAAAGATCAGGGCTATCTTCTATAGCTTGCCAGTTATTTTCATAATTATATTCTTATAAATCGACGGTATACCCGGCCCGTTCACTAAAATCGACTTCTCCTAGTATAACTTGTTCCTATAGGTCCGAGGGTATAAAATCATCGGGCCAATTATTTATCACTAAATGATCAATCGTCATATCTTAGTATAAAACGTTATATTACACGAGGTATTATAGAGTAGTGAGCACTTTATACTTATATATAACTAAAAATAGCTTTAAGTCCGTATCTATTAGAGGTCGGCTTCCTAGCCAAAGAACCTTAATTAGCTCGGTGAACTATAGTCCGGGGCTTAGTAGTATCTAAAGGAGCGGACCTAGGTTTTAGGGTATAATAATAAAATGGCTATATAACGTATAGTAGCTGGTTAGGGTAGACCGATGGCCCGGACGAAGCTTTAAAACGACTCCAATAGGATGGGATTTAGCAATCAAACATTCTTCCGTTAAGGTAAGGCCATTAAGGGCAATAGGATAGTGCTAATAAAGTGAAACGTTCATATGGTTTATAGCGGCAAATTTAGGTATAGACTAGCGAATAAGAGCACTATAGCATTAGTAGTAAAATGCCTAGCTACCATTAACCCATCCGTAGTTATCGAGATAGCCTAACATAGGTTATAGGAACGGATCTATAGGAAGAAGCTAATATATATCTTCAGATAGTATAAGCCTACTATAAGAAGAACAAATTCCTTTATGACTCGATACCGATATATGACTTTCGTAACGGGCAACGGAAGCTCTAATATCGGCTAGAGAAATGACCGGTAGAAATTGATTTAAGGACTATACGTGGCTTTTATATTCCCGCTACAAAAAGTCTATAGAGGAGGGGAGAATGGATTAGACTTAGCTATTATCGGGGCTACGCTACGAAGTACGTAGCGTAAGGGTCGCCGATAGTGTACGATTAGAAGGTGGTCTTCTTAGGTATTATTCTGCTCGATACGTAATCTTTCGTTTACAAGGACTTAGGGGTTGAAATAAGTTAGCGAGCGGGTTAAAAGACGCGGCCGTGACCTACGAAAAGTCTATAGCCGGTTATATAACGTTACCCGTCGTAGATCTGTAGGTAAAGTAACTCCGCACGCTACTAATAGTAGGGAATGTGTTGCCGTATTGCTAACAATAACGCATCTTAGGCGGTGGTTAAGTACGACTAGGTCTATAGCGCGAAGGTTGACAGCATATATCGTAACGAGCAATAGTTATATTAGACCGAATAGGAGCTCCACATTCTATACACACGCGAATCTCGATAGTCGTAGAGGAGCGCGCCAAGCGATAGGCAGAGCAGCGGGCGGGTCGAAAATTTGTTAACATACCGATCGGATAGTTGCAATCTCGATAAGTCCTAGATCGCAGCATATTGTGATATTAAGGGCGGGCGAAGCTATAGATATAAGAAAATGCAAAGAAACAGCTTTAAGGATATAAGCCAAGAAAGGTAGTGTAGAGCGTAACGATGTTGAAGGACAATTACAGGTTGTTTAGAAGCAAAACATATCCAGGGCAATCATAGGACGTTTATAAAGACAGAATCCTAGTTCGAACAGAATAGGAGGAGTTGGCAAGTAAAAGGCAAATTAGAGCAGGACGTAGGAATAAGAGAGGATGTAGGGCCGGGAAGAGCCCAATGAAAACAGACATATCCAAAAATACGATGCAGAAGAAGCTACCGAGACAATATTTCAAACGCGCTATAGCAGAAGCAGTTAGTACACAACGAATGAGGAAGGGACGTGGCAAAAAGCTTCGTATATAGAATATATAGAAAAAGCAACCTTTCTTTGCGGACGCACCCGCGGCCGTGTTTACTATAACCCCTTTCTCTCACTACGTTCGTTTCAGGGCATTGTCACGTGATAGCTTAATCCGTAAATTATATGAAATAGCCATACACTCGATACCCATAACCTCGATTTCCATCATCGCCTGCTTCCGTAAGCACTTGTATCATCAGCACCCTGACGCCGACCGTCTGCAACATGGCGCGAACACTCTCTCCATCGGGGCGTGATATAATCTGTGATGACCAAATTACTGACTACGTCTTGCATTGCCGAAGCCGCTGAACGTGCAAGAATCTTCCCGTAGTCTTTTTCCATCCGCCTCGTAACACCGCTCCAATGTGGTTGGCGCTCGCAGGGATTCTGAACAACGGACTAATGCGTAAGCGATCACATCTCGAGCCCCATAAATCTTGGGGTGGGAGTCTTACCCCTCCTCTACTATCGACTATCCTAGTGCTATCTAAAACACCCCTTTTTTCCAGAATACTCAGACCATCGCATATTTTTGTTGTTATATCCTCTCAATATGGCAGAAGTCATCGGCACTATCTCTGCTGTTATTGCCCTCGTGGAGACCTCGATCAAAATCTACGACAGTGCACAGAAGGACATCAAATTATCTGAGACATTCAAAGTGGTTCGACGACGGCTCCCCGTTATTCTCCACATCCTCGCGACATGCAAAGGCAATCTCGAACCGAGAAAAGATTCAATACCCGAAGACGTGGGTGAAGCCTTGGAGCAGATCCTTGACGCATGTGAGGCAAAGGCTTCGAATTTAAGAGGGATCTTCGAGAAGATCGTACCCGGTGAAAATGACACAAGGGAAAAGCGATATTTGAAAGTCCTTCACAGACTCGGCAAAGGGAACAAAGTCGAAGAGCTCATGCTTGGTCTCACTAAAGACGTCCAACTCATTGTGAATCATGATGCGGTGAAGTCTGCCAATCAACAGCAAAACGCTAGGCTTGAAGATACTATCAATGAGATAAAGTCTGTCAGCTCAGTACCGGACGAAGAGGATTCCACAATGAGTTTCAGCAGCGGAGGCGGGCCACAGACAAACAATATCAATCGCGGAAGTGGGCAGCAAATCAACAATAATGGGTCCGTTGGAACGCAGAACTTCGGTAAGGGATAGGATTGGTAGAATGTTCTCTTCATATTTCACCCAGACCAGAGGATGAACAAAGCCCTCGGGCGATATTGTTTTCCATCTCTCGGCGAGCCTTCCCTTATTGCTAGTTACTATCTCCAAACTGTCTCCAATACACACCCTACCTGTGCCTATGGGATATCCCAGCTTCCCTTATTGAACAAATTTACGTCCGATATTTGTAAAAAGCCCCTGCTAACTTTTATCTGCAGTCACTCATAGACAGAAAGACGACTTTAGCTTTCATAAGCCGGCAGGTGTCTGTCTCAGCGAAGCGCCCTATATCGCTCCAGGACTCTTCGTCGGTCGGGGCTCCGAGCTTGATCAAATCGCAGAACTTTTGCACCCAGTTCAAGGCGTTCAAAAACAACAGCGTCTTATTCTTGGAGGAATGGGTGGTATCGGCAAGACCCGACTTGCTATCGCTTATGCAGAGTCGCGATCTGGATATTATAGCTCGGTATTTTGGCTAAATGCAGCGTCCGAGGCTGCACTGAAAGATAGTTTTCGATCAATCGCCACCCTTATCTTCGACATTCAAGACCCTCAACTCTTAGAGAGTAAAGATATTATTGGACGTGTACATCAGTGGCTCTCTAATTCTGATAATACCAGGTGGCTATTGCTTTTTGATAACTACGACGACCCCGACCAGTTTGAGATCAACGGTTATTACCCACATACAAGATGTCACCGGGCTGTTATTGTTACCACTAGGTGGCCAGACCGCGTTGGTGGAAACATTTTACATGTAAAGCCATTGCAGAATATCAAGGATAGCCTGGCGGTCTTACAAACACGATCAAAAAGAGAGAATGTTCAATCAGGTATGGTACCTAGATATACATCTAGAATCAACTAATAACGCTATTAGATCTTCACGCAAAACGCCTTGCAGAGCGACTTGCAGGCCTTCCTCTTGCTTTGGCCACTGCTGGGACATATCTTCAGCGAAGTACTATTAGCTTTGAACGCTACTTACAAGAATACGAGAGACGCTGGAATATTGATTCCCGTAGCCCCACTAGGCTCCAAGAGTATCGCGAACGTACTCTTTACACGACCTGGGATCTGTCATACGCTCGCCTCGAAACCGAGGACTCTGACGCGGCACAACTACTCAAAGTGTTAGCCTACTTCGGTAACCAGAGCCTTTGGCACGAGCTTTTCAACGACGGACTTACCAAAGAATCTCCCGAGTGGCTTCGTGCACTAGTTGCAGACGACGTGTCCTTCCAGGGAGTAATGGGAATCTTGACTGAATACTACTTTCTAGAAGTTCATTTGGCATCAGAATCGTGGAGCATGCATAACTGTGTGCATGACTGGACATTGGCCGCACTCAACAAGAACGTTGATATCAGGTATTACTGGTATGCTTTCGATTGCGTTCATGCGACTATCAATGGGGTCAATATAGATTCTCTTGGTCATATCACTTTTTCCCGCTCGGCTAGTCATGCAATACAACTAGTGCACCAGCGTTTCCTCGAAAACGATATGATCTATCATCCTGCACCTGATAAACTCGATCAGGTATTACGTGTTTCACAGTTGCTTCAAGGCCAAATCCAGCTTGCGGCTGCCGAGCAGATGTACATACGGGCGCTAACTGGGTACGAGAAATCGCTGGGACCGGACCATACTTCAACCCTTGTCACTATTCACAATCTTGGGAACCTATATTGTGATCAAGGCAAGCTGGATATAGCGGTGCAAATGTATATGCGGGCGCTAGCTAGGAGAGAGAAGGCGCTAGGACCGGACCACATGTCAACGCTTATCACTATCAATAATCTCGGCACCTTATATAGTGAATAAGGCAAACTGGATGAGGCGGAGCAGATGTATATGCGGGCGCTAGCTAGGAGCGAGGAGGCGCTAGGACCGGACCACACCCTCACCCTTAGCACCGTTTATAACCTCGGGATCCTATATCGTGATCATGGCAAGCTGGATATGGCGGTGCAGATGTGTATGCGGGCGCTAGCTGGGAGAGAGAAGGCGCTAGGATCGGACCACATATCAACGCTCGATACTGTTCTTAATCTCGGGACCGTATATAATCATCAAGGCAAACTGGATGAGGCGGAGCAGACGTTAATGCGCGCGCTAGCTGGGTATAAGAATATGCTAGGACAGGACCACACTTCAACCCTTAGCACTGTTCACAATCTTGGGAGCCTATATTGTGATCAAGGCAAGCTAGAAATGGCGGAGCGGATGTATATGCGGGCGCTAGCTAGGAGAGAGAAGGCGCTAGGACCGGACCACATGTCAACCCTTAGCACTGTTCACAATCTTGGGAACCTATATTGTGATCAAGGTAAGCTAGAAATGGCGGAGCGGATGTATATACGGGCGCTAGCTAGGAGAGAGAAGGCGCTAGGACCGGACCACACTTCAACCCTTAGCACTATTCACAATCTTGGGAACCTATATTGTGATCAAGGCAAGCTAGAAATGGCGGAGCGGATATATATACGGGCGCTAGCTGGGAGAGAGAAGGCGCTAGGACCGGACCACACCCTCACCCTTAGCACCGTTTATAACCTCGGGATCCTATATCGTGATCAAGGCAAGCTGGATATGGCGGTGCAAATGTGGATGCGGGCGCTAGCTGGGAAAGAGAAAGCGCTGGGACCTAGCCACGCTTTAATCCTTCGCACTTTTCACAATCTCGGGGCATTACACAGTGCACAAGGCGAACTGGAAAAGGCGGAGCAGATGTTCATGCGAGCGTTGGCTGGGAGGGAGGAAGCGCTAGGACCGGAGCACACTTTAACCGTCGACACTGCGAAATGTCTCGGGAACCTGTATCTTCGCCAATGCAGGTTGAGTAAGGCGATGGCAATGCTTTGGAGGACAGGAGCTTGGAAATAGGATACGAATTTTGTACTATAGGCAATCTGCATAGGAACAATTATTTCTTACTTCACACAGCTTGTGCTATCATTTTCAATCTGGGTTGTTTGCTGGATCAACGTTCTAGAACCCCTAGAAACCTTACAGGTCTAATACCGGAGCTACTTCTAAAAAGATGTTGTTTACGACTGTACTAGAATACTGCCAAGAAAGGGGCTCAGGGGCACAGTAACCGTAGTAAGAATAGCGCTTTTCGAAAGAGGGTTCGAGAAAGTATCTCTGTGAATAACGGTGAAACTAATTTCGATCCATCCTGTATAATAAATCTGATCTACAAGAAATAGACAACAAAATCTTTACCCTGCCGAACCTGAAAAACTCTCCGCATCTCCATCATCATTATACCGGAACCGATCCGCCCACGCAAACACATCCTCATATTTGCGACACTGGTGAATGCTGCCAATCCCATCTACCCCATCCCCCGGTCTCATCCCATCAAACCGTGACCGGAAGGGCTCCAGGTTTGAATCTGCCGCACACATAATCGACTGACGCAGATAGTCAAAGCAATGCACCGTGTGGCCTGGTGGTTTCTTGATTTGGCCCTGTAGGGCCTGGGAATACTCTTCGAAGATGAGATACTAGTGGAAAATATCGGTGAGTTCAAGTCTTATTTCACGTAGAATAGAATAGTAATGACGCACGAGGCAGTGAAGTTGATGGAAAACAGCTACGCAGAACCGGCCTGATTCATCGGTGTTGACACTTTGAATAAAATCAGGGATAGCGCCCAACTCTTTCACCTTTTTCATTTGAATATATCCCATTCCTCCTGATGTGAGGAGATTAAATTAGCAGGTGGATTCATAGTATAAACCGTAGCATACATACTTGGAAATAAATCCATCCACATGTCCCTGCTTTGATTTCCGTGAAAGATAGTGTAGAAAGGGTCAGGATTATAGGATTTCAAAACCGAACCAACTGCTCAGGCACAGACACACATTAACATACGGCTTGTAACGAGCAGAATAGGGAAACTCACGCGGTGGAGTCTTCAACCCCGGGAGCATTGTCGAGGTGTAACCATGCTCAGCCAGCGAAGACTGCGAGAAAAGAATAAAATAAAACACAAGAGCTATGATTGTTGAAACCGTAAAGCTTAGTAGCGCCACCAAAGGTATCAAACGCCTCCATAGCCACCGTTGTTTGCTTCGTTTCTCTTCTGTCTGAAGAAGAGGTTCATTTGAACAAACATCCTCCTCCATCATGGGTATTGAACAGAGCCAAATAGGTGTATTATCTTGAATAGAAAAGAGGAGAGACGAGAGTGCCGGTTGATCACAGATCGTAGCCCAGGGCTCTTTCTAATTACCCCTCTTTTTTTTTTTCTTATGCCTTGATGAACCGACAATTCTGTAAATTCGTGATTTTTAATCAAAATGCCACCAACATAGCTGCATATGCACATGCACATGCATTTTCAGATCATACGGAGTCCGAAGTGTTGTTATTTTCCCTATTTATAAATTGATCAGACGGCTGGCCGGTGGACCCTGCATTAGCTGCCTTGTAAGATAATTCATATCCGAACTGAAATACGTACCGAAGAGTATTTTTGTATTGCAAAAAAAACATCAATACCGACTGGCAGTTTGATTGAAGGTTCACGTGAGGAGAGGATTAAGGCAGGCAAGTGGTAGTAGTCATGGACCGATGACCTCTATCATCATCGCTTACGATGTGAAAATGGTCTAATTTCTGGCGGAGCCAAGTCATTGTGTTGCATTGGAGGGTATGCTATGTAGGAAACCTTTGCGCATGGGAAGGGCTCTAGATTGCAATACAAAGAAATATAGAAAAGGCGCAGTCACGAAAATTCCAGACACAGATAGAAAACTCATCCTCCTATGAATAAGTAGAACCACTCAAACCCACCGCAGATACAATAGTCTTCTCTCTGTCATGCACCCTCATAACCTGTTCACAATGCATAACATGACCATACGCTGCCTGGATGTTCATCTTGCCAAACAAAAATCCAGGCCTCAATTGTTTCCGCCAGCGATAGGTACAATGAGCAACATGCCAGTCCCAGTTTGTAAAGAATGGTAATCCTCGATCTGGCAGCAGGGACAGCTCCTCGACACCAAGTTCTCGAGTCCTGTTCTCGTCTGCCCAATAGGGCCATCGCCCGTTTGGTCCGGGCCCCATGCGATCAAACTCGGCACTAAGCTCGTCATCTCGACAGGCTACAGGTAGCCATGCAGCGGACATGGTATCGTACTTGCAGCCTTTACTTATTGCTTCAGCGGTAGAGCTTCCGCATTCGCAGTTGATGGGTTGATGCGATTGAATCAACGAGACTGTCTGGATGAGAAGACTTATGACGCCGTACAGGGCGAGTGAGATGTAGAGAACTGTTTTGAAGCGATGGAAGTATACTCTCCATGCCTGGCGTCGGGGAGGGGATTGTTCGATATCAGAGCCGTCCCACGGGAGTAGGTTCTCGCTTGAATCGTCGACGTTATCGTTTAGACTGAATATCTGTCAATGATGGGACATGGAGGAACACATTCAGCAATAGTGTTGGTACCTTTCTTCTTTATACTGAACGCTCATCTTGATACCCTATTCCAAGGCCGTGAAAAATATAAATGGAAAGAGGCAAAATATGTGATTGCAGCCGTCCAATGTTCGGATCACAGTACGAAAGGCCTTTTAAGCTGAAAATGAGTTGGTACAGAAGATCAGGTGAGATAGGATGAAAGATAAGATGAAAGGAAGGGGGAGGAGAGGGGAAATATGGAAAAAAAAACTGACACCAGGGGGAACTCTACCTGCATATTACCGTACCCTATAGTTACGTATGCATTTGTGTGCTATGGTTAGACTTGATAGATATTTTTTTGTCTATAACCTTGGAAGGAGGTTGTGTATTGCAAATACGAACTGCTTATGTAGGTAGTGTATACATATTCTTTTCTATTCACATGAATTGGTTACATTTAGTACAGATTTACGATCTATTAGCTAGAGAATGTTGATACTAGTTTTTATAAACGGTTTGTATTAATCCATTTTATCCGCATTGAGCCCGGCTGAAGACCGCGTATTGATCATCTGGAGAGGCAAACCGCTCTGAAAAGCAACATAACAGTGGTCAATATGGTCACCTCCGTCAAAACTCTTCTCAAGCATCATCTTTCCAGACTTTCGCGCTCGTGATTCCTTCTTCCAGTAAAAAAGACAATGTACAAGGTGCCATTCGTGAGTCGTCCAGAAAGTTGCCTCATCGCCTTCCATCTCAGCGAGTCGCGATACCTCCTCGACAGTCATAGTTCTATTGCCGCTCTGGTCCACATAGTACGTCCACTCCCCATCAGTACCGGGACCAGCATGATTGAATTCGTCAATGAGTTCGTCATCGCGGCATATGGGAGGAAGCCAAGAGGTTGCCATGGGATCATATTTACAACCATTCGCCAAAGCCTCCTGGACGGAATTCCCACAATTGCAATCCTGCTGTTTGAACCAGCGAGAAAAGGAAAATATAGAGAAAGGCACGGCTCCTAACACAAGAAAAGCAAGTGTGAATATGCGGATAGTCGTTGTTTTTCTCCTCGAGTAGGAGGTGTCGCTGGTTTCGTCTGGTGTCTCAGACAGAATCCGGTAATCTGTTTCAGCCTGTTTTAGTCTGCTTTGGGCGCTTATTTGATGAGTTTTCGATAATAGAGAGGTAGGCATACTTCGAGACGTGAAGAACTTCCAAATCATCAGGATATATTTTTGACGATTTCTATTCTGCGGTAGAAGTTGATTATGTCCTGAGAACCGACCAAAAATCATGAGAGAATAGTTCTTATAGCCCCAAAGGACAAAACTCAGTACGGGATTGCTTTGGAAAGTACGTGCAAACTACCGGATGTGTATGCAGTTGTAATATGTAGGCAGAAAATACTAGTCACCCCTATGATACGGTATGGAGCGCTAGCTACCCGTGGAAGGCTTGCATGTGACAAGGATATAGAATAAACTGTATCAGTCCTACTTAGGTAATACGGTGGATTCGTGATCTTCTTCCTAGTTTATTAGGCATCTAATGAGGCTAGTTCGAGAAGATCACCAAAAAAGAAGGGGTAGGCCACTTCCCTGATATGATGAGAATGTAACCTCATATGCATTCCTGGCATCCATGTCAAGCACATCATCCTGCTGACATATTTCGCAAAATGTTGATCTATCAGCAGTCATCGACTACCTAGGTAGATCTCAGCGAAGCGGTTTTGTGTGATGTAAATGCTGCTAAGTTGATGGTAGGGGGAATACTGTATGTTGATTTTTCCAAGCCCCAGTGATATTGAATACTGCTACAGTTCCGGTTGAAAAATTTCATAGTGTTTAGAGCATTAAACGGGGTTGGAATAAGCATTTTGCAAAGTATAATCTAGCCAATAGTGAATCATCCACATGACACTTGATAGTCTTGCTGATGTCTTGATGTAGGGTTATCAACACTACTAGGAATTGGACAGGGTCATGCAGGCCAGGCTCATAGATATTGTCAATTAATACAAGCAAAGCAAAGCTGTTTGGAGTTCCCCTCCACTTTTCTGAAACCCCCATCCTGAATCTTTCCGCCCTTCAGCCAATCAACCTCGCCCCGGAATGACAGACAAACTGAGTTTGCAGATATAGAACCACCATCGAAAGTCTTCCCTCCGAGAATAACATCATCCACTCGTCGTAGTTCCTCGTACATGAAAAAGGCCAAGTAGTAAGTGTCGATGTTCGTAATTGTCAATATCATGCGCAGCTGTAGATGGCACGTTTGTCGAGGTTCTCGCCCTCTTCGCCCTCCAGCTTGATGCATGGATAGATATTGGTGCGTTTCTCATAGTCACCACTCGTTAGACTGGCGTCGTGGGAGCTCTCGCTGAGAATTGGAGCAGCAGTGGCAAAGGCCACAAACATAGCAAAGGCAAAGAAACGCATGATGGCCAGGTGGTTTATCTTCAACGGGGAAGTGTTTTGAGACAAGATGTTGGTATGGATCGGGATGATGGAGTGAGAAAACGAGTATCGCAGTTTATCTTGGATGGCTGATAGTAGTTCTATATGATTCTGGGACTGACAGAGACTATTATATATGTTTGATCAAACTCCAGGGCTCTCCAGGATGCTGAGTCATAGAACCTGAATCGTATTTCATGATCGTCTACTGTCTACCTAGGAAATAGCCAAGTGCAGTCCTACCTCGTACTATTGAGGAATTTTTGCCATTGGACAACGTCCATAATCGCACTCGAAATAGCGAATGTTGATCTTTCTGTACACAGGAAGGTAGTATCATGCAAGGTAAGCATGACTAGGTAGTGCATTAGGGCATGCATTGAACGGAACCAGGTAGAATAGAACACATATCCCTGAATGAAAGGATTCGCCGAGTAGATCCCATGCAGGGGTAGGTAACGAAAATATGCGGTCTGCAAGATTGTACAACACATCTAAATTGGAGAAATTCAATGGCTAATGACCAGGCAGGCAAAGATCCCATACCCCTCAGCTCAATCCCCCTCCCTTTCCCCTACCCTCTGGAACATTCGGATGGGATATCACGTCTAGTGCGTCACCGTGCATGAGATTGTTCTGCGGTGGAAATTGCAGAGGTTAGTCAGGTAACAATCACCTGCGCCTTCCGGTTCTTGGCTGACTACTCTCGCTTGAACTTATATTTAATACGTGACATAAAGCTCTGGCGGGATTTGCAACCTTTCTGCACCCTACCTAGGTACACCATACGTCCAATTACTTCCATCATGTTCGAGAGAGATGGTCCCTCATATTCCAGGGTAGAGGTAGAAAACAAGGATTCGTTAGACGAATACTCTGGCTCTACCGATGGACTGCTAAATGAAAGCCGTACTGTGTCACTTCGAGAACGCTGGCTTCGGGGAGGCAAAAGTACCAAGGTGGCTTTAGCTCTTGCACTCTCTGGCCTCATCGGAACTCATATACTAGCCTTACTCCTGGGCCTAAAGCTGCAGCCAGGCGTGGATGATCTTTGTCTTCACCACAATTCAGCTTACTGTGAGTATTTGGAAATCTAGCTATACACTGTTGTAGGCGCTGATTTATACTGTCAACAGCACCGGTTCTGAAAGAAATAAACACCGAGTTACATCTTGTTCAATTCAACGGAACCCTAGGGCATCCCTCTGAGTTTACGGGTGATCCAAGTCCCAAATTGGATGCTGTGTGGGACAAGTGGGCGTACGGTAGGATACTGCTAAAGATCGTATTCAACTCAGCACATATCTGATAGCTAACGTTTATTGTCCCAGTCAAATATGCAAGTATTCCACCGGAAGAATTCCTAAAGCTTCCCGGCGCAGACCCGGAAGCTGCGCGGCTCACTCCTGAGTACGGAGGAGGATATATTGGTTTCTTGGAGGTCAGCCACCAACTACATGTGAGTGACCTCTTCAGTCTCGTCATGAATAATATGCAGAATACTAATTCCCTCGGCCAACAGTGCCTAAATATGATGCGTCAGGCTATGAACCAAGATTACTATAACAACCCCGATTTCCCCGAACAGCAAGCCCCAGTTTTCACTGATAGGCCATTTACTATCAAAATGCATCTACGTAAGTTATCTCACAAAGCCCATGGAGAGTTACGCAGCTGATTTAAATCAACAGAGCATTGCGTTGAGATTTTGCGCCAGAATATCATGTGCAATGCTGACGTTGGAATTATTCCTCATGAATGGGTTACCCAAACTCCAGACCCATTTGCCAACTTCAATACCTGGCACAAGTGTCGCGATCTCAGGAGCGTGGAGAATTGGATTCATGAGCATGAGATTCCTACTACGCCCGATGGGAGTGACTTGCCAATTCCTCTGGATTCGAAAATTTTTACCGCACTGCCGTAAGAAAGACATATACATGTTGGTCGGTTCGAGGCAAGGCAGTTAGTTTCTTTGATTAATTTTTTTTTTTGTTTACACGAACTATCTCGAATAGAACGATATATCTTTTTAAGGTTCCATTGACTTTCGAATATCATGTTCTGCTGGTATTGCTGCATCTGTGACTCTCAATAATACTAGTAGTATATCTATGAAACGTTAGTTCTTGTATAGAATATCAGACTAGGTCCTTCGTGGATCCGAAAGTTACAGTAGACGGGTTAAACCTTTGAAGCATCCATATAATTCCATTTCTTTAAACTACAACGTAAAGAAGTACTTTTGAAACAAAGTTCAATTCATTTACAGATAGAAAGCATATATCTGACGGGAATACGCAAAGAGACAGACATTTGTGAAAACTCGAGCACAAGCCCAGAAACAGAGCAAATGAGAACGAAATAGTGAAACGATAATGAAAATAACATGGGAATCAGGATATGAATATGAATATGAATATCGACGGGAACGAGGACGATCCGCGCAGAAATCGCACAACTTATTTGGATCTGAGAACAGCAATAAGATCGACACCGGACGTCTATGCCCCGAAGATCTTAGCTGAGGAACTCATAAATAAATGACCATTAGAAGCGTGTGTCTAGGACGAAATGAGAGACATGGCCCGTATGTGAACACACAGCTAGACGGGGCTGAAAAGGGGGGGGAGGGTTCCCAATACCAATCCCCTAAAGATATTACTGTAGCCACCTGACGATAATCAGAAGAAAGAATCCAAATTGCGTATATTGCGGGTCATAGTATCATATGAGCTTCATACATGTCGTCACATCGGGTCTGTCTGGGGTTTCATCACAGACCTTGTAAATAACCAAAAAAAAAAGAACGAAAGTAACGCTGCAACCAATATACAAAACAAACCGAGAACAAATTCCCACCATAACAAGGATAGACAATGACCAAAATTTCTGGTTTACAGGTTCGTTAATTTGCGGAACCAACTGGGCTTCTTAGCACCCGAACTCGGCGGAGCACCACCATGTCGGCTCCCCGGTTGGGACCTCATCCCACGATCACGTTCATAATCACCACTTCCAGAGCTGCTCTTCACACCTTCACGACGAGACCCACGATGCCGAGAACGCGCATCATCAATCTCTTCCTCATACTTAGCACGGCGACGGGCCTTACGGCGAACAGCGCGACGGGCTTCCTCGTCCGATGAAAGAGAATGAGAATGAGCATTGCCTGCATCATCAGCTGCAAGAGGAGGCAGATCAATAAGAGTGGGAACGATTTGCGGTGGCTCCGGAGGTTCATCACTTTGCGAGTAAACCCAAGAGGAAATCTTGTCCTTCCCACCACCACCGCCACGATTCAACCCACCAGTCATGAGCGGCTCCCGAGTTGGCTCAGGAGCGACCTTAGACTTGCGACGACGAGCGGTGGGTTCTTCAAACGCGCGGGAGCTACGAGCCTCTCGACGGTCGACATCACGCTCATCGGGAAAGACCTCATCAGGGATCCTTTGCTCGCGTTCACGACGTCGGTTCCCTCTCGCAGCCATCATCTCCTCTTCGCGCAGTCGCCGGCGCTCGCGGCGTTCTGCCGCTTTAGCTTCAGCCGCGGCTTCGGCTTCGGCTTCACGAGCTGCTTGCTCTTCTCGAGCACGACGTTCTTCGCGTGCAGCGCGCCGAGCACGCTTTTCTTCTCGCAAACGGTCTTCTTCTCGTAGGCGTTCTTCTTCTTCCTCTTCGCGGGCACGTTGTTCGCGTGCCCGCTCTTTTCGTCTCGCGCGTCGCTCCTCTGCTTCTCGAGCTTCGTTTTCACGAGAGTCAGAAGGTGCTTTGCGGGATCCACGCCGTGAGTGTCGTGCTGCGCGCCGAGCTTCCGCTTCGTCGGCCTCGGTCTCGCCACCTGCGCCTGCACCGGGCACGTCGGTCACGAACCCTTCGGCATCGGTGTCTGGTCGCACGGACCCTCGACGGCGATCCTCGCGGCGCGACCTGCGAGCGCCGTCGCGGTCCATTTCTGGCGGGTGCCTTGCGTCGTCATCACGGTACGAGCGCGACTTGCGTCTTTCAGGCATCTCTGGCCGTTCTGGGCGGTCTGGGCGCGTGCCTTTTCTCAAAGAATCAAGGAGGCCCATGAACCCACCGGACTCTTGTTTCTTCGGCGGCGCGGTGTTTGAGCGCTTCAGACGACGTTCTCTTGGAGGCGCATCAACAAATGCCATATCGTCAGGCCCTGACATTACATCTGCGGGGGATTTGCTTGATATGGATCAACCATGACAGCGTCGTCCTCGTCGTCAGGTCTGGGGCGCGACTGTGAAGGATCTTCCGTTAGTACACCGCCACAAGGAATACTGCCATCATCCCAACATACCTGTCTCTTTGACTTGCTCCTTGAGCCCTTGGAGCCCTCCCTGGGTGAGTGACCCTCGGCATCCTCCATGTCAACCATAACGAGGTCATCATCCTCGATCGCATACGGATCTCGAACTATTTCGTAGGCAATAAGTCAGCGACAATAAATGAGAAGTGACAGAAAATAACATACCTGATTTCCGTCTGTCCATGCGCGGGCGCTCACGTCGAGACTTGGAAGGATCCATGCCCATCAGCTTGGCTGCTTTGTCGGAAACCTCAGGCTTCTCATCCGGAGGTGCTAGATCGGCAGTTTTGTCGTCTATATCAACTGATGGACGCCTAGATACGGGTTTCGACGAAGAACCAGGTTTGCGAGTCGATTTGCTTTTGGACTGGGGTGTACCCAGTACCATGTTGGCCAAGGCCACGCCACGTTGGTTCTTCGACAAGCGCCCCTCTCGCTCTCGTCGCTTTTCCCGGTCAGATGCAGAAGACCTTTCCACTTCTGGTTCGGGGTCTTTAGGTCGAGATTTTCGAGTAGACTCTTTTTTCTTTGGAGGTTCTACTTCCTCCTGGATCTTGTTTTCCTTCTTACTCAACTTCTTTGGGGCTTCCACTTCCTCTTGGACCTTGGGTTCCTTCTTCAACTTCTTTGGAGGTTCTGCTTCCTCCTGAATCTTGTTTTCCTTCTTACTCGACTTCTTTGGGGGCGGCGGGCCCCCCCAAAAGCCGCCCCATGAAGAGGTGTTCGTATTCCGTTCAGCGCGCGCTCGCTCCTTCTTGGAAGGTTTTGGAGGCTCTTCGGCAGGCTCCGGCGGAGGAATGGGTGGAGCATCTTCCTCGTTCTCTTCTAGAACTTCGGCTTCAGGTTCGGGCTCAGGCTCTGGCTCCGGTTCTGGTTCTGGTTCTGGTTCTGGCTCTGGCTCTGGTTCCGGCTCCGGTTCTATCTCACGTGTATCTTCGGGAGGTGGTGGTGTTGGCTCCCTGGCAGCCGCCGCTGCGGCTGCAGCTGCGGCTCTCTCGGCTTCAGCCTTTTTATACTTCTTGAGTTCCTTTTTCGTCATTTTTGAAAGATCTGGGGCCGGTGGCTCAGGTTCCGGTTCCGGTTCGGGCTCTGGTTCTGGTTCTGGTTCAGGCTCTGGCTCGGGTTCAGGTTCAGGTTCAGGCTCGGGATCATCTCCAAAGTCTGGGAAGCTTCCAGGAACAGAGTCCTTGGAAACTTTCCTTTCTTCAAACTCAAGAGCTTCCGCTGTCTTAGACTTGGATTTTGAACTCTTCTTCGTTGGAGCAGGCTCCTCTACAGGAGGTTCAGGCTCTGGCTCTGGTTCCGGTTCCGGTTCGACCTTCTTTTCCTTGGATTTGCTCTTCGAGCTAGCTTTTTCTGCCTTTGCCTTCTCTTTCTTGGCCTGCTCCAGGGCCTTGATTCGTTCAGCAACACTGAGCTTGGAAGCCTTAGACTTAGATACCTTTTCGGGGGCAGGAGGCTCAGGTTCGGGTTCAGGCACTGGTTCCGGTTCCGGTTCAGGTTCAGGCTCTGCCTCTGGTTCAGGCTCAGGCTCTGGAGGATTGTCGCCAACATCAATAAGCAGGTCTTCCTCTTCTATAGGCTCAGGTTCCTTTTCTTTCGCTTTCTTAGTTGATTTGGTTTTGCTCGTAGAACCCCCAGTCAGGCTCGACCAGAAGCCTTTAGACGCTTTTTCCTCTTTGGGCGGTTCGATGGCTTTCGTGGTCTTTTTCGAGGTCTTAGGGGCTAGCTCCGCCCAAATGTCGTCGGCATTGTCGTGGAAAGCTTCCGGCTCTGGGGTCAGGCCCTGAGCAGGAGGTGTCGGCGCACGTGGGGGAGGTTCTTCAATATCCTTGCCCTTTTTCTTCTTTTTCTTGTCCTTTGCTGGCCCCCAAATGCCCCAGGAGTCCTCTTCGGCCGGTTTCTCAGGTTCAGGCTCCGGTTCTGGCTCTGGCTCTGGCTCCGGTTCAGGTTCAGGTTCAGGCTCAGGCACTGGTTCCGGTTCCGGTTCCGGTTCAACAACCGGTTCAGGCACTTCTTCAGGCGGCTTGTCGGACGGGAGCTCGAAGTCCTTGCCAGGAATGGGAAGGCCCTTGCGCATCAATTGTTTTTCTCGCTTCTTGCGTTCTTTAGACGATATCTCTCGCCAATTTTCGTATAGGGGCTCATCAGGCACCTTTGGCGCCTCGGGTTCAGGCTCAGGCTCAGGCTCAGGCTCAGGCTCAGGCTCGGGTTCGGGTTCCGGAATAGGTTCTGGCTCCGGTACTGGCTCAGCTTTGCCTTTGCTTTTCTTCTTGTCCTTTGGGGTAACTCCCCAGGCGGCAAAAACATCAACTGGCTCTTTTGCTTTCACTGGCGGCTCATCGATGATAGGCACCGGATCAGCTAAAAGGTCAATCTTCTTCTTCTTCTTATCTTTGGACTTCACTGGAACACCCCAACCCCAGTCATTATCACCCTCGGGTGGCTTTTGAGTCTCCTCGACCACCGGTTCAGGTTCGGGTTCAGGTACAGCTGCAGCTGCAGCCGCAGCCGCAGCCTCTGCCTCAGCTTCGGCTCTGGCTGCTTCCTGCTCTGCTGCCTCCTTTGCTGCAGCTTCATCCTCGTCTTTCCATTTCTTCTCCATCTCCTTCTTCGCTTTACGCTGCTCTCTCTTGGAGAGATTGAGATACCAGGCTTCCTGCGTGAAATCGACTCTGGGTGCAGGCGCAGGTGGAGGCGCAGGAGCCTCGGGTTCGGGCTCCGTCCCCTTCTTTTCATCTTTGCTAGCATCCCAACCTCCTCCCCAGTCATCCTCTTGCTTGGTTTCGGCGGGTGCGGACCCCAAGTCAAAATCGAAGTCGCCTGTCTGTGATGTTTTCTTCTTGGATGTTGCTCCCCAGGGGTTGTTATCCTTGGATTCGTCGTTGGGAGGAGGATCTCCAAGAGGATCAAGTTTGCCACCGGTATTCCAGTCTTTACCCCATCCCCCGAAACTAAACCCAGTTCCGCCGGTCTTGGGAGCCGGACTATCGAAGTTCAAGTCCAATTGCGGTGCGCCGTTATCCAGACTTATGTCCTGGAACCCCCCAGGCGGTGCTTCGTCCTGTGGTTTTACTTAGACACCCTTCTTGTACATTGGAGGAGGATGGTCTTACCTTTCCTTTCTTCTTTTTTCCTACATTCGTGAAGGAAGCCCACGAGTCATCGCCCCCACCTCCACCGGCGTCCTCAGCCCAGCTAAGATCTTTGGCAGCAGAGGCTTCAGCGGCCTTTCGTTCTTCCTCCTCCTTAGCTTGTCTCTCTTCCTCTTCCTTAGCGATTCTCTCTTCTTCTTCCTTGGATTTTCTTTCTTCCTCTTCCTCCTCCAGTTTCTTCTTCTTATCCTTCTTTCCGCTCACATTCCAGTCACCCCAATCATCACCACCATCTCCTCCGTCGCCGCCTCCAGCGCCGCCCGAATCACCAGCACCCCCACCGTCACCATTGGAATTGTCGTCTCCTCCACCATCCCCGCCTGCTGGTGGTGGCGGTGGAGGAGGGGGGGAAGGAGGCGCTGCTGCTTTCTTTGCTACCGCGGGCTTTTTCTTCTTATGTTCCCGAACACCCGTAGGATTCTCAAAATCAATGCGTACATCCAGCATACGATCTTTCAGCAGCGAGGATGACGGTTTACGCGATTTTTCACGAGTATTCGGCACGAGGGAAACAGCTGTCAATTTGCGCTGGGCAAGTGGAGGCAGTGCGGAGTATTCGGGAGGGAGATCATGAATCACATCGTCGTATGAAGGCGGAGGCTGGTCATACGACGGTGGCTCTAGTGAGCGAGTCGGAAAACGAGAACTTAATCCGGTGACTAAATCGCCTTTTTGTTGCACCCAGTTACCTGGTAGGTAAAACCTCGCTTGTTTAGTCGAGAACATAGTCCAGACCTCATCGAGAAGTTTCTCCTCCATTTGCACGTTCCGTGTGTTGTATGCGACATCCTCCGCGGCGCTTGACTTCCCCGCGCATACGCTATAAGACCCCTCAATCGCTTCCATGTCGAAAAATCGCATGCGCCGAGTTCACGGCCGGTCCGATCACTGATACGGCAACTCAGCGATGTCAAATAGCGAACTCATCGGTGGGTGGGTTGGATTCGAGTCCTGGTGGGGGATCTTGTCCCAATCGATAACGAACGGTGTTTTTGGGCGCGGAGTTGCGAGAGTGCGATATCGGTGTGGTAAGGTTGCGCGAGCGGGTATTGTGAGACTATTAGGAAATAGATCAAGTCAAATTCAAGTCAGATAGCCTCCCTGCACGACCGGCGCGAGTTCAGATGTTTTTTGGAAGCTGATAAGCGATATATAGACGGATTAAAAGACGGTGACACAGTCTGTAGAACTGTGCCTGCTGTAAATTGAACACAAGAAATTTCAAGGAGTCAAGGGAGTCAAGGGAGTCAAGGGAGAAAAATATGGAAAACCTAGACTGGGGAGGGGATCTTTTGGAGAGGCAGGGATAAGTTCAGGCGGTGGAGGTGAAGATCATCCCATTTAGCCCGCTAAGTTCAAGGTATGTACTCCGTCTGTACTCCGTACTCCGTACAATGTACTTGTTCAATGTTGCTATTGCATTTATGTGGTCGAGGGTGTTTTGATGTTAGCATAGAGGTTGTGAGTCACTCAAACTCGAACAACATACTCCGTACTTATATGAACACCCCGAGAGACAGAGAAAAAAAAACATAGATGGCTGGGAAACAGAATAGCCAAGTGCATACCTCTATGAAGTACTCCGTACAGAGCAAGTGCACTTTCCTTGAAACCGACAATATGTACACTGTACATATATGTATACTAAAATATGTATGTGTAGGTTTTTCTCTACAATCTGCATGGCATACTCGAGGAGTCAACAACCCAATGTTGCACAGACCCCGCGACAACAGTTCCCCAATTCCATGGTTCCCAACTTCGAGTCCATGGATTGCCAAAATATATCTTGTGCAGTACCGTGGTACGATGACCCATTTAAAGTCCAATTGCATGAAAGTATATGAAGTAGGTATATTCATAGTACAATACCCATAGTTCATATAATATACACTAAAAATTTTATACCTAAATGCAGGGACTGCGTTATATTTGTTGCACTCGTATAGTTCCGTTTGTACCTGCAATGTTCGCATTTTTACCCCAGAGGTAGGACCATAAACAACATATGTTTTACAAAAGTTGCATGCAGAAGCCCGTAGACGCTGCAAAATTCTCCTCGAGCCCAATTTACTCGATGCAAATCCCAGACTAAAAGGGCCACCTGCAAGTGCAACACATCCTTTGCACACCGCCACTTGAGCTTCGGAGTAAAAATAAGGGCCCAATGCGGGGTTGGTGGAGAGTCTGCGGCGGAAAGGAAGGATCAGAAGGCTCTTTTTCTCCCTGACTCATTGATTTAATGGAGACATTGTTATAAATGGAATTGAATTAGATTGGAGATGGTCTCTCCATGGATTCATTACGATATCCTATTGCAGCGCCTCCACGACAAAACAAAAACAATCAGTGTTAAGAAACAGCTTGACAGGACGAACTGCAATACAATAAGAAAATGCGCATCAGGCCATATGGGAAATTCAAAGCGGCATTTGACAAACAAGCTTGCGAGTCCAAACATGAGCTAACCGCTCTCCGAAAGAAAGCTCAACTAGGTCGACAACACCTCAATGGAAATCCGCGGTACATTTCAGGTTCAGATTTCAGACTCGGGTTGAAAGATCGGGTTCCGGTGATTGATGCCGAGACTGCTTGCGTGCTGGGGCTCCGTACACCTCCTCGTGCTCTTTCTCATACCGTTGACGATCTTCAACTTGCAATTGGTGGTAGCGCTAGATTCATAATCAGTGCCTGCAATCCGGTATATATCGATTCTGCCAAGGGTTCTTACATCTTTCTCCGATTGGGGTAGGTCATTCCATTCGTGGGCAATGGCTGTGAAGGTCTCTGTGCCGGGCTTTCCCCGGTAACCATGGGCATCGATGCGCTCCGTCAAGTATAGAATGTAGGCGGACTTGGGTATTTTGGGCATGCGCTCATCTTTGATGGGGGGGTAGTTCTTGTCCCCAAGACGCGAAAGGGTTAGGCGGGCACTGTTGGCATCCCTGATCTGGAGAGGTGTGTGCGACTTGACCCACGCGTTGTAGGTAGCGGCGTTAGCGGCTATGTTCGCCTTGGCCTGAGCTTGGAGTCTCTGGATTTGGGGGATTAGTATGCCGCCCCTAACGTATACGGAGAAGCTCAAGGGCACATACCTCCTCATCTTGAGGGCCGAGGGATGTGGCATGCTCTACACCAATCAGGAATGCTTCCTTGGCCGGGTATAGACCTTTGATCTCGCGCAGCTTCTCAGACAAAGCAAGACTGTAGGCAGAAGTGGGTAGCTTCTTGGGCCGCCGGGTCAGGGCAGTCGCCTTGAGCTCTTTGATATGAGCCCGGAGTTGCTTGATCTTCCGAATTCCCTGTTGCTCTTCGCTGAGAGGCTTGGCTTCGCTATCGGCTTTCTTGGAGCTCTTCGCCTTGGGGGTCTTGCTCGCCTTGAGAGGGGTAGAAGCAGTCGCGAATGAATTTGATTGGAACAGGGATTGGACAGAGGAAATGGATTGGAGTTGCGGGCGCGCCAGACCAGAGTTAGCTGTCAGACAGACGCGACCAAGCTGATTCTGCAAGTCGCTCACGCCAGTACGAGGAGGGAGAGCACCGCGGTGCAGGGTGCGGAGGAAGCCCCCCGAGCTGCCGACTGCCAAGACATGAAGTGATTATCGGAGTAGATTTAGCTGGAACGAGGTGGAATAATAAAGACCAAAATCAGAGAAATTAGAAATTGAATCTTCAAAAGCTAAGAATCGATAAGAGGAGCTGTTGACGCAAGCGGAGCAGGCGTCGCGCCTGCTTCCAAGGGTGTACCTATCCGCATTGGGCCTAGCTCCTCCGCATGGTCTTATGTAATCAGTTTCTTCATTCCAACGGTTTGCGCAAGTGAGGATGCAATAGACAAACACTTCACAAGTTCTTCTCTCTCGGTGGCCTGAGGCCTGAATTGTCGTCTCAACCCATTTTCTCAAGCGCTTTCTCTTTCCCCCCCTCTCTCCTCCTCCATCGATCCGTGTCCCGGGTGCTTTTGCGTTCCAGTAACACTCACTAATCAGCCTGCAACAATGGCTCGCCACGGAGATACCCGCTCACCATCACCTGTAGGCAGCACACTTTCTTCATCCCGACGGCCTCGCAGAGAGGATGATCGCTATGACAGAACCAGGCGGGATGATGGGCGCAGTTACCGCAGATCCCGCAGCCCAGAGGTACGTGTGGCGCATCACAGATTCATATCTTATCTTGCAAACTCTGACCATCCTTGTGATATCCAGAGACGGTACCGTGGGCGCGACCGCCCTCGCGATAGAGATGCATATCGACGACGAGACCTCCCCATAGACCGGCGCGACGAAGATACTTATCGGCCAGCTCGAAGAGACCGATCCCGAGAACGGCGACGAGATGACGACCATGATCTCCGCCGCAGAAGTCGTGATAGGGATTACCGTTCCAGGCGAGATGACTCCCGGAATCGGGACCGCAGGCGGATAGATGATTCTGCTGACTTGAAGCCCAAGTCTAGACGGGATGACAGCCGTGATGGTGCTCCGAGCCGACGGTCCAGGTCCATAACCCGAGAGGTAAGCTCCCCGCATCTTGTATCATGGCGAGCCCTTGATATTAATTGTATCCCGCAGCCATCAAAGCCGTCCACCCCGGCACCCACTACCCAGACAGACGAGCAGAAGAAAGCAGAGAGACTTGCCAAGCTTGAAGCATGGAAACAGAAGCAGGCGGCCGAACGCGAAAAGAAGCAAAAAGAACAGGCATCAGTTGATCCCAAAAAGATCCTCGAAGCGATTGACCGTAAATCGGTTGTCTCTCCAGGTCCTACCGCATTTCCCGGAAAGTTGAAGTTTGATCCAAAGGCCATCGTCAAATCATCAACCACGACCACCGCTGCTCCCGCCGTGCTTGGTACCGATGTTGCCGTCCCGACGTCTGTCAAAGTTGCGTCTGTGACAAAATCCAATATACCTAGTGCTGCGCCCGCCACGCTCTCTGGTCCCTTGAAAGCCAAAGGTAATGTCAGCGGATTTGGCCTGGGTGCGAAACAAGTTTCTGAAACAGAGAAACCCTCTGCTTCTAATACTCTGGGCTTTGGAGATGGAGACGAGGGATCCACGCGCAAGAAACTAGAAAAATTACCGACCACGCCTCTCGATGTGAGTGCACAGGTGGACGATGCTGGGGAAGATGATGATGTAGACATGCAAGTTGAAGGAACGGAAGAACACGCAGCAGCCGAAGCGCGTGCCGCAACTGAACGCCGCGATACACGACTCCAAAATGAAAATGGTGATGTCCATATGGAGGAGTCAACGAACACCCAGGCCGATTCTACCCCCATGGAGGTTGACGAAGCCGAAGAAGTCGATCCCCTCGATGCTTTCATGGCTGAACTCCAAGGCTCAACACCGCCTGAACGGACAGTTGGGGCCACCTTTGCTAAGAAGAACACACAGCAACAACCCGAGGCGATGTTTGGCGACGATGAGGATGTGGATGTGACTGCAGTTGGTGACGAGAAGGCTGAAGATGTCCTCGCCCTGGCGGCAATCAAAAAGAAGAAGCGGGAGATGCCTGATATCGACCATGCCAAGATTGAGTACGAGCCGTTCCGCAAGCAATTTTACACCGAACCGTCCAACCTTGCCGAGATGACCGAGGAGGAGGTGGCAAACTTGCGACTTGAACTGGATGGCATCAAGGTCCGCGGTCGCGACGTCCCTAAGCCTGTTCAAAAGTGGTCACAATGCGGTTTGGGCGTTCAGACATTAGATGTTGTTCACAAACTCGGGTGGGAAACCCTTACCTCCATCCAAGCGCAAGCAATCCCCACGATCATGTCAGGTCGCGATGTCATCGGCGTGGCAAAAACTGGCTCAGGAAAGACCGGTGCTTTCCTGGTTCCCATGTTCCGACATATCAAAGACCAACGGCCCTTGGCTAGTACGGATGGCCCCATCAGTATGATCTTGTCACCCACCCGTGAACTCGCCACCCAAATCCATAAAGACTGCAAGCCTTTCTTGAAGGCCCTGGGTCTTCGTGCTGTCTGCGCGTATGGCGGAGCCCCGATCAAAGACCAAATTGCCGAGCTGAAACGAGGTGCGGAAATTATTGTATGCACTGCTGGTCGCCTCATCGATCTGCTGGCCGCAAACCAAGGACGTGTCCTCAATCTACGCCGTATCACGTATGTCGTCCTAGATGAGGGAGACCGCATGTTCGATATGGGCTTTGGCCCACAAGTTGTGAAGATCATGGCTAGCATCCGACCAGACAGGCAGACTGTCCTTTTTTCGGCCACGTTTCCTAAGAGTATGGAAGCTTTGGCACGGAAAACCTTGAACGAGCCAGTGGAGATCACTGTGGGTGGCAGGAGTGTTGTGGCTCCCGAAATCACGCAAATTGTTGAGGTCCGTAATAACGATCAGAAGTTCTTCCGCCTGTTGGAGCTCCTCGGAAATCTGTACGAAGACGACGCGAATGAAGATTATCGCACGTTGATTTTTGTGGACCGGCAAGAGGCCGCAGATGACTTGCTCAAGCAGTTGATGTATAAAGGTTATCCATGCATGTCGATTCACGGCGGAAAAGACCAGATTGATCGTGACAGCACGATTCAAGAATTCAAGGCCGGCATTTTCCCTATCCTGGTCGCAACGTCAGTTGCTGCTCGTGGGTTAGATGTCAAGCAGCTCAAGCTCGTCGTCAACTATGATGCACCTAATCACCTGGAGGATTATGTCCATCGTGCCGGCCGCACTGGACGTGCTGGCAACACCGGAACCGCCGTCACGTTCGTCACCGAAGAACAGGATCGTTATGCATTGGATATTGCAAAAGCTCTCAAACAAAGTGGACAGGAAGTCCCCGAGCCTCTCCAAAAGTTGGTTGATGGGTTCAATGAGAAGGTCAAGTCTGGCAAGGAGAAGAATTTCTCGCGCCATGGATTTGGTGGTAAGGGTCTGGACCGTCTTAATATGGAACGTGAAACTGCGCGACAGCGTGAGCGGAAAGCATACAAAACCGGTGATGACGATGAGGAGGAGGATAAACTTGAGACTGAGCAGGAGTCAGATGATCGATTCAACAAGGCTCTTTCAGCTGTCAGATCCGCTGCTGACCCGGCTGTTGCACCAGCTACACCTTCAGTTTCTATGCCGGGTGTGCCGAAGGGCATTGATCTTGATGGCAAGATCGTCGTTCATCGTACAGAGAGAGCGCCGGCGAATGCTTCAAAGAACCCGTTGGATAAGGTGGGCTCCGCCGTTGCGGATATCCACGCACGTTTGAGTCGTGCAGGTGTGATGAGATCTGGTGTGCCTATTGATAACCGCGGCCCTGATGCCGGAGCTTTCCATGCAACGTTGGAAATCAATGACTTCCCTCGTAAGTTATTCCATATTCCTCCCATCTTTGAGAAAATTACTTACCATTTCATTCTGTCATACAGAAAAAGCACGTTGGGCCGTTACAAACCGCACGAACGTGGCAAAGATCCTGGAAGCATCCGGAACCTCCATCACCACCAAGGGCAATTTCTACGCCGCCGGGAAGGAACCCGCTCCCGGGGAGCTTCCCAAGCTGTACATTCTGGTTGAGGGTGAGACGGAGATTTCAGTCACCACCGCCATCCATGAGCTTAGACGCCTACTCAAGGACGCAACACTCGCCGCCTCAGAGGGTGAGGCGCGCGCCCCGGTGGGTGGCCGTTACAATGTTCTTTAGGTTACTCTTTAGTATAGAAGACTCCAAAATATGTGCTGAATAAATCAATGACTGTACGATATCCTTGGTGTGTCTTTATGTAGAAGCTGTAGCTAAAGACTATTCATGATTTCTCTCATCTGGTAGTGGAATTGGAGGAACATTGGCTAATCAGAGTAACAACAAGGCCAGCATCATCACATCATTTAAACTATCAAAGAGTAGGTTGATTCCACAATTACATCGACAAACAACAAGTCAAAGGACTTCAACAGAAAAACCAAACATACGCTATCAAGAGACATAATAAGCTCGCAAATATAACGCCAAGAAACAAATCGCCGGGATATAATGGCAGTCATGATCAAATCCAAATGTCGCATGGGTATGCCTATTCCCATCTCCGTGCAGCCTCGGCCCCATCTACGTCTCGCGCGGCCCTCTCTGTGCGACTGACTTGATCCAATGTCTGAGCCTGGGTTTGTGCCTTCTGTGCAGCCAGCTTTGAGCCCAATTTCCCTTTACTGGCAGAGGCGCCTTCGGCGCGTTTCTGTAACACACAAGTCAGCAATCGTAGCCCTGCATAGCATATGTTGGTCGGAAATTAGCTGTCATACCTGTGCAGCAATTGCGGCATTTGCACGTGCCTCGTCCGTTCCGGCAGTACTACCATCTGCAGTGCTCTCACCCAGAGTGCGGCCGGGTGTAGCCTTCCAGTTTGTCTTGGCCGGAAGTGGGGCGCGGGGTGCGGCAGTCCTCCCTGGACTGGTGCCGACTACACGGCCCGGTTGGTTGAAGGGGTCTGCCTCATTTGAAGAGCGGGAGCAGATGTTGCCCATTGTGATTGTGTAGTGAGCCGCAGGAATCGGAGAGTTTGTTGCGGTTAGTCTGGGGTCCGCGTAAGGCAGGGAAGGGTTGTTGATTAGAGCTTCGGCTACAGTGAGGGGTTGATGTTCGAGGAAACCAATTGAGTGTAGGGTGTTTCTCTAGGGTAGGTTTTGCAAATGCTATGCTGGCTGTCAATCAAGTTATATGTTGTTCGCGTTGTTTGTGGGTCATCGCAAGTGGATGTTGGAGCATTGCGATAAGCTGATAGTCGATCCGGGGCAAAGGCGGTGAACGGGGACCGCAACTGATTTCAGTAAGTCGGGCTACGCATTTGGGTTTAGTAGGATATATTGAAGGTAAACATGTCGTCAGCTCATAAATTCTATTAACTGACTCAACATTGAACTTTCTCCTATGCACCGCATGCAAACTGCACACAAACTACCCGATTAGGGTTAGTAAGGCAGGTCGGACTAGAGGGGCAGAATATAGCTTAGTCAGGACTCCCCTTGGAGGGAAATCAACTCCGCGGGGAAAGGAATTCTTCGCTGGAATGCTGGGAACATTTTCCAGTTCCTATTGTTCTGTGGTCTATATTTCCTGCAGTTTTGACTCTATATCACATCCATCACAATATTTCCCGAATTGCTCGCCAAAGCACGCTATACGATTCGCTCGAAAATCATGACGCCTAACCCCCAAGGTCCTCATCCTCTCCAACGTCCCGAAGGTCCTCACGGCTACACTGAGGGGTCTCAGTCGGCACCAGGTTATGCCCCCTGATCCTCTCAAAATCCTTTGGATTTGATCCTGCATCTGCGACTCCAAGGTCCTCCTTTTTTTGCTGTTCCTGCACGTCGATCTCGGTTAATTCTCCGATTGCGCCTGTTCTCAACCAGTCCAGTCCAAGCGCATGACACGATTGCGAATCTATCCGCACTGTGAGAGGATATCATTCGGTGCTACAACCTAAACTGTCTCCCGGGAACGGCGCACACACTGGGTGACACTTTGACTCGTGGGTTCGTGGTTTTTGTAGCGGGATATCGTACCTGACGGGCATTCACTGTCCCACTTACGGTCGCACACTGATCGGTTCCTCGACTGCATTTTCCCCATATCGTTCGTTGTACACGCTGTTGTGACGACACTGTTCCTAGCGAACCCGGTTCGATTTCGACCCCAACACTTTCCCTCTATCATCTGAAGTGAACCGTGCACCATGGCGTCCCAAACCCAACAAGGCGATTTCTGCCTTGAATGCAACTGGGAAGCCTTCCACATTGATGGCAAGGCCGCGGTAGATCCATCGGGTAACGTTCTTCAACATCATTGGAACTGTTCAAGTCATGAAACCCAGACACCGCTGCCCCCTTGTGAGGTTGATGAGGCCTGCTGTGATGTAGACGACTGCGCGCTAGACTGCGGGTCCATATGCGGCGGCTTTACCGGCTGTGACACTTCCACCGTCTGCTCAGTTACTCACTGCGAGGATGACAACTGTGATGACGACAACTGTGACGATAACCAGTGCGACGATACTCATTGCGATACCAACCACTGCGAAGAGGATAACTGCCAGGACAACCACTGTGAAAGTATTGACCCTCTGTGCTTCGAAGACCACTGCTGTGAAGGTACCGCGAGTCAAGACTGTGGCTTTGACGCTCTGTTTGGACTCAACACCCCACTGTCGCTAGACACGGGGGTTTTCCCTTCCATGACAATGGGAAATCCTTCCGTTGGCCATGGGACAAAAGCCATGCAGCATCCTCTCCCTGGTGTCGTCGATCCATTTCAACAAGAAAACTTCTTATCCTCATACCAAACGCATGCCACACACTGCGAACAGGAGGTATCCAACCATTTCGAGTGCCATGATTTCCAGAAAGACTGGCAAGGGATGTTCGCGACGCCTCCTGTTCCCACGCAAGCCGAAGTCAACCCAGCGGAGGTTTTCCACATGCTTGGTATGTGTTCCGACTTCTCGATATGCCAAGATCAACACGTACCTGAGCCTCAGACCGGCCTCAATACCTTCGACAAACCCAAAATCGACACATCAGACGCATTCAATTGCTTCCATCCTGAACATCATCATGTCCACAACCATTTCAAAAACCCAAATGATTTTAACTTGCAAACTATCCGCAAAGGACCTCACCGCAACCATCATCGCTGCCGAGCTCACCACCATGCTCATTCTCACCCGTATTCCCCTTATTCCCGACAGTCTCGCTCAAGCATCAGCTCTCACCTCCTTTCCAGTCCAGGAGAGACCCCACCACCTCTCGAAGGCGATTCCTCATCCGTGCTTACCACACCGGACTTTTCTCCGGCTGACAGTAAGCTGCACATCTGCAAGTGGGCAACGGAAATTCATGGAATCAAGGCTGCTTGCGGTGCGACCTTTGCCGATTGTGGTTCTCTTCAAGACCACCTCGTTGCCAGTCATATGAATACCGTGAACGGTGCCAAGGGCAATGGGTACTACTGCTGCTGGGAAGGATGTCATCGTCCGGACGAGCCCTTCTCGCAGAAGTCCAAGCTTCAAGGTCATTTCCTTACACACAGTAACTGTACGTCATATGTCCCATCTCCCTATCTACGGACAAATGTACTGACGCGAATGGCATCTTTCCAGACAAGAACTTTTCGTGCTCGGTGTGTGGCAAGGCGTTTGCTAGACAAGCCACATTAGACCGACACGAGCGCAGTCACCGCGGCGATAAACCATACACATGCAAACACTGCGGTAAATCATTTACAGATAGCAGCGAATTGAGTATGTCGCCTTGGAATTCCTTCTTGGATCTACCGCTAACTATTTCAGAAACACATTCGCGAACCCACACTGGCGAAAAGCCTTTCAAATGCACCTGGCCAGGATGCAACTTCACCACGGGCGACGTGAGTTTCTCTATCTCGTGTCATATCTCGGCTCATATTCTAACACCGAACCAGTCTTCCAATATGTCTAGTCACAGACTTAGTATGATACTCCTTCCATTCAAGACCTTTACCTTATTTTACTGACTCCATCTAGCCCACGGAGAGCGAAGACACAAATGCCTTTTCCCAGGGTGCACTAAGAGCTTTACACGCCCTGGTAAGTTCTCTGTTACCTAAGCCTTGTTTTTAATCGCCTACATACTAACATTAATTCTTTGTAGACCAATTGAAACGCCACCAGAAAACAACACATAAACAAGAATCCTCCTCGTCACTCCCATCACCGAGCCCCGATCACTTCAATATGACCCCCTTCACTCTCGTCTAATGAACCACCCCCTTTGAATGCATCATTGTATGCAATTGTCATGTCTTACGACCCAACAGATTAAGGCGCTATTTGCCGCCGGGCGTACTACGGATGGACAAGAAACACTTTGTTTCTGGCGTTTTTGCGGATTTTCGAGAACTACCAAAAAACTTGATACCACCTGGCCTTGATGTTGCCGGGACCTTTCACCAATGATTTAATTGATATATTGTATTAGAGCCTAAACCGATCAACTCTTTGATTGGCCCAGGTGATCTATTTCCTATGTGGTTTAATTATGTTATGATTTGCTTTTATGAACTCGCATACTAGGTATGATACGTAGGTAAAATGAAGCTTGCAGAATCAAGATGCAGCTTTATTTCTTTCGCTGGTATGAACCACAACATACAAAGGTACCAGCTAGACCTTAAAATATACAATTGTCGCATCTAGATATGGAACCCACATCATCGGTGCACCTCAATAGTGATAAACCGGAGTTTGACCAGCCATACAACAAAGTGCGATCAATCTGCCGTAGCCCTCTCCTCGAGCGCCTCAACAGCATTCTTCAACTCCCGAATCCGATGCCCAACCCGCCGACGCACCTCCTCCTTAACACTCTGCGGGACCTCCGCCGGATTGTATTGAGTCTCGACAATAGCACTCTCCCCGGACTCCTCTGCCTCAGACAGCGACTCATCCGTCTCATTTTCAACTTCCCCGGGACGAGCAGTGTAGAGGCCGTACACAGCGGACAGTTGGTTGAGAGCATCACGGGCAGACTCGCGGTCCGAAGCAGCGTAGATGGTAGATGAGTCGGTGCTCTCAGTGGCAATTTCGAACTCGTCTTTGGCGACTTCGTACAGTTCTTGTAATTCCTCGACCAGGAGATCGGCTTCGGCTTTGCCTGTGGATCCTTTTCGGTCGGCGTAGGCCCTCGCTGTGGGCTTAGGGAGCGATGCTCGGAGAGACAATCGTAATTGGGATGAGATTGGGATAGTTCGTAGTTTGCTAGAGCTTGACAGGCTGTGCAAAGAGCGAGAGATGGGATGCAGCTGTATGGAGGGTCGGTTGACATGGTGCGATTGTAGACCTCCAAGGCGGAGGAGTGGGGAGCCACGCGCAGATCGAATGCATGGTAGGGCGGACATTTTAGAAATAGGTGCGAATGAAGTAAATCAGATTGGACTCTGTGAATGATTTTCAAGAACACAGCTGAGCTGTTATAAGAGACCGACGCTCGGTGATGACGTCGTCGGCAATCTATCGCATCACGTGGTGATAAGGAATTGGCCAGCCTGCTCCCGACCTCAGGTCCCACTGTACATACTACCTAGGTAGTACTAACTCTCTAACCCGCCCTTACATTCTTTTTACAAAAATTACAGACCCTCCCTCAGACCCTCCTAACGGAGGGTCCGACAGCCATATGAAAGGGATCACTTATATGACTCTGTACCTTTTACTAGGCGGCCCATACAAAAGTACAATAAACCCAAGTTTTTAGTACTACAGTTTTCTTTGAAGCTTTAGTATAACCTATAATATATAATGATATGCTTTATTTGAAGAACATATTCGAATCTTAGTCTAGGTTTAGGGAACCCTCTTATAGTGTTACGATTTGAAACTTAAACCTACTGGCGCGCCTAATATAAGAAATATAACTATGAAGGCGTTCCTGGAACTTGCTCTTTAAATTTTACTATAGAACATGATATTGGAATATTTTAACGGCTACATAACCCCTGATATTTGCTAAACTGTCTGGCCTAGGTCATTTAGAATCAACGATTGCATTCTGAAGATACATAATTCAGTCAATGTTTCCTGTTGTTCTCTAGATGGGACGGGACCCCACATCCAGCTCGAATTCCTCCAACCTATGGAATAGGTTGAAGCCTTCAGACGAGTAGTCCTGTAGATATTCGGGCCAACTCCCTTCCCAAATTCTAGGGTCGGTAGTCCCCATTGATTTCTCTTCATTTGAACCGACATGAGGTCGAATACAGCCGGGAAAGAAGATATCTCGTTTCGTCCCCATCCCACGCTTCGGTACTTGGAAATCTTTTTCGAAGGGATTTTCCTCAGATCCGTAAAGGAAACCATGAATCTCTTTTTCGAGCCGAATTCCTCGCCCGTTTTCGCAGGGATGATAGGCTTCCGCGTAGAAAGTCCCTCGAGAGCATGGATGGACCCCTTTATCCAAGAACGCACTCGTGCATGGATGACATTCATCCGCAATCATGACAAGAGATGGCCTCTCGGATCTATCCCGCTCGTGCCATTTGAGCTTTTGCCGTATTTCCTCCAGTAAACCATGGAACATGCCGAATCGTTCCAAATTTTCTGACTTGCGCCAGTCGTCGAAAGTGCCTTGGCCGTAGAATCGCAGCCGGTTGAGTTCAATTGATTGCACTGTTTGTGGTAATTTACTAAGCGTCTCTAGCAAATCCGACGGTGTTATCTCAAGCCGTGTGATACCGAAATGGGCAAGCTTCGGCCACTGATCAAAAGGGAGAATCTTTTGTAAAGACATGAATCCGTTGTGTTCCCTATGTCCAAAATAATGAGACTCAATGACAAGCGTAGTCGATATATTGATGTGTGTCAAATCTTTGGCTTGTCGAAGAGCCCGTCGGAAGTCTCCGGTCGCAAAGCTTTGCAGCCCTTGTTCATCGATGAAGAGAGTCAAATCAAAGCGCCGAAGTCCCGGCCGCTTGAGCAGCAGCATAAAGTGGTCGTATTCCTCACACGGTCGAGTGAACATTTCGTGATGAACACCTGTGTTGAGTTTATCTGCATCGAATCTCAATTCGGATACATGATGGTCGCATTGGGAGAGGCATTTCAAAACGGTCCTAACCCCCTCCAAAGCTCTTTGTAACTTTCATCTGCGGTGCGGTGCTCTGGGCTTAAAAGTGTGTTTGGTACGTTTCTTGCATTCTCCAAGGTCCATGAGCAAGGTGCCGGGTATTCAGGGGACATTGGCCAAGGAGTGGGCCATCCCATTGGGATCGGGTAGTTGAATCCATACGGGAACGCACGAATGAACGGTGTTTCATAAAGCGGGCAGAATAACCACCCATGCGCTGCAGGTGTGACCGCAACCTTCGTCAATTGCGGAAAGCGATTTAGGCCATAAACAAAAGCATCTTTGTCAGCGCCAGATTTGAGAACCTCATCTTGCAGCTTTTTCAACTTCGTATAGTGGTCGTAACATTGTTTTATAGGCAGGAGAGCCCTCAACTGTCTCTCAAGAGAAGCATGGGCAGGCCTTTCGATGTCCGCGGTCTTCCGAGCCCTCATACTTATTATGTTCTCTCTGCATCTGTAAACAAACCAGAAGGGGGCTTCGTGATGATCACTCCACTCCGTGAGCATTTCTTGATCATAATCTGCTAGCTCGGTCGAAAGAGACCATGGTTCTGAAACAAAACGCGCATCGTCCCAAATAATCTTCTTTATTTGATGGCGAAGAGTAGGGTGGTCCGCAACAGCACGAAACACCTCAATATCCAACGGGTTTGCAGACAGAAACACTCGCGAAAAGCTCAATGACACCGTATTGTTCAGATATTTGCAAGTCAAGCGCAGAGACTTTACATCGCGATTGGTCAAAAATGATCGGACCATGTAAAGAATATCGACTGAAATGTCGACCAGGGAAGGTCCGTGGGAAGCCATACCAGAGTAAGAAGCGATGGTAAGTGGCTTCTAAAAGCCCGCTATAAAAAAGGAGTTCTTATTTGGGGTAGATGGCCCTAGGCCCTAGGGGCCGCCCCCACTCCATCCCAATCAGAAAAGAATCGGTTTGTAGCATTCCTCTCGGATGAAATGATTATTTCGCTCTATATGTCTCTCTGAGACATAATACGATACATACGACCATAGGGTGTGGAAAACAGGGCTTCCCGTCCGCTCAGCCGTACTTAAGCCACACGCCGGTGAGTTAGTAGTTGGGTGGGTGACCACCAGCGAATCCTCACTGTTGTATGTTTTTGTGGTTTTTTCTTTTTGTTCTTTTGATCATCATTCTTCATTTTGTCACTGATAGTAAGATTTTATCGATATAGGTTCTGTTATAGGAATATACTCCGCTTACTATAGTAGAGGCTACTGCCTAGGAACCTTGCTAGATCCCCTATTTCATTAATTTAAAGGCGATAGCTAACTTGAGCTAAATTAAACTAGGTATTATTACTACAGCCTCACGTATAGATCTATCCCGAGTAGCTATCCTGAGGTTTCTGGTTCAGCCCGGAGCCGAGATTTTTCATTCCCTTATTAGAAAAAAAAAGGAGACTGATATCAAGCAAAGTCCTGCAGAGCCTTCGGAAAGGACATATAGTACAATCGATGAATCTATTGTCTATAAGAAGGGCTGCCGACACACTATTTTATTCTCTGACACACATCCACTAAGCTACTTTAGGTATGCCACCGCTGGCCACAGCTTTTAACCACCTTGTGTAAATTATTATGGTGCCTCTATACTATTCTCAACAAATATCATATAACTTGCGACATGGTGGCACATGCATCTTGGAGTGTGATTCGGGGCTACCTGTGGGAAAAATAAGACCATAGCAAAAACCTCGGTTCCTGTTTAGGACCTTGGGGGGCCATATTCCTAGTTTGACACTATCTAACAATCCACGCACCCCGCACAGCCCGGAAAGCAACAATCTCCGGGAAACTAAGGGTGATCCATGGATGGCCCTCTACTGTAAGCCATCTCCACCCGCAGGTGCAGGGTCCACCATCGGGGAGGGTCCATGACCCCGTACCTGCCATTACCATTGAGCGATAGTGGCCTTAGATGCGCCTCCAAACCCAACCAACCTGCACCACACGAGCCACGAGGAAGAAAGTAGCACCGACGAACATTGTGAGTCCACAGAAGATTTGCAGGTACAAGTAGCCACCTCCATCATGTGCAACCAGAGCTCCAGCAACTGGATTTCCGGTCAAGGCTGCGATACTGATGATGAAGAAGTTCGAGCCGTTATGGATGCCGATATTCCGGACATCCTTCGTCACCTGTGCCACAATAGCCGGAATCATGCTCACGAAGGTGCCACTGGTAAATCCAAAGAACGCCGAGAAGATGATGATCGGGACATTGCCATGACCGGGAATCCAGAGTGCTAGAACAATGATACTGGTGACATATGTGGTGATGATCATGACATTGAAGCGGCCGAAGTGGTCTCCAAGCCAGCCGGGGAGAATACGGCCGAACACACTATAATCAAGATCAGTATACGCCAACAATCGGAATGTGGAGGTAAGGATGACATACCTGCCAGCGTTCAAGATAGCCAGGAGATAGCCAGAGAGATTCAAAGACATGCCATCGTGCTGCGCCTGCAGAATGATGAAATTGGTCGGCAGGAAAACTCCCCAGAAGAAAAAGAAGCTTCCAATAGCGACGAAGAGGAACGTAGGCTCCTTGAATGGGGCCAGAAATTGGCTTGCGGCAACGGGGGTAGGCTTTGGAGGCAGACGAGACCGAATAGTCAGGTTGCCGATAATAAGCAGGCCCAAGAACAAGAATGCCACTGCACGCATGGACCAGGCAAATCCAGCAGTCGGAATGAGTCGGTCAATCATGATCCTACAAGGACATCAATTAGATGCATGCCTGGGATAAGATTAAGCAAACCTACTTACGGAAGAATGACACCCGCCAGGGAGGATCCTGCAGCAATGATGCCAAAGGCCAAGCCGCGCCTCTTCAAAAACCAGGTACCAATAGGGTTAAGACAACCGTAGAAGATAGCGCTGGCACCTAAGGCACTGAGGATTGCCTGAGCCAGGAAGAACTGGTAGTACTCAGAGGCCAGACTGGTCATCATCAGACCCAGGACGTGACAGACCGTGCCGACCATGAGCATGTATCGAGGGCCGAAGCTGTCGAAAAGCTTGCCGAAAAAGGGAGCGCCGAGGAACGTCATGAAGGTCTCCGTGGAGCTGATCCAAGCGACCGAAGACGCGGAGTACGACGCGAGTTGGTTACGCTGATAGTAGTCTTGGAAGACTCCGATGCAATTGATCCAGCCCATCGACGCAAACATGCAGCACCAGGACCCTGCCACGACCGTCCACGCTCGCAGGCCTCCATCAGGAAAGTCTGCTGGATTGGGGCCAGTGGGTTTGGGAGCCGGGATATCGTCGAAGACTGCTTCCTTACTGTCGACATCGGAAGATGCATTTTCCTGAGGATTGTGCTTCTCTAAATCGGCGCTGCAGGAAGACGAGCTGTTGCTGTCTTGGGGAAGACTCATTATGGCGTTTTGTCGGGAATCGGGTTATTCAACAGTATCGATTTTGGGGTTCGTCTGACTTGAACCGAGCTGATCGTGTCCGAACACGGGGATATGGATGCTGGGTTTAAAGGCTTAAACAAGGTATAGATCTCGATCGTGATTTCTTGGCTGGAGAAACAGTCTTCTTAAGTATAGTCCGCTAGCAGACCGACACACGGGGTCGGGCTTAAGGACGGAGCCCGAATTGGACCGAAGACGCGAGGGCATCCTGTTGTTTCTTTAGCGGACTCGAGTACGAAGTACAACTCAGGCGTTCCAAATTGACAGAGCAACCCGGGAGCCACTAGTCGCCCTTCATACCTAGTAAGTGCTTAATATGCCCTATAGCCAATCAGAACAGACAGACTAGAGGCCACGCTAAACCAAAGTCGGAATATCTACATCCCACCGGAAACTAAACCGCATTGGGATATCAACCCCCACATTGGAGACGCCCTGAGATCGGAATCCCACCGGGCCAACGCCGACTCCAAATGTCGACATATATCGCGCTCACCTGGGCAAGGAATTTTGCTTACATCAATTAGAAGGAGTAACCTATGATACCATGAGAGAGCTGTCAAAATAGTATTACTAGCAGGGCAGAGATTGGTATCTTAACGAGTTCATCTCCCCAATCTCCGGTTGCAAAGACGACGTTCTTGACCGGCCGCTTCTACTTGTTTTGACTGCGATTGCCATCCTCCTTTCGTTCCTTTGGCTATCGCCACTGACTCATCATCAGACCACAGTCATCACACTTCCATCGCTGACACTATCTCTCATACAGCTGCCGCAACTATGTCCTTTGACACAATGCGCGCCGTTGTGATGCACGAGATCGGTGGCCCCGGAGTGTTGAAGCTCCAGACGGTCCCCAAACCAACCCCGAAAACAGGGCAGGTGCGGATACGCGTCAAGTCCTTTGGGCTTAATCGATCGGAAGTATTCACGCGTCAAGGTCATTCACCCGGTGTGGTATTTCCGCGTGTTCTGGGCATCGAGGCAGCTGGACTTGTCGACTATGCAGACCCGGACTCAGGCTTCGAATCTGGCGAGGTTGTTGTCACTGCAATGGGCGGCATGGGCCGTACATTTGATGGCGGATATGCCGAATACACCGTGGTGCCGGCCACGCAAGTGCGACGCGTCAATACCACCACTGCGTTTGGCGCCGATGGGCCCGTACCTTGGGACATCCTGGGCGCTCTTCCTGAACTTATGCAGACGGCTTGGGGATCTTTGTTCACCAGTCTCGAGCTCGTTCCCAGCGACCGCTTGCTGATCCGTGGCGGAACTACCAGCGTTGGGTTGGCGGCCACAGCGCTTGCTCGATCGCATGGAGTCTCTGTGACCGCGACAACGCGGAACCCAGCACGCGTAGAGTTCTTGCGTGGCCTTGGTATTGACGATGTCATCATCGATGGCGGATCAATATTAGCCGAGGTCCAGAAACGTGCTCCATTCAGCAAGATCCTTGAACTGGTTGGGGTAACCACACTAGACGACTCTCTGCGATGTGTGGCGCCTGGTGGTACTGTCTGCATGACGGGTATAGCTGGCAATAAATGGACTTTTGACCAGTTCATGCCCATGGCTTCCATACCGACATCCGTTAAGCTGACCACATATGCGAGCACCACGGAGGCCGTACTGAAAACGCCCATTGAGGAGATTGCTAGGGATCTGGTGACAGGCAAGATTCGGTTGCCAATCAAGACCTTTTCACTGGAGGAAATTGTGGAGGCTCATCGGTTGATGGAGGAAGAGGGAGCATTGGCCAAGATTGTGATGATTGTTTAAGGTTCTTGGGCTCAGCTTCAGCGTGGACGGTAGTATCATATTTGTAGCTCCATACGCATGGACTATATATACGCGCTCTGTCCACCTTTTTTTGACAATCTGCTAATTTTGAGCTGAGAATTCTCTTCTTTTTTTTTTAAACTGTACGCCTCACCATACTATCAACCATCAACTGGCTAGCTCCCATATATTTCAACGGATCACAGAGAGCAGCTAGCTCTTCCGGCGTCGCAATTCCAACCAAGGAAGGAACCTCCTCAAGAACCTCAAGCAGACTCCGATTTTGTTCGATGGCAGACTTGCAAGCCTCATAAACGAGATCATGAGCTCCTTGTCGTCCCAAATGCGGTGCCAGTCCCATCATCACAGCCTCACCCACAATCAACCCCTTGGTGGAATACAGATTGCGTTTCATCGAGTCAACCTTAACCACCAATCCCCCGAGAGCGAAATTCGTCTGGTGCAAAGCGCCCACCGCAGTCACGAAAGCATCAGGAATAGCCACCCATTCCAAATGCCACGGTCCAGAGGCACGCTCAAAGTCGGTAACCATTGCATCTAATCCTAGAGACGCATTGGCACGCAGCATCTTCGACGCAGCCAGAATCACCTCACTGGAGATAGGATTACGCTTCTGTGGCATCGTGGACGAAGCACCTCTGTGAGGCACGAAGGGCTCCGAGACCTCGTCGAACTCATTGGAAGACATGATCATCACATCCAATGCAATCTTCCCCAATGTGCCACCCACCAGAGCCAGGAAGTTGAGGATCTCCGCTATGTTGTCCCGCGCAACATGCCAAGTAATACCTGGATTCTTCAGCCCAAGCTCAGCGGCAAGCTGCTCACGAACCCGGAGCCCTGTATCATCTGCACCCAATGCAGCGATCGTGCCCGCCGCACCGCCGAACTGGACAAGAAGACACCGCTGCTCGATCTCCTCGATGCGTTCCAAGTGTCGGAGGATGCCGGAGAGGTATACTGCACATTTGTATCCGAACGTGCAAGGTAGAGCATGCTGTAAATGCGTTCGGCCTGCCATTGGACTGAGTTTATCATTAGTTCATGTCTTGAAAGTGAGGAAGGAGAACTCACGTGTCACGATGGGTAGCCGCAAGACCCTTCAGAACACCCTTCAGTATCTCGAGCTCTCTTTTTACCAGACTGACACCGCGCTTAATCTGAAGCATGGAAGCATCGTCTTGGATATCTTGTGTCGTCGCTCCCCAGTGGATATACTTGGCCATCTCGTCGGGCGTACCTTCGACCAATTGCCGAACCAATGGTAGAACAGGATAACCAACAATATCCGTTTCGACTGCTAGGCGCTCATAGCTATAACGAAGCGCGATGAGTGTTTATTCTGTGATTGCGGGGATACATGTGATTGCGACGTACTCAATTTGAAGTCTTGCAAAAGCATCGGTAATTCTTTTTCCTGCGTCGATGGGAATCACGCCAACTGTTGATTCAGCGCGCGCCAAAGCGGCTTCAACTTCGATTAGAGACTCCACATATGCCTCATCTGTAAAGATGTCACGGATTTCTTGTGTTCCGAATAAGTTGCGGAAAATGCGAGAGTCGACGGCGGAGACGGCCATGATGAGGGGATTCAAGTATTTTTTGGTACCAGCATAAGTACAATCAGCGAACGAGTAATTCAATGGATTTGTTTGTCTTTAAATGTTTTATCTCGAGTGTTATTTCCCCCTCATGCGGAGTTGGCATGCCGGTTCGGAATAGGCTGCTATTCCGAAGGTCTGGTGGAGCATGCCCGGGCATAGTCCGATACCATATATGATCGGTTCACGCAGTATAGACTTGGATTGAATTGGCAAATTTATAATTTTCAAATCCAGTAGATCCATAGGGCTTGGTATAGACCTTGGAGATATTCAATGTTATATATTTTCTCATCCCAGGGCCAGAAAATATATAAACAACATGGAACGGACAATAACAAGACACTGAAGCCTAGTTGCTTAATATAGACGAGCAAAATTATTCGTTGGATACATATGTATTTTTATAAACTGTTATGTATTTTGGTAGATATTGTATAATTGATTGGTCACAATCTACCCCAAAGCTGGATTACAGCAACAAAAGACACCAAGGCCGTATATTGCTTGATTCGTAAAGCACGATGAACTAAACTTCATGTTTCACTTGCTCAGAGACCTAGTAGAGTACTCTTCATGTTCCAGTTCGCCTTTCTCTCCAGTGTCCCGGGGAAGTTCGAGCATGGTCTCAATAGGTCGGTTATTAGCAAATCGAACAGTTGACCACACTGATGGACTCTCGCGGAAGATGAGGTCAATCTCCTCTAGAGAACGTCCCATAGTCTGCAGATTATCAGTAAACGGCTCACGGGTGATAACATATCACGGAAACTCACCTCGGGGTACAAGAAATAGACAGTTATAGGGACGAATGCACCAATGCACGTATAAACAATGTAGTACTTATACCCAATTGTTTTTATTGCAACTGGAGTGATCATGGTAACAACGAAGTTCCTATTATAAAGGTTAGAATTTGCTTAGTGAAACACCTGAACAAAGGGGTGTGCATACCAAAGCCAGTGATTCGCGGTAGAGATACTCGACATGGCAACACGGAGACGAGTAGGTGCCACCTCCGTGCAATAGAGGAAGTTGGCACCGAGGAATCCGATGGGAATGAAGAAATTGAACAGGAAGACGAAAAGGACACTGATGATCTGTGCCGCATAATTGGAATGGGGGAAAGACGTCGCAATCGCCAGACCCAGCATGCAGCTAGCCATTCCACCTCCGCTCACCATCAAAGCGATGCGGCGACCAAATCTGTCGATGGTGAAGAAGGATACAAAGCATGAGAGGAACTTCCATGTAAGTGTACCCCCGGAGAGAATCCGAGCAGTCTCAGCATCCAGCCCTAGACCTTGCTCAAAGATCACCGAAGAGTAGACCGAGATTAGATTCCCGCCCGACATCTGTTGGAAGAATTGAAGCAAGATGCAGATAGAGAAGCGATACAGCAGGCGATCATCTCCCATCTTGAGAAGGTCTTTAAGGGACGCCGCACTTTGTGCGGTCTTTTCAAGGGAACTTTCAATACCAGCGATTTCCCCCGATATTCCAGACGCATCCTCTGGAAGGTCTCTCAAAGAAGCGAGTATAGTGCGAGCCTCCGCGACGCGGTTCTGACGCACAAGCCACCGAGGAGATTCAGGAAGAAAGACGATCGATATGAGAAGGACAACGGCGAAGATGATGGGAATTGCGATCGGAGCTCGCCAAGTGACAGGTCCTGTTTTGAACTGATAGAAGCCAAAATTGATCCATGCTTGAAGCATGTACCCAAGCGCGATGAACAGACCATCAAGTACTATGTGTTTACCTCTGCTTTTGGAGCTGGAGCACTCGCTTTGCCAGGTTGGGACTGTTCCGCTCAGCATGCCAATTCCCGCTCCAAGCACAGTACGACCCACAATCATTTGCCCCAGTAGGTAAGACGATGCTTCCAGCACCTGACCGATCAATACAAGTAGGCCGCCCATAAAAATCACTGGACGTCGGCCGAATTTGTCGGCAGTATATGAGCAGGACAGACAACCGGGCAGTGCGCCCAAAGTGAAGGTTGCTATCACCACGCCTTGAATTGTCGCATTGTGACTAGCCTCGGCACCTTCAGTGTTGACGGTGTCGATGGCTGGGAAGTGTTTGACCCAATCGGAGAGTGAAACGAGGCTTCCGAGCCCTGACTGATTGTATCCGAAAAGGGTGTATGCTGGGCAAACAACTAAAAGAATCTGAGCAAGAGACAACGCCTCTCCTCGGAGATTCCAGAACCTCGAAGTCATCTCGAGCGATGTATCCTAGGAATGGAATGGGGAAAGTGGCCAAATTCGTAGAGCAGACAAAAGTTCGAAAGAATAAAGGTATCCGGGTGATGCATCAAAACCCGGGGCCCCGGATTGCGGCCATTAAATAGAGAATGACAGGCTTGGCTTGCAGGATCCGGGGTTATGCAATGCATCGGGTCGGAATAGAGAGACAATGGAAGCTTCGATCTCGGTATAGGGCAGGGTGGCTCGGAATAAGGCCCTTATTCCGGCACTAGTCAACTGGTCGGGCCATCTCCGTATTATGACCCGCCCAAATCCATGAACCCCATGAATGGGCCAGATGGATCACCCATCCAGTCAGAAGCCGTCATATAGTTCAAAGCGTCTAATGCGTTGCCACTCCAGTTTTGCTCGTCAAAAGTGTCGGCCACATCACTGATGGGAACGCCATCATTCACCACATGAGGAGTCTCCGATAACCCTTGCGCAACTGGAAGTGAGGAAAGTAATGTTCGCAAAGCTTTAATTACCTCATTGAGAGATTCAGAGTAGAAGCCTCCCTGAGCTTGAGTGGCTCGAGAACTCTCCATTGTCAAGATGGAGATTCCTTTCGAAATCATGCCCATGCTAGTATCAAGCGCTGGCAAACCATCTGGCTTGAACGTGCGATATTTGAGTTGAGAATAGATGTGAACGAGGGCAGATTGAAAGATTGCAGCAGGTCCGACCAGACTCAGATTTCGGAGCCACTTTGGGATGTTGGATGTTTCAACCAAGGACAAAACGACACTGCCCGAATCAAGACATGCCCTGAGACAATTGCCAAACTCTGGTGTTGTATCGTCGAATGAAAGGCCAGGGCGATGTATTAAAGTCATGGTTATATTTGCCATGAGTTGGAGCCATATAGTCGTGCTCTCATAGGAATGGTTGGTACCACCGGATGAATGCTGCAGGCCAGTATTCCCAATGTCAAAAATAATACCATTTGCTTTGAGATTTTGATTCCACACTCGAAGGTCACGGTCTAAGTCCGTGATTTTTCTTGCGCCATCACGTCGCTGTGTCGTTGTATATAGAAGATCAAGGATTCTTGAGAGCTTTCTACCGAGGCTCACGTATTGCAGAAACACAAATACAGCGGTTCTTTCCCCGGGCAAGGGATGAGAAAGCTCCGTAGCCTCTAAGTCATGTAGATGACAGTCAATGGGTAGGTCGTTATCAACATCGACGTCATTGATAAGGGGAGGTAGTCCGTGAAGAATAGAAGTAAATCTGGATGATCAGCATGTATGTAAGTTCATTATGCACGGGGGGCTTACCTGTCGAACACGTAGACCCACCACCACAAGCGTTTCCGAAGCTCGATTTCACCAATCCCCATTTTGAATCGCCTTGCATGTCTATGGAGGCCCAAAGATTGAGCAAGGCTGACGATCGTGCCGTTGAGGGTTGTGAGAGTAAGACAGTGACCACTTAGTTGATTGTAAAGCGCAAAAAGCGATAAAGCCTGCAGAGCCTTGAGATTTCCTTGACCAACAACCTTATCAATCAAGCTATCGGCCAAATAAAGTCTCTGGAGAAAATCTGGACTCCGTTCATGAAGTTGACGTGTGGCATCGGCAACAGATTCATCGATGTTCAAGATCATAAGCAATGTCAATGTAGCGGAGTAATCAATGGCATCGTGACCACTTGGATTATGTATTGTGTTCATCAAATCCCGTATATCTGCCATGAGTTGATTTCTCACAAGGACGGGACAGAATGCTTCCCATTTCTGGATGAAGGCATCTGCTTGCTGACAGTAATATGTTGACGGATAAGCTAGACACTGTCTGATCATTTCGTGATCATCCGAAGAGACTGTCGCTAGAGAAAATTCTCTATTGGGAGAGGGTTCAGCCAAAAAAAGGCGGAAGCAGCTTTCCGCAAACACGCCTGAAAGATTGAGTGCTTTTTGACATTCTTGCTCAACAGTCAAAACAATATGAACACCAGTGGTTGAGCCCGCAAATCGACCGACGCCTTTTTCATCATGAACCAATCGACCCATATGCTTGATAACATATGTTGGGTCGTCAGCAAGACGTCTCTCGGCCGGAACCGGCACTGAAGGCTCGACTAAGCTTGCGCTTGTTTCTGGCTCAAGTGGAAGCCTGAGCTGTTCTTGACGTGATAACTTCTGTAGAAGAGTCGAGCTTCGATCTTGTTCTGCCTTGAGCTTTTGTTGGCATCTTGCCAACTCGGCCTGAAGCTGCTCTAGTCGTTGTTCATTCGAGGTGAATCTAGGGGACAGTTAGATATTTCCATATATAGAAATTGGTCAGCGGAAAAGTACGTACCCTCGCACTTTCGTTTGTCTCCTGAGTGTAGCAGAAACTTCACAAACTAGTCCGGTCTTCTCACAGCCCCGACACTGCGTAAATGTGTTAAACCACTTCGACAAAATACAGGGATAGAAATTCATACTGATGGAAAAGCCCCGTCACATTTGATTTTCTTTCTACATTCCCTCAATTATTAGCAACTGACTCACTGCTTGAAAAATATCAGTATATTTTACCTCCTACAACGATCACTGACGGCCTATCGATTAGCACTCGTCTAGATCAAGATCTGATAGAACACATACCAAGCCTGGCCAATTCGGTGGGGAGTTGTCGCTGAACCAGGCGAATTGGGTGATTGAGCCTCCATCAACGAGCATCGGACTCACACAGATGATCAACAAGGCCGGCAGTTGTAAACCATCGAGAACTTTAAGCCGTTTAAGTAAGGCGGGATTAGACAACGGGAGGACCCCGGATAATTACGGCAGCCGGTAATCCCTCCACCAATCAAAGCTTAGTAGGTAGGTCTAAAATATGAATTGAGACTTGCTAGAACAGCACAATAGAGCAATGTTGTATACTAGTGGCTGTGGCTATTCGTGGAGACGTATCGTAGTTAACATATAGCAAGTAATAACAGCAAAAGAGTGGTCAGGTTATGTCTCCACAATCCAAAGTGTGATCGACAATAAAGCTAGTGATAACATCAAAAGGGTCAGGGTCACCAGGGAACATTTACTCGAGCCAGATTATCATCGCTAGTGATGCAGAAAGCGCTCCACACCCTGCATAACTGACTGCAACGGTCTGTGAGACATCTCCGGGCTCTGGTATACAGTTCTTTGGCGGATTCGGCTTCGAGATAGGCCCTTGAATCACGTCTGCTGTCCTCCATTCTAGAGGTACCGAATCCGGTACATTCGACAGTGATTTTCGGGTCCAAGTCGCGATAATGTGCTGCCACTCGGGCATAGAGGGCCTCCAAACGTCTAAATTGCGGAAATCAGGGTCTCTAAATACCAACAAAGCACTGTTGACGGAACCGAATTTCAGGACCCATTCTAGAGAATCGGATGTATAAATGCCTGGCCCCAACTCGTTGTCCAAGTTTCTATTTTGAATGACCGGAGTGAAAAAGGCCATCATCGCAGCTAAAGCGGCCCGAGAAGACACTCGGTACAAGAATGAGCCACCACCGAGTTTGCTAACATAATCTTTGCTGATCTTCATGGATAGGCGGTCCTTGTTCTTGTCCCCTTTGACTCGAACTGTGGCAATATCCTGCGGCAGACGCTGGGGTCTGTTGGTGGGAAACAGCTCCTCCAATCTATGACAAGCGTATTGGTATCCAATTTGAGGTGGGATGGGATCAAGCCGGACTACTGGCATAATAACGACCGGCGGCTCATCGTATCCAAAAAAATACCGATCGTATAACGATGCTGGAAGTTTTTCCTCTTCGAACAGATGCTCCAAGATCCATGGTACACCGACATTTATCGGGATGAGTCGCACCTCATCTTGGAGGGCAATCGCTGGATCGTAAATTGCATCGACCAGCTCATCAAGGCCTGCGAGCCAAAAAAGGCTACTTAATGGGCCAATCAGTTCATCAAATCCTAATGCCAGATCAGTAAAAATATCCTCTAGCTTTCGCCAAAATAGACATAGGTCTGCGTACGATAGCTATTGCTGTCAATGTACTCTCCGATATCCTCGGGGATCGTTCCCGGGTATCCATGCTCTCTTGACCATACCGGGCGAAATCCTGCTTCCGCTAACTGACTCATCGTACGAGCGAGTTGATTCCGATTTCCCTCTATATCGGAGGCCATATCAAAAGATTTTCCTAGCTTCTCTTTGGGGATAATAGGGATTGTGAGAGTGGGTGTTCCAGGCACTTTGCTGGCTGACGAGGAAGTCGAATGTGAGTATGTGAGGGATGGGACGGGCGAAATCGAAGGTATAGAGTCAGTCGGACTTGTTGACGTGGTTGGGCTGCTTGCCGCAACCGGAAGCGGAAAGCTTTGTCTTGGATCCATGACTTGATCAAATATTGAAGTAAATTAGATCGAAAGGAGTTGAATTGGATGACCCGAATTCCATTATAATATTCATGGATATATGTATAGCTTCGCTCTTGCCAAAAGCAATGGCACCTGCCAGTATATCTGCATTTTGGCATTGAGTACAAATATAAGAGCAAGGTTAGGAAACTACATATGTAGTGTTTTCATGCCAAAAAGGGGTCGGATCTTAACACCTTAACATGGCACCATGGCACCATGGATTCCCCGCCTTACACCCAATGTCGGCAGGACAACCGAGTTAACGTTTGGCTTCTTTGTGCAGCCAGTTTACATATGTGAAAATGGGCGGGGCTGGCGTGGATAAACGACGCCTTCGAACACAGATGGAACTACAAAGCCTAACCCAGCTACATATACGGAGTAGTTATTGTTAGCTATTTCTGGTCATGTACAAAAATTATATGATTCATGCCGAGTGGTACGGCGAAGACCCTTTGTTGACTCGATTAAAATCAAATTGGCAAATGGGTACCCACAAACATATTTTAAGATAATGTAGTAAATGCAATTGGCATTAAGGTCATTAAAATGATGTTTGAAAAGATCGTGGATGTACGGCGGCATGTGCCATATAACATGCAATAGTTTATCTAATGTGAACCTTGAATATTGCTCATAGTTTAAGATTTCTTCCCAGATGATGTGGCTTTGCACCAATATATGTCCACGGGAGCTCCGTGGCTTTTGCGCCATTTCCACTCACAGTGATGGTTTTCTTTTCCCCGGGTACAAGATCGAATCCGTTGTCGCTTAGCTTCAAGCCTTCCCTCTCCTCAAACACAAACCCTTTGACCGGGAGATCCGCCGACACAGTGATCTCGTCTTGAGATGGTGAGGCTTCAACCCTGACATTCCGGTTTGAAAAGTCTAGATACTTCAAGGGCTGCGGCCAAGCCGTGTCAGTTGCCACAACCAGTCCCCGAATATATAACTCTGCGTGGATGATGAACGGATCTAAATTCTTGTAGTCCGCACTGTCACAAGTCGTGGACACCTTCACGTATTGATTTGGGAGAATCTCTGTTGTGGCATTCGGGTTTGCCAGTGTCGTGATATTGACAGTGTCATTGACCAGGTTACCCGACCGTATGGAAATGAACTTGACTTTGACCTCAACCTCAACTGCCTCCTGGCAGCTACTCGCAATCCATAAGTCGAACTTGCATGAGTTGGTAGACATTGGATCGGCATGACCTGAGGTCCACACTGGGCAGCTACGAGATATACCCACGTCCAGTGGTCTCAAAGCTCGAGATATGGCGTAGAATGCAGGCTTCTTGACCAAGTAGTAATCGACAACGGCCCACGACATGGTTGGCCAACAATCATTCAACTGCCACACAAGCACACCACCGCATCCTCGAGCTCCCGGTCGTCCCCACCTCCGCCTCCAGGCCTTGTATGCATAGCGCATCGTTTCAGCTTGGAGGACCTGGGTGATGTGGGTGAAGGATCTGAGATCGGATGGCACAATGAAGTTCTCGATAACATACGTCATCAAGCGGCGCTCATGATCACCAGCTTTGTTTCGGAAGTCCATCATCATTGAGCCAGGGTGTTGTTGCTGTGGGTCGGTGATGACCCGGCGAAGGGACTCGACGTGAGGGTAGGCTTCCATTCCAAACTCGCTCACGAAACGCCCGACAAGCTCAGCAGAATCTTGATATCTGCTCATTTCGCCGTGCCAGACTATGTTTTGTTAGAATGTTACCTTCAAGTCGAACGACGTCAGAGAACTCACTGTTCCACTGGTGAATATCGCCCACTGTTGGGTCAGTTGTGTGTTTGCCATCGCCCCAAGGGCTTCCAGGGTGATAGATGCTGGACGGATCCTCTTCTTGTACCCATTTTGGCAGCAAATGCTCATAGATATACCGCGCTGGGAATGTCGACTGTCGCCAGGACTCCGGGTTGGTGTCGTCCTGGTTATATTCAAGCTTATACCTCTCCTGGACCTGATAGTCCTCGTTGTTTCCAGCCCAGATTACCAGAGATGGGCGAGATCTCAGTCGCCTAATGTTTTGTCGTGCCTCTTCCTCGATGGATTTAAGGAAGGAGGGGTAGGCTGGGTAGCTGGCGCAGACAAAGGCAAAGTCATGCCATACCAAGATTCCTAATGTATCGCATGCTTCCATGAAGGCATCATCCTCATAGATTCCACCGCCCCACACACGAATCATTATTTGATTGGACTCTACCATGAGTTTCATCCAGTCCAGATAACGATCCTTGGACATTTGTGCAAGATAGCTGTCGGCAGGGATCCAGCACGACCCACCAGCAAATATATCGACACCGTTGATCCGGAAGTAGAAAGACTTGCCGAACTCGTCTTTTTCTTGCACTAGTTGACACTGGCGGAAACCAACAAGGTTGATTTGCTCGTCTAGTTTGGTATCCCCACGCATGAGGTCTGCGGACAGTCGGTAGCGGGACTGCAATCCATAACCGTGCGGGTACCACAGTGAAGGAGAATCAAGCTGAAAGGCGGCTTTTGCCAATCCATCAGGTCCAATGTGACATTTCTGCTGGAAGATCGCCTTGTCATGGTCAAACAGTGACAAAATGACAGTGTCGCCCCCCTGTGCACCCGCCCCAACTCTCGCGTACAAGTTTCCAGAGCAAGTTTTGTTGTCTGCAGATATTTCGTACTGTGTCCATACATCATCGATCCTGGCAGTGTATTGCTCAAGTACAACCGGGCGCCAAGGTCCCGCAGTCATCAAGATGGGACCCCAGTCCCAGCCCCAGTTATACTGCGCTTTACGCACAGGGATACGGCTTGCTTCAGTCTGACGAACGTGAAAAACGTGCTCTGGGTGCTGATCGACTAGCTCTCGCCCACGGAGGAGTGCGGATTGAAACAAAATTTGGAGCTCATTCTCTTGGCCCGGACGAAGAAACTCGGAGATATGCACCCTATGTGAAGTATGCATATTTTCTGACTCCAAGATTGTGGTTCCATTTAGAACCACAGTAGCGAAGGTATCCAGCCCGAGGAACACCAAGTCCGTTGTGGTACCTTCGCAAGACGGTGCCGTGAACTCGGTGCGGTACACCCAGTCCTTCTCAGCGATCCATTGTACCGCGAGTTCATTCGCATCTACAAAAGGATCGGGAATTCTAGAAGTCAATTAGCATCGGAAATATTTGAGATATCGCCCAGTGAGAAGTGCGTACTTTTCGTTGGCAATGAGATCAATGTGGACTTGGCTGGGAACCCTTTTCACAGGAAGCCAACACTCATCAGAAATGTCATCCGCCTGCTTCATAGACCAACCGGTCTTCAACTCTCGCGTGGACTTTTGCATCATGTCAAGAAACGTAGATTTCGGTGAGGAGGTCTCAATCCAGGGAACCACGTTAGAAGGTCACCAGTTTTATCCCCGCTGTCGGGATAAACTGAAAAAGATACGGCATTTTGAAACCGCGGCCGCTTTCCACATGCGGACTCATTCGGGAAGGAAGAGGATGTTCAGGTGTTCCAGAGCTCTAGGGTATACTCCAATGCCAATGTTGTTATTCCCGCGTGCCAAAAATGGCACGGGAATTTGAAACTCCGGAGGGCACGAAGAGCACGGAATGTGGGGAAGAGCCGACGGATCTTCACGAATCTTCCCTAATGTCACGAAACAGGGAGAATGACATAGAAATGAGGTTCTCGCCCCAATGGTAATAGAGAAGAATACAACCATTATGTCAGGTATTATGATTTCGTTGTCGGATAGTAAGTCTTGTGGAAACATATTTGGCCAAGTTCCTGACCAGATCAGTACAAACCCACCGGGTTGAAGGTGATTGCTGGATCGCAATCCACGGTAGTGTTTATAATGTAGGTTCACAGTGCATGCCCGGATAATTGCAACTTTCGCTAACAATACTAGGTTAGCGGGTTCTTAAACAGCCATCCGGGAGGGAAAGCAATCATTCTCCGGCATGCTGGCACCGATGCTACCCGTGCCTTTCAAGATGTCCATCCGGCTGAGCTTCTTGATGAGTATTTGACTTCTGACCAAGTATTGGGTCAATTGGAGCCCACATCTCAGGATCCCAAGGACGATGGACAGCCTGAGCATATTCCCGCTCCTCTGGATACGATCTTGAGTATAGCGGAGATGGAAGAACTAGCTTTGAAGCGTTTAAGTCCCAAAGCACTTGCATACTACGCGTCTGGTACAGATGATGAGATTACAAAACTCGCAAATGGAGCCATCTTCAAGTCTGTTCTCCTTCGCCCGAGGGTTTTTGTTGATTGTACCCACTGCTCGCTGTCAACTAGTATCCTAGGAAACCAAGTTGGGCTGCCAATATTCATTGCCCCAGCGGCCATGGCGAAGTTGGCACACCCATCAGGCGAGATGGGTATTGCTGCAGCTTGTTCCAGTCTCAGTGCGCTCCAGATCATAAGCAAGAATGCATCTGTATCTGTGGCAGATATCGTGCGCGCAGGCCCCAATGCCGTGTTTGCCTGGCAGCTTTATGTTCTCAAGGATATCAAGGCAACAGAGCGGACTTTGGCTCAGATAAAGGGTATTCCACAAATCAAATTCATCGTCTTGACTCTTGATGCTCCGTTTCCGGGGAAACGTGAGGCAGATGAGCGTTATAAGGCGGAGGAAGTCGCCGGAGGAGGGACTTCGCAAGTCTGGGGGACGGAATCCGCCCTCACCTGGCGCAAGACTCTGATATGGCTCTCCGCTCATACCGACCTTCCGATTGTCCTCAAGGGTATCCAGACCCATGAGGATGCATACGCGGCAACCATGTTCCCGGCTGTTAAGGGTATCATTATCTCCAATCACGGTGGAAGGGCATTGGACACGGCCAACACACCCATGCAAGTTCTGTTGGAAATTAGGAAATTTTCCCCTCGGGTCTTCGATCAGCTAGAAGTCCTTATTGATGGCGGTATCAAGAGGGGGACAGATGTCGTCAAGGCGCTGGCTTTGGGTGCAAAGGGCGTAGGGCTTGGCCGAGCTGCACTCTATGGCCTAGCCGTGGGTGGAGAGGATGGCGTCTACAGATCTCTACAGAGTTTGTCTCCTTCTGTCTATTCGGTACCATGTTTACAGTACTGATATTTTGGCATAGTTCTTGCAGGCGAGGCAGCCACGGCCATGAGACTCCTGGGTGTCAGCCGTGTGAGTGATCTTCGGCCACAACACGTAAGTTCCAGCATCCCCATCGAAGATTGAGGGAGCGCAAGAAGGGCCAACAACTGATTGTATAACTGACAGGTCAACACTGCTATGTTGGATGCTCAGCTTTATGACGGACCTTCTGGCTTGGGCGCGGTGGAAAATAGCTTAATGGCCAAATTATAGACTAAATCATAACTATTGCTTCTTATTCAAAATTCGTCATATAAAAATATCCTACAATTGATCAGTACTGCCTCCCTATCACCAGGCTCAACAGTTTAACGAGTGAAGTGAGGTTAGAACCAAAAGCCTTCACCTCCCAGAATTTTCTGCATACCAGTCTCAACCCACCACCAAAATATTACCCCCACGCCAACCACACAAATCGTCTGACCCGGACAACTTCTGTCTCGTTCTTCTCATTCGCGAATTGTTCGGGGTTAGTCTCTTGTAATTCGGTATTTCCGGAGGCCATAACGAAGATATGAATCTCCGTGCGACTATTTCGGCCTAGTCTTTGAAAAAAAAAACCGGGGCCTTATGACTCCCCGTGGGGATTGCATGAAAGTCTACTCCGCAGTATACAAGCTTCTTTTAGACATGGGTATTTTTATAAAAGCCCTTTGACAGCCTACATTCTCGCAAAAGCATCTCGGGCATTATCATCGCGCCTTCTTCGGAGCTGCGTGTCAACTAGGGATCGATTCTTATTTTTGATCCAAACTTCCTCTCAAGCCCCTTTCAAAAAATTTAACTGGCGCAGAACAACATCTTTTACCTCCATTATGAGCAAGATGAAGGAAGATGCTACCCTGAAGGAGATTGAAAATATGGAGCAGTCCATAGAAACATACGCGACCATCATGGCGACGCACAAACCGAATCCGCGAGGTCCAGGCTATATTAAGCTTTATATCCTATCGGCAGTGGTGTTCCTGTGTTCAACTATGAATGGTGAGTCCTCTATGCCAAATGATCATATATAGATTGGCATCCTAACACCATTTAGGATTTGACAGTTCCTTGATGGGATCTATTAACGCGCTTCCGAACTACATTGGATACTTTGGCTTGCCTGAGAATGGCAACGCTAGTACTGGCATCGTCTTTGCTATTTTCCAGGTAAAGGGAATACCAACTGACTAATTACGAACTATACTGACTTTGTTATTAGGTTGGTCAAATGTGCGGCGCACTCTTCATCTGGATGGCCGACTGGTACGGACGAACATGGCACATCTTCTTTGGTTGCCTGGGTGTCTGCATCGGCACCATTGTAACAGCTTTTGCATCAAATCTCCCAACTTTCATCGCTGGAAGATTTATTCTCTCCTTCTTTGCAACATGCGCACATACTGCTGCTCCCCTTTATCTGGTCGAGCTTGCTCCACCAGCGTATCGGGGAACCATTGCAGGAATGTATAACACTTTTTATAATGTGGTATGCATTTACAGGAACACGCACAGGGCTCGGAACATTCTTGGACTAACTTTAAATTCTGAAAGGGCTCTGTGTTTTCAACATCGGCTGTGTACGCGTGCCATAAATACCTTGCCAATCAGGGTGATTTGGATTGGCGGATCCCCCTTTGGCTTCAGATAGTGTGCCCAGGGCTTGTGTGTCTAGCTATCAAATTTTACCCCGAGTCCCCACGATGGTATGTCGATGTTCCATTGTTGTCTCCTTGTCTTATCCCATTTACCTAAAACGTGTGCCGACGCTAACCTAACCCTTGCTAAAGGCTCATTTCCCAGGATCGACACGACGAGGCGAAGGCTATTATTGCTACCTATCACACAAATGGTGATGCAGACCATCCGCTCGTTGCACTACAGATGAGAGAAATCCTCGCAACTGTCGATGTCGACCATCAGGCTAGCTGGAAAGACCTGCTCGATCTCCGGGTGCTTGTTGAGTCCCGTTCTAGCCGTTATAGACTCATGCTCAACGTCGCTTTCTCTTGGTTCGGCCAATTCAGTGGAAACAAGTATGTCAAATGTGCTGGGCACTCCCAATTCGGGTACCTGACAATATATCTAGCATCGTATCCTATTACCTGCCCATCATGCTCAGTGGCATTGGCATCACAGACACCAACATGAAATTGATTCTCAATATCGTGTATGCGGTCGTTGGATGGGTGGCTTCCATCTGCGGTTCACGTTTACATGATGTTGTAGGACGCCGCAAGGTCCTCATTACTAGCACTGCTGGTATGGCAATTTGTCTGTCAATCGTAGCAGCCTGCTCCGCCGGCTACACCGAGTACGGCAACACGACCGCATCCACCGTTAGCATTGTCTTCATCTTCCTTTTTGGTGCAATTTTTGCTTGCGGTTATACCCCAATGCAACCTATCTATCCCGCTGAAGTTGTGAGTAACAAAATGCGAGCCAAGGCTATGGGTACCTTCAAGTTGACAGCCGGAGCTGCTGGGTTTCTCAATACCTTTGTCGGTCCCATTGCGCTATCAAGTGTAAGAAATTTCCTCCGACTCTTATTTCCACTACACTGCTAATCTATTCTCCAGATTGGGTACTGGTTCTATGTGTTCTTTGCATTTTGGGATACTTTTGAGATGACCTTTATGTACTTCTTCTTTGTCGAGACTAAGGGATTCACACTCGAGGAGCTGGATGCCATATTTGAGGCAAAGAACCCACGAAAGGCCAGTGTTGAAGCTGCGAAGGCTAGAAAGCGAATTATTGTGGCAAGAAGGAGTGAAGTATGAATCTAGGCGCTCTGTAAATATATATTAAGCGAGGTCTTCCAAAATGTATCATGGCCAAGGGTTGGTATTGCAGTAATCTCAAGTACGATAGTAACCAAAGAGACTTCCATGTGGTTTAAATATATGTAAAATATGTATTGAATTGACCCAAAACCCACGTGAAGTTGTGGGTTTGGGCTTGAGCCCACAGGGGTCAGTGCACCTGTAGATCAACCCCGAGGATCTGCCCCCGGAAAAACCACCACCCCAACGTTTACGCTCCTCAAAACTTCCCCTCTTCTCATCCGCATCGCCCATACGATAATACGCGCTTTTTGTGAGCGGAAGATTATGACAACTCTGGCAGAATGGGATCTTCTGATCCATCATGTTCCACACGTTTGAAAGCCGAGACCCGGGGGAATCTGCGACACCAAGGCTCCAACCACCGCGCAAAGCGAACAAGTCGTGTTCGGAATGTACCCGCCGAAAAGTGAAATGCGACGGGGGACATCCTTGTACGAGTTGCCAGCACTATCAGCTTTCCGAAGCCTGCGCCTATAGGCAACGGACCAGACGTCAGGCAACGAGCAGGAGGTGAGTGATTTTAATCCCTCTCAAGGACCTCTCTTGGATTCAAAAGATCATGTCGCTAACATATGCACTTCGCTCCGTACAGCGCCCTTGAGAAAGCCACAGAAATCATGCATCGCCAGGCTGGAGTCCTCCGACTACTCTTTCCTACTTGCTCTTTAGAGGAATTGGCTGGAAAAGACCGATCAGAGCTCATCCTCCTCCTGTCGCGCGACCCACCAGAAGACGGACCCTCGGAGCACTATAGTGAATCGCCCCCTGTCGCCATATCGTCCGTTATTTCCGGCCACCTCGATGATGCCCATGACGCACCAGAAGATTCCGATAGGGGAGAATCGGGAGAGGAAAGGTGCTGGGACGAGTCCCCGCAGAACCCCGCCATCATTGCGGCGAGCGACGATATCAACGCGATCAGTCTGGCGGGTGACCGGCATCGCCGCTCGTATCTAGGCATATGCTCCGTAAGTGCTGTTCTCCGAGCATTGTTTCGGCTTTGCCCTGCCGCGAAAGACCGCATTGTGGAACAGTCGAAAACTTGGCCCGAGGTCCACCAAGAAGACAATCGCCCGGCTGCTTTGAATCCGCATCTCGGGTTTCCAGTACCATCTGATTCCCTGCGAGAGCTGCGCTATATTGGATTTTATTTCGAGCATATTCATGCCATCACACCTTTCTTACACGAGGAATCTTTCAGGGCAAACTTTGCTGCTGGCGATCGACAAACTCCTGCATGGTTGGGTCTCTGCAACATGGTGCTGACGGTGGGGTCCATTGCCTCAGGTAGTGACAGTGCTCATATATACTATTACGATCGGGCTCGGTCCTACCTTGACCTGGACTCACTTGGCTCTGGTAACTTGGAGACTCTGCAAGCTCTGTGTCTGCTGGGCGGGTACTATCTCCATTACCGAAACTCCCCCAACATGGCATATGCGATTCTTGGTGCTGCCCAACGATTGGCCATAGCATTGGGGTTACACCGAGAGTCCCCAACCCGTGTCGATCATCAGGATCCGGATATTGGCCAACGCCACGCCGTCCGGCTCGAAAGTAGACGGCGTACTTGGTGGAGTCTGTACTGCCTTGACACATGGGCCAGTATGACACTAGGTCGCCCGACGTGTGGACGCTGGGATAGTAGCACGATGAACACCTTATTGCCCACTGCTCTTTATCCCGACGATCATTTTGCGGCCTCTTTAAGAGCTAGTACCCAGTTCTGTCACATCAGCAACCGTCTCCAGCATCGTTTCGCACAATCCACCAGGATCAACATATCAGAAGCTCAAAGTCTTGATCACGAACTTCAGGAGTGGTATAAGTCACTATCTCCCATCCTCAAAGAGACCATCAATGCCCCACCTCGTATCACCGTAGCGCGCGAATTTTTACGCAACAGGTACCACAATGTCCGCCTAATGCTGTCTCGGTGTTTCCTCTTGTACAAGGCGTATGGAGATCCAGAAAGACACAGCACCGGGCAAGCAGAAGAACAAATGGCTGACCTCTGCCGTGCCATCGCCGCGGAGGCTATCGACGCGATTGCGCTTCACTGGGTTCCCAATCGAACCCAAGTCTGGAATTCTGCTTGGTATCTGTTCCAAGCTTGCATGGTTCCGCTCCTTTCCATCGCCATGGCTGCATCCTCCAACCTCGGAGCAGTTGGTTCCGACGACGTCATATCCTGGTATTCGAGCTTAAACAAAGCGCTTGAGATCTTTACGGAGATGAGACCATGGATGCGGGCTTCTGACCGTGCCCCAGACATAGTGACTGTCCTATTCCAAGCCATTTCTCAGGGTGCTGAGGGGACTGTACGTACGCCATCGGTGATTGACGGAGGGTCTCATCTGTTTGGCTGGGCTGATGAACTCTTGACGGATATGGACTGGAGCATGGTTTTTAATGATGAGAACATATCGCAAAATTTATTCTCATTAAGCTGAGCTCTACCTGAACCAAGGCGGTTCAAAAACCACATTATCGAATGCTCCACGTCATATACCCAATCAAGTCTGTTTGCCTGTGGAATTGTTTCATGGCTAAGGGGCGCCTTTCCTGGGAGTCGAGGACGTGGTCTTCCTCCGGGTCCACCATGTGTGCCCATAATGGGAAATGCGTTGCAGGTGCCAAAGGCCGGGATCCGGCTCAAGTAGGCTTATCCTTCCAGAATTCCATTCTTTGAGCGAATACTCATTCACAGCAGGTTCACCACATCTCTGATTGCGTTCGACATGCATTAATGGCGTTTTTGCTCCGGAACTATGAATTTTCATTGGATGTTCTCATGATGATGGTGAATTGGTCATGATTTATTAAGTTTATGGAGATGAACATATACATCGGATATTAAGCCGGGCTCCATAGCTTTCCCTTTCCGTTTTAGTGCTCACCCCTTGCCACCGTAAGGTGATTGGTGAGATGGAGGTGAACGATTGGATAAGCTACCAACATAGCCTCTTTCTACTTTTTGATTCTCTTTTCTTTCGAAAATATGATAAATCCTCCGCAAACCACGGCCAGCGCCATGGAAAATGCTGCATGAATCAGTCTCTGGCTTGTTTCTGTATATGTAGCAAAATAACTTGACATACCGGGAACTAATCGATACGCCTCGATGTAGCTGGAGCGTACCACTGCTTGAAGGGCCGGTGGCAGCGTCCTGGTGAAACTGTAGTCTCTGAGGATCTCGTTGATTACCTAGATGCTGCGTCAATACGTGCCGTCATGCTCACAAGGTCAGAACAATATTCACATGATTTTTATTGGACAAAGAGGTGTTACCCAGATCGATGTCAAGTCGGAAGTGGAATAGTTGCTGGAGAGCTGCGGTGCTGACGCTGGTGCCGATGATTTGTCCAACCTGCTGCGATAGATAATATACCGCCGTAGCACTTGCCAATTTTCCCTCGGGAGAACAAATTGTCAATGCAAGATATTGTGTCGAAAGCAGTATTCCGCTTCCCATTGCCCAAGGGAAGCAATAGTATACTTCAAGTCCGTGGATGCCGTTTGCCCATCGCACTATCATGAGAATTAGGGATGCGAGACTAACGGCGATGGCGACTAGGGACAATTGTCGGTATTTGATAGTCCTGTGACAGTTAATTACCTCTCATCAATTTACGTGCCGTCTGAAAAACACTCACTTGCTCAAGGCCCTTCCAGCTATAACAGACCCTAGGATCAGGCCGAGCCCGGAAATCCCGATCCGCAAGGAAATCGCTGAGTTGGAAAGATGGTCGATCCAGGATAGATACGGTGACAAGTTGTTCAAAATCTAAACCTTATCAGCAACCGGCCATTGACGAGTGAAGAATTGCATGGAGTGTGGACTCACCGTACTGATACTGGCAAAGTATAGAATCTGACCCGAGAAAATGCCACCCAAACCGGATGCACTGACAACGGAAGGAGGTATGATGGGATTTTTGGTCCCAAATCGTTCGATTAGTGTCAAGATTGCGAGAGACACGCACGAGACAGCTAACAAAGTGGACGTATTGAAGGCTGGGAAACCGATGCCTCCTTCGGTCGTCCCCAGGATGAAAGAAGTGGCTGAAACGAAGAAAGCAGCGAGACCCAGATAATCAAACTCCCATAAGCTTATACGTGTTTCATAATCAATCTTCTTCGCAGAGGCCGGAAGTTGCCAATGAGCTAGAGCCAAACACAACAGCCCAATGGGCGCTTGGCCTATCAAAGACCTTGACGACTGCATGTCAGTAACCTGCCCGTCTAAGACACAAGATGTATAACCTCAGCACGAACGTACCATCTCCAGCCTACCATGTCAGCCACAAGTCCTCCCAGTGGTCCTCCAAAACCCTGTCCGAGTATACCGGCAGCAATGACATAGCTTCGCACCGATGCGATTTGAGTGATGCAAAACACCTCTACCGTTCTAATTCAGCTGTCCGTTCCGCATCAGTTGGCGATAGAGCTCTTACCGTTAATGAGGACTGAAAGCAGATCCGTCATACCGGCGCCTCCGATTCCTGCGATCAAACGACCGATTACGAAGGGCCATAAAGTTTCGGACACCCCGCTGCAGCTGAGTGTGAGTTCTGGAACAACGGATCCGCTGAAGATCTCTACTCACGACATCAAACATCCAACCGAGAACAAGGCATATGCCAATAGAAGAAACCGTCGACAGCCATAAATGTCACTTAGGAATCCATACTATATCGTTGTCGAGTTAGCGAACTCTCTACATTAAAGTGACAGGAGGAGAAACGCAACCACTGGCAATGCAATGCAAAATCCCAAGTTGTATGATACCAGCAGTAGCGGTGCACTGGACGGGGAACATAGTGAAGAGGCGATTTCGCCCTGGGTAGCTAACAATACAGATTTGTCTGCGCTAGCTAGGAATATACCTGTATCGGATGGGCTCAGCCAGCTGAAAAGTTCCGAGGTCGGAGAAAAGATCGCATACCCACTAAGCCAGCCAGAATGTTTCTGATGCCGACATTTTTGAACTTCAAAGCTTCTAGATCACCCAATAAAGGGGTCACTTCATTAGTCATTTAGGCGTTGTTACTCCAGGGCTGTGTAGCTAGGTAGGAGTGTGGGAGAATCAAATTGAGAGCGGACGGCGCGCATTCAGTTGAAATAAGATAAGTTAAGATATTAAGTTAAGAGTATCCCCAGGGCTGAAATGAACCTTGGGACGAAAAGCCATTCGAGAGTTTGCAATCTAGCCAAGAAAATAGTTCGTGGCGAATCCGCACAGGTACATGAAAATTACAAGTGCCATCTATAGGACCCACTGTGGATTATACACTTCCAAGGTTGTTCACAGAAACATTGAAAGTGTCCAATACAATCTGCCGCCCCACAGGGTATCGTTAAATCATTTCAGAGTCATGTCGCCTAGGTGATAAAAGTCTTCGTAATTCGTCTTCTTTTCCCGCGATCAACTCCAGATTTCCAAAACCAAATCTTGCATCATGCAGCTCTTGACAGCGACGGGACCTCCGTCAAATTCAGCGGAAGTGCTGAATAAATTCCGAGGAAATCATCCCGAGATAAAATTCCTACGCTTTCAATGGCAGGACTATTCAGGCGTTATCCGGGGGCGCGTCGTCCCGATGAATACCGTCATGGGCCAGATTGCGAAAGGAGGTCCTCTCAAGGCCACTGGTCTTGCGATGTGCGTTGCTCTTACTAACAATCTGATCCCTTCCACACCTCTTGACGGCCAGTACTGGTTGGTCCCGGACTGGTCAACTCTTCATCCGACCGCCAGCCCTGGAAGCGCACAGGTGATGTGCGCCTTGGATTTCACGGTGCCAGCCACTGGTCCAGTCAGCCGCGAAGTGTGTCCGAGACACGTGCTGAACAAAGTTCTGCTACGGGCCCGTGACAGCTGGGGTTTGACTTTTTTGGTGGGGTTCGAGGTGGAGTTTGTGGTTATGAAAGCCAACAAAAGCACGGGGAAGATGGAGCGATGTAGCGACGGCTGGGGACTTTTCTCTATCTCCGGCCTGCGAGACCCTTGCTACCAATACGTGGAAGAATGCGTCGTTCAACTGGAAGCTCTAGGTGTGGATTTCCAGGCAATCCATACGGAGGGCCAGCGAGGCCAATATGAGTTCGCCTTAGGACCAAAGCCACCCCTCGAAGCAGTCGACCAGTTAGTGCTGGTACAGACCTACCTTAAGGACACATTCGCTCGTCATGGCTATATGGTGACCATGGTTCCTAAGCCCGTGGCTTCGGAATCTCTGGCGAGCGGCCAGCACACGCACCTTTCATTACAGCCTGCAAGCCCCGATCTCGAAGAATCGTTCCTCGCTGGCATTCTCAAACGTCTACCAGCCCTCTGCAGCTTTTGCTTACCACAGGATGTTTCCTATGAGCGTCTCGTGCCATTTGTGGCTGGCGGCAATACCGCCTGCTGGGGAACAGAAACACGTTTTGCGCCGATCCGGAAGATCGAACCTAGCCGGTGGGAAATCCGAAACATCGATGCAATGGCCAATATGTATTCTACTCTGGCAGCCATTATTGGTGCTGGTCTTTGTGGTCTGGTTGACCAGGAACCTCTTTTGTGGCCCGATCTAGGTGACCCGGCAAATAAAGACGCCTCCCGAGGGGAACCACTACCCAAGAATTTGGAGGAAGGACTAGCCTTGCTGGATATGGATGCTTTTGGTCTTGCCGATATAATTGGCCGCCCCATAATCGATCGGTACGTCGAGATGAAGCGCTTTGAATTGTCTAAGATCAAAGTGCTGGATCCGGATGTGGTGAGAGAGTTGTTCATTGAGCTGTTTTAAAGGTTTTCAAGGTTGTGGAGTCGCCAATACTTTCATGGTGTAACTTCTTCGGAATGTAAATAATAAGATTATCTAGATGTGTCCAATCTACTCCGTACTCCGTAGTAAGATCCATATTTACTGCGGAGTGGCCACGAATATATCTTTCAATGTTGGTTTCGTTAGTATTTTGCATAGCCGTGCCAAGCCATGGCTTGACTTTTGGATTATTTCTTGCAAGGCTTCGAGGGGCTTTGCAAGATGCTCTTCTATTATGTTGGTTTTCTTTCGCATCTTGCTAAAAAAGATAGGTAGAAAGAAGGTGAGGTGAAAGCATATAATTGCTGTGTCGCGCACCAACACCTGGTGTTGGTGGGCTAGGCACGGCTACGCAGGGTGGTGATGGAGCCCTACATAGTACTATTAGGTGTTGTTAACAGTTAGGTGTTTGTGTAGTTTTGTGCTCTTCAAAGACCTGGGCAGATTTGGGATTTTCCTTGCTCTATCGCGTGTTTCTTTCTTTGAGACCGTCCCTCATGTGCAGCTCATCGATCCTGCTTTTTCTTGGACAAGCGGCGTGTAAGCTTTAGTTACAGCACTAGCAAAAGACCCACGCGAACTAAAAAATGAGGAGCGGCCAGAGATGGAGATCAGCTTTACGGAGCCACATAGGGAAGGGATCGGCAATTCGGCCCAGCTCGGTAGATCGGGACATCTTGGAGGTTATGACTGTGTACTCTACTTAGTTTGAGCGCAATAGAAGCAGCAGTAAGCTTGGAACTCATATGTGCTGCATTATATACATCCGCAGATCATGGCATCGACTACCCTTGCAGGAAGTTCCACACGATGTGTGAATATCGATGCCAGCGGATTGAAGTGGGGAATCTGCAGTTCATCTTCATAGTCATGTCGTCCCGCTCTTCAACCCCGATTGGGTGCTAGTGGTATTTAACCAGTTCTACATTACACCAATCCGAAGCAAAGAAAAGATCCATAGTTCAGCTCACGGTCTTATCGATACGATGCAAGTGACAACAACCGACCAACTTCAGGGGTTGCAGAGTTTTTTGCGATCTTCCCTTAGAACAGATCAACACTATTGGTACCATCGCTGAATTGGAGCTGCTATCATTCGACACTACTACAATGAACTACCTAACCATCACAGCCAATGAGCTTGAGCTATGAGTGTTTGTTTCTTTCTTTGTTTTTTTCTTTTACATGCGAGCAATGACACCATGAAGCGGGACCGATCAGTACCCCACCACCACCAGTCGCAAAGTGCCGAGATAGCCTGATATGAGCCCGATCGACACTCTTTGAAACAGGGTGAAATGATATTTTACTAGCGTAGTGGAGAGGATAGACTTTACAGGATACGGACCTCAGGAAATTCCCTTGAGTCTTTGCTAGGTGATTTAAACACCGCCTGAATCTTCGCCTTCGAATGGGCTGCTCTCTCTGATTGTCAGAAAATTGCGGAGAGAAGACGACCCATCATGCTGCAACTTAGCGAGATACATGGTCCGCCCCTTGCAGATACTGCTTTGACGATCAATGATCTTTTCCGTCAGAATGTCTTGGATTTCCCAGATACTGTGGCCCTCATCTGTACTCACCAACCCTCCGACTTATACGACGTTGCTAGTTTTTCCATTGGCGATGACAACGCTAAACCAACTTACCTACGATGGACCTATCAAGAACTCGACAATGCCATCCAACGATTTGCCAATCGCTTGAGAAATCGAGGGCTACGGGCCGGCGACCCGTTGTTGATCTTCATGTCTAATTCTGCCGAGTATGTCATTGCCACTTGGGCTGCCTACCGCATTGGATGTGTCCATGTCCCGATCAACCCCAAGAGTTTGTCGCATACCCGGGAGGTCCAACATATGTTGCAAACTGCGATGAACGGTTGCCACGCCGAATCCATAGCGACTATCGCAGGCAATGCCACTATGTGTGCGCAGATTGAGGAGTTGACATCCGGGCTGGACTGTATGAAGATATTGGTTGAGGGCCAGATGGATGGATGGACATCATTTGAGGATTTGATGCAAAGGTCAACCGGGATTGATCAGGACGGACCGTGTAACGACTGCAATTCAGAGCGTTCGGGGTCGTCGATTCTTTTCACCAGTGGAACCACTTCTCTTCCCAAGGGGTGCTTCATTCAAACACCATCGTACCCTTTGACAGTCGCCACAAGTTGGCGCCAGAGCAGTCAGCCAATGTTGCCCGGTGATAGGTTTCTGCTCGCACTGCCCAACAATCACGCCTTTAGCTACTTGTGCCTCATGTCCTCTTTCATAAACGCTGCCACAATTGTGTTTCCGGGGCCAGGCTTTGTCCCAGAAACTGTGATCCAGGCCATTCAACAGGAGCAGTGTAGCCACACTGCGTTTGTGCCAACAATGGTGCTCGCTCTGAGTGGTGTCCCATTAGCTCCTGAACAGAAACTCATTTCTCTGCGGCGAACACTCTTGGCGGGTGCTCCTCCTACCGAAGAAGTTATCAGAATATGCCTTGAGCATCTCGGTGCATCAGGGGTGGAAAATCAGTATGGAATGACAGAAGGTGTCCTCGTCTCGTCAGACGTGGTAGGCCATGTCAGCGGAATACTCAATGGAAGAGATGTATCAATTGGCTCGCCTTTACCAAGTGCAAAGGTCCGGGTATGCGCCGAGGGCAGCAGGACCCCTCTCCCAGTCGGGATCGCCGGGGAAGTGCATTTCTCTGGTCCAACTCTGATCAAAGAGTATATAGGGAGGGCTGATGATGATAAGTTCTACATTGACAAGGACGACCAGACGTGGTTCTGCACTGGGGACAAAGCCATCATGGGCAAGGACGATCGGCTTTATCTCGTTGGAAGGTACAAAGACACCATAATCCGAGGAGGTGAAAATATTGAACCGTCTGCCATTGAAGCAGTCTTGGGCCAGATCTCTGAATTTTATGTTCTTGAGCCCCAGATTGTGAGATTGCCAGATAATATTGCCGGCGAAGTTCCCATTGCAGTCGTGAATCAGACAATTGACGAGGAGACAGCACGTCGACTGAAGAATACCATTCGGGCTAAAATGGGAACATTGTATGTGCCGGCGGAAGTGGTAACAGTGCAGTCCCTAGGGGTAGAGGCCTACCCTAAAACTATGGCAGGGAAGATTCAAAAGTCAAAGCTCGAGGATTTGGTTAAAGCATACTGGGGAGAGCGAAAGTGTCAAACACGCAACAAGCTGTACACTCGCTATATTTTGGAGTCACGGCTCAAACAAACCTGGGCACAACTGTCAGGGTTCGATGATGCCAGTCTGATTGATGTGAATATCGGCTTAGCGGCTTTCGCCAGTGAGGCCATGCTTGTCCCATTACAGCGAAAGATATGGCAAGACATGGCAAGCAGCGTTTCATTTTCTGATTGGGTTGCTGCTGATAGCATCTCCGAGCAAGCCCGGTTGATTGAACTGGCCCAGCAAGATCAACCGACAGAGCATGTGGGCTTAGGTGACGGTCAAAGTATTGTTGAGTTCCCCCTAGGCTCGCGGGTCATGGACTTGCTGCTATCGGCCATTGCAGAAGAGAAGGGGTGTCGAATCGACCCAAACACTCAGATGGTTGACCTGGGAGTGGACTCAATCTTGTCCATTTCAATCCTCGACCGAGTTCGAAAGGAAACAGGGGTTTCACTCCCGTCGTCTCTCTTTTTCACACAGAAAACCGTTAGTGAAATCAGCGATTGTCTCTGTTCGATTTCGAACCCGACGGATCTCCCCGATTTTAGCACTTCGACACAAGAAGGGCCCAAAGGTCTATGCTTTTCGACGCTTCTTCAGGGCACACCAAATCCAGGGGTACCCTCGCTGTTCCTCACGCCTCCAGGGTCTGGATATGCCTTTTCATATGACCCACTCCCCAAATTCGCCAACGATTTTGCAATATACTCCTTGGGGTCACCATTTCTCATGACAAAATCAGAAGCTACCTGGACCGTGGAGGAAGCTGCCGCTTTATATGTGAAGACCATTCGTAGTCTTCAAGCCCAAGGCCCCTACTTACTCGGCGGCTGGTCAATGGGAGCGATCACTGCCTACGAAATAGCATATCAACTGCATCAACAAGGAGAAAGAGTGCTGGGAATCATAAACCTGGACATGCCAATTCCTCGGCCGGATCCTAAAATGGTAGAGCCAACGGTCAAGTTGCTCGAGATACTAGGCTTCTATCCTTCAATCCGTCGCGAAGGCCAGCCCGATATGGAGATCCCTGCCTACCGAAGGCAACATAGTCTCTCATCCGTTCTTGCGAAGACGAAATATTTCCCCCGACCGATCAGCACTCCCGGCAATTCGACACCTGTGCGAATATTCGTGATCTGGGCGGGACACGGTGACCCTGACCGGCTCCCATCCGCACTCCTAGAGGCAAACGAGATATTGAAGAAACATGGGCCACAGACGCAGCACAGAACCAGCCAGGACTGGCTACAAATACCACGTGAATCCTTTGGCCCGGGGGCTGGGCAGAATTGGTCGGAGACGAGAACGTCGAGTGTCATGTCATAGACCATGCAACTCATGACTCAATGATGGATCCAGAAGTGGTATGTTTCTTGTCATCGTTTATTTTCTTCCCTCAGTCATGGCCAGCTCTCTAACTATTGCTACAGGTGCAGTTTGTGGCGGATTCGATGCAACAGGCAATCAGTAGATGGTTGTCGTCTCAACCCCTATGCCCTGCTTAGTATATGGGAATTGTATCGTGATAATAAATATAAAGAGGGTAGGGGGTAGGATGTATAGTACAAATGTAGTAGTGGTAATACGGAGTATACGAATTGAAACAGGAATTTAGGTCGACCAAAAGTTTCGGCTTTCATTTTAACACTAGTATTAATTTAGTGCATTTGGATATGGTCCAAGTCAATGTTGCATATGATTTCCATTTGAAGATACACCTTCATGCTTAAAATAAACCAGGAATTTAGAGCGTTTGTCTCTATATCTAGAGATAATATAAAAAAAACATACAACAGTGAGGATTCGCTGGTGGTCACCCACCCAACTACTAACTCACCGGCGTGTGGCTTAAGTACGGCTGAGCGGACGGGAAGCCCTGTTTTCCACACCCTATGGTCGTATGTGGTCGATTTAGCATTGAATAGGATTATCACTTATCACTAGCGAACGAGTGCAATTTAATTATTCCTTTTTCTATAAGGTCTAGAAAATGCTCTCACCCGTAGGTCATCTAGATTGTTGCCGCTCACTACCCCCCTTTGCCCGATGATAGCGCTTGATCGGACTAAAAAAATACTTTCACTCATATAATCCAACTTATTGACCCCTCTTCCCCTCTGTCTAGAGTGGGTGTAACACGCGGGATTGGATTGTCTAGATAGTTGGTGCCCGAGAACTCGAGATTTAGTAGGAGCTCAGGCTGACTAGAATTATGCCTCTGGCATCAAGTAGGCAACGTATACAGAATCAAGATGTAAACATAGTGAATGTATAGAGGACCAAGTATTGCAAACCAATCACAGATTAATATATAAAGAGAGTAAAGGAAGTTGTCTTGGCCGGCTGCCTTAGCCTGCATAAGAGAGTGTAACAACTAACAGTAGAAAGTATGAGCATAGAACGATAGTAGTCATCTAGTATTCATCTAAAAAGGTACCGCTTAATATTTTCAAGTCCCTGGAGATCTCCCTCGATCGAGTTAGACTTCTCCTTCTCAACCCAACCTTCAGTATAACCTCCTCCAAAATCAATCAGGTATGCATCCTCATTGGCATCAATGAGCACATTAGCTGCCTTCGCATCCCCCCAAATGATATTGTATGAATGCAAGTGTTTAATTGTGTGCGAAATCTGATCAACCCATTTTTGTCGGAGCTCGGAAAATTTGGGATCATGTCCATCAATGCAATTGAGTGTAGCTTCATCACAATTAATGTATGATAAAACCAATCCCATGACATACCCATCATCATCCTGGACCAGCCCTTCCAGTTGTGATGTGAGAACTGGGGGATCGAATTTAGCCATGCGAATCTTTGAATAAGTGAGAATCTCTCTTATAGTAATACCCATGTCACCTCCGTAGATTATCTTGAAGAAGCTAGGCTGTGGTTGACTATGAATAAATACCTTATGAGGTATTCCTGGTAGTGTAGCTGAATCTGCACTAATTGGAACCTGGACTTCTCTAGGATGGTAGACAGGAAAAGCAGAGTAGTCGATAGAAGATGGTAAACGGGCCCCGATGAGATGATTTTTCATGTTCTTAGTGTTGCTGAGATAAACGGGAACTAAGTTGTCTCCCACCACCTGCACAGTGTAGTGCAGTTCTTCTGCAAATAGACAGTCCTCGAGAGTGTACCTTTGGCTCGGGTCTAGGGGAGCAATTTCGTGGAAGATTGGCCGAAATGGTTGCAAGACCCAATCATGCATTTCATCAAGGGGGTCTTCAAACTCCCCATCCACATCGACTTCAGACTCATCAGGAATCCATTCTGGTTCTTGACGTTGAACGTGTCGAAGATATTCGGCCAGGAGGGCAGATGACCTTTCGAAGCTGAAAGTAAAGAGATCGATTTTAAAGCGTTTGTTCGAGACATAAACATTCAACTGCGTGTCTGTATTTTTGGTGCTTGATTTAAATGGACCAATATCATAGATGGGTTGCTCCTTTGCCATTGTTGGCCGTCGAGGAGTTGCAGCAAAAAAACAAGGAGATAGGAGTAAGAATCTGGCAGGTCTGGGGAGTGTGTGAGCGAGGTGTACACGGTACCAAGTCATGCGACTGTTGGCCAATAGGTGCCGGCAAATAAATAACCATCTTCACCGCCAACCCTTCTGCAATGTGTAATTGGAAGGAAGAGCTGCAGCAAAGGGGGTTGAGCCTGGAGACTGAAAGGCGGTATGCTTTTCGGCCTCCGACACCATGTGAGTAGAACGAATGAACTGAACCCAAAAAATGTTTGCTGCAAATTTGTAGTAAGCGTATTCTTTCATCGATCACTTTAGCGCCTGTTTCAACTCAAGGATGATGAATGCCAATCATTGGTATTTGTTGATGCATATACAGGCCCACGGCCTCAGCCTATAGTACAATAGTCGCCCACGCCAAGATGAGTTCCCGCATCGGATTTCGAGACATATATATACTGATGCAAGAGGCCGAAATTGGGCGCTTAGCTAAAAAACGACGGAGACTGATATCCAGCAATAGGGCATTTTTGCATTAAATTCACAGAACCGGGACGGATCGCTAAAAGCCTGAGGTACTATGTCACAAAGCACGCCAACATCCAGCATTTGGAAATGACCAACCAGCAGCTTTGGACCGCCAACACACAGCTGGGCCAGGAGAAAGACTTTCTCGAACGACAGCAATGCCGGACAGCAAACTTTACTGACGTACCTTAGCCAGGCATTTGGAAAGGTACGAGGAAATTGCGACTATCCTTCGTGACTGGGACAGCTGCTACATCGACATTCCGAGCAAGCGAATGAGGACTTGTGATTGACTCGTATTGCACTTTGTCATTCTTTGGATTTACTGAGTCTCGGCCGGATGTAATTGCGCTAGAAGTGTATTTTCAATTGTCATAAATACAACTTTCTTTTCCAAGTCAAATTTCAAATAACAAAATGCAGTTCACTGATCAAGACAACATATTTCACTCAAAGGAAAAAGACCTCATTCATCACCCATCTTCTAGAAATCACTCTCCTCGTATCTCATGTATGAGTTGTTTGTGACGAAGAGGAAATTCAGCTGGCAATCATATAGCTCGACGCCCAGCGTTGATTCGTCGTTTATACTACGCTTCACCTGTCCGATGGGAACGTCATTGTCGTTGCACAAGTGAAGTTCGACATTGGCGCCCTCGTCAATCGTGCCTTTAGCACTGGTCTGATGCGCTTTCTGGAAAACAAATGTCCCGGTTCTTTTGTCGTTCCTGGTGTAATACAAAAGCCCCATGGTCCTGCCACCAATTCTCGCATCCGCGCCAACGTCTGCTGCCAAGTAATATCGGGTCGCCTTGTTGAACAATTTGTATGGCGTATTGTATGTCAACTGTCAAACGTCAGTCATGTGCTGCACCACTCGATACTCAAAAAGCCTACCCTTGGTGGTCGTCCAAGCTGTGTCTCAACGTCGAGCTCAAATATACAGCCGCCCTCCGGCGTGCGCGTTTTTAGCGGATCAATTCCGACCCACTCATGCCAGTTATTTGTATATGCATCCTGTTTAAATACATACTTGGCATTGTTGGTTGAGTCCTGAAGGTTATCGACGCCATAGCTCGATCTGACTTTTTCTTCTTTTAGACACCAGTCGCTCAGGTAATCAAACATAAGCTCTGGTCGACTGTTAGCGCGGTCGACTTGTCACCGGGAAATCAAGCCTGAACATACCATTTTTCCTTTGACCTACATCATTGCGAAGGCCATAATACTGGGTTCCCTTGATTTTTCCGTCATAGCCAGGGTCCGCTTGGAGGAGGAAGCGGCAGGGCGTTCTTTGGGCGGATTCATGGCTGATCATTTTGAACATTTCGGGGATTTTATCATATCCATCGAATGTCCCAATAAACTCCGCAATTGCCATGACGTCCTTTTGCTATAGATATAGTCAGCTAACAATATTACGATATTGCGAAAGCATGGATGGGGTGAGCATAGACAAAACTACTCACGTTGATGACTCTCCAGTTCTTGAAGGGCTTGACTGTAGAACTCCAGGCCGGAGGACTGAAAGATAGGTCAGTAAATAGAAGCCAAATCAGGTGCACAGCTGCTCACTTGTTGCAAAGTGTCGTATCACCACCCACGGCTTCCCAAGAAAGTGCTTTGCTCATGTTACTGGTCTGGCTGGCGCTACCTGACGATTTCTGGGTTTCCTGGCTGTAGCTAGCAGAGGCCTGAACCACTGGAGAAGAAAAGGACAGCGCCGCGCTAATCTTCATAGCATTTGACTTCTCTGCCGTTTTCATCACATCTGTTGAAGTAAATTCCTCCTTTGAAAACAACTTTCCACCCAGTTCTACGTTGGTGGCAAAGAAGTGTCCTGTCACACGTGTCAGCAACTTGTCTAGAAGCCGAGCGAAAATGTAAAAGTGAATACGAACCAAACTTCTGATAGAATTTGATCAGAGCTTTCCTTTCTTGCCAACTTGCCACCTTCGGGTCCTTTCTGAGGTTGATAATGTTGTCCAAGGCATCCTTGCAGCTCTTGGTCAGCACCAAGCTGTCATTGTCCAGATGCAGAACCACTCTCGGAAACTATGTTGACTTGTCAGTTTTGAAATTGACAGGGATATAGCTCTACTAACATTGTATGTGATGTTCATGGTTCGGTGCTTGCTTTGTTCGCTGGTAGCAAGGGCGTCAGTCTCACTTCTGCTGAACCCACCCTTGGCGGCAGCACTGTAGCCGAAAAGGCCTCCCCCACTGTTGATAATTAGCTGATTGTAATGCGAAACGTCGGTTTTCTGTTGACTGACATTGAAGCCTCAACATCCATCGATGAGAAGTTGCTCGATGCAAGGCTGTTGGAAAGTGCATTGGCGGTTTCAAACACATTGACATAGGAGTCATCCGTGACAGTGTACAAAGGATACTTGTACAAGATCTGTTTTTTCTTAGACGTGGTGCTGATTATGATCGGAGAGATGTCTTACTGGATCTGTGGTTGGAAGTGTGACGTTAGGACCGGTCATTCCCATCTCATCGAGGCTCCTCGCTTTGATAGAAAAGGCTTCACTAGCGATTAGTTCCATTCAAGTGATGCACGTGAAATTTTTTCCTACCAGAATATGGCGCTTTATCGATTCTTTGGAACTTTCTTCGGCCGCCCGCGTTTTCCAAGAAAACCATTCGATGGCCATTCATAAAATGGGTGGCTCGACAAACCATGTCCCAATCTGCGTCCGATAGGGAGCCGGCCGAGCTAGCGCATGATCAGCTAATGAATTGGCAAGGATTGTTGGACATGCTATACTCACATTGCATCAGTAGTACTAGCAGTCGACTTCCACTGTGCATGATCGTAGCCCTCCAGTTTAAAGTCCGCAATGCTCGCCTTCAGCAAATCCACCTTGTCTTTCTGTGTCTATTTGTCAATTCAAAATTAAACGAAACCTAAGCATTCCACATACACCAAGTTCCATATTCAACGGAGTATCAAGCAGTTTCTGGACGTTGGCACCGAGTTCACCATACTTTCGGTTGGTTTCCTCCTCGGAAAGCTCAAAATACACATCATGAGCGGTGATACTAAGAGCAGGGGTGTTGCTTTTCTCGACAGCCCCTTCTGGGGATTCCTCCCCGTCTCCATTTCTGCTCTGAGCTGCAAGTCCGCTCTGAGCTGCAAGTTAACAATGCTTCAGAGTTTCATTTCATCGATCGGATAAGCGCTTACGCTTTGAGGGACCTCGGCGGTGAGTTCCTTGTAGAGTTGCCATTTGGAGTCATCCCCTATGCGGGCGCCATCCTTGGTGCAGAAAGGAAAACGGGCCCTGTCGGATTTCGAATGTGAGAACCTGAACTCCCCACTGGAGATGGGTCAATAACTCACTTTTTGGAGTCGAGCTTGCTTTTAATAAGTGACGCTCGAATGTCCGCCAAGGTCGCATCCTTTCTAATGGACCCTATGACAATGCGATCAGTGATCTTTGTCTTTTCTGCCTTATCATAGGTCCAGACGTTGAAAAGGTTGTCTTGACTTTCGCCCATAGTTGCAATGTTGAAGATTCGAGTGTGCAATGTTTAACGTTTATCTGCTCGAGATATACCTAAGGGAACGGCATGTACGAGGGGCTTAGGCAGCATCTTTATTGTGAGAAGGCAGACGATCTTTGTCTCTTTCAAGCTTGAGCTGCCGTATCTACGGAGACCATTCAATGGTCGATCCAAGACAGAATAGTGGGCCCGAAGAGATAAATTGATCCACAAAGCAGCGTGAAGTAGAGGATGTTTGAATTTCCTCTTAATAATCGAAACCGAGCAGCTTCTTATATGCTTCGGTAGCATCAAATTTCTTTACGTGGCGGGCTGGCTGTGGGGTAGGATCGACATGAGGCATTTTGCTGCATAGTTGAAGAGCCCAATCGTATCACATCTCCCCGCCAAAGATCCACTGCAGCTGAGATCTGGGTTCCCTACTGTGCTCCACTCATGGGTAGAACTATCCATTGTCGCGGATCCGCATGGGACTCTTCACCGCTACACTATGTGAGTCGGAACTTTTGTCAAGGGATCGCCTGTATCTCAATGCGCCAAGGACGCATGATGCCACCATTATGACAAAATTAGTCGTGCCTGTGATGAAATGGGAACGCCATCGACATAATCGTACATGCCACGGCACTGCGTATCTATGCCATACTAGTTAGTGTAGGGAAATATTTAATTCAGATGCATGCGCAGCTCAAACCTTTGAATTTTGATCACCGGTGGTAGAGTGATATCATTCCTGGATGTTTAAAACGTCGATTTGTTGGCAAGCTTCGTTGAAGTCGGGAAGTATCCCTATTTCTGCTGCTGATAAAGTTCGAATGGGTTCAGATACATAGATAGATCTAACCGCGACCTAGATCCATATCGTTAGCAATGTTTCTGTCTATTAGGCAGAGACTGGTTCTATTAAGCCTACTAATAGCGTATCTTACTAGGTGAAGGCTTATATCTTTACTTCTTCTTTTACCTTCTATCTACTTCCTCTTTAGGAAGTCTCCCTACTTCAACATAGGCCTTGACAAGTACTGCAGTACCAGCGATATTTTGGTACTGGAACTGCAGTACTAAAAATAATCTCTGACAGAAGGTTTACGTTCAAAATGGGCCAAATGGGCAGGGGTACCCGCCTATATGCCAGGTCTACCAGTGCCATCTACCCAACTATTAAACCAGGTGATATTAAAAGATAGACATGGTCTAAAATCACAAGGCACCACGCTTCATCCATCGAGAGTGAAGGGAGCTGTTGCTTCGCGCTTGATAAGTAGCCTGATTACCATTGCTATAACCGAGATCAAATGCCCAGACAGCGTGGAAGCAATGCGTATCCACCTGGGCTTTCTGGTTGTTGGCTTGGGCGTTGTACGATCTGTTGGCTGGGAAAAGACCGATGATGTTGTAGAAGTAGGCCTTGCGAGGTGTCAGCATCTTATCGGCAATCTACTCAGGCCGTAGGAAAGAATTAATTAAGAAACTCACATCAATGGCACTTTGTAAGATGCGAATTTCAGAGGGAACTCTGTTCTTGGTCGTTTGGTCGATGGATTTCAGCTGGGCTGCGCTGCTCGACAAGGCGTCCATGAGCTCGAGGAGGGATTGTACGAACTAGCATCATTAAGTATAAATGACTCTGATTGACTTATTTTTCGTCATCAACCTACATTTGAGTATCCCTCATAGACGTTCTGCTCCTCCGCCTGATCGGTAATGATCGGTGTGTTCGTCATAAATTTTACATCTGTTAGAACCACAGCTACCATCGTGTCTATCTCAGTGTAGATATCCTGAATTTTATTATGAGCTGTCATTCATGGACCTGAAATAAACCCCACTTACCGGAATTGGACCAGCGTCCGCAGTGGAATTGATTTCCAATACGAGTTCCTTCACAGCAAATCCTTGCTGTGCTAGTTCATTGAGAGAGTTGGCAATTTCACCCGAGGTTAAAGCAGCGACCGCACAGCGCGTGCCAAGGCAGAGGGCCACGATGAACGAGAAAAAAATGTGATACATTGGATGAGAACGAGAGACTGGTAAATGCACGGCAAAAATGGAATAAGAGAATGGAATAAAAGAATGTATGAGTGTCGTAATATCTTGAAAAGAGTGGCAAGAATAACAACTCGAGCAGATGCAATTTGCAAAGAAAATAAGGACCATCATCTTAATATATCCCTTGTTGCTTGTAAGACGGCTCGGAATAATCAGTTCCCCTGACTAGGCCTAAAACGGACCCTTGACACAATTGTGGTTACTAACTAGGCTAGACACTGTTGCCCTAGTCCTATATTGGCGTAGGCTGGGCCGTTCCATATCGTTAATTCTCGCGCGATGCTTGACAGAAAATTCAATCGAATGGGAAACGTTGCTCAATGAAGTCCAAACGAGGGAAACGGCTTCAAGGTAAAGACTAATGAATTTGATTTGGGACTAGAATCATCGCTGCCTATTCAGAATCGCGTGGACATGAACATTAAGTTTGGACACCTATAGAACTTGTAAACCAGTAGTCTTTTTATACACATATACAAATCCAAAACATGGGGCGACCCCAGCAAATGCAACCCACTAGTTATAGTATAATTAATCCTTCAATCACAATACATACGCCACATAATGTTAAGTGGATGTAAACAGAAAAAAAAGAAAAGAAAACGCTAGTCAAGGTTGGAACAGCGATCAAGGTTTGGCGAGTTGTTCCTTGCGATAGAAGAAGATACAGAGCACGTTGATGGATAGCATGAAGAGCAGGCAGACCCAGAAGTCTGCCTTTCCCAAGCCGTCTGCGACGCCAGCGGAGAAATCAGGGAAAACATCACCAGGGCCTAACTTATCCGGTGCTGTCGCACGGGCGAGGATAGTCGCAATAGAACCGACCACCTGTGCGGCTAGAAGTGTGAAGGTGACATGGAATCGAGTCATTGTGTGGAGGAGTATCATTCCAAACCCTGTATTGGTGTGAATCAGTTTGTGTTACGTTTTATTCACTGCGAGAGGAAACTTACCGACACCCTGAAGGGAATCCAAAACTCCTAGCCAGAGCCATAGTGCTCTACCAAGGATAGCTCCGGCTACGGGACCACCGGCCCAGGGGATGTACGTGGCTATGTTGGAGGTTGCCCACAGGATCTGGGCCCATCTAGGAGCACCAAGACCGACGGCAAAGATCGGGATGAACCAGGCGTGTCTCTTGGAAAAGACGTGAAAGACCCAGAGAGCTGCCGCCCAGACAACGATGAAAAAGAGGAGGACAAGGAGCACGATCTGCCAAACTTGTGCATGCTTGCTGGACCAGAGATAGAGCCAGTTTCGTCCATAAGGTGCCGACAGCCAGTAGTTTGATATGAACACCATGTAGAAAAACCACTGCAAAATACAGCGTCAGAATCATAATTAGCTTGAGGGAGAACCGGAAGAGACATACAAGAATTATGCGACGGCGGAAGAGCGATAGGTAGAATGTCGGCACTTGACCTGGTGCTTGTCTATAATATGCAGGAAGTCCAAAGAAGACCAGGGCCCCCAACAGCCACAGAAGAGAGGCAAGTCCGAGTCCAATCCCAAGCAAAGCGCCTGGATCGACTGTGGCAAGGCTGAATTGCGTACTACCCTTTCGATTGAGAGCTGCCATCCAGCTACCCCAGTACCAAAGGAAACTGATGAATAACTGCTGAGTGCCCTGGATGACGGTGGCTCTATAAATCCAAGACCTCATGGGCGCTCCACCTGGACAAGAAAGTCAGATAACTTCCATATTTCCTGAAAGGATTGTAGCATACCTTCATCTCCAAAGTTGAGGGCGAAGAAAATCGAACCACTCGAAGATGCAAACGAATATAAGCCGATTCCCATGTTTTGTAGCCATGCTCGACTTGTGCTGTTGTGGATGGGACCGGCAAGACCGACAAACAGAAAAGCAAACCCGTATATCTGCGGGTAGTTAGCTTGCAACCTCGTAAGCCAGATAGAGGAACGTGAACGTACAAAGAAAGGAATCGCCAACACATAGACTGAGGGGACTAGACGGAAGACCATCCACCATATGATCGAAGAGGCAAGATAGATGGATGCCAGAATGTATAGCTTTTCGGCCGTCTCTCCAATCTCACCGTTCAGGAGTGTGATCTGGTATGAGTTCAAGGCGAGAATTTGGCCCTAAAATAATGCTGTCAACCTCTGTAATGAAAGTTTTTGGTAGGGTTCCAACTCACAATAGCGAGGAAGATGGAGTACACAGGCCAATCACCCAGCTTCATCAACATGAAACGCTTCAAACCCGTGGGGGGAACATAGTCATTTGCGAGAAGGAATTGCCCGGCATTCAGGTCTGCGCCTGGACCAGTAATTGGCGGGCTCTCTGGTCGACCGGTTTCACGAACCTTGATGCGAAAGACAGAGGGAGCAGGAGACGGAAAGGGGGACTTGCCCAGTTTGACGTCGCGGTATCGATTGAACCAGTCTTTTTGGCTCTTCTCGAGAAACTCTTCGATGCATAGCTGGTCTTCGGAGTTCTTGCCATTCAGATCCGCAAGCTTCTTCTCAAACTTATCCGCATACTCGTTATTCGCATCCGTGAAAAATGGATCAACTTTCTGAAGGTTGTAGTCTTGTTTCTCCTTTATTATACCATCGACGCTGACCAGACTCATCATGGATGCCCTTGCGCCTCCTTGGCCCAGCAGACCGTCTTCTGGTCGTGCGCCGAGAACTGGTGTGCTGGCACCAG